AAAGGATTTAGTATCTCCTTGTTTTTGAAACCTAGCAACTGAAGTTCAATTCATCTAAATGCTCCACAGCATTTTATTTTATTCTTGTAAGTAATTATGAAGTCTTAATTTTTTAAAATTTTTGATGTGGCCCTAATGCTCCATCGTATCCTTGAAATAAGGCTGATAAAGATAAAACAGAAAAAACCTGTTGACTTGAAAACTGAGTGAAGGATTTTCTCAGTAAAATCGGATCATTTATGTCCCCAAATGATCCCCCCCAAAATTACACCTGCAACACCTGCCAGATTGTCCTTTTTTGTTGTACGTTCCTGATCATCTTCCATGCTGTTCAGCCTTCTTCACACCGGCTGTATGCTGTCTGCATGACAGCTCAATCGGACGCCATTATGAGACCATACCAGCTGTTGGCTGTGCAAGTTTCTGCTGTCAGTCCAGGCTTTGACAATAAACATACAGTCTTACATGTTTATCCTACACTGGAAATGGTAAAGTGGCGTGTGCTCAGTAGGTGGGCATGCTAACAAGCCTGCCTACATAAGCAGCATCACAAGCGTATGCGTATTTTTGAAACATTGATTTATTTCTCTGCGTTTTGGCCTCCCACACACACTTAAACTGAGCAATAGGTCACTGAAAACAGGGATTTTTAAAAACACTTTCTAAGGTTGAGATTTTGAAAAAAAAGTCAATTTAGTCATCTTCGTGTCGACAGCAAGAAATAAAAGTTTGTTTACTTGCACATGGAAGTTGTTGTTGATGTCTGCCAGTTTTTTTGTAGGGTTAAAATGAATATTCAAGAGGAATCTTTTCTGTTTTTCATTACTCTACTTTTTATTCATTGCTAACTGCTGCAAGCTCAAGAAAACACTCAGTTCAGGGACTGTGGACAGAGAAATACTAAAAAGCACCTCAGGTAAGGACATGATTTTATTTGAAATCAAAGAGAAAATAATCTGTGTTTAACAAAGTACCCTGATACAGTAGGTGTGGGTGTAGCCTGAGAGAGGGAAACACTAAATTTGTTTGTTTTTTAAATCGTGATTGGTAAGGCGTCCAGCCATCTAATTTGGGGCAAATCTAAGCCTCCTGTCTCATTTTTAGTCAGGGCATCTAAACAGATTTTAGCTACTTCCACATGTGAATGATATCAGGGCCGCTGGCTTCTGAGTTCAGTCTGGAGTGAGAGAGATAAAGATGCCAAACTTTGCAGATGTTTCCTCAGATCTTCAGACTGTCTCAGCAGCTGAGGCTGTCTCGCTGACTTTTCACTGTTTGTTTGTTTGTGTGGGTGCGTGAAACAAAACATTGAGAGTGCACTGTGATTTTTGTGGATTTGTGGATCGTAGTTTTTAAACAAGAAACATTTATTTACTCCTTCTGTATTCCTGGTTAGGGAAAAAAGTATATTCTGTCAACTATATCAAACTATTTGTTAGCGTAGCTTGCTAACATACACCCTTTGGAAGTGAAAGGGTCAATTGTAACTTTTAGACAGACTTCAAATGATGTCCTCTACCCTGACAGCAAACTACATGCTTTCCAAGGATGGTTAGATGGTGTCCCGGTCAGTCATATTTGCATCTGATATGTATGTTTTGAAATATGATCAGCTCGGATGCCTATTTATAACCCAGGCCCTTCAGCTCTATATAATGAGATGTACAGGGTGGAGGGAAACACAGGTGTATTGGACTTGAACATGGCGTTGTGAAAGACAGGGTCGGTGACTCTCTCCAGCCTCTCCTCTCTCTCTTTCTTTCTCTCTGTTGTTTGTTTTTGAGCTCCCTGAAGTTCTCAGTGGTCAGCTTGTTAAAACAGTCTGCACACAGAGAGCAGCTCCTCTCTTTTGTCAGCTCAAGGTCCTTCTCCTCTCCACAGGACAGCGCTACACAATGCACAGACAGTCTATCTTGTATTGAAGGAGACTGACCTCTGCAAAAATATAGTCTCCCTTTGACTTCTCAATTCTCATCAACGTGAAACAGGGTCATAACCTGATCATTTTTCATGGTTGTTAGCGGGAAACTGACTTTTGGACCACAACCAGTAATTGAACACCTTTGGCTAGAGTTTGGTTGAGAGAAGACCTACAAAATTCTTAACCAAACAACCAAGAAGGAAAGATGGGAAGAGATTCACCACTCTGTGAGAGACTATGTGAGCAACAACTCAACAATTTCAGAATAATGTTCCTAAACTGTAAAAGTAGAGTGACCATATTCTGACTTCCCAAAACAAGGACAAGACTATGCATGGCTGGAGTTGTACAAAGTTAATTTTAAGAGTTTTTCAGGTCGGATCGAGTGTCTTTTACACGCTTCTAACTTAGTGAGTCAACGTGACACAAAATCGAAACTTTCGTACAAAACCACGAACATATGAAGGATTTTATAGACTTCCCTAGACAAAGCAAGACAAACCCCAAAAAAGAGGACGTCTGGGTAAAAGAGGACGAATTATCACTCCAGTTAGAGAATTTTTGTTTTTCATTGGGGCGGCAGTATCTCAGGAGGTACAGTGGTCGTCCAATGACCAGAAGGTTGGTGGTTCGATTCCCCCTATCCCAAGTCTGTCTGTTGTGTCCTTGTCTTGTGCTCCCAGTGTGTTTCCTCCACTGGTGTATAATTGTGAGTGTTGAGTGGTGGTGGTCGGAGCGGCCGTAGGCGCAAACTGGCAGCCACACTTCTGTCACTCTGCTCCAGGGCAGCTGTGGCTACTAAGGTAGTTTACCACCACCACAGTGTGACTGTGTGAGCGAATGAATGATGTATCCAATGTAAAGCGCTTTGAGGATCTCTGATAAAGCGCTATATGAAATCCCATGCATTCTTATTATTATTAGAAGACCTAATAAATTCTCAACCGAACAACCAAGAAGGAAGATGGGAAGAGATTCACCACTCTGTGAGAGACTGCGTGAGCAACAGCTGAGCAGAGACTGTGTGAGCAAAATGGACAAGGACCAAAACTAATCCTGGATAGCCTTGATCTTCAGGCCCACAGGCTGCACTGCATTGAAACAGATGAGACTCTGTAGTTGAAATCACTGCATGAGCTCAAACTGTCATCCAAAAAACATTGTCTGGGAACATGGCTCATCAATGTGTCAACCGATTCTTACATACATCTAGTGATGCTTTTCTTGGACACATCCTCAGTGATAGTGCCTGAGCACATCGGGGGTTTCGGGTCTTTCAACTTCAGACCCCCTCACTCAGGTGACCCGACCGGGGTGATCAGTTCCCGGCCCGTGTCCAAGAAGCACTCAACCACTGCTTATCCCTCTGGATCCACAGCCATTGCGAGGCTCTCTCTGCAGCCTCAGAGGCTGTAGAGATGGCTCTCCTCTTCCGTGCCCCTGTGATGCCCAGGAGACTGTAGGCCTTGCAGAGTGATTTCCCTGCAAAGCCTCTTCCCCCACCTCAATCGGTAGGCATCGTGCACGCCACCCCCGTTTGCGGCACTCCTCCACCAGCTCTGCATATTTCTCTCTCTTTCTCTCACTTGCTTCAACCAATGCAGGTTAAAAGTGAACCATGCAAAGAGAAAATCAAGTGTAAACATGAGACTTCTCCCGACCTGAGCCTGTCTAAGATGGACAGAAGTGGTCTGACAAATCAAAATCTGACATTCTCTTTGGAAACCACGGACATTATATCCTCTGATCTCAAAAGGAGAAGGAGCCACCCAGCATGTTATCAGCTCACAGTTCATAGTCAGCATCCCTGATGGTCTGGAGATCATAAGTGTTCATGACACGGGTAGCTTACACATCTGTGAAGGCTCCATTAGGTTTTGGAGGAACATATGCTGCCATCCAGACAGTGACTTTTTCAGGGAAGACCTTCATATTTCACAAAGACAACGTCAAACCACAGTATAAATAAGTATAAGCTTTATATGACTTGCAAACCACTTGCCTACACGTCATCTTGGAAGTTTATTTGACGATCTCTTGGAAAATTTCAGCAAAAATATACGCCCAACATCCAGTGAGGTTTTGCCACTTCAGGAAATGGACGTTTAATCCTCCAGGTATTATCCAAAGATTTCCATAATAGTCCACCTCACATAATCCGCACATTGAAGACAGGATTTCTCAATAAGCTCCCATATTTCAAATAAATGTCAGATCCGTTCCATGTCTATCCCCTGATGTAACAGCTATGAAAAATAGATACAGGCTGAGAGGATGACCAAAGATAATGGCTCTAATGTGAATCAGGTGTACTGGAAAGACATTTCATTTAGCCCGACATTCTTTTTGGGTTCACCGGCTCCCACCAGTTCTCCCACTCAGGACGGCCAGGAGTCTATTTACAGACACAAAGACCGTGAGCTTTTCTCGCCATGCAAAAAAAAGATCTTAGCCAAGGCGCAGTCATGAATAAACATAAGGCCTGAAAGTATTGCCACATTTTATGTATTGATACAAGAGCTGTGGAGAAACAAAGTGCTTCTGGGAGCTGCCCTTTCCATTTCTGGTGGTTAGCCTGCAGCTCCACATGTCAGATACTGTAAGTTAGCAGAAAGAGAGCTCGATGTGAACGTGTTTTTCTCCTCCACTCTGAAAGGAAGGGGTCATCTAAGCATAACCCCTCATTTTGAACGCTGTGTCTGCGCATTTACATTTACATATGTGAGTATAAATTCAGATGTCAAAACTTCACTGGGAGATAAATTGCAGCCCTTATAAAATAACCCTGAAATAAGTAATTTGAACCTAATTTTTGAAAGGTTTGAAATGCAACACTTTCCCCCATCAGGATTTCATTACCAATCAGACACGATGCAAAACAAAAGCTTGAGAGGAATCAAAACTTTTCTGTTTGACTGGAGGCCAAATGTCTGAAACAGCAGGGTGAGTGTAATTACAGGTATTGATTCAAAGCCCAAATTATACTAGGAAAAGCATGACCCATGCATAATATGCCAGTTTTCTTTTATTCTTTGTCAGACTGTGAATATTCATACGGCTAATATGTAGCATGAGCAGCAGCTTGGACTGTGAGGAGAGAATGAAATCTGTCTGTTTTTATTCTCAGAGGAAGATAAACAGACTGATTGTGAGACAAGGACCAAGTCCGGATATTTAAAAAGCCCCTCACCTTTTCTTTGTTAGACTTAAAGAGAAGCTAGACAAGTAATGTTTGCTTAGTGAGTGTCTTTTTTTCAATCATTTCTTCTCTCCTTGGTGTTACGTTATGTCTCTTAATATTCATTTATTCTCAGCGTAGTTATCTCGCATCTTAGTAATGTAGACTGTGTAAAACCCGGACACAGTCTTAATTACATTATCCACTGAAGATGTGGTGTATACAGGTGCAACAAGAACACTGGATTAGTTTGGGTTTTGCCAAGCCATCTATAGCCCATTGAAATCTTAAAGGTTAGGGTTAGACCCTCATCCAAGCTTGGGTATTATTTCAAATTTCAGAGATTCGTGGATTCAATAAGGAACGTGGATTACAGGCCAAAACAAAACCAAGACTGCAACTATATCGCCACTTGACCCTCATAACGTGACGACTTCAATCTCATAATATTATGACATTAATAGGATTTTATTTTGTAGAAATTTTACTTAAATCTTACAACATTACAACTTGTTTTTCTTGTGGTTAAATTCTTCTAATATAATTTTGCGACAACTTCACAGACTTCACAGAATTTTCTATGTGTCACTGATACTCTGTTGCATGAAAGAAACGATTCGGTTCTGCGCTATTTCGCTAATGTCCGCTTGTGTTACCAAAACAATGAAAAACATATTAGATATCTTAAAACTGAGCCATTAACTATATTTATTTATTTATTTAAAATATTTAAAAAGAACATCACTAAAACATCAAATTACTTGCAGCTGTTGTGGTTGATGCCATCTTTATTACTGAAATCACTTTTGGTCCTTGAAGGACACCGTTGCCTTACTGAAAGGAAAGGATGGAGAGGAAGTGTTTAATTCTAAATTCTTACTGCAAGATGTTGGTAAATATCCTCATTCTGCTCACTGCACCTTTAATCTGGGAATATTTTTGTGATCCTATCATTCATAAGTTCACAGTCCCCGGTAGGTCTTTTCAGTTAGCTGCACACTCTCTCCAGCCAGTGTCTAGATGACGAACACATAAAAAGTTGACAAGGTTTAAGCTAAGGGTCTGCTCTGCCACCTTAACAAGCAAAAAAACAGGGATGTCTGTCAGGGCAGTAGTTTAGGACTGAGTGTAGCCGCCCACACGGCCAGCCAAGAGGATCCTTTAGCAGGTGGCTAAAGAACAGTAATGACATGCCTGGACAGAGAAAAAGTGCTGTCTGCAGGGATGCCCGGGGGAAATCTGAAAGGTCAAAACTGGATTCACATGGCAGGGGTCCATACAGCATATCAAGCTAGTTAGCTTGACTTAAAGTGTCTAAAATACAAAGCCCTGGAACTCAGAACTTGGAGGCTAAAAAACAAATTCTGGTCTTGATTAAGTCATACTGCCTTTGGAGCTTGATTTTTTAAGCAGTTTAAGGAAAAATTACATCTCATCTAGTTGTGTCTATAAAGGTTATTGTGTATGAAAAACAGTTAAAGGGAGTCTCCAGATCTTCAGGGACAACAGGGTTTTAAGCTCAAGTTCACTCCCAGCCTGAGAATTAATTGTGCACCCATAAAAAGTGGGTTTCACGCTGCCTTTAGCCAGCTATCAGGGTTAGGGTTAGGGGTTAGGGTTCAGGGTAGGGTTAGGGTTGGGGTAAGGGTTGGGGTAAAGGGTAGGATTGGGGTTAGGGTTGGGGTTGGTGTTAGGGGTAGGGTAAGGTGTTAGGGGTAGGGTAAGGGGTTAGGAGTTAGGGTTGGTGTTAGGGGTAGGGTAAGGGGTTAGGAGTTAGGGTTGGTGTTAGGGGTAGGGTAACGGGCTAGGAGTTAGGGTTGGGGTTAGGGGTCGGGTTGGATTAGGGGTGGGGTTGGTGTTAGGGGTTAATGTTGGGGTTAGTGGTTAGGATTTAGGGTTGGTGTTGGGGTTAGGGTTGGGGTTAGGGTCAGTTTTAGGGTTAGGGTTTAGGGTTAGTGTTAGGCAATCCTTCTGGGAATTCCTTGGGTGAAATCTTAGACAATGTTTTTTTCCCCTCTGTATGCCAATGAAAGGGTTACAAGAATCTGAGAGTCCCAGCTGTAGAGGAAGTACAACCATTCTCTGAGTTTATGCTGTGATTTTCCACACAGACCACCCCTCGAGGTGATGAATAAATTAATTAGCCTTCTGGTTAGCTGAAAAAAAATGATGCATTTTTATTCTAAGATAAAACTTGACATGCTTTTACATGAGAGCTTCAGTGGAGAGCCTGTCAGCAAACAGAGGCGGGATTTTATTAAAACAGTTCGCAAATGGATTTTTGCTTTTCTGCAGAAGAGGGTCAAAAATTGGTCGCACTATGGGGCTGTGTTACCATTTTTTATCCCTAGCATTAACAGATTATTTTCAGTCAGAAGTAAAAAATAAATAAACAAAATGACACCAGACACCAGTTTTTAACCAGAATCTGAAGTTGTATCACTCTGTAGAAAGCTAACAGATAATAAAAACATTAATAGTACCACACACAAAAAACTGGATTTTCTGTGTATTATTGGGTGTATAAGTATGGCATTAGATTTCATGCCTACAAGATATTTGCCTCCTGGGGAAGCATGTGCTCAGTGAATAAGAGGAGAGCAAAGATAGTGCCCAGAGGAACACCACAAGATTTGACCCAGAAGCACTGGGGAAAACTACACATAGATTTGTCCCAAGGGTAAACATATAAAGTAAATAAGAGGGGGTCCAATAAAAAGCCCTGGGGAGTACCATGTCAACATGTGCCCCCCTAGGGAAGAATGTACTCAGTAATTAAAAGGAGACCAAAGACAGAGCCCTGAAGAACACCACCACAAGATTTCCACCCCTGGGGAAACATGCAAACAGTGAATCAGAAAGGACCTAAGTCAGAGCCCTGAGGAACGCCACAAGAAGACATTTCCAAGGATCACTGAAAAAGACTTATCTGATGGACTGGGAATGAACCAGTCCAGTGCCACATCATGGACTCCAACACAGTAAACCTAAACCCTGGAATATGTTCTTGTTTTATACACTTTTGGTTGAATTACACCAAACATGCTGTTTATGTTTGTGAGATGATGAAGTGAAAACAAAGATTTTTATGGTGTGGTTTCATTGAGTCAGATAGGTTTAGCCAAGCAAACTCAGACTCTTTCTCCCACGCAATCTTTTAAAGTTAAAACAGCAGCAGTTCCAGGGTTCAGCGGATCCTGCATGAGTCCTGATACTGACACCAGGCAGCTCCAGGTGGACTCATTTTAGTCAACACCTCTGCTCTCTCCTGTCTCTGATTGCGGCAGGTGGAGGTGGGCGGTGGGAGCTCTGAGACAGTTATCGTACAGTGGCAGCCATATGTAGGTGTAGCTTATTTATTCAGACCAAACAGGGAGTTAAAAGCTGCCTCATTTCTGTCCAAAAATGTCCAGTAACAGCCAGCAGAAAACACATTCTGAGTGTTCACTTTGATGTATATTTTCATAATGACTGAGAAGCTAACAGAGTTAAATTTAGGTCCTTTCATTCCCACTTCAGTGCAAAATGTTTGTTGCCCCTTGGCTACAAGCCACAGTTAGGTCAGAGATTTTAGAAAAAGCTCCTGAGTGCCTTCAGCCCCGGGCTAATTATTCTGACGCTATATAAAAAGGTGTGTCAAGGTGGTAGCATATCCAAACAGAGCTCTTTAGAGGAAACATTCCTCTGTATATTCAAGTAATTCAAGAGTATTTAAATCTGCAGAACATGTCTGCTGAATCAGAAAGAGAAGAGGCTTGCATGAGGAGTTTGAGCAAGACTGAGGCTGAGATTATGTCAGCTGGGAACACTTTGTGACTTCATAATACAAATAATGGCTGATTTTGAAAAGAACATTTTATACAAGTGACTGAAAGTACCTCTCATATAGGGAAGCTCTCAAAGGAGCAAATAACATCCCTCAGGAAGAAAAAGTCCGAACTCTTACTTATTCTTGTGAATGAGCAAATTCAGCGACACAGATCGTAAAAGATTAAAATAGATTTTTGAACCAGAATGTTGAAAAGCATGTCATTTTTTGTTGTAAAGTTTAGCGTTTTCGAGTATGTGTGTATGTGGCTTCTGGTGCTTTTGCAGTCAGCCCCTAGTGGACAATCAGGGAACTGCATTTTTAGCACTTCCACAACACCTTGATTTTATAAGACTGGCATGCCGCCCAAAAAGGTAGCCAAATGGATGTAAAGTTCACATTTCACACATCATTTCAGCTTTTGTAACAGTCCTGCAAAGACATAATCACAGGTGCAATTATTCTTCTACCTGATAGTTTTGGTGGGAATATTATCAAGAGGTGCAGAGATGCTAAAAAGGAAGTTTATGTACACCTGGTGTTCTCCCAGATTGCTCATCATTATGACAGCAGATGAGCTCTTAATGAGTGTGTGTGGTGTACGACAGGTGTTGCAGTTGCTACTTGTGAGATGGAGCTGCTAAATAAAGCAGTGACTGGCTGAAGGAGGAAGCACATGGGAAGGACAAGTGCTAACTTTAAGTGGTCTCACCATAGTTTTAAGGATGATTGGGAGTTTTGAGCTTACACTTTTTGTTTTCTTCTCATACAAATTCATTAACAGCATTGTAATTAGGGAGCACACGCTGCTCTGTGGCACACTATAAAGCTTGGCTGTTGAGTTGAACACCTGTTTCTTCCTCCTGATTATAGCTTGGTAGAATTAAATCTGAAAACTATCTCGAGCTACCTCTTCTTGTCTGTTCCCTATGCTGCTGTAAGCATCGATCTCCCCCTGCAGGATCATGAAACCTCCATACCTTCATCATTATCCAGAGAAACTTACCAGAGCTTACCTGACACCAGGTAAACAGTGGTTGAGTTTGGACAGAGTTGCACCTAACTATTGCAAAATTGTAGTTCGTTCCACAAAGAGCCTTTTTTTCATATTGAATGTTTTTTTGTTTTGTTTTGTTTTGTTTTGTTTTGTTTTTTTGGCAATAATCAAACACAATTAAAGAAGTTTATTTAATTGGTATTTTTATGGAAATTCATACTAGGGACTTCAGAGAGATTTTACTGGATTTGGAGCACATTCAGTTTGCAGTCAATGTAATTACCGTAAATCCTCTAATATAAGCTTGGTCCTTCATTTGCTTTTAGTGGCAAAGGTACCAGGCCTTTGTTTGAAGCAGGCTTGTAATAGAGGATGGCCTTCATATTAGATTCTCTGTGGGCCTGATTCATTAAAAGATTGTTTGGCTTTGATGTCCACTAAACCTGTGCAAATAAAATAAATCATAAAGTCATAATTTCATGTAAAGAAAGCCACAATCTAACAAGAATAAAGTTGACTCGACTCAGACTTGCTCCAGGGGTCCTCGCTACCTCTTTTTCCACGACTTAGAGATCAACTCCTATCACTGTTTCTGTGTGTGAAAGAGCTAAAACTTCACAAATACCTTTGAAGAGAGTCAGACTTAAGAGCTCACTGGGTTTTTTTCAGTTTTTATGAAACATGGAGTGTTGTTCTTGTCTTTGACAGCCGGCCTTGAGTGTGCGAACATAGCAGCAGAAACACTTCTGCCTCCAGACAAGGACACACTGTCTGAGACAATTCCGTCTGTAAATAAGTGAGACGTAGTTTAAATAAAGTAAGACGCAGACATTCTCACTGATATATCTGAAGGCTGTATGGCAACTTAAAGGGAAATTTAACTTTTTTTGCAGTGGGATTGTATGCGGTACTTGTCAACAGTAAGAGTATAACTCTCATAGATAGAATCACGTCAGCCCCTTTCGTGAGAAAAACCTTTTTTTCAATTTGCTGTATTTAACACTGTATTTCTGCATTTAAAGGAAAAGTATGGGTTTATTTTTTTGAGGTCACAGAAGGACAGCTGAGACAAACCTGTTTACTGACGGACCTTTGCTTGATTACAGTTCAAAGAGACAGACCCTCATTTCTCCGACTATGGAAATTTGACCCTCGTTTTTTCAGAGAAGCTTTGAAGTTGAAATTAGACAGAGGTACTTTTTATCCTTCCTCTTAAAAAACACCTCAAACATATCTTTTTGTATTTTGTATTCTTTATTATCACAGCTTTTGAAAACTAATGCAGCTACAGCCTTGGTCCTGTCATGAAGCCACTTTAGACTAAGATTAAACGGGGACTCATAAAGAGCAGAGTAGTGGACAGGTTGGCGATAAAAAAACACAGTCAGGCGTCTTTTTCTGCCTGCTATCAGGAGCAGAGTGTGTTCGTGAGGCGTTATGGCGATGTGAATGACATCATTCAGGATTCCCGCGCCATCACGCAGAGGCATAAACCTCACAGCATCTGCTTTTGACATGTGTGTGAGCAGAAATCAAATCTGACTCCAAGCTGTTAAAGGGACTGCTGCAGACCCAAATGATGAACAGAGCTCACAGGAAGCAGAGGATGAAAAAGACAGAGTCTTTTTGTTTAACAGAAAAAAAAACAGAAAAATGAGTTAAAGTTTAACTGGAGCAGCCCTCAACCTGTGGACATTGGTTACTCTTTTTTTCACTCAGCCTTTAGATTGAGCATTAAAAGGATATTTCAGGGTTTTTGAAGAGAGGTTATATGAGTTACACGTCACTAGAGAGAGTTTAAACCACACAGGGTGTCGGGCAATTAGGCCCCTTTCACAAGAAACTGCAGAAAGAAACAACACTCAAGCTGGGCTATAATTTTCTACAGACAGGGCTCATATACTGCATAAATTAGCTTATTTCAAAAGAAACTGACCCAAACACTTATCACTGTTTGAATCTACAGAATGTTTTTTTCAGTTGGAGGCCCTTTTATTTTCATAACATGCTGTTTACCCAGAACACAAATAAACATCTTTGAGTGGACGTCTGAGATGCTGGATTTTTTTCACTTGCTTTTGTGTTTTAAATTATATTTTGCACTTTTTGCACATTTTTTGTGTTTCCTAAATGTTTTTCGCTACCTGTGAAATATCATAGCACTGATAGTTATAAACACTCATAAATGATCATAATGGTTAATTGCAATAATCATAACACATTATGAAGAATTTTATCATGACTTACAAGGGTAGGTATTTTAGTGTGTTATGTTTATTGTTATTCAGTGATGATAATTAATGAGTGTTTATAATTATAGTTATACAAGTTTATAAGCAAATTAAACACATCATAAATATATGTATAATGCATTATCTATGTGGGCATTGTCAGTGAGTTGTTAACAGTTATAACACATATCTGATCTTGTAAGTCATGATAAAATGCTTCATAAAGTGTTTATGATTATTGCTATAAAGAATTATGAACATTTATGAGTGTTTATAACTAAAGTTAGACAGTGCTACAACGTGATTATAATGCATTATAAATGTATTTATAATGTGTTATAGATATGGATGAAAAGTAAAGTGTTACCACATTTTTTATGACATATATTTCTGCGCTTTCAAAATGTTTCATAACTGTATTATGGTTTTTTTTTCTTTTTTAAATTTTTTTGTGTTTGATGATATAATTTTGTGAAATTTTTTTGCATTTACAAAAATATTTACTTCCTGTGAAATAAAGTTTTTGAATATTTTTGCACTTTGTTAGTCACTGATCTCTATACAAAAAAAGTTCAACAGGGATTCTAACAGACATGACCACCCGCTCACTATACGTTCCCTCTCATCTTTCCTCAGTTGAACTGGTCTGACTGAAGTTATGAGTGACCCTGGTGTGAGTTTGTTGGCCGCTGTTTCAGGATGTTCAATTATTAACTTCCCACACATACAGTCGAACACATTACATTAGAAAGGACCTAATAGAGGGAAATTTTACTGCAGCTCTATTTTGCCTTTTAAAATGTTCTCATATTCAAATTGGTTGGAGTAAAACATTTTCCGTTCTTGCATCCCACCCACTCACTCCCACCATATGGTACTGTAATCTCATCATTTCTCTTTACCTCCACCGGTCACTTAAATCAGAGCTGGGAGGCAGAAATTATCCGCAGAGAGATTCATATAATACATCCTAAAGTTTGAACAAATCCACTTACAACTTTTCTTCTGATTATAAAAGTGGAGCTGGAGGCTGCTGATTAGTTCTTTACTTTTAGAGGGGAAGTGTGTTTCATCAAACTGGCAGACTGTACGCTGATGTATATGAAGCCTGACTATGGACAGAGGGCGTTTGAGACGGTCCTCATCACAGCAGCTTATTACAGCAGACATGGCTGTGAGACATGCTTCACTTTCCACAGACACAGAGGGACACTTCTCTCCTTCAGATTGTGCTGTTTTAAAAATTAACTCCCTATTAATTACACACCGGCCTGCAGTGAATGTGAATATGACAGATAATTACAGTTTTCACTCCTACCAGGTCTGATCCAACATGATGGACTGCTTCGTACTGTACAGCCCCATCTGTTAAACTCACTGGAAGGGATTTCGTTCCTTGTAGTCTACTTCCCCCCAGAGTTTACAGACCTGAACTACAGCTTGTGTTTTAAATTTGAGGATGAAAAGTCAAAAAAGTTTTCATGCAAATGTAGCGGACTATAACAAGCACAATTTAAAACAATCAAAAATTTACTAGCATTTGGAGGTGAGATGTGCATATCTTTGTCAAGTTATGACTATTTTATTACTATCTGCTATCTATGAATAAAATATTATCTACTTACAGACAAAATAAGAACATTTCAAAAATATATAACATTTCTAAAAATTGCAAAAATTAATTGGTGTAACAACAAGTTTAAAGACATGCAAAAATTCATATTGTTAAATAGCAAGTGTATTTCAGATGCAAAAATAAATTTATTTATTTTAAAAAACCTCAAAAATTTTAAGGAACACATTTAGTTTCCAAACAATATTTCACAAAATATACTTTTAGCAATTTACAGAATTCAAACATTTTTCAAAAATTTTTAATATTTTTTTATGATGGATTAAGTAAAACTTATTGCATGAATATTTCATGAAAGAAAGTGTGTAATGAAAGGGATTTCTGCATTTCAACAACTTTTTTGTTTCATTTTTGTGTCTTGATACTTCACCAGATAATTAGAGCAACACAAAAAATATATGTATAATTCTAAAATTAAAGATTAAGAGAGAAAAAAGAATAAAGTCATTCAGAAATCAAATTGAAAATTGCATTTAGAACAGCATTATGCTGCTAATTGTTGACTCGATTTCAATATTGTTATTATTATTGTAGAACAACTTTATTTTTGTGAGAAAACAACTTCGTTTTTTTTCTAATCTTTAAAAAGGCATTTTCTTCCCGTCTGTCTTTTTTTTTCATAAATCCTTGATATATTCTATGTTCAGTGTAACTTTAGGTTATGTGAAATAGTTTTACACTTTTATTTCACAGTTGTTGTTGTTGTTGTTTTTTGGTTCATTTACTTGTTTTGTGTAACTGTTTCAATTGTCAACCAGTTACAGTTTTTCAGTGGCCAGTGTCAATACAGATGAACGGTGCATGTTCAGTTTGAATTCTTCTAAACGTTCAGTGAACGAATCACTCATTAAGCCCAATTTACTGAGCAGACCTGATAAATGGCATACAATAGGACAGTACACTTAAAACATCATGACTTTTGCCAAAGCAACACAGCCAAACACTCTTGTCTCCCAGTCCTAGAAACTATGAATTGAACTGAATCCTGAGCCATTCGGCTGTGTATCAATTCAGGAGTTTGGAGACTCAGGCCTCTCCCGGCAAGCGTTAAGTAATTTGGTGATTTGGTAAACGAATCTTTTGAACGAATCTTTTTAGTAAACTGATTCTAGTGATTCAGTATATCTAAAATAACTGTCATGCCCATCAGTAGTGCTCGCTAAAGTCGCGAAATGAATTTTGACCCTCGTGAGTTTCTGTTCTACGTAGCTCTGTGTTGACGTGTGGCTCGATAGGGAGCTGCTGTCTGTTTAGCGTGCTAGCAGACCAGCTGTTCTGATCGGTTTTGTTCAATAAAACAGACTTTAATTAAAAAATCTTACTCACTTAAACGATGGCGGCGGATTGGGAGGAAATCAGACGGCTCGCTGCTGACTTCCAGAGAGCTCAGTTTGCTGATACAGTGCAGAGGTAACTGAACGCTTTAAGCAGCTGTTAGCAGCTAAGCTAATGCGAACTAGCGTTTCAACTTTCAACCAGATAGAATAACAATGAAAGTAAAACGGTGATGTTTCTGTATTTGTCCGCAGGCTTTCAGAGAGGAACTGCATTGAAATAATTTCTAAACTAGTCCAAGAGAAGAAGCTAGATGTGGTCCACACTACGGACGGGAAAGAGTATATCACTCCGGCTCAGATCAGCAGAGAGATCCGAGATGAGCTCTACGTCCACGGAGGTCAGTTTAACTTTAAATAAACCATCCTAAACATGCTGAGAAAGACCCTTTTCTTCTATGCAGGTTAAACTTAGATTTAACACGTGTTCTGCTGCTCTGTTTAACAGGAAGAATCAACATCGTGGACCTCCAGCAGGTGCGTGAAAGTGGACTGAAATTGACATATCAGATGGAGTTTATTGCTGTTTTAGAGCAGAAGATAAAAGTGTCCAGGGTTTCCAAAAAGGACAGTTTTCTTCTTCTTTCTGGTTTTGTTTTCCTCTGTGCATGGTTCAGTTATAATCTACTTTTGTAAATGCAGAAACCTGTTCACAGATAATGGATTTTTGACGTGATTTTGATCCAGTGCAGTGATTTCTACTACAGAGTCATGTCTGTTTTTAAAGCAGTGCTCCTTGAGGACCTGAAGATCAGGGCCATCCAGTATCTGCCCTGGTCCTTGTCCCTTTGGAACAGAGTGTTCTTTTAGATACTCTGAGTCTTTTCATGATATTATGTTATGTTTATAGGGCTGGGCGATAAAACGATAACCATATATATTGAAAATTCATTTCCCTCAGTATCAATATCAAACATGATCAATATGCTTTTTGATCGTCAGCATTCTGCCATGTTTTGGTAGACTATATGAGGAGTTGCTCCTGGTCCACTTCACGCTGAACTAATCATGTGTTGAATTAAAACCATGTAGCAAACAACTGTGTAGTTCAGGCTGCAGTTACACGCAACCGTAGCACTTTAACACATGAAGCAACCGGCAGAAATGCAGATGAAGACTCAACAGATGACGACATTGTCAACAACACTGGCACAAAAACCTCGGTGGTGTGGAGGTGTTTTAGTTTTTTGAGGTCAGACATAAAGCAGAGTAAAGTGCACTGCAAATTATGTCGAGAACATGTTCTCGGAAAGTCAGGGAATACCTCAAATCTTTTTCACCACCTGAAGCAGTGCCACGCGGCAGATGGGAAAGTTTACAAACCCTGAGCGGAGTAAGGAGCCCATGGCGCCTGTGCAGCCAAAACTTACCATTTCTCTTGCGCTATACCTTACAACAAAACATCAAAGAGACACAAAGACCGCACAGATGCAGTAGCTTATTGTTTTGCAAAAGACGTTCGATCAATAAGCACTGTTAAATTTCATTTTTATATTGTGATATATATCGATATCAACTGATATGAACCAAATATATTGTGATAATCTTTTTCCCATATCGCCAAGCCCTAACTGTAGATGATAAAGTCCTCAAAGGGCTGAAACACATTCCCTACCCCAAATTTCAGAGGAGTGTATATCACATGAATCAATTGAAATTTTCATTATTTTAAAAGGGAATTTTCAATTAAAGATATGAGTGAATCATTATTGATCTTTTCTCTCCCTTTCAGATTATCAATGTGGATTGGGTCCATGTTGAAAGTAGAGCAAATGACATCGCAAAATCTGATAAAGGAGTTCAACTTGTGCTCGGACAACTTATTGACGAGTGAGTATGTTGACTTTTCACAGCACAGATAAACCCTCAATGCAAACTGTGATTCTTCCCTTAACATTTGTTCTGTATGTTCAATACAAATGTTTATGTTAGTTTAAGTTATTGAATAGAGATTTGAAAACAAAAGGTTCAATTAAAAGTTTAAAATGAAAAGATACATTTAAATTCATGCTGGGTTAATTTCTTGGTGGTTTTGTATTGTGTGTAGCACATACTTGGACCGTTTGGCTGAGGAGGTCAATGACAAGCTGCAGGAGGCCGGACTGATCACCATTTCTGAACTGTGTAAAAACTACGACCTCCCTGGAGATTTCTTAACAGAGGTGAGACCCGCCTCACTCTATCGTCTGCTCCAGCATGTGTTTATCACAGAAAAACTCACATAAGCTCTGTCAGATTTGCGTAGAAAAATGATATATATGTATATTTTTGCTGTTATTGTTGATAAAAATGTCACATTTGCCTGTGTATGTCAGGAGCTGTCAAAGCGCCTCGGGAAGCTCATCCAGGGAGAGATGGACCAGTACAACAGGGGGGTCATATTCACGCCCGCTTTTGTCGCTCGTCACAAAGCCAGAATACGAGGGCTTTTCAGCGGGATCACAAGGTTAGCAGCGTTAAAATATTCACAGACCTGAGCTCTAAAGATTTTCTCTCAAGCACGGCCAAAGTAATCAGGGGAAGTAGTCGAATATATTTGCATTCTGTTCTTCATTGTTAAATAGAGTCTCTAATAACACATTGATTAGATATTACAGAGTGTTGGTACAGGAAGCCTGCACAACCAAAATATTTACTGCCAATGATAATAAACTTTTAAACAGTGTGTTATGATTCAGTTTCATGAATATCTAGTGTCCTATAAGGAAATACTTTTAAGTGAAACTTGTGCTGTTTTGTTGCTGACAAGTGTTTTCTTAAAATGCAGCTTTTTGTTGCAATCGCCTGATGTTTACCTTGCTGACTAAATCATCTGTTCTGCATCCACCCCCTCCTGAGCATTTGTGATTATAGAAGCTCAGATATGTTTGTTTAGTTAACAAGGGTGGGTCAACTCCAGCTTAGTCAAGAGAGAGATTCAGCTGAGATTACAAAACAGCTCCTCTTAGACGCCCAGTCATTTAGAAATCACGCTGTGTTACAATTTAGATGTAACGCTCTTCTGTTTTTGCCCTTTTTTTTTTTTTTTTTTTTTCATTTTGCAGACCGACACCCGTCAGCAGCATGATTGGAGTGTTTGGATTTCAGGAGCATCTTCTATACTGTAAGAAAACATGTTTGTTGTCTGATTAGTTTTTTTTTGTTTGTGTCTTAACTGTCTCAAAACATCCAAATGTGATGTAGATTTTAGGTCCAGAAACCAAGAAGATTACAGTGTTTGAATAAATGTTCTTTATAATTAATCGCTATTTTAGCCGTCCTGGAGGAGCTGGTGAACACCGGACGCCTCAAAGGAAGCGTTGTTGGAGGTCGTCAGGACAAAGCCGTTTACATCCCTGATATTTACGCCAGAACTCAGAACACCTGGGTGGACTCCTTCCTCCAGCAGAACGGATATTTAGGTATGGATTCAAAATTTTTGAATGGTTTTATATTGTTGTGTTAGATTTTGATGGTTTTCAAATTATGTAAAGCCAACATTTAATCAAGAATAGTACTAAGACGATGTATTCAAACTGACAGATTGTAACATTTTAAGAAAAGCAATCTGCACGTTTAAAATCAATGTTCATGTTCAAAAATCTCTTCTTTTTGCAAATTTAAGAGAAATCTTAAAAACTGACTTACATGTGATGTGTATTTGTGGGGAAATATGGTCCCTGGAATAGTCGGTAGACAATCATAATCATTCAGCTGTTTCACTGGTGTTAAAAATGCAGACTAGAGATGGAGAAAATCAACAATATCGTAGAATTGCAGTTTAAATCAAATCGGCATCCAAAAAATAGTAGAAGAATCGGATCAGGAGAAAAGCGTATCATCCCAGCCCTATCATCTAAAGTTCATTATATCATGAAAGATTCAGAGAATCTGAAGAAATCTCTGTAAAAAAAAAAAGGGCAAGGACCAAAACTAAGGAAGCACTGCATTAAAAACAGACATGACTCTGTAGTGGAAATCACTACATGAGCTCAAACTGTCATCCAAAAAAAGATAAAGGGTAGTTGATAAATGAGAATAAATGATTGAGAAATTTCAGGGTTTTTTTTAGGTTTATCTTCATACTGTGCGTGTGTTGACGTCTGAATGTGCTCCTCCTGCAGAGTTCGATGCGTTGGTCAGACTCGGGATCCCTGACCCTCCCACATACATCAAGAAACGCTTCAAATCCAACAAGCTGCTGTTCCTCAGAGCCGCATGTGTGGGTAAGACTCTAGTGGACCAGGTGGAGGCATCTGTGGAGGAAGCGGTCAACTCCTCCACATGGACCGATATACAGGTACACATCACTCTGTGCTGCTAAACCACCTGAACTACCATTTTATATCGGAATACTTCTGTTTTTCACTGTTACCCTCTTCTTATTTCAGCCGATTCTGCCCAGCTGCCTGACAGACGAGGATGTGGGGATGCTGATTAGCCAAGCTATGAGAAACACCAACGTTCATTCCTCAGCCAGAATATTAGGAGGGACTGTGGTGGTCAGCGAGAAGTTCATCAGTAACTGTCTGACTCTGTTTGATGAAGCCATGCAGCAGAAAGCTCAGAAGGTACAGCCTCCTTTATAAAGTCAGATGTCATGTTTAAATGAGGGGTGTAAAACTTGGAAGCTCAGTCTTTGTTTTTCTGTTCTGATGCTCTCAGGAGGTGAAGAACAATCCAGTTTTTCTGATATCTGAAAACGACGTAAAGCAAGCGTCCGCGCTGACGGAGAGCTCGGCCCTGTCGAAAAAGGAGAAGAGGGAAGCTGAGCGAAGGAAAAAGGCTACAGGTTGGTTTGTCTGTTCGACTCAATTCAAAAACTCTCAAACTTTGCCACATTTTTTACCCAAGTTTACAGACTTACATTTTAATCTTACGAATCTGTAAACCGTTTGTCTCTCAGAGGGCAGCGGCAGCGTGAAAGCAGGCGGAGGAGGAAACGCCAGAGAGATCCGCATCCGCAAGACCAAGAAGAAAGGGAGGAAAGAGGAGGACAGCGACGACGAAACCGGACCCTCACAGCAAAGTAAAGTCAGGACCTCAGAGCGTTTTAATCCTCAGAGGGACCCGCTGCCTCTGCATGCACATTAACTCTGCTCAGTGAGGTGTTTTACTGTAACAAGTGTATAATGGCTGGTTGGATAGAAATCTCTCCCCCGGGTCGTTAAACCTTTTTAAAAAACTGTAGCATCCCTGCGAGACTAATTAGCTTCTGTTTTACCTTTGCCAAGATCGGAGCAAACAGACGGAGGCCCCCTTTATGGCCCAGGAGGAAATCGTAGCAGTTTTAGAGGAGAGAGTGAGCGACTGCCCCGAAGAAATCCTCTCTGAGCTGGCGGAGCATTTAGTCAGGTAATACACTCGTTCCTCTCAGAGAGTTCCTCTGCAAACACTCAGAGAGCAGAAAGTTTATCCTCCGACTCTTTGTCACCATTCAGGCCTCTGAATAAAGCTTATCAGGAGGTGCTGCGGACCGTGTTCATGTCCTCCTCCAGCTCTCCGTCAGGGGCGAACAAGAAGAAGAGCATGAAGGATCTTCAGGAGGAGATCACCAACCTGTACAACAACATCCGCCTCTTTGAAAAGGGAACCAAATTCTTCTCCGGTAAGTGCTTTTCCATCCTCAGGAGGGCAGAAGTCACTGATTTAAGAGAATTTACTCACGAGAGATTTATTGCATCATTTTTGAACTGAAGTACAAATTTAACATTTTGAGCTCAAAATAACCAGCAGACCGGTTGTTTTGGGGATTGTTTCAGCCAGGCAGCAACCGAGCATCTCCCAGATTCAGCTCTTTTGAAATTCTATCAACAACCTTTTTTAAAATGAACTCACTCAGACTATGATGATTATTTTTATTTCTATTACTATTATGATAATTAATATTATTATATAATATTATGATATATATTTAAATCATTAGTGTAGGAGAAGTGGTGGGACTAGATAAGTCTCAACTCCTCCCACTCCTTTTTGAACATGGATAACTTTTTGTCAGTTGTTGTTGTATTTTTTACTTTTTTTATTATCATTATTTTTATGTGTTCAAAATAAACCTTTAATCAATCAAAAGACTTAGTACAGACTGTGAAAATGTTTAAAAATCACGTCACTGGAGATGCTTGTTAATGCAACTGCAGGAGAAGTAAATGTCTAAACCAGCAGATGGCAGCAGTGCTCAGTTATCAGTAAACCAGGTGACTAAAGGCTGCAGAAATACAAACCTTTGTCATGAAGCAGCAATCCACACTCACACCAATTTTGCTCACAATACAATTTCCTAATAAAGCTACCTCCAGTTTTTCACTAACTGTCGGCCCACCTTAAAGGGATATTCCGGCGTTAAATTAAGTTAGGGTCAAACACACTGTAACAACGAGTTAGACTTCCCCTCTAGAGATGAATGTTGCTGACTGCTTGTTTCTCTAGTTATACCAACTTTAGCAACGACCGCATGATAGCAAAACACAGCTGTCTATGGATCCACATGCACACTTCAACCAAAAAGCCACTCTATAGCCACAAATAATGCTCAAAACAGCACCTAACTTCGTCAACAGCACATATAAGGTCCCAGCAACAGCACTAGCCACCAAACATCTTTTTAATTTTGCCTGATTTCTTCAGCAAAGAGACGAAACACAACTCACCTACTCTCTTCCAGCAGCTGCTTGTTTGTAGCGAGACCTTGGGCATGTCCGTCACCAACTGAAGCGGGGTGACGCAGCTCAAGGAAGAACATTTATGATCATCACTTGATCATGTCCTCGGAGAAATAATCACCATATCGATCATTTTGCACTGCAGATGTGGTAGTTCTTCTGCCTTAGCGTCTCAATCTGATTTTCCATTCAGAGTGTGTTTGACCCTAACTTAATTTTACACCGGAATATCCCTTTAAGTAAATTTGAGTCGAAAGAAGCTGCAGTTATCTAGTTTCCGCTGCATGGTACAGTTACAACCTACATTTACGGATGCAGTGATTTGCTGTTCAAGGTCATTTTGAGACATGAAAATGAGTCTGTTTTAAATTAAAGACCTCACAGTGTATCTTAAAATGATCATAAATGACACCAGAATACTGTGTATCCTTGCAGATGAGACTCAGGTCCACATTTCCAAACACATCCTCAAGACCCTGTGCACCGATGTCACCAACATCCTGGTGAACTTCTTGGCTGCCGACCTGATGATGTCTGCGGAGAACCCCAGCAGCATCACCACTGAGGTGAGAGAAAAAATAAAAGCTCCTTTTCCGCCTCTGTCTCCTCAGGCGAGCAGAGATCACTCCAAATCAAGTTAGGGTTAATTAGGACTGGCTGTGTGAAAGGCTCTGTGGGAGTTGTTAGAGCGTGGACTTCATCCCGGATGTCTCTGATGTGTCGCCTCAGGTCAGAGTGAAGATTCTGAGCAAACTGTCGGAGGAGACCAAAGGACCTCTCATGAAGCTGCACAACAGTCTGAACGGCAAAGTGAGTGCGTTTCCTGTTAGTTGCATCATCTGCCGGTTGTCGTGGTGACACAGTGAAGGATACCGGTTCACTTTTCATTCCTGACAGGCCATCGAGGACTTCCTGACCAACATCGAGAGCTGTGCGGAAGTTTGTGGATTCATGCTGAAGAAGGGAGACAAGAAAAGGGAGAGGTACCGACAGCTCTGAGTCTAAATCCTTTCATTGTGCGATTGTAGTTATGATCTCACTTCCTCATGCTCCTTAACTTTGTTTCACGTTGATCTGAGCTGCTCGTACTGTAAATGTAAATGTTCTTTATTTATACAGCCCTTTACAACAACCCTTTTGGTGAACCCAAGTGCTTAACAATACATAGTAAAAATGAATAAATAAAAACAATAAAAAACAATAAGAAAGGAATAAGATACAATGCAATAAAATTAAGTGTCACCACACTACTGTGTATTAAAAGCCAGCACAAATAAATACGTTTTCAATCGGGATTTAAAAACGCCAAGGTCGGAAACAATGCTGCGTTCGAGTTACCTCGGAAGTCAGAAGTCCAAGCTGAAAATGACGTCACACCTAAGTTACCAGCGTTTCAGTTACCAAGTTGGAAAAAAGCAAACTCAGAGGCGGAAACAGGAATTGGAAATGACATCACACCCGAGTTAGCAGCGTTTCAGTAACCAAGTCGGAAAATAGTAAAACCGGAGGCGGAAACAAGATGGCTACATCTACGAAAGGGGATGCTAAAATAACGTAAAATAACTAAAATAACAAGCGCTAAAGTAACTTTCGTAGATGTAGCCATCTTGTTTTCACCTCCAAATTTTCTTTTTTTCAACTTTGTAACTGAAATGCTGCAAACTCAGGTGTGATGTCATTTCAAACTCCAACATCTGACTGCGAGGTAAGTCAAACGCAGCGCTAGTTCAACAATTTCAGAATAATGAAACAAGAAACATTATGTTACATTATGTGCTTTGTCCTTGTTATATTCGAACTAGGCAAGCGCTAAAATAACTTTCGCAGATGTAGCCATCTCGTCTCCACCTCCAAATTTGTTTTTTTCCGACTTGTTAACTGAAATGCTGCTAACTTGGGTGTGACGTCATTTTCAGCTCCAACATCTGACTTCGGCGGTAACTCGAACGCAGCATAAATCCTTTCAATGTGTGATTGTAGTTGTGATCTCAGCTGGAGCTACCACTCCCTCATGCTCCCAAACTTTGTTTTATGTGATCTGAGCTGCTCATAATGAGGGTAAAAGTGAGGGTTGTTTGAGGAGACGGGCCACGCCCACGCTCTGCTGTGTAAAGAAAGAGAGGGAAGGTTCGGCACCTACGTTTATTTCTGACAAGTTTTAATGCATGTGATTGTGTGTTCTTCAGACAGGCCCTGTTCGTGCACCGTCACGCTCTCACTGAGCAGCTGAAGGAGACGGAAGATCCCGCTCTGGTTCTCCACCTGACCAGCGTGCTGCTGTTTCAGGCCAGCACCAACTGCATGCTGCACGCTCCGGGACGCTGTGTACCCCAGATCATCGGTACCCTCACAGGCCGAATACCCACGGTATGCACTGTAGAAACACATTTCAAGCTTTATCCTGCTGCAGATGAGTCATAACCAACCGAAGTCAGCAGAAAAGGATGTGAAAGGATGTGCCGACACTGTACAGAAATAGAATCAGAACTCTCACATCTTGATGGTTAATGATGACACTAAGAAAACCACCTTAAATAGCTCCATAATCCCAGCTCACCCAGTAAAAACAGAGGTGAGTATTCGTGCTTGAGTGTGGTCTAAATGTATCAGCAAATGTTGGTAACACACTGCCTCACCACGGGATTGTTTACATCTACTGTTCAGACACTGCAGCTGTGTGTTGTCTCCATCTGCCGTCTGCAGTCCTCACAGTCAGAGAGTGTTTGTTTGGTGAGTTAAACGCCTGAAATGTGTGTGTCGTGTGTGTGTGTGTTTTTTGTCGCAGGAGCAGCAGCAGCTGCTGTCTGCCTATCAGAGCCTGGTGGTGAAGCAGCTGGTGAGCCAGAGTCAGAGCAAGAAGCAGGAGGAGGCCGGAGAAGAGGCGAACAAAGAAGAGGAGCAGGATGAAGAGGGAAGGAGCGTCCGCACGCAGCTCATAAACCTGATGCCACAAGTGAAAGACCTGGTCCTGTCTCAGAAGAAGCTGTCCGTCACAGAGGAGTGAAGACAACAATACAAGAAGAACGAATGTCTGAACCGTCACGTGATTGGTTTTTAAAGGTCTTAAATGTTCAGATGAATTATATTAACTCTGACAGATCAGAAGTTAATACTGTATTTTTGTGGTTGATCCATGTGGACGTAATTCTAAATTATTGAAGTTAAATCCCTGTGTGGGATGTCTCCCTGTAAACCTAATTAACATGAAAGTCCTCAATGAGGCTCAGATTTTTCATGCATTCATTAAAGCCCTCCTCTTATTCAGCTGCTGGTGTTCCTGTGTGTTTCATTGTAGAATTTGTTAGCGATGGATGATTTTTATATTTATTTTTTGAAAATCTGATAGTCAGGTGTCTGGTCTTTGAATCAGAGCAATTGACCAATCATGTTTAAGATGGAAAAAATAGAAAAACAGGAGAATTAAATACAAATTTGATTCTCGAATGTTGAGAGTGTGATTCCCTCAAGTGGTAAATAAGGAAGCTAATGGAGACATTGGGTTGTTTATCTCTCTCTTGTGGCCTTGTCAGGTACTAAACTTCCATATTTTGCTCTTAGGATTTACACGGAGAAGTGTCATTCTCCTGTGAACCTCTGGGGGGCACCAAACACTGATGCAATGTTACAGGGAGCTGGTGAGGAATAGCTCGAGCCAGAAAAAGACCTGACATTTTGAACATTTGAACTCCACCTATATTTAGATCAAACCTCAAACACGGCTTCATAATCCAAGACAATTGTTAGAACAGATCAAAACGAACACAACAATGATTTTTTGGACCTTTGAGGTTTCATGTCTTCTTACAGGTGTTAGAGGGAGTAGATGCTGAGGCTCTGATGAGGCGCAGATGGCCAAGCGGGTTAGAGCGCCCTGTGTATGGGGACCATGGTCCATGTGCAGCATGTCCTCCCCCCTTTCTCTCTATCTCCCCACATTTCACCTTATCCTATCAAAGAAAGGCAAAAATCACCCCAAGAAATACTTAAAAAAACATGGCTCCTGGAAAGCTAAGATGCTGGGGTTAAGGGTTTGAAATGTTGCAGGAAGGCGCAACTGAGCTTTGCCTACTCATAAACCCTACAGAGAGCCTCTGGTATTTTCTCAGACCTCGTATCTGCCAATTATGGTGACTATACAAAAGAACTACTTCCTGTTTCATGGTGCACAATGCAATGCCATGGAAACAGCATCAAACAGTGACTTAATGACTGTCATGGTGGACCATGCTGGAATTTTAAAGGGATATTCTGGCATAAAATGAAGTTAGGGTCAAATACACCGTAACACCGAGTTAGACACCCCGTCGACAGATTAATGTTGCAGACCGCTTGCTTCTCTAGTTATACCAACTTTAGTAACGACCGCATGATGTTCAAATGTTCTTCCTTAAGCTGCGTCACCCTGCAGCAGTCAGTGATGGACTCATCCGAGGTCTCCGTACAAACAAGCTGCTGCTGGAAGACAGTAGGTGAGTTGTCTTTAGTCTCTTTGCTAAAGAAATCAGGAAAAGCTAAAAAGATGTTTGGTGGCTAGTACTATGGCTGGGACCCTATATGTACTGTTGATAAAGTTAGGTGCTGTTCTGAGCGTCATTTGTGGCTATAGAGTGGCGTTTTTATTGAGCACGTGGCTCCTCTGACCACTGTGTATTGCTATCGTGTGGTCATTACTAAAGTTGGTATAACTCAAGAAGCAAGCGGTCTGCAACAATTATCTGTATTTGACCTTAACTTAATTTTACGCCAGAATATCCCTTTAAGGATGTGTCCATGATGTGGCATGTTATCCCTCCACAGGACGCACTCGTTGTGAATTTTCTTCTGTACTGTAGAAACTATAACTTTCAGTCAATATGATTTAAATCACTTTGTTGGAAGCAGCAGCCGTTTCAGTCATTAAAAATAACTACACCAAAATGTTCCATCTTACTGCTGATGGTCTCGTTGTCTTTTAAAGGTCATAAAGAAACAATGTTAGTTAATTCAACGGCTAACAGCTCCTACCAAGAGTTCACACAATAAAGTTTCATGGTATCAATCAAACCTTCAAAGCCTATTGCAAATTATGTTTGCTTTTTTTCCCACTATTTATATAATTATATTAACGTAACTTTGTCTTTTACCATTATTATTTGTGTATGTTTGTGTTCTATATTTCTTTTCTCTTTATTTTGATTATACTTTAGTGTGGACTCTCATATAGTCATAACTATGATGACTCTAATTTTATTAGTATTACATTTATTTGTATTGTTTGTATCTTTTCCAGCACCTCTGTTAGTGTAAAATTGAGCAAAAAACCTTTAACCTAATTAGCATTCTTTAATTTAAATAAAAGTTATTATTATAAAAGAATATTTTAAAAAACCTTCAGAGCCTCTTTGACTCCTTAAATCATCTCTGCATCCTGCGCTGAAAAAGTCAGAAAAGAGGATAACAGCAATTAGTAAATGAAAATCGCTAATCAAAATAGACTTATTCAACATTTCTACATCTGATAGATAAAGTGAATTCTTGAAGCGTTTTGAGAAAGTGAAAAACAGCTGGTTAAATCCATTCTCAGCTGTGCCGAGAATAATGTTTAAATCTGAAGGGCAGCCTGATCGCTAAACTGTCAGAATGATTAAAGTCGTCTCTAAACTTCAGCCCTAACTTTGTCCAGTGGATTCCTCACGTTTCGAGCTCGGCCTTTTCTTTAAAGCCCAGCTGACATGTGACTGTACCATGTGCTGCGTGGAGGCAGACACTCACTGTCTACATCCTGGCAGAAGCAGCGGTAGCAGCAGCGGCAGCAGCAGCAGAAGAGGCTGGCGAGGAGAATATGCGTGATGTGTGAGGTCATCATACACACAAGCACATGCTCTACATCGCCATGGAAACAAGCATCTCCTCCACGGAGGCTGGAATCTTTCTCTTTCTTTCTGCTGTCTCTTTTTCCACCGAGGCCTCTGGCTTTGGCAAGTGAGAGATGTCAAATGAGGAATTTCATTCTAAAATGGGGGACGCAGAAACAGATCCTCCTACTCTCCGATTATGATTCATACTGATACAAAACACTGAGGCGAAATGTAAACCACCCATCCAACACCAATCCCTTAAGACTACTGAAACAGACACACGGAGGACTTACACATTCGCAGGTTTTTTTAAGGAACTGCAGAGAAACTTGCTTTGTATTTTTCTGGATGTGAAAGCTAACACTCTGCTGTCTGTATTTTTAGTGCAAGGAGTTGAGGACTAATCAGAGAATATTTTAAGTAATATACAATTGTTTACTTTTTGCTTTGACAAGCACTTTTTACAACGTGTTTGAACTAATCCCCGAGGATCCTCTCAAAGAATATACATTACAACACAGACCAGCTATTCAGTTTTAGTTTTTTTAAAGTGTGGATGTATGAGGTAGTAGTCATGGTAAGTATATTATACATAAAATGGGGAAAAAAGTAAAATGAAACTAAAATAATAGTACCCATTTGATGTTCTTTTAGTGCATAAAATAAAAGGAATGGGCCTCTGGATGCATTTCAGGGTGTAGAAATGTAAAACATAAAAAATACATAAAATGTATAAAGAGATTTCCTCCTGGATGCCCTCTTGGTGGATAGAATCTAAGTTCATCTTTGAATACCATTCAAGTTTGTAAAATGTAAAGACAGGTGTGGATGCTTTTACAGTAAAATACTGTTAAAAAATAATAATGATAAAAAAAAAAAACTCTGGATGCCCTCTCAGTGGATAGAATCTAAATTAAGTTCCCTTTGGATACCATTCAAGCTCATAAAATGTAAAGAGAAGTGTGGATGCTCTTACAGTAAAATGCCGTAAAAAAAAAAAAAAACATGAACTCTGGATGCCCTTTAAGGATAGAAGAAATGTTAAAGATTGCCATCTGGATGCAATTCAAGTAAAAAAAAAAAAAAAAAAAGAGGCCCTTTCAATGCATTTAAAATGTATTTTTCGAAAGAAAAAAAAAACAAGTAAAGGAAAAAAAGTTCATGTTGATTGCCTTGTAAGTGTGTGATCATAAAAAAAAGAAGAGCCCTCTGGAAACTGTTTCAATAGAATGTAGAAAAAGGTTTCTAGATGTCTCTCTGGTACATCAAACTAGTCTTTCAGGATATCACTTTTTTTTCTTCCTGATGCAAAAATAAAAAATGAATAAAACAAGTACCTTCTGGCCCTGGCCCTGTTCCACCAGTACATAAAATATATATTTATTTTAAAAAAAACATGCCCTCTGGTTGCTCTTTCAGTGAAGTAAAAACAGGAAAACTGACCTTCAGACCCTTTTAAAGTGGAAAAACTTCTCTTTTGTAGTTTTACTGTGTCCTACAGAACAAGTTCAATCTTCAAGATGCAAGAGGTAAGTTTAAAATTACAGGAATATTTGCTTTAATGTAAATGTTATATCACTTTATTTGTTCATTTGATTACTGCATTATCAAACAACAATGTGAAAAACAACAGATCTAATGTTCACCAGAATGCAGGTGACACGGTGTTAGATACTCAAAATTTCCTGAGGGACCAGCTCACTCCATTAACCTCTCTGTTAGGTACTGAATTTGTGAAAATAATGTAATTGGTCCATTTAATCACATGTTAAAACCCAGTGGGACTGAGCCTGTAAGAGTGAGATTCCTCCATAGGGGATCGAACAGTCAATAAAATCAATGCAGTTAATGTAGGTGTTTCTTTTGTGTGAAACCTTTAAAATACCTTTAAATAATCACTTTTACACATCATCCACTCATGGTTACAGGACACTCACTGGTTCCCTTGGTAGTGCATAGCAACAGCATTGTGTATTTAATCAGACAGTGTTGGTGGGAGACATCACAGTCCTTATATTGATTCAGGAGCTAACAGATCATTGTTCAAGTGGTGTAATCTTACATTTTCTTGACCTTTCAGATCTGCCCCTGCAACTTCATTTGAATACTGGACGACTGTCACCACGGGCAACAAGAAGAGGCCTCTCCAAAATGAATATATATTCCCAGACGTCTACAAAGCTCAGAGGGAGGATTTTAGAACCTCAGAAGATACGCTGAAGGTTACACACTGATCCCACAGCTGATTCCTGTTAGGAAGTCTGCAGCCTCGCAGCACAGCAGGTACGAGAGCGACAATCATCAGATTTCTGTGAAACAATACAACCTCAGGGGATCACACTTAATCAACCTCGAGTTCAAGTGCTTCAATTAGCTCAGAGATGAAAAGACACATGGAGCAATGTGCCGACTTAATTTTAACATCATATTCAATTAAAATGATTCACTGTCTATTTAAATCCTGAGAGAATGAAATGTACCGTTCTCGCCTGATAGGATTTCAGCTGCTCAACAGTTCAGGGTCTCCTTTGTTGTATTTTTTTTTGATTCGTGTCAAATGTTTTCAGTGGGTGACAGTCAGTTTAGCAGCAGGACAAGTCAGACATAAAGTCGAGGAGTTGCAGTAACTACTATTTTGAGAGGATGTATTGTATCATAGTTAATAAGATGTTTTCTCAGAAACATCCTCTTTTTTTAAGATTCAAACTGTAATATCGATCTTCTCTTTTCATGCATCACAGCAGCTCCATTTACAACATAGAAGGAGAGATGCCAAAAATAACACTGTGAATACCGAAACGCTTATTCAGAGGCCTTCAGAGTGCTTTTGATTTAGGATTCAACTTCATATTCAATTTTAGGATCGACTGGCAAAAGAAAGAGTGTTTCAGTCCATCCTCATTAAAACTGGATGCTGCATCTTTGATTTGATGGAAATAATTCTATTAAGAGCATGGTCAGGGTCAAAGGCAATTTTGTAAGTAAGTAAGTCAAGGTTTACGAAATTACGAAATTTTCGGAGGAGAATTTTGAGACGCTTGACTACACACATCAAGCGCGATGCGATTTTGCGACTTTCCGGGGGGAAAAAAGACGCGTCCCGGGTGGAAGTGTTGAGATGGCTGTCTGTCATGATAGCATGTACTGGCCAGTACCAGATAAGCACATTAAACTATAATCCATAAACCATAGACCTAATGGTGCTGTTGTTGTATCTGAACAGGTTAGCTTACGAGCTAAAGTTACTTAGCACAGATGAAAGTTAAAACAAAGACGTTTAGCAAACTGTGAAAGCACACAAACTATCGTCATGTGAGAAATCCAACGCTATGACTCTCCACAAGTTGTCCTTAAGGTCGTTATTTTTGTAATGTTTGTGTTTTTTATCAAAAATCACTCTGCCAGTCGGCCATGTTGGATATACCAGTGAATCTGATGTCACAACAACCCGAAATCTGATTGGTCAGAAGTGGACACACAGTATGCGAAACTTTAGAAAAATCAACCATGATCTGAAAAAATAAATGCCGCAATATCGCAGAACGAGAAAAAGTTGCTGATGTGAACGTTTGTATTGACAGGATACGGGTTCGAAAAATAATATTGACGTCCGAAATAATCCGAAATAATCGTAAGGACCTTCAGACAGAGGAGATGTCCACAGGGGGCGCCAAATTCAACACAGAGCTCCAACATGTCTGTCAAGCAAATCTCACAAAAGTTGCAGAAACAGTGGTAAGTTTTGCTCTTTTAGTTGGCGGTGGTACTTTTTGCAGCTCATTCTTTCATTTGCATTTGTTTTGGATTTCCCCCTGTCAGCTTCCACTGTTTTTTTCTACTGTTACACTTCAAATCTTCCACAATCATGTGCTGTAAAACTGAGAGACACTCATATGAAACCATAACAGTGTCAGAGTGGTGCACACAGTTGGAGAACCACGAGTGCCTCTTTGACTTTATCTCATCTCAGGTGAGCATCATTCCAGCCGTCACCACGCGTCCTCCAGAGACATCTGCAAGTTCCTGTTGCTTAGTAATAGTCTTCAGAGCTCTAATGAAAGTGAGCTTCAAAGCTCTGAGCACGCTCATTACTCACTGCCGGCTGCATAATGAATCCCAGGGAGGAAGCTGATTAAGAACGACATCCTTTATAATCACAAGTCTAAAGCACATCAAACTCTGCTCGTTTCATTGTTAGTATTAGTCCCTGACCGAGCTGCAGAGGGTCCCGGAGGTCAGCGCAGGTGTCAGCAATCGGATGTCTGCTTGTAAAAACAGCCTGCTGACCTTTCCTGAATTCACATGTGACTGTTGGAGCTGCCAGCCGCCTCATTTTCTCCGCTTTCATGTCTCTCAGTCCACACAGGTTAACTCCTCTTTGATCGTCTTTTGGGCCGACATTAAAGTCGAACGGCTGAGAAAGGCACTTTATTTTGAGAGTGTAATGGTGACTCACAAAACTGTTCATTAGACAGAAAATCTGAAATGAGCAAAGAGCTGTTCCAGCAGGTTTTGAAGGCAGACTATGGAAGATACTAAAAGTCCCAAACTTCAAAATTTTATTTGCTACAAGATTCTACTCTCCTGATCTTTGCTGTGCGTGTTTTTGTGTACACAAGATCTCCAGATCCAGCTCTGAAAATATAAAATTCAGTTTTGTTTGATAAATATCTCAGTTAATATCACTGAGAGCAGAAATAGGAGCTGCAGCTTTCTCTCTGACAAACAGAGCTCAGAGAGAGTAAACAGACTGCAGGCTGCTCACAGCTCGCACAGCCCTGAAGCTTTTCTATTATCAGCTGCATTGCACAACACGACGATGATGACTCCGCTCTGAAGCTTTTATTTCAAAGACCGGCAGCAGGCCTGTTTGGAGTCGGAGCCGGCTCCAGTTAAATCCTGATATAGAGGAGTGAAGCATGAACACACAGCAGGCGTGTGTCGCCCTCGCAGAGCACTCAGCCGGCGTGATGACAGGAAGTGGAGTCCCTGAGTGGAAAGAAACAGGCGGCGCGTTGGGAGAGGGGTAATTAACGCAGAACTGCACGGTTAGCATGACATGAAAAACACCGAGTGCCTGAATGTGACACCTTACAGTGAAACTGTGTGTTTACATGCACTCAGCGTGTTACTCTCCCTACAACGGAAAGAAATCCAAGCGTGCACACTTTCCTTTGAGTCACCTGTGAATATTTCACACATGAAATTGACCATAAATTCAAGGTCATGTGATTCATGTCACGTTTTCTCCCGTATACACACATTTACATTTGCAAGTGTACGAGAATGCTAATGCAGAAAGGTGCATTCATGCAATAAAAAGAGACATGAGGAGGTTAAAACTGGATGAAACTACGTCTTATGTCTTGTGTGCACTTTCACCAGTCTTTGTAAAATTGTGTTTTTAAAGGTTCTACAGAATGTAAAAATATTATCATAATAAGGTCGTACGAATGAGTGGATGTAATAGAAAACAGGGTTGTGTGTGCATGACTGCCTCGCAAGAAAAACCTGCACACAGACTTAGAAATCAGGCTGATAAAAAGTCGGTGGAGAGAGATTCTATCTGTGTCTCTAGTGCACAGGTGGTGACCCCACCTCACACCTAACCATGTGGACATCCTTCTGTTTTGTCAGTAAGATTAAGTATGCTGAAAACTGGACACCAGTGGGACATATTTTTCCAAGTTCACATTTGGTAGTTTGAGCCTCACTCTATGTAACGATGTGTCTGCTTTGCATGTTGATATTCAACATGTTAAACTATTCTGTTGCTCTGCAGAATCATCAGTTATGTCCATTCCACTGAGCAACAGACGGCTGTTAGATGTCTAGTTTTTTTTTTTTTTTTAGACCTAATTTCAACCGTCTAGATTCTGTATATTTTTAGAGGAAATTTAGACGTTGCACTTTAACCCATTATTCGATAACTATTTACTTAAAAAAGCAACTGTGAGTTGCATACCTGATCTCCAAGTACTAAACCAAAATAATTATGATAGCCATTGAGCAATATACAGTTAGACCTCTGTTAGCCAGCTGGTCTAAACTCTGTCTAAATTTAGACATCTCAAAAACCTTCATTTTTAGACCTGTGGTAGCCTGATTTTAGACCAGTTGTCTAGGCTACATTTAGACGTCTATTAGACCTCTTTTGACCAAAAAATGCTCAGGGGGATTATGCATAGTGGAAAAGTGATTTTTGTGAAGATGCATTTGGCATTAAATTTGTTTTGAGAAAATCTTTTCTTTTTTTTAAATCAAGTACTGGGTAACTGATCATGAGCACGTTCAAAGATGTATCACAAAGTGAACGATAAATATGCAACCCTGATCTCAAAGCTGAAAGCTGCTGCTAATGCAGGGACAAGGTTTCGGAGAGAAGAAGAAGGTTGTGGAAGAAAAGCTGTTGATGGACACGGGCCCTTAATTTACAAAACTTATTTTTCGCACTATAAGGCGCACCATCAATGAACGCGTCTATTTTCATACATAAGGCTCATCGGATTATAAAGCGCATTAAGCCAAACAGTCAGATAAGTCAAACTTCATTCAATTCATTCAATACCTCTGCGAGGCTACGGTAGCTGCAGTGCTCCGACAAGCCAAAAGGATTTTAAGTGCACCTTATAGTACGAAAAATACGGTAAATGGTCAGGGAGCAAGAAGACGGGAAAACCACTTTATCACCAGGCAGCAGCAGGTGCTGGTGAGAAACGTTTCGCAGTTTTGATCTTGCTGTAAAATGCTGTCAGTGGACAAAGGCCCTTACTTTACACTGTTTAGAATGAGATACATGATGACTAGGAAAAAAATACACAAAAAGGACATTTTCTTCACAACAAAAAACGATTATCTCATTCCTGCAGGTAGCTTTATGTGTGAAGTGAGTGCTAGAAAGATTCTGCCAAAGTAAAAAAAAATAATTATTATATCTGCCAAAAAAAAAAAAATGCAATTTAGCTCTTCAGTTAGAAATAAACCCACATGGGACAGATTACCAAGGTAAGAAATGTCTATTTCTTTATTACATTCAACAGTACAGTACACTGAAATTGCACATTTTCACCAGATATAGCAGCATTCTGACTGGCAAATGGACTAATCAATAGGCACATCCAAACATTTAAATAGAAATGCACACCTCCAAATGTGTCGTGGCTGCTTTTCAAACCACGTTCAAAGCTTTAATTTACATGCCTCATATAACAAAAAGTATGAAACTAAAACACCTGGTCCTCTCATGATTCCAGTGGTGAGAAAAGACGTAAAGTTTAGTCAAACTCAGCCACTCCTGTCCTCTTTAGCACAATCCTGAAGGAAAAATTCACCTGTTTTAACTCTCACACAGGATGTGCCGCTCAGTACATTTCAGGAGTTATAAAGTGTTTTAATTTTCTTTTATAGCTTCCTTCAGTCGACTACTTCACCTTAAGGTTTCTTTCATTACCCAGAATGACACTGAATCACCCTCCGAAGAAGTGTGTGAATGCCGAGCAGATAAGAGACAGCACCGCAGCTACGATGAAAAAGAAATGATAGTACATAAACAGAAAGTTTATCCAAGGTTGTGTTCCTCGCAGGAAATGCTTTATCTCTGCACTGTTAGAGCCGTGCAAAGAAATCAAATACCTTTTAATTCTGAGAGCTCGGAGTCTGCTGAACGAAGAGTTTAAAACTTTCCAGTAACCAAACGTGGCATCGAATACTCGGTCATATGCAAGACTTCAGTATTGATAAAATATCATTGATAGTATTGTTCCAGGACCAGACCCAGCTGGACTACTGGAGCTGCTGTTGGTGGAGACGGTGAGCCTCATTCGTAAAAACCTTTGGATCTACAGAGTATTTAATCCTGAACATTCAAACCTCCAACTGATCTGCAACAGCCCCCGAAGTGCTGCAAAGTCACGAACTCAAGCAAAAGTCCAAAAATGCAATACAAATTCTGAAATAAATTAAAATAACTTGATTTAAAAAGCCAAAAAGCTGCATCAACAGCAAATCTGCACCAAATCTGTGAACATTACAAATAATAATGACACTTGCAAAGAAAATACCTGCAAAAGGTTGGTCCCAAAAATGAAAAATAGTAATCCAATGATGAAATGAGCAAAACGGTTCAGATAAACGTCAGTAAGCTCAAAAGAGCAGGTGCCATAAGGAAATATTGTTATAAGTTATAAATTAAATCATGTGTCAAATCATTCTGTTATCAGATTAAAATCGTATTTTGGGAATAAAGTCACCTGTTTCCTGACTAAAGTTGGGAGTTTTGACGACTTTATCATCAATTTATCCTCAAAACATAATGACTTTGAGTTTTTGATTTTACTATGGCTTTTTTCTTGGAGGATTCCACCTCATAACAACTTCTTTCTTATTAGATTACAACTTTATTCTCCTCTAACTTAATGTTTTAAATCTTAGAAAAAAAAAAAGGCCCCTATGTTTTGACAAAAAAAATATTAGCTGAATATGTAACAAAACAGTTTTAACTAAAGTTGTGCTCAAATATCATGTAAAGAAAAAGAAAATTCACGCAATGATGGGAAACCTGAATAATACAGTGTTTTGGAGGAAATGTTCGTGAAAAAAGAAAGGATTAAATATTGAATCATGTTTTGTTTAACTAAATATGAACTCTAATGAGCCGAAAATACTTTATTAAACTCAGCGCTGGCGAGTTTTCTAAAGCATATATTTAAATTCAAATAAAAGAAAAGCATTTTTTGCAGTGTCATGTTGTAGAGATCTGCAATAAAATCTTTCACATTTATAAAATCTTGAATTCTAGTCTCTCAGTTTGTAGTTTGGCCTTTTTATTATTGAAAATAGGCACTGCAGATCAGTGAGGGTGATATTCGAGGGGTATTGTTCTGGCCCTCTAACTTGGGTATGAGATTGGAGCGAGTGACAAAAAACTCAAACAATAGCAGCATTTTAAATCCAGTCTGAGAGTATTTTTAGCCGTGTATCACAGGTGTTAAGTTTCTGTTCTGACCAGACTTGATGGATTGTGTTTCATTTGCTCAACACATCTCCACCAACGCAGCCCTGAGCCTTTAGAACACAGCGCTGTTTTATTTCTGCAGAGAAAAGTAAACCACTAAACAACAAAACAGACCCAGAACTGCAAGGTAAAGTAAGATAAGATGTGTTCGTAACAGTGCTGAAGTGTTCTGAGGGTGGATTTTTTTTTCTTTTTCCTTCACACCACCGAGCGATGCTCTCCACACACGTACACGGCGCTCGGCTGGATGCGCCTCTTGGTGTTGCCTGGCAGCTGAGGAAGAAACTTGAAGTACTTGGGCATCAGATCAAGGCAGGCATCGCGGAACTTTTTGATCCGCCAGTAGTAGATGAGCGGGTTGAGGGCCGACTTGAGGTAGCACAACCACAGGACCCATGTGCTGATTTGAAAAAAACTGTCTTTGTGGTAGAAGCCGTCGCTGAAAGTAGTCACCAGACTGTAGGCGGTGAAAGGCGCCCAGCACACTGTAAACACGGAGAAGAGGATGAGGATGGTGGTGAAGGCACGCGTCTTGAAGCTCATGTCTATGTTCATCTGGAAGGGCCTCTGCAGGCTCAGCAGGCCCAGTTTGCTGGCCTGGCTCAGACAGATGCTGTCCGGGTGGCTGTGGATGCGGATGGCGTTGTGGCGGATGGTGTTGAGGATCCCCATGAATGTGTATAACATGACCATAAAGGGTATGAAAAAGAAGATGAGCATCAGTAACAACACGTAGGCGTGGTAGCCGGGCTCGACGCTGTAGCCAAACACACACTGGGGGGCCCTGGGGGGGGTCTGCAGGGGAGGGGAACCGACAGCCAGCGGGAAAGAGAAAAGAAAAGAGAGTACCCATGTGACCACGATGAGCACTTTGGCTCTCTGCGGGCTCAGCTTATCCTGTTTCTGGACGATTATCAGAAATCGATCTATGCTTATTATAAGCAGTACGGCCACGCCCTCCATCACGAAAAACCAAAAGAGCATGGCCGACACTCGACAGAAAACGTCTCCGAAAATCCACCGGGTGGTCACGACGGTCACCAGAGCGAAAGGCATGTTCAGGATGGCCAGCATCATGTCTGCAAACGCCAAACTCGCCAATAGGATGTTGATGGCCGAGCGCATGGCTGATCTCTGGTACACCATCAGGCACACCACCACGTTTCCCAGCAGAGCCAGCAGCAGAATGGCGACCATGATGAAGCAGAAGAACACCTGCAGAGGTAAGCTGACGCCCTGCAGGACCTCCGGGGCCTCTGATGTCGGCGTGGCCGGCTCCGGGGGCGACCGGGAGCCCAGGGAAGCGTTCGCCATGGAGATGTTCTCCATCGAAAGGTTCAGCAGCTTCATAACGAGGCAGCAGAGACCGTCGTTAGCATCCCCTGCCCCTGGAAGGGCGGCAGGAGTGGAAAGAACCATTCTTCCCCTGGGTGAACAGGCATGCTTGCAGCTGAGCTCACACTAACCATGATAACGTGGGTGCAGAGAGTCGCCGCTCAACACAACAAGGCGTCATCATCACGGCCGTGGGACCCTGAAACCGTACACAGAAACGCAATGAGTGTCAAACAGAGGAATATTAAAGCAGATTAAAAACAGCATCATGTTCATCACAGTTCCCCTCAGAGACTGTAATCCACTCCGGGTGATCGCCTGCAGCTCCCTGATTAATTCACACCGCCGTCATCTCTCTGAAGCCTGCAGGGTCCAACAAATTACAAATTCCCAGTATTTAACCTCCTAAAATAGCACTTTGGATGCTGAAAATAGTTGTACTTTTTCTCTCTTCTGCAGACAGTTCCTGGTGGTTTACATGCAAACTGCTTCTCATCCTCCAACTGGAGCTAATCACCATTTGTTCAATTTCGTGCAGCAAATGAATCAAAGTAGGACAGACTCAATACTAGGCAGATGATTAAAGGTGAAATTAGCTGAGTAATCGGGGGGGAAAACACCTACTCCAGCTCTGTCCAGATTTATGAATGTACAGACAAACTCCTCTACACTGAGCCCACATCACTGCGAGTGTTGTAAAATATATGCAATAATTTAAACCTTTAAGCTTAATCGACGGCAGTGTGAAAGCAAACTAAGCAAGTTAATTTGCAACAGGTTAGTAGCATGACTAGGTATAAAAAGGGTGTTCAGAGAGGCTGGGTCGCAGACTATGTTTACACGGGCCCGGCTATTTTTATAAACGGACATTTAACCATCTCCGTTCACAAAAAAAAACTGCGTGCGCATCACTACATGCATGTAACCAGTGTAAATATGCTGTCAAGAGCAAATCAAACATGTGGGTGGCAGTGTAGCGAGAAGCTCAAGCCCACATTAGCCAATCAGAATCCCACATAGCAGCAACAACAACGTCCCTTCCTTCTTTCCTGCACACAATTGGCACGGAAAGAAGTTGGCTACCCAAATCTCTGTTTTTCTCCATTTATATGCAAACGTGCATCTAAACGAAGGGTACGGTTAAAGGAATATTCCGGCATTAAATTAATTTTAATTGATCATAAGTGTTCTTCCTTGAGCTGCGTCACCCCGTAGTGGTCCGTAATGGACTGGCCCGCGGTCTCGCTACAAACGAGTGGCTGCTGGAGGAGAGTGGGTGAGTTATATTTAGTCTCTTTGCTGAAGAAATTAGGCAAATTTAAAAAGATGTTTAGTGGCTAGTGCTATGAAACTAACTGTCAAGGTAAAATGAGGTGAGGTGAAAATCAGCCCTTGGGTCTGAAAGATCAAATCCCTTACAGTCATTTTGGAAATCATGGACGCTTCATCTTCAACTCACTGTATGGGCTGGCTGTGCTACAGCTTAGACACAACATACCAGCATTTGAGGCCAATAGTAATAAAATATTCATTCATTTGACTAGCTACCACTTCTGGTGCCAACAAGTGAGAGTGACTGGGATAATGGTTTAGACCACAAAACCTGCTCATCTGACCCAGAGCTAATCATAGAAAACCTGTGCTTCACTCAATATGCATGGGAGCAACATCGCTCCAAGGCACTGAGTATAATTGTTAAGCTGTGTGTGTAGAACCCAGACATACAAGTCTTATAATATCACTGGAAAAATAAAGATATTTAACAAAGTAAATGACTCATGAAAGAGTAATATTAGGGGATAATTATGTCCAAAAGACTTAAAATGTCTGTTCTGTTTGGTTGAAATGTGATACGACGTTATGATATTACACTAGAGTGCTTTTTCTAACTGCTACCATTAACCAGCAGCCGGTGTTCAACCTGAGACACACACTGTAATAAAAACCCTTATCTCTTGTATAAACATTGGACACTGTTATTTCAGACTGCCTGCTATCATTTACAATCTCTGAGCAGCAAATGCCAAATAATACATGTGCTGTGGCAAAGAGTCCATTTGTGGGTACTTAAAATGATTAATTTTCACACAGATTATGCTTTTTCATTAATCCTCAGTCCTGTGTGGGAGTAAATACCAAGCAAACACAATTATAGGCAATTAAGATGAGAACAATGCATGCCAGCTTTTTATGCAGCCATGTTAAAACACAGGTTTGTAGATGCAAAGCTATTCAACGAATAATGTTATCACATGACAGCGAGACAGGCGGTGAAGAAAAGGAGGAAAATGAGGCTGAAGACTTGCTTTTATTCATATGGTGATTACACGCCTTTTTCTGCTGCTTTTACTCGCCCTGCATCACAATAAGACCTGCTGAATAAGAAACTGCTTTCCATCTCATTCATTCATTCTTATAAAATCCAAAATTTTTAAGGACACAGACCTTAACAAGGTTGCACAGAGCTGAACACGCTGTGCAGCAATCTACCTCTGCAAGATGGTAATATTTAGTTTCTTCCCCCTCCTTCACAGATAGAACAGTGTGACCTAATATTGTTAAAATAGCCACTTCAGCCTCCAAGCAATCACATGAACCGGCGGGTTTAATGGATGATCAGGTACTCGACGTTGGGAACTGTTCAAAACTCCGTGGCAATGTGGCAACGCAATTATGCAAAAGAGAATAGCGGAGTGAAAAAGGTTTATTCAGGCACATCTTGTCACCTTGAGTCGCTTCTAAATATACTTGAAGTACAAAAGGAGAGATAGAAACCTGCCTGGTAAGGCTATAAAGGTAGGATTTAGAAATGTGAAAGAAAAAAAACCAGCAAGTTTGTCTGATTCATCCTTTAAAAAACAATTCTGTTTATGCAAGAGTCCATCTCATCATATAACTTTGTGATTTACAAACATTTTAAGTGTAATGTAGACGGATAATACCTACAACTTCTATTTGTGGGGTTAAGTGATGAAAGGGGCAACATAAAATTGCTCTAATACTTGAACAGTACGACACAATAACTCACAGTGTAAAGGTCCTTACACGCCGGAAGCGTTTTTTTTCATGCGTCAATATTTTTTTCGAACCCGTATCCTGTCAATACCAGCGTTTACATCAGCGACATTTTCCCGTCCTGTGATATCGCGGCATTTATTTTTTCGTATCACAGTCGAATTTTTCTAAAGTTTCGCATACTGTGTGTCCACTTCTGACCAATCAGACTTCATCTTGTTGCGACATCAGATTCATCGGTATATCCAACATGGCTGACCGGCTGATTGTTAACGTGTCAGAGAACAGAGTGCTTTTTGATTAAAGACAAACATTACAAAGATAATGATAGAAGGACGACTTGTGGAGAGTCATAGCGTTGGATTTCTCATATGACGATGGTTTGTGTGCTTTAACACTTTGCTAAACATCTTTGTTTTAACTTTCATCTGTGCTAAGTAACTTTAGCTCGTAAGCTAACCTGTTCAGATACAACATACCATATGTATTTTCACTGTCTCAAACTCAATCACGTTGCTGTCACAGCACCATTAGGTCTCGGTTGTTACCTTACGTTTATGGATTTTAGTTTAATGTGCTTATCTGGTACTGGCCCCGACTCAGTACATGCTATCATGACAGACATCTCAACACTAGTGTCTAATCAGAACTGAAAAACAGTCAGTCTGCTGCTATGTCAGTCTTCTCGCTTCCACCCGGGACGCGTCTTTTTCCCCCCCAGAAAGTCGCAAAATCGCATAGCGCTTGATGTGTATAGTCAGGCACGTCAAAATCCGCCTCTGAATATTTTGTAATTTCACGTCATATATTTGCGTTGTTCCCGGTGTGTAAGGACCTTAAAATCCACAACCTTTGTGAGACTGGCAGCTTTCTGATCAGATTACATTCCGATGCTGTCCAGATCTAATCTTTTAAAAAACAAAGGTAATCTATGATTTGTAGATTAATTTTACGCAGAAAAATGTCTTTTTTTTTTACATTAGTTTACAGTCCTAATGGAAGGCTGCCATCTTTCTTTCTGTTGACCTATCCGTTGCTGCATGATTCGATCAGCCGACCTGTAAAGGCCCAATCAGAAGCCAGTCTTCCCTGTCTCAGCACAGCTCAACCTTCACTCAGTGAAGGTTATAAAACTGGTAATAAAATCTGTGTTGTTGACACAAGAAAACATAAAAAGGCTGACTTTTCTCCAAGCAGAAAATCCACAGGAGCTGCTAAGAGAACTGATGAAGACCTGGCCTGATGGGCTGACTTGGTGTCGATAAAATCTAATCTACACAAATTACTTGGAAAAATGTGAACACTGAGATATTATCAAACACTTGGGCTAGGGTTAAATCAGACTTTTCCAACCGTCAGTAGAATCCTAACAGCATTTCTGCTTCACCAACCAGCGTTCATTTCAGATTAAACCCCTCATTATTTATTCATTTGGTTATTTTTATTTGCTGCTGTCTTTTCAGTCCCCATGTAAGTAATGTATTTGTATTGGCACCAATCCCACATATTGATTTCTATGTACTCTGGTTGTTGGTTTTATACCTGTGACATATTTTGTAATATTATGTTCTGACAGGTGAGCTGGTGGCTATATTTTTGCAAAAAATTGTTCACATCCAAGCAGGTCACCACCTGATGGCTAAATCTGTGAGGAAACCTTAAAAGCGTCCTGAAAACGGACCCATGTTTTTTTTTTTTAAATCAATGCCAAATAGATTTAAACCTCAGCCAGAACAGCCCTCACTTCATCGACCCCCAATAAAAGCAATTCAGGTCAAACACACGGGCTCACTCTCACTGTTTACAATGACACGGTTAAAGCTTATTTACGAACCATTTAATCGTTACACGTTTCAGGCTCCAATGCTCTGTTGTTAAGGCCCTAAAGTGGTTGAGATGAACTGTAATTCATAGAGTCAGTGTTGGTTGTGTGTGCAAACAAAAACACTTTGTTCTGGCTGAAAAAAATTACATCTACTTTGATTACTAACCTTCAAGAACAACCAACTAATGTAGAGTAAAAAGAATTTGACGCTTTCCAAATCATCTAAACCCCATTTTTTATGAATAAAAGTGCAAAGGCCACATATTTAATGTTAAACTGAAACTTTGATTTTTAATGAAAAATATGCTTCTCTTAAATTTGATGCCAGATGTTAAAAAAAAATGGGTTTTTTTTTTGTTTGTTCATGCTCCAAATGTTTTCAATGGGTGACAAGTCAGGACTGCAAGCAGGCCAGCTTAGAAGCAGGACTCTTCTACTACAGAGCCATGCTGTAGGACATTGCTGGACCAGACCCATATGAACACACTGTATGGTCAGAAGATGATTTCGAGATGCTGAGAGAGAGAAAGGCAGACATGTTTGTGTATGATCACATTCCATTGTTCAAACAACAGTTTTGTTGTTGGCACTGTGCATCTGCAGTTTGTGTACCCACCCGCATGTGAAAGAGAGACTTTTCATTATGGAAGGAATTAAATGTATAATAGCTTGTTCCTTCGATGAGGTACTGCATCAAATGCACTCAGTTAAGTGGTGGTAGCATCTCGAAATCATCTTCTGACTATACAGTGTGTTCATATGGGTCGGGTCCAGCCATGTCTACAATTTTGCTTTGGTAATGCTCTCTTTCTTCATTGTTCAGCTTGTCCCTGTACGGCATGTTGAGTCCCACTTTTGCTCTCTCCATTCCGTTCTCCGTTACTGTGTAGTCAGCTAATAAATAGCTGGTTTTTAAAACCTAACATCATCCTAATTTCATTAATTCCACTGCACTTAATGTTGTTATGTCTGTCAAAATGGCCGTGCTGGCAAGTCACTCAGCACGCCCCTCGTGCTAATGTTGGCGCTGCTACACTTCATATGTAATTTGGAGGGGGTTGCACATAAGAACAAATTGTTATATCTACATGTGGAATATAAATAGTAAAATTAAAAATACTATAAAAAATTATGGAAAAATCAAAATTCTGTGATTAATTGAATTTTTATAAACATGTTTGTTTGTCAGTCCTCATTTAAATGTCAAGACGCTGCTGGAAGCCTGTTGCTACACATCTTTAACAGTTTGTTGTAACATAAGCTTAATGTCAATTACAGCTTGGGTTTTTGGTGAGACACCAGGGGTGGTCAGCAGATTTCTAAGGAGGTCCATGCCACCTCTGGTCGCCTGTCTGGACGCGCCCCTGTATATCGAGAGTTAAAATCTCAGAGGACGACAAGAGCCGGTGGGTGTTCAGAGCAGAGAGCTCACATTAACGTCTAGGTTTAGGGACTCATTGAGCAGTAATTACAGAAAATATCAGAAATGTATTGACTGATATGTTCCAACCAGTTACCTGCTTCATGTTTCCATGTTTGGAGCTCAGCAGCGCATGAAGTGCTGGAGCTCAGTCTTCAGACCAAATGGTGCATCTCACCGCCCAAAATGACTTCTCCTCCTCGCTGTGGATCCAAAAATAAAACAGTTCCCCCGCTAGAAACAGAAGCCGCCTGTTGGTTTTCGAGTGTGGGCTATTTATCAGTGTAATTCAAAGCAACAATGCTGCCGCCGGTGATGCTTCTACCCACACATATGAAGCCGTGGATGAAAGTGAAATCCGCATTCGCTCAGTGTCGCTTTGTTTCCAGATGAGCAAACAGACGTTACTGATTTAAATCCACGTTTAAACAGAAAAAGTCCGTGTAAAGCTCGACATGTCCCGTTTTCTCTTCCTTTATGCAGATGTGAGATTTAATCGGCCCATCTTCCAGCAGCAAATGTATCAGGTTATGTTCTGTAGCCCACAGTATCACCACACTGGTACAAACTACACTCAGCGGCTGGGTAACAACAGTCAACAAGAAGTACTTCCTTTCTGGATTTTCAAAATAAGAGTCGAGTTTTTCATCTTAATTTTGATTATCTCTCTTCTCATTTCGTTTTTCTTTCAGAGAGACTGTGTAAGACAATGTTATTATTAAATGTTATTTAAAATATCTGTGTGCTTTCTTTTTATGAAATTACAGAAAAAAAAATAAGGGCCACTAAAAGATTAAGATGTCATCTTTTCACAGTGGCTAAAAAACAACTTCTTAACCTTAAATTGTGAAAAAAAAACTGCTTCCATGTGTTTTTCCATAAGGCAAAAAACGCATATGATTTTACTGTCACTATTGATCAGAAGGAAATACAGAAAGTATATGAGTTTAGATATCTAGGTGTCATCTTTGATTCCCAGCTAAAATTGCACAAGTTGTATTATTTCTTAAACTGTGTTTTAAGTGTGTAAATGGCTCTGCCCCAGACCTAGTTTGTGAAATGATTGCAAAATACTCATATATAGGAGTTTCTACGAGAGGAGCAGTCAGTGGAGACTGTAAACCAGCAAAGTGCAGGACAGCTTTTGGCCGGTCTTCCTTTCACAGATCTGGAATAAATTACCATTAGAAATAAAAACATTAAAGGACCCCAAAGCCTTCAATAATAAGAGTTCATCTGTTAATTTAGATTAAAAATAGCAAAAGTAAGCATAAACATTTACAATAAAACTCCAAAACTGAATCCAAATTAGTAACATTTATAAAGATCTGTGGTTCACTCCAAATCTGAAAAGGCCTTGTGATCTTTCTTTCTCAAGCTGTGTGTAGTTTGTCTTAGCATGTAAGATTAGGGTTTGGATCCTCTTCCTCGATTAAACTAACTGACTGGGTATATCCATTGAGCTCTCATTATTGCAACAACTTCTGCAAGTCAATCAGTATCTAGTGCCACATAATTTTGAATAAGAATAAAAAGTCATTTTAGCAAAAAAACACCCCTGAAAAAATCTGAAAATTAGAGATATTTTCCATGTCACTTTGTAAAGTAGAAAAAATCAAAAACCAAGCAGTGACTCTCTAAGAACACCATCCTTTACAGTGTATTTCACTCTTCTACTGACCATATTACACTGAATAAATGTCACATTGCGACAAAAGAGCTCTAATCAACTGCTTAAGGCCATAAATTCTTTAGTGAAGTTTTTACCAAGATTATGAAGTGTGCTATTGATGGGCTGAACTTCTGAAAAACTATCAAACAATTACACTTTTTTCACAAGTTGCACAGGTGAGTAATATTATAAAAGCATCAAAATGAAATATCTCATCACAATTTTTTGGATTGACGTGTTGCTGAGGATGGTGATGTATCAGTCTCTTTTTTCATGTTTGGTGCTTTTATTTTGAAAGCGTCATATCATAGTTTCCGACTATAGTGGCGCTCCTACTGTTAGTTTGACACAGCTTTGTATTCAGTGATAACTGACACCCACAGAGGCCACTTGCATGGGCAGAAGGGGAGTTTTCGTAGGGTGCACGAATATCCAATAGAAATGTAAAATTCTGAAGAAAGGGGGGTGGTCTGCACGGAGGAAGCGCTTCTTTTGGGCATGTGCTGGTGCATGTGGTGGGTGGTGTGGATGACAAATGGTGACTGTTATTGGAAAGAGAAGCTCAGTGTTATCTCTACATTACTTACAGATCAGTTACTGTAGGGTCGGGCTGTAAAGATGATTTTAATATGAAATCAACATCAATGGGCACTTTATAGAGCCATTAAGAAGAGGCTCACTCAGCTGATTTCACCAATTTAAAGGGAAACATTGCAGATTAATACAAGCCATTTAATGAGGGACACATCCACAAAAGTAAGATAAGACACAAAATAAGTTTTTATTTGGAAAAAGTGTGCGTATGTGCGGCAAATTCAGATTTGTTCACCCCTAATCCTCATATTTCTAGGAAACTGAATTTTTCTGGAAGCTGAATAAAAATTTAACTTTCCACATAAAAAGAATGACATGACAGGAATTCACTCACATAAAATACACACCTTAATATCTTAAAACACAAATTATTCTTTTCAAATCAAAGTATGTGATCTAGGTGTCTCATCTGTGCACATGTACACGAGTAATACATTTGCAGGAGGATGAGGGGTTTATGAAAAAAAATTAAACTTCTTTTTAAAAAGGTTTTTGATTCTGTTGATTACATTTTCAGAATTGAGATTTTAAAAAAATATTGATTTGGATCCCATAATTCTAAGTCTGAATTTTGAAAATAAAGTAAATTAATATCAGAACCATCTGATCTGAAATCTATGTCAGTATTCTATATTTAACCCCAGAATTTTGAGATCAAGTATGAATTTTTGACTATTATCTTAGAATTTCAAGATTAAAGACAGAATTCTGATTTATATCTCAAAATCCTGAGATTAATTCAATTTAGATTAAAGTCAAAATCCTGATTTTAGTCTCAGAATTCTGACCTTATACTCATATTTTCAAGATTAAAGTCAGAATCTGAGAGAAAAATCTGACCTTTATAATAACATATTTTTCTGGTAACCCTGACCCTTTACTGTAGATACAGGCTCCTTCACCATATATTTTAAGAAACACTCTTTTGACCTCAAACTGATGAGGAAAACAAGATGAATGTCTGCAATTTCACAAACATCTCTGTCATTTCACACAAAATATTTGACACTCAGTCTCTTTAAAAAGAACTATGTGAGGGAGACATTTTGACATGCCACAGTGAGGAAGAGCACAGCTGTAGATAATGGCCATGTCCGAAATGAATCACTCAATCCCTAACCCCTAACCCCCATATGGGGTTTCACTATATAGTTGACAATGTAGTGAGCTCAATTACCGGAGGTTTCGGACACTACATGGCAAGAAGCAAAGCACAACGGGATGCCCACCACCGGTGAGTGACCACTGGATGGTCACTACATTTTGCAGTGCTCTATGGGAAATAGTTAGTTGCCTATATGGAGCATTGGAATTGATCACTCAGGTTTCGGACACCCCTCAATGTGGCACTAACCCCCATATAGTTGCCTATATAGGGGTTAGGGATCCATTTCGGACACAGCCAATGATAATAATCAAGTATTTTAAAACCTGAGGTAAAAACCTTATGTTGGGGTCTTAATGACTAACACATGCAGTGTTTTTTTTATATGTTCTCACAGAGTCCTTCTGCTGCAAAACAGGCTGAAATGAATGCAATGTAATCTGGAGCTCCTCCCTGACACATGCAATGATTCGGTTCCTCTTTCATAAGCAGACAATAACTCGCACAGATACAGATGAGAAAAAAAGGCCAAATGTGAAAATATTTCTCAAGTCCTGACTTGGTGTTAAAAAATATAAAAAAGGAGTGTATGGATTTTTTTGGCAGAATTCACCTCAGACAATCTTTATATAATGAAGCTGAAATCTTTCATGGCATTTTGTTGAAGATAAATGGCTCTGTCTCATCAAAACACAGGTTTTCTGAACTGATGTGCTTAAATGAAAGAGCCTATGATAGCAGCTTGGATGGTAATTAAGCCAACAGGTGTGCTGCGTTTCTTTTAACGAGCAGGTGCAACTTAACGAGCAACTTGGCATCTTAGTCAGATGCTAAGTTGTAACCACAAAAGCCTTGAACATATTCAACATAAAATCCCATGTATGAGAAGAACCTCATACTTTTCAGCTAAAAAAACACATCTGGTACACCAGTGTGACGAGCATTACAGTAAAACACAGAGAGGTATTCCATTGTGTTGATTTTAACTTGCCAGTGCACAGGTCAAAGTGAGGTGAACAAGTCTTTCTGTGTCACTTTTTAATGCTTTTCACCCTCATAGGGTCATACATTTTTTAAAAAGGTGGTATACTGTCGCATAAATAAACCTGGTAGAGAGCTGGTTTGATTGAGAAGACTCCACAGTGTAGGACAAAAACTGACCAGCAGAGGGGGGTGCTGCGACTTTTAGAGAACTGGCTGCAGGCTCAGGTCCAGTCCAGATCACATATTCGCCCATACGACTGTAGGCTGAGCTCGACTACCATGAAGGTTGCTGTTAACAGATGTTACTCATACATGTCTGCATAAAATCTTCACATTGCTGACACCTCTGAGACTCCTGATTGATTTGAGTCTTTAATGTTACTGCTGTTAAATCCTTTATAATTTTCACTCAAATTGTTGTTTTTCCAAATGTATCTTTTTTTTTTTAGAATATCACATTTAAACACAACATGATATTGATTATTTACTTCCATTTAAATCTCATTTTACCAACCCAACCGTGAACACCTCACTGTTTAATCATATGTCACCTTGGAATATAAAACTCTTCATCTTGACACTCTCCCATAGTAATTTATTGAAATGTATAAATAAAACTTGATATTTTTCTACGCTACTTCTATCCAGTCCTATGATGCCTTTAACTTCTTGGTGTCTTTGGTCTTTGGCGGTATAATCTCAACCTGGAAGGGAACAAAGAACTGCAGCAGAGCTTTTGTGTCTTTTAAATCCAGAGAATAATCTTTGGCGATCCTGTCCGGCGTCATCGTCTCTGGTTGCCTCTGATGGCTGTTGAGCGCCTTCAGGGCCTCGACGATGGTCAGCTTTCCTTTAGGAACGTCTGTGAGCTCCACCAGGCTGAACGGATCCCCCGGTAAACTGAACTTCAGGGGCCGTCGCTCCGATTCTACACCTGTTGTCTCCTCTTTTGACGTCTGTAGAAAAGGTGGGGTCAAACGGAAATGAGCCTCAGATTTATATAAAGAGAAAGCACAGGAGTCATTGTCAAGGGACATTTCCTTTGATCACTTTTATTTCTTTTATCTTTTTGTGTTATTTCATTTATTTTACTTCATTTTAAATGTTTTTTACCTGCTTTTATTTATTTCATCTTAATGTTTTCTGCATTGTCTGTTCTTTTAAGATTATCGTGCAGCACTTTGGTAAACTTAAATGTTTTTTAAAATGTGCTAAGTAAATAAAGCGGATTGGATTGGATTGGAATAGGTAGGAAAGAAAACAAGCGGCTGCTGGAAGAGAGTGGGTAAGTTGTGTTTAGTCTCTTTGCTAAAAAAAAATCAGGCAAAGTTAAAAGATGTTTGGTGGCTAGTGCTGTGGCTGGGACCCTATATGTACTGTTGATGAAGTTAGGTGCTGTTCAGGGCATTATTTGTGGCTATAGAGTGCCGTTTTTGTTGAGGTTTGTTTATAGCTCCTCGGACTGCTGTGTATTGCTATCGTGCGGCCGTCATTAAAGTTGGTATAACTAGAGAAACAAGAGGTCGGCAACATTCATCTCTCGAGGGGATGTCTAACTCGGTGTCCCTTTTATAGTCCAAGACATCTGCTCTCTTGAATTACAGACCAACCTATGGCGCTTCTTTCTTTTCTAAACTTACTGTATACACAACATACACAAGAGTTTCCCATATAGTCAAAGGGGAACATAAGGGTGGTCGGTCACCTGCCAATGACCTAGTGTGTGAGAGTAAAACTGGGGCTACAATGTAGAGTAAATAACTTTAACCTTCATATGCAACCCCACTTTGATCAAACTGAATGTTTGGAAATTGCCTAAAATGAACATGGAGTATTTACAGCTCCATTTCTGTGTTTTAGCTCCTCAGATCAGGTGTGTTTGTCCTTTGTCCGACATATCCAATTGTGTGCGCACTAGTGACTCAGCCTCATGAGCTGCTGTCTGCAGGAGGAGGAGCAGAGATTACTGGAATATCTTCAGCATTAAACTGTATTCTTGAACATGTAATCTCGATAGAAACCAAAGTAAAAAAAAACCCTGTCTGATCAGATCTATTTCAGCACATGTTCTCAAAGAGAGTGTCCCAGTCTGACCTCTGCAGCAGCCGGGTCTGTGGACTCCACATACACCGATTTAAGGAGCTTCAGCAGCGGGTCGTTCTTCTGCTGGACTGAACTCTCCGTCTCCGCTGCTGAAACACACAACAACAGGCTCACGATCAGGGGGTTTAATCTGAACAGGCTCTTCATTCACAGAGTGATCACCCCGGTGTGACCCACAACCGGAGGACGGTTACCGGCAAACATGTCAGCGGACGCTCGGACACTCACCTCCGGAGGTGTCGGGCGGCGGCGGGACGGTGACCGTGTGTCGGGGTGCTGCCTGCGGCTTTTCCTTGGAGATTTCTCGGAAAACCCGGTTCTCTAGGTTGAAATTTCTGAACATACGCACGACTCGTGCCCCCATGTTTGACAAGTTACCAAAGACCGCTGTGGACGGCGAGGGAGAAGGCTCAAATTCACTTGGCGAAGACAGAAGTGAGCAGCGACACCAAGTGGTGGGAGGTTGAAATGCTATTTTGGAAATACAAGATAATGTCAAGCACTATAATTTTGTTAAATAGGGAGCCATGTGAGGCAGCAGGGTAACAAGAACTGAAAAATATGAGAAACAGTTTTGAGTGAAAATGCTCTTATTACTGAGTCAGCAACAGCCGCAGAGATTGTTGATGTTTTTAAGAAGAGGCTCAAGACTCACCTTTTAACCAGGCTTTTCACTAACTGCCTTTTTATATTTCTCTTATTGCAAATGTTCATTTTAATCAAAGTTCTTATTGTTCATTTTATTTCATTTTATTAATTATCTTTGTTCTTAGTCTTTTTCTTAATTCCCGTCATAGGTTTTTACTTCTTTTACTACTTTTTATATGGTAAAGAGCTCTTACTTATTTGTTCATTTCATATTATTTTCTTGTTTTATATTTTTTATCTTTTATCTCCAGTGTTTCCTAAAGGTAGCTCTTTCCTCACGTTCCTCTCAGTATCAGGCCATGTCTCTTTAACAGTATATCTTAAATTCTCACACTGTGTGTGCTTGTGTGTGTATGTGTGGGTGAGTGAGTGAGTGAGTGAGTGCGTGCGTGTGGGTCCATGGGTGGGTGTGTGGGTAGGAGGGTCGGGTTTTATTGTTGTTAATTGTTGTTTTAAGCCTCTGTGAGGCACTTTGAACTGCATTTCTTGTCTGAAAAGTGCCATAAAAATAAAGTTGAATTTGAATTTCTCACCTTGTAGAAAAGAAATCAATTCATATTAAAGCTGCTAAAACTAGTAAATTTTCGTTGTAAAAACAAGTGACCAACAGGGTTACAAATAAAAGAACACACAAAAAAAGGGTAAATAAATGTATGCAGTAATTGATACAAAAAAATTAAAAGTTGGTATTCATTCATTGATAACATGCAACATGGATTTATACTTGATTTTTTAATCCTTTTCATGATTTCTGTTTTCTGTTTATCTATGTATTATTAATAATAATAATGAATATAATGTAAAGTAAAAAATCAACTATGAAAACTGAAAAAAAGTGATGTTTTATAAAAAATATATTTGTTTACATTTAGAATATTTGAAACTATCAAATTGGTTTATTCTTGCAGGGCCACCTACTAAATAATCTTATTGAGAAACATACAATTTTCTCAAAATAAATAACTTATTCCTTCTCTGTAATGTTTGATTCTGTTCGTGCTTCAGTGTGAGAAAATTCTTGTTCAGCAGGTGGCAGCATTTCATCTCCCAACACATTCAAACATACCCTCTTAAGAGAAGACTAAATTCCTTTTGGGTTCATATTTTATCAGTGCTAGTTTCAAACCCAAACCTCTGCCTATTTTTCACAGAGAGGTTTAATATTTTAGCCAGAAAAAAAAAACACTAAATCATTTATGACTATTATACGGGCTGAGGTCAAGCAACAGAGGTCACTCCTTATATAAGAGAAGCCATGTGGTGCACATCTGGAAGTGATTATCTGCTTGATCATAAAAAAAAAACAACCCACTACATTTTTGTGAGGAGAGGAACGGAAAGATATTATTTAATTTCACTCACTCGCTGGTATTTGACTTCAGATAAGTGTAACAGAGTCAACAAAAGGCCAGAGTTTCTCACGCAGTGATGACTCACAGTAACAGCACAACTCTGCACCCAGTATGAGGGTGTTTTTAATAGGTCACTTTAATTCATACCCAGTGTTACTGACTGCGTGGGGTCTTAAATAAGTCAGCACTGTGGCCCTTTGATAAATTTGAGGGTTGAGGGGTGAGGAGTCTAGACTGAAGTGTTAGACCAGATGGATTTGGGAGGCAGAGCATACACCCCAGACCAGCTAGGGTGAGCTCTAGCAAAAACAGATCTCTTGTCTTGGCTCTTAATTACTTTCCTTCTATCTAGAATTTTCCTATACACTCGTCTCTCAGTTTTTGTCTCTCCTTTCCCTCCTCTCCTCCTTTATAAATATGTGAGAGAGTAAGGGGAGGTAAAGTGTACAGCCTCATCCAGTGAGGGTCACTTCAAACCCAGATTCAAACTCTGCTTTTCTTGTCGTCTTTCCATCATCTCTCTGCAGACTCCTCTCCTTTTTTTTCTCTCCTTTCTACCCTATCGGAGTGGAGGAGTGGGTGGAGGTAGAGCGTGCAGCCTAACCCAGCAGCGGTGAGCTCTGGCCCGGATAAACTTCTCCAATGTCTTGATGACATTCTCCAATGCCCACTTGATGCTTACGTTTGAGGTTTTACAGCGTATATTCATTGAACACAGCACACATGGATACAAACATATGCATGTAGTAATTTTATTTACAAATAGTAAAAAAGAGACCATAAAAATATATCTTGCTTTCACATATATACACTTAGATGGATTTTAATTAACTATGTAGACAGAACAAATCTCAAGTACAGATGAGGCAGCTGTATTTTTTTTTTTATCTTAGTGGCTAAACTTGAGATCGTTGATACCAGACAGGACCTCTGAACTTTACAAACACTACAAACTTCATACAGACTCGTTTCTAAAGCTCCACAGAAGCTTTTTCATCAGAGGTGGTCTGGTTTTATCTTGGCAATTCATCAATTCCTATTTGGAATCAGTTGGTTTTCCTGAACACCCCATACATTGAGCTTCGAGAGTATCAAGGCCACTATTAGAAGAAAGGAGCTAAATGATGATTTAACATAGTGTGGATAAAAGTAATAAAAAAACAATCGTGGAGTTATAAAAGTGAAGTTCCAATCTTGGGTGACATAAACTGACTTTACAGCAGTGATTCTAGTCAACTTGGGTATATTAGCCAGCATGTCAAGTTGCAGTTTATATCTATCAGTATTAAACAGGAACGCTTATATTCCTATTGATTGAACATCTCTTTCTCTCTCTTTGTTTGTCTGTAGACCATGATTGTCAGTAGACCTGTCTTACGACGACATTAAAAATCAGTCTTGTTGGCAAACTTCATTAAAGTTCAAATACATCAAATTACAAAATGATTATCTTGTGGCTATGAGAAAATGACAGCTGCTACACAAAGTGTTGCTTTAGCTGCTTTTAAAACTGCAAACTTAATTAAGAGTATGCACATTCACAGCATTATATGCCATTGTTCTTGTCCATAGAAATCACACTACCAATTAGCATTAAAGCAAAGTTTTGCAGCACAACTCAGACACTCCAATGGATATGCGTGTACTTCTCACAGCAGTGTGGGCCATTACAGTGTAGAGTCAACACAGAAGTATAAAGCAACCTTAGGGATAATGTTTAATTTTGCTTTTAGTTGAATAGCATTGAGTTCCTAAACAAGTTAAAGACTTCTGAAGTAAATAGACAAAAACTATCTCGTATTGTGTGTTCAACATCTACACATCTCATCAACAGGGGTAGTCTATACCTACGTTTAAAGGTTTTGAAAGCAACAACAGCAACAATACCCCCCCCCCCCCCGCAGCCAATAGCAATAATAAAAAATAAAAAAAATTAAATATTTGTTATTTTTTGTATGCATGAGTGATGCTTTCTGTATGATCAAATATATATTATTGTAAAAATAAAATAAAGTAAAAACATTTTAGTGCTGCTGCTGATGTAGGTCTTGGATTCTTACTGGAGATATGTCAAAGCTCCGCAACCTTTATAATGTGATGTGTGCACTGAGCATCCAAAGCACAGGTAGTTGTGGGGCAAAACAATGCCGCAAAAAGGACATATCCTTCAGGAGCAGAGAAAAGAAAGAGGAAGAAGAAGAAAAGAGAAAAAACGCCAAGATGAAGGTATGTTTTTATGTCATGGAATGTTAATCAAAGAGATTTGTGAAGGTGTGTGAATGATCAACAATCAATATTTTTGGCAGAAACAGAGGGCCCCAAAATCACATTTTGCTTAGGGCCCCATTGAGGCTTCTCTGAGAGAAAGTCTGAACCAACTGCATTTGAGTAAGGTGTGAGTTGGAAGAAATGTTGGTGGTGCATTTTTGTAATGTTTTGATTTTTTTAGTTATCATAACTTCTTACCTCATAAAACTATTATCTCATAAAAAAAATGTTTTTCTGTATATTCAAGACTTCACCTCTAAATCTCACACTTGTATCTCAGTTTTTTTTTCTAAGAGTGGCCCTAATACTCTGCTAACAGACCTGGCTCAGACTGAGGCGTGGGGTGCATTAAGCTCATTAGCTCTGTGGTTGGACGACCCCTCCCCCCACACTCCTGATGTTAGCACTGTGTGTGGGAGCAGGAGGAGTAGAGGTACAGTAAGATGAAGCAGTCTATGAGGAGGATGGTGTAGAAACATCTCTGCGTGTGCAAGCTCCGCCCCCTCTGAAAGCGAGTCAGTAAGACGGCCAGCAGCAGGAAGAAGGTGGCGGTATTCAGCAGGAGGAAGAGTCTGATGTAGGAGGCGGTGCTGGAGAGACCCTCACTTCCTGCCGTCGCCACCATGTGAACCTCCTTGAACTTTCGGCCCTTCACAAAGGCCCCTTTTCTGTTTTTACGGCCTTCTGGGTAATCCATAAAAGCCCGGGACTCTGCGTCCCCCTCCTCTGGACTGTCCTCATACGTCCGCTTTGATGTCCTCTGTCTCTCCTTCTTCTCGTTCACCTCAATCTGTGCAAAAAGATCAGGCAGACTCTCGGAGAGCTTCTCCCCGAGGTTCACTTTCCTCCCCCCTTTCCCCTTGCCTTGTTTCTTCGACATCGCAAACATCCTCTCGATGACCTCCTCCGTCTTCTTCTTATCCGTGAACTGGAGGAGACGCTCTGCAGTCTTGCGGAAGCTGGCGGTGTTGAGAACCCGTCCCAGGATGTGTCTCTCCATCTGCTGGAAGACGGGCTTGACGTGCTGGAGGTTGTCATCCATCACGTTGACGTATTCCTCAACTTCTTCAGGAGAGCTGTCTGCCTCGGCTGCGGCCGTCTTCTCAAATACAATCTTCTTGTGGTCCTGCAGCACCATGGCGAACAGCGGTTTGCTGGTGACCTCTCCGGTCAGCAGGTAGATGGTGTAGGTGTGGTCTTTGGTGGCCAGGTAGATGTCCACCCTCTGATCATCTCCACGCAGGCTGAAGCTCTGCACGTCCACGCCTGGTCCGAAGAAAATGTACGCCACTCTGGAGTGAGGGTACCTTAACGGCATTGTGACGTTCACATAATTCGACCCGTTATAGGGGTACCCTCGAGGGTAGTTCCAGTACCCCACCACTCCTTTGTGACTAAAGCCTGTGTCATCCATCCAGAACATCTGATATCTATCCTCACCGTGAGTTACAAACGCCCCGTGAACGCCATCTATCTTCGTGCTCTGGAACGGGAGCTCCGTGTTGTGGAAGAAGGCGCTCATGGCTCTGGTTGGGCTGTCTGGATCCAGGTGGATGTGGTCCACGAGGAGCAGGAGCTGCGGGTGAAGAAGGAGTAAGTTCCTTTGGAAATTCCTGATCTTCAGCTCTGGAGAATAGGCAGCACTTCCCTCGCCACGGATGAAGACCATTCCCTGTCTCTCCATAGCAGCTTCCACTCGTCCTTGCGCGTCTGCCGCCAGCCCCACCTTGTACCTCAACCACTTTGAGTCACAGACCTCCGTCACCTGTCCAGTCCATGGTTTGAAGCAGCTCCCTGAGGTGGTGGAACCAAACAGCACTGCATTATTCAACAAAGTGTACTTGGGTCCATACAGCGCCTCGGTGATGAAGGGGACGCCGTTGGGTGCAAAAGTGAACGTGTTCTGATCGGGGTGCTCGTGGCCGGCGTTGAAGTTCCTCCACCCTTTGATCCACTCTTTATACTTATTCATGTGGACGATGTCGTAGATGGCTCGTCCTCCCAGCTTCCCCGACTTGAACGACAGGAAAGAGCGGTTGGTGTCGGCGGGTTGGGCACTGCCGTAAGTCACTACCCCCCAGTCCTCGAAGTAATGGAGGCGAGGTTTGCCAAAATCCGAGGGAGGCTTGGGGAACATGTTGGGGTCATACCTGCAGAGAAACAGCTTTTAGATGGATGTAGACACACATGTAGAGGAACCAATGAACTTTAAACTCCTATCAGTGCAGGGGTTTTAGGTGTACCCAACTTCATCCACCTGCTTTTCATACATATACAACCACAGAAAGTTGGGACACTATATGAAATACTACAATTCAAAACACATCCAGCGTCTTACCAGATGAACTCGGTGTGAAGCGTACACCATCTCTGGCCTTTCCCAGCCTGGCCCGGCCCCTCTACCACCCTGTTCTGATGAATCAGTTCTGCCAGCCAGTTTCCGCTTCCGTTACGCAACACGTAGCGGTCCAAGAAGACCAGCTGGCTCTCCGGACCGTAGAACCAGTTGTAGTTCGAATCTGCGATGGCAACAGTCCGCTGAAAACCTGGGGAGAGAGAAAACACACGACAAAGCCGTGATTTAGAAGATCAACGAAGATTTGAAAGAAGGAAGAGTTTAAGACTTTAAAGCTATAAACTCAAAACAAAATAATCATTCTCAGTCTCTTCTAACATGATCCAGCTCAGTCCGACACCAGGCACTAACTCTTCACGCTGCTCTGTAGTCTGTAATTATCTACAGAAAGCTTTACACTCCGGCGGTGAGAGGACTCTAAGAAACCAGATTTATAATTCACAGCATGTAATCACAGTCAGTTATTTGTCAACCACAAGCAATCATAAACAAAGACTTTGAGGAGAGAAGTTCCTTCCTGATTGAGGCAAAACAAGAGATACAGATGAACAGGTTCTTTAAGATAAAATCCTGTGGATGTATGAAAGCAAGTCAAACAAGATTTATTATCCAGGTGCCATGCTGTCATCTGTTATATATCAACTTAAAAACTACTTCAGAACACTTAAATGACCTTAAAAGGAGAACTACATAATTTATCACCAATAACTGCAGCTTTTGTTTGATGAGGTATTCTCCCACAACCCTTTTATGGCTAGATTTAACCCTAATAAGTGTTTGGACATCAATACTGCTAATTATAAGACTAAAATCATTCAATCATTAAAGCCTTTTGGTTATTTTGTTCTGCAAGGCAATGAAAACAACAACCATATATTTTCTGGGGGGTTGTATAAAGAACGGGACCTGATCAGCCATGCTCTCGTATTGTGCAGTAATTTCTGAATTTTTGAGACTCTGCTTTATGCATTTCATGAAAGATTTTAAAGCTTCAGGTGGCCAAAGTGCATCAGGAACTTTAGACTGTACATTTCCATAAGGCCCAATGACTCCATGTTACTTATATGTAACCCTGAATCAGGCAAAGAGGTAGAGCCTCCTGGTTAAAGGCTACAATGCACCCACCTAATACAACTAATGAAAGAGACCACACCTATATATATGTATATATAATATTAACATGATCTGTAGATACTATACATGACTGCTGACTCAGGAGCTATCTGTTATTGTTTATGTTTTATTGTATTGTGTATTTGTATGTATTCTGTTTGTTTATTTGTTTGTGTTTATTTTACGTATAATTACAATTATTTATTTATTTATCCATTTTTATTCATTTATTTATTTTTAATTTATATTTAATTTTTTTGTTTTTTTTTAAATATTTTTTACATGGGGCATATTATATATATGAGATATTTGCATTGATATATTGTGAGTTGGCTTAAGGACCTCAGGAAGAATAGCTTATGCTTGGCCAAGGCTAATGGGGATCCCAAATAAATCAAATCAAATCAAACCTATTCATGCAAATTGATGCATAACTCTCGGTCTTTATATCATTTTAACAGGTGCATGTGTCCATGCAAAAAGCTGGATTTTTTCACCCTTAATCTGTCCAAACCTTTTCCTGATCAGTCCTTGAGTAAAATGTCAGAGTAGATTGATGTGTTTGTACAATCGGTGAAGAAAAAAGACTTTATGCATGTTGTAGTGATAAGGTACATGGAGGAAAAATGCTCCTCCTGCGCACAATCAAGCCGCACCAAAACCAAAGTTTTGCGAGATAGTGGGGATAATCTCCTGCTGTGTTTTGCACATGTGAGCTGCAAGTATTTTAGGGGCTGAAACTGCTGAAATTCTGTGGAAAATGTCAGCAGTTCATGTGTGAAAGACGTTGGTGTCTCCTGATCTGGCTGCTGCAATTAGAGGTGATCTCTGAGCGCTGCACTGCCACTCGGCTACAATACAGAATCTGTTGGCAGGGGGCTGCGAAATGTCCGAGTCTAACCCAAGAGGCCCCTCCTCTGTTGCTGGCCTCCCCCTGACCTGCAGACAAGACTTCCAGGACTCCACAGATCCCTGCAGATCTGAGACGAAGAATAACTACACGCATGCATACCCCATATAAGCTCAGAGGAGGACAGGCTCTCACAGCAGCCTCAGGTTATTTTAAAATCTAATCTAAAACAAGCCAGAAAGCTCACCTCTTCTGTCTGTCTTAAGGTACAGTTAAAGATGAGACAGTTATTAAAAAAAGTTTACAAAGTTTAATCCACACACTAACCGGGCAGGACTGTCCTGTACAAGAAGGCGAAGTGTTTGAGGAGCCAGGGGTGGTCGAAGTGGCCGATGGCGAAGTGACGTTGTACCAGGTGCATGTACTGGAACAGAGAGCGGGTGGTGTAGGTGCCGTAGGCCACGCCTTCATACAAGGAGCCATCCGTCACATCCCGCAGGAGGATCATGGACTTCTCCATGATGGACAGCACCTGCTTGGACCACAGGTAGGCCTCCTGGAGGTAACCTGGTGGAGGAGGAGAAGGTTCAACAGGTTAAATACAGACTGTGAACTCGGCTACAACTATCGAGGAATTATTCTTCAAGTGGAATAAAAAGGAAGAAAAACAAATAAAGAAGCAGATACATGACTCAACACTGTGCATTTTTGCAGGATTTACCTACATTTTGAAGCTTCAATGAGGTGATTTCATTTTATTTTCTTGGAAAAAAAAACACAAATAAAAGTGTCCAACTTCTTTGTAATCCAGCAATAGAAGCCCTGATTTTAACAACCTCACATTCACAAGTACACTAGTGTTCAACAAAACATTTAGTGTAACTTCAGGAGAGCTATAATAAACTTTGCAGGTCTTTATGGCGCTGATCTGAGCAGATGAGTTCAAACCAGGACTTTAAAAAGAGACGGGTCTTTGTAAAGTCACCTGAACCTCGTGTTTTGGAGTAAAAATGGAAAAACTTGTAAAACAGCAAACAGTGCCGTCTCAGTCTGTGACCTGAAGAAACCTCACACACACACACACAGTATGGAAATCATGACACCACTTGAGCGCACTGTATACTCTCCTTCTCTCACACTGAACACACACAGAGTTTTCTATGAGAGCGAGCGACCGCAGAAACGCTCTGACCACGACTCATTGAAGAATCCTGGTACGAGCCATCAAAGAGCGCCAAACGGGGCTGTCCCCAGCAGGACGGGCGGCCCACACAGAGCAGGTATTTACTGTCGAACAGGAACATTTAGAGCACACAGACACACAGAGGCCAAATTTAGACCAACACTGCTCACAGTACAGCTCAAAACTCTCCCTTTAGAAAATCAGAATATCATCTTATTACTCTGTGAGAAAACAAACACTATCATTCTGAGTGGAGAATCTTGAAAGTTTCACAAATTGAGGGAACAGGTGCAACATGGCTTTAGTCCAGAAAGCAACATGCGAATCTCCAACATGCAGAAGAGACGACCTAAAACAGAAATGTTGGGTAAAAAGCACCCGAAGTATTTGACCCTTTAAGAATGTAAAACACTCACAGCCAGTCATGCATCTCACTGGCAGATGTTACCATCCGGGTTGATGATAATAAAGATATGACGATGAATTTAAGTCTGACACGGACTAAAGCAGCGTTCGCACCATCCAACATTTATCCCCGAGGCAGAAACAAGCGAACGCATGCAGCAGGAATGTTTTTTTCCTCTACGCCGTTACTGCTTCTAATCCGCTTATCAAAACCGAAGTCTGTCAGAGCTTTCCAAGAACCAAAACAGCGTACATAATTCTGATCTCACAGGAACCGTTTCTGCAAGATCGGTGTTATTTTTAGGCCACAAAGAAGTTGGAAGAGTAATAAAATGTCAGCTGAGGGATCACAGCTTATGTCAGATAAACAAAAGAGGAGACGATTTCTGGAAGAGTCATTGGAAATGTTCCATGTCTGTACAGGGTGAATATTTGGATGTCATTTTAGTTCTTTGTCGACTTGCAAGCTCTTTCTCTTGCAGAGTTTTAGGAGTTCAGATGTTGTATTTTCACTCTGCACCATGAGTCAGTTTCATCCCAGCAGGAGGTCTGCTGTAATGCTGACTTTCTCCTCCCTGGGTGACAGACAGGCAAAGCTGAACAAACTCACTTTTTCCCCTGTTAGACATGAAGTAAACGAAGCAAAAAGAGGTCAAGCTCTAACTGTTCGCAGAGCTCAAAGTCTGTCGCTACCTCTCAACAACAACAAAAAAAAAAACCTCAACTAAAACCGCCGTGACTGCAGCGAGCCCTGCTGTCTTTAGTTCCCATCAGGACTGGACCCTTTCTGCCAGGAATCCAACCCCTGTAAGCAAAGCAGACTGCACCACAGGCATCCAGCTCCTCATGACCGACGCTGAATATCTACAGCAGGATATTGAAACACTCAGCGGTGAATAATTAGGTCTTAAGAGAAATACTGGACAAACAAATGTGAAGACAGAGCGGGAAGGAGAGCCTCATCTGGAGGACGATTACAGAGGATTATGTGGAGGATAACTTCAGGCTGAAAACACTCAGATTCCACTCACCCTCAAAAGGAAAGTTTATCCAACTGACCGAAGAAAATTTGTCCTTATGAGACAAAATTCTGAATCATGTGAAGACCAGACAAAAGAAATTAGGACTATCCGCCTTGGGTTACTTTGTCTACATAAGCTGCATCCATCTGTGTTTTTTTAACAGGCTAATCTCTGTTCATTGACACCGCTCGGATATTCAATCTCTGTGGGTAAATAGTTCTGATTTCTGTTTGCAGTTTGAGTTTATTTGTCCTCCAAGTTCTGGTTTTATGTAAGAAAACAGACACTGTACAGACAAACAGACTCGATACAATCCTGGATCTCACTGGTGTTTATCAAGCCATAATTTTTGCTTTTACTGATTTATGCAGATAGGAGCAGCTAGAAATCCACTTTTAGTCCTCGTTTCTCAACATCTCCCTTATCAAGTTTGTTCTTGGGCTTTAACCAAAGCTAACAAACTGGAAAAGAAAAGAGATTCTCAGCTACAAGTCCCAGCAACAACCAGAACCTTGAGAAGTTGACCGTCGCTCCTCACAGCTATGCTTCTATGAGATGATTGCCGATAAATTCACAGATTAATCTCTAAATGACTGTCAATAACTGTTGCAAAAGGGTTTGTAAAGTAAAAACTTGGGAAACTTGCAACCTCATTTTCAAAGCATCAGGACAGAGTCAAATACGGTGCAAAAACAGCGTATCAAATGTGAAAATGTTGAAAAATGCTTCTCAATGGAACTTATATTTTACGTTAGGGCTGGGAGATAAACCGAATATTTATCGATACCAAAATTCACAACAATATCCGACGTAATTTTGCCCAGGTCAATATATTCAGTGTCAAAAAAATAAATAAATAAAAGTTGGTTTTGGATGTGTGTAGGTAGGCTATGGTCTTATGTCCCTTTAAGACACTGTCCTACATCAGAGATGTGACTGATTTTTCTAAAGTTTCGCATACTGTGTGTCCACTTCTGACCAATCAGATTGCGTGTTGTTGCGACGTCTGATTCACTAGTATATCCAACATGGCCGACCGGCTGATTATTTACGTGTCAGAGAACAGAGTGCTTTTTGATAAAAGACACAAACATGACAAAGAGAACGTCCTGAAGGACAACATAGCATCGGATTTCTCATATGACGATGGTTTGTGTGCTTTAACAGTTTGCTAAACGTCTTTGTTTTAACTTTCATCTGTGCTAAGTAACTTTAGCTCGTAAGCTAACCTGTTCAGATACAACATACCATATATTTCACTGTCTTAAACTCAATCACGTTGCTGTCACAGCACCATTAGGTCTCGGTTGTTACCTTACGTTTATGGATTATAGTTTAATGTGCTTATCTGGTACTAGCCCCGACTCAGTACATGCTATCATGACTGACAGACATCTCAACACTAGTGTCTAATCAGAACTGAAAAACACTCAGTCTGCTGTTGTGTCAGTATTCTCACTTCCACCCGGGACGCGTCTTTTTCCCCCCATAAAGTCGCAAAATCACATTGGGCTTGATGTGTGTAGTCAGGCGCGTCAAAATTCGGCTCTGAATATTTCATAATTTTGCGTCGTATATTTGCGTCGGTCCCGGTGTGTAAGGACCTTTAGACCTGCAAACCACCAAATTCAGTTTTTGTACACATTTGACAAAGCGTATTAGCACTTTAGGGAATTATGATTTTTCTTTGCTCACCTTGTGTCATGTAAACCAGGCTTCCTGTCAGCAGAGCCACACAGTTGGTGGGCTGATGGTTGTGCAGGTACTGGAACCCCCAACCTCTTACGTAGGACTTCTCGTACATCAGGCGTGAAGCGTTGCCGATCACCTGGAGGAATCGCTCCTGTTGGCCTTTATTCAGATACTCATACAGGAAGTCGTAGGCGGTGGCGAACCCAACCAAAGAGTGCGCCAGAGGAACCTCATCCCAGGGAGCGTCTTTGACTAACCTACAGCAGCAAAATAAGAGGAAGCTGTAAGGAAGGCATGGACATATGTGGAGCAGGTGGAGAACAACATTCAATGGTAAGCAGGTGTGAAACTTTAACAGTTTAAATTAAACCCTGGCAAATCATTTGACACGAATGAGACGTCTTTCCACTGGAAAACCTTTTAATTACATTTAACACGGCTGTAAAACTTCTAATCACTCTCAAAGCAAAGAGAAAGATGCTAAGTAGCATTTTACACCACATTTACAGCTGCACCGTCACGCAGCAGTAAAGTGCGTTTTAAAGAAGCATTAAAAGTGAAGTGTGTGCAAATCCTCTGCTGGTTAACAGGCGCTGGGATCTGAGATGCTGATTCTGTGAATTTTAGGAGTGCAAAGTGTTCAGGTCGTAAAAAAGTGAACAGTGTTTCATTATTATTCTGCTTACTTTGATAAAATGAACTTCAGATGTGGTGAATGAATCACCCTCCTAGTCTGAATAAGCACACTAGATATAGCATACCAGGGTTTTTCCTGCGTTCAAAATTGCGTGGCGGCCGCCTCCACCTAATTTTGTGCCGCCCCCGGCCAGAGCGATTGATTTCGCTCAACACAGCGTAAAGCTCCAGCTGTGTTGATTGAGTGTATGATGTCCCTCTGCTGCAGCAACGTATTTTAACTGCAGTTGCAGCGTTGCGCCACTATAGAGGCGCTATATCAACAGCAGTGCACCGGAAAGACTTGAAGCATCTACCGAAGAAGAAACGGATCGAATTTTTTCAAGTTTTTTTCCCGCTAGTTGGTGCTATCGGCGTCCTGATTTTCCCTGGCGGATGGTACAAACAGGTAAATACTGCTTGTCTTTTTTGCATCCAAGCATGACGTGTTTATTTAAAAAAAAAGTTTCCTCCGTTTTTTAGCGTTGCAGATATGACAGGCAAAATCAGCCAGTACTTTAAAAAGCGACCTCGCAAGGAGGAAAGTCAAGAGTCCAGGTGAAACACAGCAGAGAAAAAACGTAATAGGCAGTTAAAATGCTATAATTCATAGTGGTGACAACGTGGAAATTTGTGTCAGGTCTGAAAGTACTTCACAAGGGACTGGTGATCGCGAGGGTCAGAATGCAGGACAGGACGAGTCGGCGAGGCGAGGGTAATTAATTAATTAGTTTCCAATTAGGAGCATAACAACGCAAAGCCAACGTGTACGTGGTTTTTATTCCTCTTTCCAGATTTTCTCAAAAACACAGAGCCAGTGGCTTTGACAAGCAATGGCTCAATCAATTTACCTGGCTCAGGCATACTGAGGAAGGCATGCACTGCTATTTATGCCAAAAGCACTGTGCCCCAACACAGCAGGCAATTGCTGCCTCCTTAGTGAGACAGCCATCAACCAACTACAGGCTGGACACATTAAAAAGACATGAGGTGATAGCCGTTCACAAAGCAGCAGAAGAGAAGGAGAAATATATTAAAGATGGTAGTACCTAAAAACACTCAACTAATAAATAATAACTAATAATTAATAAAAAATAAATAAAACTAAAAGAACATAGTTTAGATAGTTTAAGAAATAATTAGTTGTCGTTTTGTTTTTTTTAGGGAGGACACTGCAGCGTATACATATATATAATATATGATTGAAAACACTATCACTCTTCATGTCTGTATCAGAATAAAAACAAAAATACTTAATGCATGATGAATTGTTTTGTTTAAGGTGAAGACACCTCTGTGGAACAGACTGAAGGAGAGGCACTTGGATGTCTGTTGTAAGGTGGCTGTTGATGGACCAGACCAGGAGGCCTTGGACTACAAGGAGTGCATGAGGAGGTTCTACAGAATGAAAAAGAGGAGGCTGAAATGTTCTGTCTGGTTGCGAGATGTGTGGATGAAGTGTACTTTCAATTTAAAGTTGCCAGCTGATTTGTGTATGTATATAGTTTTAATAAATGAATGCTTTAACATGATAATGGTCACACTCTTTTTTGAACTCTTAACTTAAAGTATGTTGCCTGTAAAAGAAAGTGAGACAGTTGAATTTACAAATATATGCACGTCATGGCGCATGGTCAGGATGGTGCCACCTCTGCCTCAATTTGAGCCAGGAAAAACCCTGCATACTGAGTCTTAAACAGAGTTGGTTAAAGTTTAACCAGAAGCTAAAGTTCTCCATGTTGTCAAAAAGGAAAGTCCGCTGAAAAGAAATGTTCCCCTTTAAAGAAAGTAACATAACAAAATGCTAAATAAGACATCCAATAAAAATAATGCTCTAAGGCTGAATCAGAGATGGACTGGACATCAAAAATGTGAGATGTGATGGAGATATCAGTTATATGTCCTGACATGTGTAACGCTGTCACCACTTCATCGTTGTCCGGCTATAATGCGGCCTCTTAATTCTGATAGTTCTGCAGACATGCTATGAACTGTAGAATGTAAACATGCACACGAGTCGCCATGCCTTTATCATCAGAGGTACCCTGAAAACCTCCAATTAGGTAAGAGTGATTACAAGACTGTTATCCAGCTCATTTCAGTGCCTGTTACAGTCGAGAGCACAAACATATGAGCTGCTAACTAACAGGACTATAGGGTGTTTACTTCTAGCATCTACAGCTGCAGTGCACTTACATCATTGTGATGTGAATCAGTAATTACCATTCAAGAGACTACGATACAGATTAAACAAACAATATCAAATTAATATCAACAGGTATTATCAATTAAATGTAAGTAATTTGTTTTATAGTGCAACACGGTGCTCCTTTGATGTTTCTTTTTTGCCTTTTGTGGCTTTAACCGTCCACGTAGAGCTGCTGTCAGATGCCCAAACACCGGAGGACAAAGCATGAGAAAAGCAGAAAATGACCTCAAAGATCAAAATTATGAATATATAAAAAAAGATTTCTGCAGCCCAAGCATGCACAGTGTAAAGGCCCATGTGTGTACATGGCAAGGAAGGTACTTCCAGCTTCTTTTTGTGCCAATCAGAGTATCCTAAAGACAAATCTCCCTCAGAACAGACTCAAACTACTTCCTCTCGGGCACCTTTGTCACTCTAAAAATGGCAAATTAGTAACTGCAAAGTTAGTGTGTTACTGCTCAATCAAATGCACAGTTTAAACAGTGTTTGATTTGAGGATGTATGGATGGTTTATTATTAACTTGTGCAATAAATAACCAGCTTTTACTGCAACTTAGAGCACCTGCTTTTACTTTAAAGCTGCAAACCGAGAAGCTGCAACAAACTACAACTTGAAAAAAAACTGACAAGCATCAAATCTGCCGAGGTATAAAAACATCAGACTCTCTATTTAACTCTTAAAAGTAAACGGAGTATGAATAAAACTCTGGTAAATGTGTGGAAGGAAGAGGAAGGTACTTTTTAGATCTGACGCAGTACAAATGTCGGTGTTACCTGACTCTTTTCAGTTATTTCTCACATCTTAAAGGAGCAGTACATAAAAGAAAGTGCAGTAATAAAGCATGAAATAACAATTTGATGTTGCCATTTGATGCTGTTAATACATGGTTTCCTCATGTTAAGTGGCAGCTGAGGTTTATTTGCAAACCGCTTCCTGTCTGGTCATGTAAATGAACACCAGATGGATTAAAAGCTTCTTTACGTTGATGTTTAACCATACGGAAACACACAGGACCGCTATAAAGTGAATATTACTGTTGGGCTCTATATGAAACACTCTTGTCTGTATGTTAAAGAGAAAGAGTGGTGTCTGCAGCCGTTCACCGCATAGCACACGCTCTCCATCCGAGCATGTTCCCTGGCGATGTTGGAGACATAATTGAGGGTCATGAATACCGCAGAGGACTGGTTCCTGGAGCCACTCTGCACAAACCCTCAGAGGTTCGGTGACCATAATAAAAGTGCGGCCAGGGAGAAAAACTCACACAGCGCTCCGCAGACGTGAAAACACATGCTCGGTGGCTTCTCCTTTCTGCACTGTGGCACACATACCCGCGGTGTGAGAAATCTCTTGCAAATTGCTCTAATTCCACGCTGTCTAAACCCCCCAGAAATGAGCGGGTGGAAAATCCCCTTCCTCCTGCTCAGTGGCCGGAGGCAACTCAGCAGCCATGCAGTGAAATGAGGAGGATTAAGCTGCTAGAGCCCCCCCACCCCTCTCTCTGCATGGAGGAAGAGGGGAGACTGTCCCAGAGTCAGCTGAAAGTCTGAGCTGAATTCAGGTATTTTTTTAAACTTGGCCTCTTCTGATTTTTAGTATTTTTTTATTTTTTATAAACTGGAATCTAAATGAGAATGGAAACCATGGAAATGACTCAACAGTTTGCTCCTGCAGACACAAAACAAGCTGCAACCCTTGAGAGCAAAAGCCCCACCACAGTGTGTCCATAAGAAGTGTTTTGTTGTGGTACATTTAATGTGGATACAAACTAAGGATGCAACAGTTCTCATAGTATTGTTGAACCATGCGATACTGTTTGATACGTGCTTGTTAGCTGCAGAATTTGGAGGAACTGTGTTGAATAGTTCCCTTAAAACCTGATATCTCTGTGTTTACTTATTTTACAACCCAGGCACTGCAGCACCTTCTTCTTTCACTTCCCTAAAGCTATGAACTTTTGACTCATGAAACACCTGCAGGGTTATAGACTGTAAAGATAAACAGCGAGAAGAAAGTGAGCAGTTATGGAAATCGCACACATTATCATCAACAAAGTGGTTTATTTACTTCGTCTTCAATTTTCGTTGATAAACTTACAGGAAAAATTGGAGGTTAAAGCTCCTGTGAAATTCATAATGATCCTTTTCAAGATTTAAGAAAGCAAAAAGGACCATCAGCAACAAGACTAGTGATGTTTTATACTGTATTTTAAATGCTTTAAACTAGTTTAAGGAGGTAGGTGTCAGGCGAGCAGCTGAAGAAACAGCCCTGTTTTTAATTTTCCACAATAAATGACACATTTGACTGTCAAAATCAGCAGGATTAGACTTTTTTGTATCAGAGGACACCATTTAAAAGAATAGTCCAGTCCGAGTTAGCCACCCCCTTGAGAGATGAATGTTGCCGACTGCTTGCTTCTCTAGTTATACCAACTTTAGTAACGACCGCACAATAGCAATACACAGCGGTCTGAGGAGCCATCAACAAACCTCAACCAAAACGTCACTCTATAGCCACAAATAATGCTCAGAACAGCACCTAACTTCATCAACAGAACATATACAATACACATAAGAACATTTATGATCATTTTTTTTTATGATCAAGTTCTTCCTTGAGCTGCGTCACCCCACTGTAGTCCGTAATGGACTGGACAGAGGTCTCGCTACAAACAAGCGGCTGTTGGAAGAGAGTGGGTATATCCCTTTAAGCATGTAGAGGACACAACCCACAGGGGTTGCCACCATTTAAACAAACTCAAAGTCCCTGACAGGAACTTTAAATGGCTGACATTCATACAACACAAAAAGATAAACAACAAAACTGCATCTTTTGAGGTTTTTGGTGTCAACAAACAACCAAACGTAGCTAAGAAATCACTTTTTATGTTTCCCATGCAATTCCACAAGGAATTGTGGAATTAAGCATTTGAAGTTACGAAGCAGGAATGCAGCAAAACATATCAGATTAGGTGTATAGCTATTTATACAGGGCAATGTTAACTTCCTGACTACATAATATAGAAAGGAAGTAAGAAAGGATGTAATGAAATGTTGAAGTGAATAGGAATTCACTTTGGAGGAAAAGAGGGAGGCAATGGCAGCAGAGCTGGGTTATAGGCAGAATAATAAGAATGTAAAATGAATGTTTGCTTCATGATCACTCTGCTGTGGTTATTACTCACATAACCACCTGCACTCCTACTGAGTTTTGCATTCAATAAAAAGTGAATTTTAACTCAAGTATTCTTAAAAAAGTCACATAGTGGGCGTTGACTGTGTTATATTTTGTGAATATATTTGAATGAACAGCAGCAGGTTAACTCTGGGCTCAGCCATTCCCTAAGGATCCCTCTCTGAGACCTTAAATCCTTTAGACTGTGAAATAAAAAGCTGTGGAGGACTGAGACTCAGTGAAAGGCTGTAATCCACTTCAGCCATTTTGCAGTTCCCAGGCAGAACTAATTTTCATTGAACGTAATCGAATTGTTTAGGAAATAAGGAGCTCTGTTCACGGCTGTGCAGACGAGGCCGACTCTGAAAAGCCTGAGACTAAACAGGCTGAATAGGTGGATGGAGTCAGCTGACCTGATGGTTGTACTTTTCACAGTTTGAAGTAAAGTCAGAGGGGTCTTTTGCTGCTAGGTTTGAAATGGTATTTTCTGCTTAAATCTGATTTTAGTCCACAGAAATACAGGGAACTCCTGCCTTGACCCAAGTATTAGACAACTCTGACAAAACTGATTCTTATAGAAGACTGTAAATGCTGCACTGGTCTCTAGCTTGACTGTTCTTGGTCAGCTGGTTGCAAATACAGCTTCTGCTTAGTCAGCAAAAGGCAGAAATAACACCATTTCACAAAAATGAAACTATCAATTATCATAAATTAGTATCATTTTTATTGTATTTGGGTACAAACAGTCTTTAAACCTCTGATTATCCATGGGCTCAATTTGACCCCATTCAATGTTTAACATTTAAAAGATAATCGTTGACTTTTGTTTTCTTGTTTCATATTTCATGACTTTTCCTAATTTGATGGGGACAACTGATCAAGCATAAAATTTTCATGATGATGTATTTTTTATGTGCTGTACACATATTACACACATCTGTGTTCCTTTGGGGTCAATTTGACCCCAAGCTGTTTTCTTGTGTAAAACTTGTCTGCGTGTGTGTGTGACCTAACATCCCCATACCTACAGCTGCAGAGTTGATATTTTTGAGTTGATACATAACATGGGGGTGGGGAAAACAACTATTCCCTCCGGAACGTGATACTTTTTGTGGAGTGGACATGTGGGAAACAACTTGACTTGAGCTCCTGCCAAAATGAGGAAGCCACTATAGACTAGCAAGTTGATCACACCCAAGTCTTACCAACTCAATGAATAAATAAAGCACCTGACAAAAATCTTGGTCAACAATTGCATGTAAATCATTTTCTGGAGGCAAATATACCTGGGGTCAGATTGACCCCAAGGGTAAAATGTGTTAGTAATATTTGAGGATATTAGAAGGGTTAAACCACTCGTACGGCAGAAAAGCTCCTCGATGTCTCAGAAACACGGAGAAGTTATCACCAGTAAGATGACGGTCTCACGGAGCGAGTGGATTTTGCCCCTTTCCGTTATTAGAGCTGATGTTATTCACTCAGCAGTCATGCTTCAAAGATGCTTCATTATATCCATAAATGATTCCCAAAGGGGGCGTCAAATTAACATTAAGAGGTTAAGAGAATTGTGTAATATGTTATTTGATCGACTTCCTGTTCCAGCTCCATTTTTTTCTCACATAATGTATGCTTTAGAAGTTAAAGTGCATTTCAGTAGGTTCAAAAGCAGCAAAAACCAAGTCATTCAACTCAATTTTTATACTATTTTGAAGAATTATGTGATAAAAATGTCAAATAAATCTGCAAAAAAAACACCTCCCTCAACACTTTAGCACTCATTTGATTCTGTTGTGGCTAAACTCATGTGCCCAGAAGATACACTCTTCTGCAAAACTGTTTGGACAAAACAGGAAATAAAAGACTTTGACTCTAGTTCACATTTAACGCTTACGGCAGAGAGGAGTAAATCCCTGTCTGGTCACCTGAACCCTCGACCTCTCCCTCACCTTGGACCACAGTAGTGGGCGATCCAGTTCACATCTGAACATTTCATTTCCTTTCATCTGAGGGGGGAGGGGGGACATGTTCAGCAAACAGCTGCTAAACATATTTCCTGGACTACAGACCTGTTTGACCATGATGTATCTTTACCAGAGCTCTGCCCACTGAGAAAGACGAGAACACTCCTGAGACCGGACTGAGGAGAGAGCCTCCGAGTGGGAGGATTAGCTCTCAAACCAAGATGAAGCACACATGGGGGTGACTGAAATCAGGTACCATCTGTAAACTCTCCAGAGATTTCCTCTGAAAAAAGTTACACACAAAGGAGGACAAAACTGAAAAGTTAACCCTGATGTGTAAAAACTCCAGGTTTTAAAGCAGCTATGAAATGGACTGTAGCGGCTGCTACATGATCCCTGTAACAAATGAGCCCAATGGAGTGTGTTGACTTTTACATCTGGATCTTACGACTCACTTTTTGGTCCTTTTTGTGTAGCAGCCAGTACATGCCCCTAAACATGAATGAGCACTGGGATAAGTGGGACAACACTGTCTTAAATCTGTCCAACTTCATCATTTTCCAGGTATCTGTGGTAGCAGTGTCTCGACTCCTGTGCATGTTTACATTCTGCAGTCATATAACACACAGATACAGACTCTGCTTGCACAGCAGTCAGATCCTCTGTGTTCAAATGCATTATAGCAGTTTAAGATGGACTGGAACCCCAAGAAGTGGTGACAGCTTGACGTGTTTAGGGTCGTGGGACTGGCATTGCAGGTCTTGTCCTAGTTTTTTGGGTACCAAATCAAACATTTTTGAAGGGATACTCCAGTATAAAATCAATTTAGGGTCAAACACACCATAACACCGAGTTAGACACCCCCCCAAGAGATGAATGTTGTCGACCGCTTGGTTCTCTAGTTATACAAACTTTAGTAATGACCTTACGATAGCAATACACAGCAGTCTGCTTTGCCGTAATGGACTGGCCCAAGGTCTCGCTACAAACAAGGGGCTGCTGGAAGAGAGTCGGTGAGATGTGTTTAGTCTCTTTTTCAAAGATATCAGGCAAAGTTAAAAAGATGTTTGGTGGCTGGTACTATGGCTGGGACCCTATATGTACTCTTGATCGCCATTTGTGTCTATAGAGTGGCGTTTTGGTTGAGGTTTGTTTATGGCTCCTCAGACCGCTGTGTATTGCTATCATGCGGTCGTTACTGAAGTTGGTATAACTAGAGAAGCAAGCACTCAGCAACATTCATCTCTCAAGGAGGTGTTTAACTCGGTGTTACGGTGTGTTTGACCCTCCATTAAATTTACGCTGAAATATCCCTTTAACCCTAAAGTCACACAAAAGTGAATTAATTTATCTATGGAATCAGCTGTTCTGATATGTGGACAGTTTTTCTTCATGGACTTTTGAAGTAAGGCTTATAGCCTGTATTTCTGTCAGTATCTAACCTCAGGGATCATAACAACGTCAGCCTGTCAGAGGTTTAAAACCAGCACCTGTGGCTGTACTTTGATCAGGCACATTTCCCTCAGAGGATTACACTAAAGCTGATCTGACTGTTTCCAAGCTGCAAGCTGAAAGAACACTTCAGACTTTAAAATAAGAAAAAAAATATCTTCACAACAAGCAGACTTTGGTGTGTGGCCTCTTATCAATGAAAGTAACGATAAAATAATAATAATAAGAGACAGAAAATGTACCAACTAGGCTGAGCCGCCATCCTCTCCATGTAGTCCTTTGCGAGGTCAAGCGCCCCGGCCCTGTGTGGGTACAGCAGGCAGAACATGGACAGCACGCCCAGGTTGTTCCCGTACACCTCGTTCCAGCGGGCGCTGAACTCCGCAGGGCTCCAGGGCGGCAGGTACTCCTCCGGGTGCTCCAGCATGGTTTCCCCCGCCTCACGGATCCTCCTCGCCATATCCCGATGAGTCCCTCCGGCGGCGTACTGCAGCTCCTCCACGTCCCCCCGACCGAAGTACAGCATGGGGTGACCATCGTAGTTCCCGCCCATGAAGGGGATTCCACCGCTGGGGTCCACCTCCGCCGCCGCTGCCAGCAGGGGCCACAGCAGACTTATGAAGAAGACTGTGGGGGCCCCGCGGGTGTGGGCTCTCATCGTCTCATCAGAGAGGGGGCTGAGGCAGAGCCGAAGGAGCTCAGCTGAGAGGGAGAAAAGGGGGGGAAGAGAAAGATTTGAGAGAGTCGGCTTGGTTAGCGCACAAAAGCTCTGCATTCCTTGAATAATGAGATACAGCTGCAGTCTGATGATGCAGGCTTTCCATACTGATGCAGGCCCAGCGAGGGCCGCACGGGCAAACCCTTCCCACTACTGTACGATAGCGTAGGAAACATTACTGTAAACACTCACTGTAAGACATGAACCCTTTCAATCCTCACTTTCATTACCCACATCCTCTCTGTTTTATCTAAGCTTTACCTCCTCGGCTGAGTCGCTCATGTCAGACAAGTCTAGCCACGCACACCCAGATGTCCAGACGAGGCCTGGAGGTCATAAATGAACCATTACTGTGGCAACATTACCCCCGGTCTAGTGAAACCACCTCTAAACCAAAGCCCCGAGCCTCACACAGAGACGGAGAGCAGACTCCACTCCAACATGAGAGTAAATTCCATGACCTGAGAGCAGCTTTTGGCAGAGGCTGCATGGAAAAAAAAAAAAGCTTTTGGTGGTGATTTAAGCCGAGTCTAGACAAGAGTCCATGCAGCATCGAGCTGTCCAGGGTGTGCATGTATTATGCAGCCTGTCCAGAAGATCATCCGAACCATCAAGATACCTGAGAGCTCATTTATCAGGCTTCACTCTTCACTTTACAGAAGACGCCTGTTTCCCTCAATCTATCATCTATATTCTTGCTATATTGGGTTCATAAGTGGGTGTGTCCAACTCTGCAGGGATTTGTGGGCTCATAGTGTTTAATGACATTTTAAAATACCAAAGCATCACTGTAATGTGAGGGTTATGACAGAATCAACACATATGAGGATCTCAGTGAGGCAACTAACTGAAATAAGGGTGCTGATCATTAACTTTTGGTTAAACTGAAGGCAAAACAGTCAAACCCATTCATACAACAACATTTATGTCCATTAGATATTAATGAGATTAGTTGTAGTAAGCAGCATGTTTATCAGCCTGCCATTAAATAAAGCAGAGGACAATCTCATCGTAACCTGACCATCGACTTGCACTCTTAACCTTAGTAAACTCATAGAGTTTTAACCTGGCTGGGCCATCCAGTTGCGTGAATCACTTGCCGTTCCTTCCCACAACAGTCTGGACTTCGGCCAATTGGGAGCGTGTATTAGAAATCAGAAAATAACCGGGCCAATCAGTAGCTACGTTTACATGGAGCCAAATATTCCGAATATAATCGGATTAGAAGCCCAATCGGAATGAAAATGCTCCATATAAACACCTCATTCGGAATAAACAGGCCCATTCCGAATGGAATTTCATTCCGATTCACAGGGGTAGAATATTCCTTTTCCCATTCCGATTAAAAGCAAAATCCTGTCATGTAAACGGTGAATCGGAAAGTTGTCAGGCTGGGTTCTGTCTGCGCATGCTCTGTCCTGATGTAAACAAGCAGTGACGTATGACTCACATGGAAACATGATGGCGGATTCCAAGCAGAGCACGATGCACTGGTCTGCGTCGGAGATCACGTGATCAATCAATCACGTGATGTTTGAAGGTATCACGTGTCTGTAAATAGCTGTTCCGATTGAATGCCGTGGCACATGTAAACACCAGATCAGAATAGATCGCTTCCATGTAAACAGTTCGCCTGGGAGCTTCAATCGGAATGATTATAATCCGAATGAGAAAAAAGTCTGCATGTAAACGTGGCTAGTGACTGTGTTTCCACTGTTCCCCGGACAACAGGGAAAGGCAGCCCCTGATTGGTCCATGTGTAGATGGTGATGTCTAACACATGTTGCGAGACTCATTCAGAACGTGCTGTTCATTCAGAACACCGTTAATTCTGCAGTTGACTTTGCAAAGTCGGCAGAAATCGTTTATATTTGCAGAAAAAGACGTAAAAGACATTGTTTGCTTGCACACGTTGAAATATTACCAAACCTTTACTTGATGCTAGAGAGCCCAGCAGGGAACAGTTGCGCATTGTGATGACGTCAGATGTTTGGTTACGGTGATTGGTTAGAGTAGTCTGTCTATCAAGGAAAGTACTCCCGCCCACTTTTAGGGCTCCCAATTGGCCGAAGTCCAGACTGTTGTGGGAAGGAACGGCAAGTGATTCACGCAACTGGATGGCCCAGCCAGGCTAATAGAGTTTAGGATTTTCTACAAAAATGAAGGACATTCGCTGACAGAAACAACGCCAAAATATCTGAGAAGCGCCTTGTGTTTAACCCGACCATTGATTGACACTCTTGACCTTAGTAAACTCATTGAGTTTAGGTTTTTTTCCAAATTGAAGGACATTCACTGACAGAAACAATGTCCAAATATCTAAGAAGCACCTTGTGTGTAACCCGACCATTGACTGATACTCGTGACCTGAGTAAACTCATAGAGTTCAGGATTTTCTACAAAAATGGACATTAGCTGACAGAAACAACGCCAAAATATCAGAGAAGCGCCTTGTGTGGAAATATTTTGGGTTCTTTCCCACAGAAAGCAAAATAAAAGCCAAAGATAGGACTGTATGTCCTCTTTGTTCTGAGCAGCTGTCTACTCTTTAATAATAACAAATCTGCAGGCTCAGCTGTGAGGCAGCAGAGGAGGTACAGTACTTACTTTGGAGTGAGGGTTCCTTATTATCGGGCCTGATATTCAGCATTTGGCAGATTTTTTGAATCAGCATTTTATCTTACAGATGGCAAATAAAACTAAATCATGGAAAGTGCGTTACTTTAATTTTATGATCTGGCTTCTTGCACCACTTTGTCTAATTATACAACCACTAAAACACTGCAGAATTGGCTAGATGTCTTATGACAGTGTGAAAGAAATGTGCAGGATTATACTAACAAAAACAAGTTCAGGTTTAAGATGGTGTATCTGATAGTCAGTCTTCATTTGCAGTAACGGAAACGACTATTGTGAGATGACAAGAGAGAAATCTTTATCCTTTTACTGAGAACAGGAAGTTTATTTTTAGAGACTTAATTTTAGGTGACAACAAATTTTATACATAGAAGTACATGCAAAATCATTTTTAGTAGTGATTAGATAATATTTTAAACCAAATGATTCCATATTTTTCATTCTTGGGCCTCATGTGATCCTTCAACCCTAACTCAGGTATTTTACACATAACAATTAACCATATAAATAGTTTATCTAGTTAGTCAGATTGACTATTTTCTGTTAATATTCAGAGCTGAAACGATACATCATTAAATCAATCACTGTACATTAATACCAGCTGTGCTCTAACATAGGGAGGTTCCAGCCTCACCCATGAACATTAATCACTGCAGGAAATTTCGTAAGAAGAGGTCAATCTTGGCAAATAAACTCAATAATGTCTCAATAAGTCCAAGTGGTGACAGTAACGGTAATGGCCATGCTAATAGTGAGGCTTAAGTCTGATAGTAAAACAGAGAGATTTGTTTTTTAAAGCTGAGGCAATTTAATTTAATTCAACGCAAAAATCTTCCACACTTGTAAAAGTTTCACCAATGTAGTGGGTCTGTTTCTTCTCCTAACCCCAGGGTGTTGAGAGTCTGTTTTTTGGGGGTTTCAAATGACTTTAAAGCTGTAACAAATATTTACTTTCATGTAGGGCTGGGTGATCAATCAGACTTTCATTTCATTCATGGTTGTGGCTCCCAATGATCAGAAATACAATAATCTGAATCTCTAATTAAGAACAAAAAAGAATATGTGAACAGACACAAAAAAAATGCATTTTTTTCATCTTTCAGGTCATGTTTTTGGTGTGTAATATCTTGAAATAAAACATTTTGCTAGACTTGTCCAGTGAATGTGTCAAAAACTAAACCTAATCAGACTTTTTCTTTAATTGAAACAAAATAACTTGCTATGATTCAAACTTTTGCTGAGAAAAAGGTGAACAGTCTCCATCCAAGCACTTCAGGGTCTAAGATGACATCTGTATATGTCTAATTCATTCTAACTCCTCAAACCCAGACATGTTTTAAGCAGAAGATTTCTAATCTAAGCAGAAACATATTATCCCGCTGGTTATTTGCAAAGTAAAATCATTTGTTTGAACTTGGGAGCTTTTTGTTCACTGAAGCAGTAAATAAACAGGAGATTACCTTTAATATGTAAATAACTCAGTCATGGTTGTATGTGTACCCCAAATGGGTCACCTCATGAGCTCTTATATCAGTTTTGTCTCTGTTTATGTTATAATTATTAGATTTTGCCCATTAAATGACACTTAAAATGGTTTCTTATTTCCTTAGGGGTATTTCAGCTGGCTTTGACACTTGCCTTAGGTGGATTTTTCTTTAATTAACGCTGGAATTAAAAGAAAATACCAAAATAAGGACTAAATGAAACCATAACAGGGCAGAGAAAACGTTCACTAGCTTATTTAAGACCTATATTTTCCACATTTAAAGTGACCTAAATTCAGTCTAAGGTTATGACTCAGTTTGCATTAATACAGAGTTTGAAGGAGTTGAAACAGCAGTAGTTTTGACGATAAATCACATCAAACTGTCAAAGTTATTTTCACAGGACACTTCGCCCTAAAACCTCTCCAGCAAAAGTTTAAAATACTTCTTTATTTCTCTAACTTTTCCTCAATGATGACCCTTTTTTTCCCCCATATATTTCCTCTTTTCCTCTAACTTTACTTGTCAAAACTCCCCCTCCTCTTTACCTCACTTTAAAGGGTCACTTTACAGCCACACCGCTTATAATCGATGGTATTGATAATCCAAAATCTGCGCACAAAAGTCGCCTTGTTCCTGAAGTGGAGCCTGAAAACTCTCGGTGGAAAAAAAAAAAAAGCGTTCCCGTTACCTGTCAGAAGCTCTGCTCACAGATCCGGGTCCCCGTCCTCTCTGCGGACATTTCAGAGGTTTTCAGACGATAAGAAATGAGTTTAAAAGTTACTTTGAGGGGGAAAAGAGGGGGAGACGGAGCGGAGAGAAAGAATGTGTGTGCGCCGAGGGAGCGTCATGCTGGCGGGGTGAGGAAGAGGAGGGGGAGGAGGAGGAGGAGGGGCTGCAGGAGGAGAGGGGAGGACTTAAAGGAGAACTAATCAAGTGTTTCCCCTTCCCTCCGCTCACTGAGAGAACAGGTATACGGTGGTCGAGAACCGCCACTGCTGCAAATAAAAAAAGAAAGGTGCAGATTTAAAAAAAGCCACAATGGAAGTTAACATGCAAAAAAAAAAAAAAAAAAGTTATTTACTGTGAAAATAAAAGGATGCAAATAAAAAAAAAGCCACAATGGAAGTTGATGATGAAAAAAAAAAAAAAAAAAAAGAGATTGCAAATGAAGTTACCGATGCAAAAAAGAAACTGAAGACCGCTGGTGATGCAAAAAAAAGAAAAAAAAAGAGTAACTTAAGTGGGGTACACACATTAAGATAATCAAGTTAAAAAGATGTTTGGTGGCTAGTGCTATGGCTAGGACCCTTTATGTACTGTTGATGAAGTTAGGTGCTGTTCTGAGCATTATTTGTGGCTATAGAGTGGCGTTTTGATTAAGGTTTGTTTATGACTCCTCAGACTGTTGTGTATTGCTATAGTGCGGTCGTTGCTAAAGTTGGTATAACTAGAGAAGCAAGCACTCAGCAACATTCATCTCCTCAGGGGGTGTCTAACTCGGTGTTATGGCGTGTTTGACCCTTAATTAATTTTACGCCGGAATATCCCTTTAAGAGAGTGTGCATTAAAAAGTGAGAGCTTGGTGATATCCAATGCTGTAGGTTTTCTTCCTCACTTCACTCTCAGGCTTCTGCAGGTTTATTTTTGTGTGTTTTTCGTTGTTGCTGTGATTTGCAAAAAACTCAAAGAAACACTATTTTTTTTTTATAAGAAAACTGTAGAACATTTTATTTCATCGACAGTACGTCAACACTAAAACACAGAATTCAACTTTCCCTGTGTTTTAAGGAAATTAAGACCACAAATGCTTCCAACATAAGGCAAATGTGCATGTCAAATTTTCCAGGTCAGATGAGAAAAGAAGAGTACAATCACAACAGCTGTATGCATTAAAACACCTGCACACACAGCACAAGTAAGAACTCACTTAGGATGACCAATCCCACGTACACGCTGAGAGCTGGCTGCAGCTTTTTTTTTTTTTATCAAAGTATTCTCAAGTAATCTGACTTTATTTGTGAGATGATGGTCATCTTAAAGAAACACTTTGACATTTGGGAAATCCTACAGTTTAAAAGCTTACGCAGAGCTAGATGAAAAGGCAAAAACCAGAGTTATCTTTGTGTGTTCAGGAGAGAAAAGTCTGGGGTGTTTAGCTGAGCTTTGAACCAGGAAATAAAAGAGTCTATTCAGCAAACCACATTAAACTTAAACTAGTGTTAGTTCTATGTTTTATAGGACTTTAAAAAGCTAAACTTAACAAAATTTAAGGATCTGTGAATGTCTAAAGAAGCGGTAATGCTATTAGTTCAAAGTTTGACCCACACAAGTGACCTTTTAATCAAATCTGTGCTCACTCAATCATGCCTCCTTCCCCTTCACACTCATTACAAGAACACTGCTACTATGCTATTGCAAGTTAAGCTATTGGCTTGCTTATTTAAAATAATCTGTCAGCCATCATTCAGTGTTTAAGTTTAGAGGCTATGGTTCACTCAGCTCGGCTAAACACTGACCAGATTCACAAAGATGAACTAGAAATGAGTTATCTGTGATGTGGCAGCAGCACGGAAACTTACACAGATTTATCCCAAATGCAGTGTTTCCTTAAATATTATGGCACAACTTGTTAATGCACACCGACAAAATAACCATTCAGAAGTCGGTTAAAGCATATATCTCAATCTGGTACTGCATATGAATGAACACACGAGAAGTCCACATTTTAACACAATCACCCGAACAGCACATGTCACTGTTGCACCAAAAAAATAATACAGAGAACATCTAGCATAGTTTTTATCATCAACTGTTATTACTATTATTAAGTGTTTCCCAAAGATGTGGTTCCTATGACAGCAAACACAAAGTACAGCTTTGTGCTGATTCTTTAGCAACAATGACCTGAAGATCAGCACCGTCTAAAAAAAATAAAGTGACACAGCTGGAACTCAAGAGCTTAAGAGGAATCCTGATGCTCTGAACTGGGGCCTCTATATTAACATATTTTTGGATATCAATGAAAAACAGGTATGAAAAAGTTTGATGTTGTATCAGTAACAGCTGGTCTGAAATCCTGGTTTTAACTCAGATTGTTATTATTAAAAGAGTTCCCCCAGTAATTGACCTGTTTTTGTTTTAATAACATCAAATATTCAAACCATTTCAGCAGTTAAGTCATCAAACGTTGTTGACAAAGAATCCATTTTACCCATCTGTTCACAGGAGTTGCTAGTCTACCACTGTCTCAGTTAGACCCTAAATGTTGAGTTTAGTGTTGTTACAGTGAGTTCGGATCCCAAACTGTGTTTCTGCGGCACACGATATTACCACAACAAAGAAAAACCTAACCAGTTGAGGCGACGGTAGATCAGCAGCTCCCTGCTCTGCGATGTTTAGGGCCTATTTCCACTTAGTGTTTTTTGTACTTGCAGCATCTGTAGCAGCTAATGCTGTTCTGTATTTTTAATGTTATCGACTGTTTTTTCTGCTGCTAAAAAATTCAGTTTGAATACATTAATACATTTAAGTTCCAGTGCCATGCTTGTCAATGCTGCGTCACCCCCACTGACCAATCAAAATCAAGGAGGGTTGGACAGCTAGTCTCGACTTTTAACAACAAGGTAGAAACTAACCACACTCATTTTTTTTAAAGGAACACTTTCTAGGCCATAAACTGCTGCAGTTTAAAACCTAGCAGTAACCTAGCAACACTAAGTTTGATTTATGCTGCGTTCGAGTTATGAAGTCCGCGCTGAAAATGTCGTCACACCCAGGTTACCAGTGTTTCAGTTACCAAGTCGGAAAAAAGCAAGACGGCTACATTTACGAAAGTTATTTTAGCGCTTGCCTTGTCCGAATATAAGCAACTTTTGGACAAATATGTGATCCTTCTGCAACATCTTGTTTCCACCTCCGATTTTTTTTTTTCTGACTTGGTGACTAAAGACGTTGGTAACTCGGTTGTGACGTCATCCCCAGTGCTTAGAATCTACACTGCAGTGTATGCCGTACCTATGCTAAATCCTACAAAACAGATAATGTAGGCTGAGAACTGTCGATATAGCAAGTATAGAAATTACATCGCTAGCTAGTGTTCTGGCTAAGTATTGCAGAGTGGCGCTAACACCCTAAAGCGCAAGTTAACGGTGCTCATGACCCTGCCAGCTACAGCGCAGGAGCAAGAACCAGGCTTGTGGTTGTGGATGCTGTTAGTGGACACAGGCCCTTGTGTTAATGGGATCTTGTGCTTCTGAAAAGAGTGATAATGCTGCTGATTCTTGTTTCCAAATGGATCTTATCCTGGCATGAAGGCATTTTCTTGACAGGTCCTAAAGTGTTGAATAAACTTAGGAAACATGCGCTTTTAGTGGATTAATTATCTTTTGATTATTTGCACTTAAATACTTTAGTAAAGCCACTACGAGCCATCTTGAAGGGTCAAAATAAGCTCTGATGCAACCCTACTCTGTTCAATCTTTAATCGGCAATTTAGACCCAAAAATATGTTAAAAAATATGGCCCTGGCTTAAAACGACCAGAATTACTCTTTAAACCTCATGTTAAGGTTACTAAAACGCATACTGTAAAACTATCAAATTAAGACTCCACAATGACAGTGTGAGACAGAAATACTGGCACAATTATTCCAAAGACTTTCAGGGACAAACACAGTTTGGCAATCCGCTGACTTTCTTGAGGTAATCCCTTCAGAGTGAAACAACCGGTGAAATGTTCACATAATTCGAAGAGTTCGGATTTTTCAACAATCTACCGTACAAAATAAAGTCGGCCTCACACCTGGAACAACAGAAACACTACATTTCTTATTGGTACTGTTTGCAGACACACACACACACTTTTCATATTTCCACGTGTACGGTACACTAAACCACGAAACAACGTTCAGATGGAGGCGTTATTACAGAGAGATACTGTGGCTTACATTCACATGGTTTCTCTGAATGGGTGAGGAGTGTATGCTTCCTGTGCTCCACGGATGGCGGCGGGTTAGGTGACAAACTACAGGCAAAAATGGAGGCACATTCCTCTCCTGAGGCTGAGGGGTAAGGGAGGACTTTTTCCTACTTCTCTTTTTTTAAATTTTACGACAGACTCTCGAACCTCTTCAGAAGAGAATCTGGGGGCCTGGGGTAGTAGCCGGTGGTGCAGGGCTTGTCGGGAGAAAACCTGGGGAACTTGTAATCCAGAGGGAGATCTGCAGAAAGAAAGTAAAAATAAAAAACAGGGAGAGTGAGCTGAAAGTTATCCAGGACATGTGCGGGCCACATGCACGTTTGACGCTCCACTGCTGGGCAGAAGAAACAGCCAAAGTCCAAGAGCTGTGATTCATCATTCAGCGGAAAAGAAAACACACTTTAATACATCACATATCTGATTCTTTTCGTCTGCCTCCAGACTAAAAACAGATAATGATGAGTGGAATTACTATTTCATCGTCAACCTTTATGTCTGAACAAAATGTAAATCAGTCAAAATTCATTTCACATTGCCAAACACAGGATTAGTTCGCAGCGTGTAACTAACACTAACCGAGCTAGCCTCTAGTCCTCCGTGCAGATTAACTTCAAAACGCTTTGGCTGGTTACTCATTGCTCTGGTTAAGTGGTTATAAACGGGCTTAACTAAATTAATCTGACGCAGTTTACATACAACTTTATCTCCTTTTTCCAGATCAATATACAGACAAGACGGTGCGTCATCTGTGCTTGTTTACATCCAGGTAGTACAGCATTTGAGCATTATGGCAGCAGCTGTTAACCAGAGCTGTAGCCTCAGCTAGTGTAAGACAATTGCGGTAAAATTAGACACAACATTTAATGTACATTTTAGGCCCACACAAATTTATTTATGTGTTTACTGACGAGCAATCATGGTGCCAACTAGTGAGGATGATTAGGTTAATGTCTATGCTGAATTATATGTGTGCCTAAACTCTGGAATGCTCTTCCTCTTCATGTCCAACTGTCCCCCTCACTGCCTGTTTTTAAACCAAATTTGAAACCTCACTTTTACTCCCTGGCTTTTAACTCCTGAGAACTTGGGCTTTTAATCATATTTTTACTGGACCATCTACGTATGTCCCCCTGTTTTTAATGTGTTCCTGTGTCTTAGTTTTATTGTTCGTGTTGATTGTCTGTTTTTATTGTTTTTATTTTTTACTGTACAGGACTATGGTCAGCGTTTTGTTGTTTTTAAATGTGCTTTATAAATAAACCTGGATTGGATTGAAAATGTGAACATTTGTAACTAGAAAAGCACTCAGAGAGCGCAGACCTCCGCCAAGCAGCTCATGTCCCCCCTTAAACAAGAAATGCCCTAACCGGGATTTGAACCCAGGACCTTCTGGTTGTGAGGCGACAGTGCTAACCAGTGCACCACTGTGCCGTCCATTGGTCATCTTCAGCGTTGAAAATTCCAACAACACCCTTATTTTTGTGTGTTCTGGATCACAGTATCCAGAATTTTGTCTAGATCACCACCAAAATTTAATGGGATCCTCCTGGGGCTGAGACGCACCTCTGGTGAAAATTTCAGGTCCGTCTGTTACTTTCTCTGTAAAGTTGCTAACAGACAAACAAACAAACCAATGCTACCGAAAACATAACCTCCTTGGCGGAGGTAATCAGCACTGCCAGATCGAACATCCCAAAAATGAAGAAATGAAACTCAAAAAGTAGAGCTTCAGGGAAACAGATTGTGTAGAGTAACCAGTACTGGGAAAAGTTTTTTCCTAATTACACAACTTAAACTTTCATAAGACTTCTCTGCTGTAGATGAGCAAATGCACATGAAACAATAACTATCAAGTTACACTAGTTTACCACTGAATCATCAAGAAGAATAAATAAAGATTTTTGACACCTTCGCTTGGAACAAAGGCTGAAACAAGAGTAGACACGTTTGAGGCCTGACCTGAAGGCATCTGGTCCTAAAGTAGACTAGAGTCTGGAGTCTACTGTCTGCTCCAAAAAACAATCAACAGCTCAAGTTCAGTTTTTTAGAGGACTGGCAGCTTTGTTTTGGACCTGCCAAGCTGCAGCTGGAGTCAGATCTGATTTTAATTCTGCTTTATTTATTTCAGTGAAGTCGGATTTGAGTTTCACGGATGTTTCTGTTTTAAATCGATAAAGTGAACGTTCTTTGTGGGTACAGAAACTAAGATTTGACATCTGTTTGTTCTCTTTCAAGTTTGAATCTCAATCATTCTGCAAACCATTTGAGAGCTTTAACAGGAATGAACTGGTAAGCAGATTCAGGCTAGTTTATTTTTGTCTTGTTTTTATAAGCTACAGACTGTTAACAACATTCTTCCCTTTTTCAAGTTATGGACAGTTGTATTAAAACAACCTGCTGTCTAATGTATAGTAACAGGCATGCCTTTGATCGGTTTCTCAGTCACACATTTGTCCCAGATGATCGCTGTTTGTCTCCATCCTTCTGCTGCTGTGGTTATAAGGGACACCTGGCCTCAGTCATGTGGGGTACACTCTGTACAGATCCAGATCAGTGGAGCCATTTACTTCTGTGAACAGGTATTGGCTGCAATACTTTTTTTTGGATGTTTTTTAAGAAAGATAAAATATTATTTTTTAAAATTCTTCTGGTGTTAGGGGATATTCAGGCGTAAAATTAAGTTAGGGTCAAACACACCGTAACACCGAGTTAAACACCCCGTCAAGAGATGAATGTTGCCAACCGCTTGCTTCTCTACTTATACCAACTTTACTAATGACTGCACGATAGCAATACAGTGTGGCCTGAGGAGCCACACACAAACCTCAACCAAAAAGCCACTCTATAGCCACAAATAATGCTCTGAACAGCACCCAACTTCATCAACAGTACATATAGGGTCCTAGCCGCAGCACTAGCCACCAAACATCTTTTTAACTTTGACTAATTTCTTTAGCAAAGAGACTAAACACAACTCACCTACTCTCTTCCAGCAGCCGCTTGTTTGTAGCGAGACCTCGGGCCAGTCCATTACGAACTACTGCGGGGTTACACAGCTCAAGGAAGAACATTTATGATAATTACCTTATCATTTCCTTGAAGTAATAATCAAAATAAAAATCATTTTGCACTGCAGACGTAGTAGTTTCTGCCTAAGCGTCTCGGTCTGATTGCATTTCCATGAAGAAATGATCATAAATGTTCTTCCTTGAGCTGTGTCACCAGTACAAACAAGCGGCTGCTAGGTGCTGTTCTGAGCATTATTTGTGGCTATAGAGTGGCGTTTTGGTGAAGTTGAAATTTGTTTATGGCTCCTCAGACCCCTGTGTATTGCTATCGTGTGGTCGTTACTAAAGTTGGGATAACTAGAGAAGTAAGCGGTCGGCAACATTCATCTCTAGACGGGATGTCTAACTCAGTGTTACGGTGTGTTTGACCACAAATTAATTTTAAGCCGAAATATCCCTTTAAGTCTTTTTTTTCTAAGTTGTCAGACACTAATGTTTTTGTTTTTTTTAACCTGGACTTCTTCTTTTGTTCCATTTAATCTCCACAGATATATAACATGTACCTCCAGTTTATCCAGTTTCATGCCTCCTCCTACTTACTTGCTATGTGCTCCACACTGGGGATGGCCATGGTGCTGTATTTGTGGATGCAGTGGCTGCACCAGGTCAGTTTCTGGCTCTCCTCGTCCCCTCCTCCACTTTTATGAACGTCCACGAAGTAGGAGCCCCACTGCTTGGACACGGCAGAGGGGGCCTTCATGCCCTGCTCCTGTTTAAACACACAAACCAAATTATGTAACCGTCGGCAAGGATTCATTTTTCTGACATGTGCAGACATGATAAAAGGGAGGCGAGAGCTCTGCCAGACCTCAAACTGGCTGAAACCCAAACAGGGTTATTCTGAATATGACTTGAATCATGTTAGGGAGAAACCCCCGCCGTTAATCACAATCACTTACAAAACAAAGATGCATTTAATAGGCAGGAAAAAGTTGAACAGTAACTATTGCAGCAACAGGAAGTGGAATTAAGAGGGAAGGATGTGGTAAGATTTAAACGTCATAAAACCAAAACTGATAACTAAGTGCTGTATCAGCCCACAATATCGGTAACTGTTCAGGAAGGTCGTTAAGATCTCTGATATCACACGGTTGTCATAGAGATTTGGACCAAATGTTTTTCTAAAAATAAAATAAAGCAGAAAGCAGAACAAACTCAGATCGCCTGAGGTTTTTACTGAGAACAAAAAAAAGGGGAATTTTAGAGTTCAGCATGTGGAAGCAGAAACCTCTGACCTAATCTAAGACAGATGATCGAACTCTGTACAGGAGATACAACAGATACCAAACAGCCTGGAGCAAAACTCCTCAGCGGTATGAAGCAGAAACAATGGGAATCAACCCTCTGTGGTTTAACTCAAATGTATCAATAGAGTATGTCGATAACATGCCAACAGGAGTGTGTGATTTTTCATTATCACCAGGATCTCTTTAGATATCAGCTTGCAGTTTCTCTAGCTTTTTTTTTACCCAAAGCAGAAAGCCAACAAATATATATATATATACCAATCTGATGAGGCAACAGAATTTTATTTTATTTTTATTTTTTTACCCAAAGCAGAAAGCCAACATATACATATCCATACCAATCTGATGAACAAACAGAATTTTTTATTTTTTTCCCCTATCATCACTTAATTAATGAAATAGATAAATAAAGGATCACAGGAGACATGTACTTCATAAATATTCATCTTAAAAAGCTCTTTAACTAGTCTGTAATAATAAAATACAACTGTTGTCTGATCAATATGACTAGCATGGTGTTCTATAACAGAGTGTTGTACCACAAAACAGTTACATTACAGTCATACTCTTCATAATTTAGATCTTTCTGCCTGTTTTCTCCTTTCACATCACACAGCGTTCAGCCTTCTGACAGCAGCTCTGACACCCACACATAAATAAAGAGACAAGAGGTTGAGAGGGTTCAGGTGAAGTAACAGGTAATCAGTCATTTCTGCTGATGTTAAAAATGGTTTAATGTGCATCAAAAGCACTGTGATGGTGTTTAGTTTCACCCAAAACTCACTGTCTTCTTGTGCTCATGGTTTAACATCACTGCACTGTATGCATACTGCAAGTTTTATGGGTTTTTTTCTTTTTCTTTTTTAATTCATACGATTGTATTTGGCTTGTCTGTGTCCAGTTTACCAAGTATCGATTTGACCCTTTTCTGAGAACACTGCGTCACCGCAACCCAAAACCTAAATCGAACATTATTAAAACTTTGTCAGAACATGTATGAACATTAAAGTTCTATTAAAATACAAGTTCAGATGATAATTATTCTGTAAACAATGAGTTGTAATCGTATTGTTTTTTTCTATGGTTATTGTCATAGGATTGATAGACTTCTCCAATGTTAAAAACGTCATGTTTATTCTAGTTTACCAGTCCGAAGAACAGCTGTACACCAGACAGCATGTCTGTTTTGATGTTTATTCACAAGTTAAAGATTATCTTATGACATGAAACACTTCAGAGAATAAAGAAATGATTCAAGTCTGTAAGTTTCAGTTGATGAGGCACACTAAACTCGGCTGAGTAAAGTCCAGATACAGAGGATCTTGGTTGTTTCTTGAGTCGAAGTCTTCTTGTGAAAAACCACGCTGAAAGTAAACACTTGGTGGTCCTGTTAGATAAGCAGTCTGTGCATGTTTCCACAATGTTAACAAGCTCTGAAATGATCGTTTCAGCCACATGACTGGTGTGCATGTTTACATTCTACAGTCAAACAGAGATACAGACGTAATCTGCACAGTGGTCTGTTTCTCTGTGTTTAAATGAGGGGCTCCATTACAGGGATTTCAGACTCATCCTGCAACACAAGGAAGTGGTGACAGCATGACATATTTCAGAGCTGTGACCACAAGCTCATGTAGCTTTGCACTGCTGATTGTGTCGTGCACAGTTGCTGCGTGTGGAAGCAAAGAAATATCAATCGAAAGGATGGCGATGTTGACAAAAGTAAAGCAGAATCAGCTGATTTTTAGTCTGAAGTTTATTTTCACACAGATTTTTGCAGGGGCCGAATTTGCTGAAAACTAAATGTTCTCAGGGTTTAGGCTCACAGAGGCATGGAAAGGAGAGGAGGCCCACAGAGTATGAGTTGGGGGTTAAGGACTGCAGGGCGGAGCTGAGGTTTGGTGGAGGAAAGGCTGCTAAACGGAAACAGCTGCTTCAGTGAACTCACCTCAAACTTGCCCTTTTTCTCCTGTGGCTCCACTTGGGCTTCATTGGACATCGCCGCGTCACTCTTCTGAACACCCTCTCCCTCCATTTCCTCCACGATCATCACTGTCTCCCACTTCCCAAAGCTGCTGGCAGGGAACATGTCTGACCTCATGCTGTCTCCAAAATACACCACCTGCAGGGGGGGAGGAGGAAAAGGTGACAGAAAGGACAGCTTAGTGACGTTTAAGAGCCACACTTCGGTTTAAGTGCTGCGGTAAAGTCGCTCTTAAGATGCATTCCTCTCTTAGCAGCAGTCAAAGTCAGCTGGCAGATACCTTATAGACCCCCAGGGTGAACTAGACCAGACAAGACCTGTCTGCGAAACCCATCACAACCTCTTTGACCATCATGTCTCTTTTGTCCTCCACGTCTGGAAAGAAAAGCAAGCTGAGGCAGGCCAACAGAGACGCATTCCTAACCTGAAGAGCAGGCGCACACACCGCTGAAAGCTTTAAATCCCGTTTCAACAGAAACATACTTCTTCTCCTTTCAAACAGAGAGGAGAGCGGAGAATGTCAGTCATTAATTTAACCAGACACAGAAGTCTTCTGAGCACATGGAAAGGCAAACCAGACTCTGGCTCATAGGTATAAATTAATGGAAAACAACGAACCCTTGGAGAAACGGAGAAAAATCTAAACTGTGAAAATATGTGTGGTAAAACCTCAATTCCAAAACAGGTCGGGGTGCTGTGTAAAACCTAGAAAAAACATCTAGAACTTTTGAAATAAAGGCTTTAATTGGCTTGGAAACCACTAAAATCCATCTCAATTATCCTTTTTTATCATAGTTTAGTTGTGGCTCAAGCGTCCCATACCTCCCCCTCACAGAGCTGATGTGTCTCAGGTTGACCCTTCCACATGTAAACAAACAGGCTGACTAATCGGGGCTGCTGCTCGGCCCGGCTTGTGAGGAGGGGGCTGTGAGGAATCACATTTCTACCCAACTTTCCCAGAACTGCCCACAGCTGGGGCTCAAACCCTCATTGCACCTCTCATTGCTCAGCAGTGCTGAAGCCCGAGTCATGGGATCATTATGATAAATATTTACAGAGGCCAAGAATTCCAGCGTATTACAGAGGGGAGTCGCTGTGGATGGACGCGGTATCATTAACCTGAACCAGACCGGGCTCTGCATGATGGGAAGTCAGGCAGACTCACCTCTGTTACCAGCAACCATGACAGAATGGGGAAACGCTGTTGATATGTTTGACAATCAACCCTATAGTCCTGCTTTTCTTACTTTTTTTAGCAATTAAAGGGATATTCCGGCGTAAAATTAAGTTAGGGTCACACCAAGTTAGACACCCCGTCGAAAGATGAATGTTGCCGACCGCTTGCTTCTCTAGTTATACCAACTTTAGTAACAACCGCACAATAGCAATACAGAGAGCCATGCACATAACCAAAATGCCACAAATAATGCTTAGAACAGCACCTAACAGCACCTAACTTCATCAATGTACATATAGTGTCCTAGCCACAGCACTCGCCACCAAACATCTTTTTAACTTTGCCTAATTTCTTTCACAAAGAGACTAAACACAACCTACCTACTCTCTTCCAACAGCCCCTCGTTTGTAGCGAGAGCTCGGGCTAGTCCATTACGGACTACAGCGGGGTGCCACAGCTCAAGGAACAACATTTATGATCATCTCCTCATGGAAATGCAATCAGACCAAGACGCAAAGGAGGAAGAAGAACAACCACGTCTGCCTGAGCTTTCGCTACAAACAAGCGGCTGCTGGAAGAGAGTAGGTGAGTTGTGTTTAGTCTCTTTGCTAAAGAAATTAGGCAAAGTTAAAAAGATGTTTGGTGGCTAGTGCTGTGACTAGGACCCTATATGTACTGTTGATGAAGTTAGGTGCTGTTCTGAGGGTTATTTGTGGCTATAGAGTGGCGTTTTGGTTGAGGTTTATTTATGGCTCCTTAGACCACTCTGTGTTGCTATCCTGCGGTGGGTACTAAAGTTGGTATAACTAGAGAGGCAAGCGGTCTGCAACATCCATCTCTCGAGGGGGTGTCTTACTTGGTGTTAAAACGTGTTTGACCCTAAATTAATTTTACGCCGGAATATCCCTTTAATGTGTTTAAAATCAGCCCTATATGCCAGGCTTTCTTACTTTTCTTGCTATTTAAGACTGGCCAAGCTTCAAAAGCTAAATCCAATCCTCAATCCAGTTCACCAGGAGCCACTATGTTTTCCCAAAAATTATTTTTTCTTTTAAAATTTAGGACTTATTTAAAAAGCAAATGGTCCTTATATGCTTAAATCATCCATATGGCTGTCTCATCGTCTCATTTTTGTCCTCCTTGCTAAGTGCCGCAGGGGTCTACTGTGGACCCCCGTCTCTTATCAGCCCATCGCTCAGAGGAGCAGTTAAAGCTGAAGCCGGGCCCAGGTAAACAGAGCTGCAGGCATGCAGAGAGGCCTTAATGAGACCATTGTGCTGCACACTGTGTGGGGCCCGAAGCACAGAGAGGGCAGGGGGGTACGGAGACAGCGGGGTAAACCCCACTTTGTCATGTGGGCTCATGTTCAGTCACACAGTGTTACATTAAACTGTGAAAAATGACTGCCAACAGAATGACTTCACTACATCTGTTTTCAATGCAGCTCAGACGAGCTAGAGAGGGGAAGATCTCACCTCTACTAAAAAAGACGAAAAAGTGGAGTAAGTTGTCAAAAAGCACATTTAGATTCCCTTTTTGTCACGTATATACAGTCTAATAATATTTTAACATACACTGGAGCACCACAGGGCACGGTTTGATCACCTTTTTTAAGATAAGATATTCCTTTATTTGTCCTACTAGAGGAAATTACCAAAATTTAAAGCAGCGATAAATACAAAAGAGAAATTAAAGAATGAAAAGACTTAAGAATTAAAAAGATGTAAAAGAGATATATACATGAGTGTTATTTAGAGCTGATATGTACATGTTGATATATTACAGTTGAAAAAAAATGGAGATATTTATATATACCCGACTATATGCACAGTCAGGCATCCTGTCACACTCTCTTATTCAACAATAGTCTAATGAATAATTAACTGATATTAGTTAAATAAATTGGTTTAAAATAATTTGATCCTATAGAAACTATAAAAAGTTGCTGCCATGCAGTAGGTGTTGGTTTACTCCCCATTTCAATATAGAACAAACATGTCCATATATCAGGCATTATATTGCCATATACAGTCCTCAGCATAAATGAGTACACCCCTTTGGAGTTGTCAGAAAACCTTTCGTTTTCATTCAAAATCAATCAATTTCTATGTCAGACTATACAACAAAATACTCCCCCAAATGTAGGCCATTGATTTCAAACAATATTTTTTAAGTTGCATACAAAAAAGTTTTTTTTTTTCAATTTAAAATCAGGATGCAAAAAAGGGTACACCCCGATCAAACTTCTGGGAGCAAAGCTAAATTTTAGTTACCATATCACCCTTATTTTCATCTTATGGTAAATAAATTATGTTAAACTTTGCTTTGTCAAAACTCTGAAAATTGTACTTTTGCTCATCTGATTTTACGTCACTTTTCATAGGGGGTGTACTGACTTATGCTGAGCACTGTATGCTACATTCACCTCACACATCATGAGGCTTAAACTAAAAGCATAAAAAAGTAAAAATGGCGTCACCTGTATGGATGTTTTTTTACAGCTTTAGAGCAGGATAACATGATCAAAATTTAGAAAATGAAGAAATTACAAGAGATCGTAACATAAACTTGGTACAGCTTCCAGCCATGCTCAAGTTTCAGCACTAACATTGTAATTCAGTGTTGCTCTTACATGTTCCTCTTTCTTTTAAAGCACAGATAGGAGTTAAAAGAAACTGTACATCACAGATCAGGCAGAGACAGAGCTCAATCATCCCAGCCCTGCTCCACCCGTCCGTACTCGTCATCGTCCACCTCCCCCCCTCCTCTCTGCTGAATGCCCCCTCTGTTCCCCCCGCCACGTGGAGAAAGCTCTTGTGGAATTCAGTGTCAACCTGCACTTATAGCGGCTTTGAACACTCCTTCGGGGTGACCCGAGGCGCTCTGTGTTTTCACTTTTCTCCACTTTCACCTGACAGGACTTAATGCAGGTGGGCTGAAAGGAGGCATTCAGGGCAGATTACAATGCTCTCAGCTCAGGGAGGACCTGGAGGGGTCACAGAGGGGCTGATGAGACATGGAGATTAAGGGACAAATATGGGGAGTTGTGATCATCCTGAGTTATGCATGAGTTTGGATTTTAAAGGGATATTCCGGCGTAAAATTAAGTTAGGGTCAAACACACCATAACATCGAGTTAGACACCCCCATTGAGAGATAAGTGTTGCCAACCACTTGCTTCTCTAGTTATACCAACTTTAGTAACAACGGCACGATAGCAATACACAGCGGTTTGAGGAGCCATAAACAAACCTCAACCAAAACGCCACAAATAATGCTCAGAACAACACTTAACTTCATTAACAGTACATATAGGGTATCAGCCAAAGTACTAGCCACCAAACATCTTTTTAATTTTGTTAATTTTTTTTAGCAAAGAGACTCAATACAACTCACCTACTCTCTGCCACTTGTTTGTAGCGAGACCTCGGGCCAGTCCATTACAGACTACAGCGGGGTGACACAGCTCAAGGAAGAACATTTATGATCATTACTTCATGGAAATGCAATCAGACCGAGACGCTAAGGCAGAAGAATTACTGCGTCTGCAGTGCAAAATGATTAATATGGTGATTATTACTTCAAGGAAATGATAAAGAAATTATCATAAATGTTCTTCCTTGAGCTGCGTCACCCCGTTGCAGTCAATGGACACGCCTGGAGGTCTCCGTAGAAACAAGCGGCTGCTGGAAGAGAGTGGGTGAGTTGTGTTTAGTCTCTTTGCGACAGAAATTAGGCAAAGCTAAAAAGATGTTTGGTGGCTAGTACTATGGCTGGGACCCTATATGTACTGTTGATGAAGTTAGGTGCTGTTCTGAGCATTATTTGTGGCTATAGAGTGGCGTTTTGGTTGAGGTTTGTGTGTGACCCCTTAGACCGCTTGTGTATTGCTATCGTGCCGTCGTTGTTATGACTAGCGAAGCAAGCGATCGGAAACATTCATCTCCTGAGGGGGTGTGTAACTGGGTGTTACATTTTTGTGTTGTGGATCCCTTCCATGCACCAATTATGTTTTTGGGGCATCTCTGATAAACTCTTGCAGGCCTCCAATACCTGTTGGATCAGCACTTGCAGTTGTTTTTTTTCTCCATTGGCTGCAGCTCCTTTTGTTCCTTATTTCATTGATTTCTCTTCTTGTAATGAAAGTTTTTAGCTTACTTCTGAGTTACAAGTCAAGCCTCTTGCAGATTCATGGAAAACAAAGAGAAAAATTAATCCTACTTTAATAAAGTTCAGTCCTCCTCCATACCAAAGAGGTACAAGAGGAGGTATTTGATGAGTGCTGACATAAGAATGGGCTTCATTGTATGTGCACTAAGAAGTATGAGAGGGCTGGCAGCACTTCATGCTGGCACACAGCAGGTCTGTCCACATTCATGCCAAGGGCCACGTTCCTGTGCTCCATCACCGCAGTGTGAATCTCCCTGAGCTGATTTATCATGAAGCCTCCATCTCTTTCAGCCTCTGCCAACAACTAGACTTGGAGTAAACCTCAAAGCGAGCCTGAGCTCTGTCTCTTCGCTGCAGCATAAAGCGAAGAGACGAGCGGCATACCTTCGGCTCCGGTTTCCCCGTCATGGTCTTCAGCAGCTCGTGGAGGTGCGGCCAGTTTCCCTGCGAGTACCAGCCGGGTTTGTCCAGCGACGGCAGCCCTTCGCTCTCCTCCACATCGTTCACTGCAGGAAACAGAATCAGACGGCACAGTTTGACCAAACATCCAGATGCTACATGACCACACAGCCCGGAGTCCTCCAGCTCTGAAACCATGTCAGCTAAACCTCACCACAGGAGAGAGCAACACTGTGATTTACACAGACTGTGACACTGCTTTCAATACTTTCACTGAAGCCACAACCTGACTGTCGAGGAAAATGTATTTCCTCATCATAAAACCCCCTTTTTTCCCCTTTTGCTGCTCCCTTATCCTCCAGAGGTTCACCTCCTTTAGGGCTTTGGAAGCTTTTCAAATGGAAAATGAAAGTTTCCGTTTGAGTCTCTATGATTTAAAGGCATATGCAGCCTGAGTAACATGGCATGTAATTCATGATTTCTTTCTTTGAAGGGAGCACAAGGGAAAAATGGTAAGGTAAGGCAAGGTTAGGGTTAGGGATGTACTTCTGTCAGGGAATCATAAAACAGTTTATTTTAGCATTAGAGGGCCACACTGGTAAAAAAAGATTATTTACTGTGAGGAATTTTTAACACTTCATATAAAAGGTAATTTTTATATGTGCAAATTAATTGTTTATTAATAAGTTATAAGACCCTATAAGGTGCTTATAAACATTGATAATTGTAATTAAGTGTAAATAAAAGCATAGTATCATTAATAGGATATCAATTGACATTAATCAGACTTTATAAGGGTTAATTAAAGGTACATTAACTTATTATTTATTAGCTTGTCAGAAACGAATGAGAGAATTATTACAAATTACTCTGAGCGATACCTTTTACAATGAATTAAGATGTTTACTTACATTAATTGAACAGTTTGAGCCTTTATCAAAATCATAACTTACATTTATTATTGCTTATAAACTCCTTCTAAGCACTCGCTGTAATCTAAACATGAACAAAACTAGAAAAGGTTAAGATTAATTCTTATAAATACGGATACATTCTAATTAAGCACTCATTAACAGTTATTAACGTTCATTTGCAGCTACTGGATCTAATGCAGGAACAGTGTCTTATTAAGGTAAATGAATCCTTAATCTCTTAATAGAGCTACTTACATAGAGTTATTTTATACAGTTTAATACAGTTTGTAAAGTACGCTGATATATTTACCAAACACAGCTGTTAGAGACTGAATTTAATTTTCAGTCAAACCTGAATGTATTCACTGGGTTACAATGTTTGACTGTTTAATGCCATCCAAGGCAACGCAGCATGTTAATGGTAAATAATTAGTGTGTTTTTTTTTTTATGCTAAAGAGGATTTTTTATCCCCTATTTTACTGTAAGTGGGAGATTATTTGTATAACTGGTTAATGCAGAACAAAGTAACACAACATCTTTATTTTCAAAAGTTAAAGTTTTTTTTATATTTGATGCCAAAAAAATGATTTTTTTCTCTTCATTTTTACTGTAAGAGGGAGATTATTCTTATAGAAAGATAACTATGTTGTAACTGGAAATCAGTTTCATTGTAATTGCTAATATATGATTAGCCCAAATAGTTTCTATTCACTTTCCCGTAATAAAAGCATAAATATGAGTTATTTAATTGAATATTTCTCCTCCTATTATAAGTCAAGTCTTTTTCGAGAATCCATCTATCTGAATCTGAATCTGAAACACAGTTATTTATCGCTTTAAGGAAAGAGGCGTTGACTGACATCAGGCTGTTTTTTTTTTACCTTAAATACTTGTTCAAGCTAAAAAATGAGCATTTTTAATTGTTCATAAATACTTCATTAAGGATTTATTGAAGACACTACTCTCACATATCTGTAAAAGAGTACTGTTATCTGTTAGCAAGTGCATAATTAAGGATTTATTTAGTATCACTAACAATGTGAAAGATACTAAGAAGCTTAACTGCTAAAAAAGGAGGGTCTGGTTTATGAAAAAATGGCTGAAGCTTTTGCACCTGCCAAATCTGTGCAAATGAGTCAAAAAGACACCGTCTACTTTACAAATCTCTATGTGCTGGGACTGTTTGCAGATATCTATAGTAGATTTAAATGAACCTCAATGCAAAAAGTGTCAAACTCACAAGCAGGATCGCTGACAGCAAAGTGAGGGTGAAATTTCACCGCCAGCCAAGATATGGTGGCAACCGAGCAGAAGTATTTCTATAATGATACAGTGAACATACTGACAGAGGCAGCAGTAAACACAAATTGCCAATGTTCTCCAAGTAAAATCATGATTCTTCAATCAAGACTCTTATGTGTGGAAAAATATAAAAAAAAAACAGGTTGCAGATTTAAAAATCTTGGAGTTACATTTTGTTCTGCAGAGTGTGAAATTATTCCAACTGCACAAAGAAAGGTTTTAGTGTCTCATGCTTGCACAAGTGCTTCAACCGTCTTGAAGATGGTACAAGTAGATATCAAATATCTGATTTATTGTGAAATCTGTGGTTTGCTGTTGAAATACACGTCAGCAGAGTGAAGATACCATCATTCTTGAGGAGCACGCTGTGAGATAAACTCCTCCCTGGGCCCGAGATCAAAAACAAAATTACTGCAGATATTCAACTGGATAAAATCATTTTCCACCGACTCGACAGAGCACTCAAAATGAATGATTACAGCTCTAAAATAGAGTTGTACAGTCAGGACTGTATTCATTTATAACTGTGTTGAGCTATGACTCTATATGGCCTTCTGAAGGTCTGTAACATCAACAGAGAAGGTTCAGCTGGCCTCTCAAGATCTTGTGGAAAAATAGGGATTTATTACCCCACTAAACAGTTAGGCTTTAATAGAGCTGTTCCACCGGAGGCTATATTTATCTAAATGTGAAGAGGTTGTGTTTCCAAGAGATAATAGGGTAAGAGATCCACATCACCAATTTCAAGAAACAATGCGGAAACAGGAACAGAGTTTGATGGTTTGCAAGTTAATTACAGCTTTTAAAATCAAAGGTTTAAACTGAAATATTTGATTGTTTTGTGAAAATATATGCTACTTTTGATTTTGATATAAAAAAAAAAGTCATATTTTTGTGTCATGGTGCTCCAAATGTTTTCAGTGGGTGGCAAATTGGGACTACAGTCAGGCCGGTTTAGCAGCAGGACTCTTCTACTACAGAGCAGGGATGCTGATTTTGAATTGTGAACAAGCCGGGGTGGTTCTTCTCCTTTTTGGATGAGGCATCAATGATTTCCGAAATGACTGTCAAATTCAAACATGGTTTCTGGATTTGTCTCAGTCTATCTAAACATAAATGGGCTCTGGCCAAGAGAAGTGGTTGGTATTGGACTAGATTGTTTCCAGGCAGCTGTTTCTGGAGGTGATTGTCTGTTGATGTCTGTTGTTAATGCAGTGCTGCCTGAGGGCCTTAAGATTAGAGCCATCTTAGCGCTGGTTTTGCTCCTTTTCTGTATAGAGATTGCTCTACTCTCTGAAGGTCCCAGTAATGTTATTAACCCTAATGCCATTTAACCTCCAGATGTAAGGAAAGGGGATTAGGGCCACATGAAGAGAAAAAAAAATACAGGATGGAGATTAAAGTTGAAATTTCGAGACTAAAAAATCAAAATTAGGACAATAGAGTTGAAATTTTGAGATTAAAAATCTAAACTTTTTAACTTAAATTTGAATTTCAAAACTTAAATTTCGAGACTAAAGTCAAAATTTTAAGATTACAAAATGTCTTGAATGATGTCAAAGTTTCAAGATAAAAAAAATAAAATTTTGAGATTAAAGTCGACATGAATAAAGTTTGAATAAAGAATTTCAACTTTTTAAAATTTCGAATTTAATCTCGAAATGGAAATTTAAAAAAAAACTCCCTTATGTAATTTTTTTCTCTTCTTGTGGCCCTAACCCTCTTTTGTAAGATGTTTCTCCAGATGTTTCTTTGGCACTACCCAACTTTTTCCCTTTTGCCCTGTCCCAACTTTTAGATATTTGTTGTTGGAACCAAATTTCAAATGAGTTTCAACATCTGATATTTTATCTTTCCTCTATTTTTTATCACATATTGGCTCTAAATATGTTTTTATCAATATTTTACAGTGTTCAAATTCTTCTGAAAATGTTTTTTTCAGCTCAAACCTTTAGATAAATCACCACATAACCCCAGATTGGAGGAGGTTTTGTACATAACCTTCCTCACCCTCTTTATTTTGGTGCAAAAAGCCACAAAAGCCTCCTGCTCATCACAGCTAAACAGTTAGCACTTTCCACTCTCCAATCCAGACCACATACCTCTCATTCCTCTGTCCTCTTAAAGTCCAGTATCCCCACAGCTGCTACCGCTAATGTGTGTGTGAGTGTATACAACCCCACATGTGTGCTTTCTCATCCCTGGACTCTCACTCTCCACTGTCACAATATTTATAGCATCTTTAACCTCAGTTTGAACCTGCGCTCTGTACGTTTTGTCAGAAAGAGTGAGGATCTCCTTTTAACTGTCCGCGGCAGCTCTTAAACACCACTCAGTCAACGTGAAGCCCTCCACATGTCCAGAGGAGCAGTTACCTCCTTCAGAAGACGCGTTACGACAGGACTTGTTCACCTGCTAATTGGAACCGGATGACGTTGAAATTTATGCTTGATCTCCAGGTTTCCAGATAAAGATGAACTAAAGAAATAAGCATCAGCAGCTCTACTTTTAAATTAGAAGTGTTTTAGTGGCTGTTAACAGCATTTTATAAAAATAAAGTCTTGAAAGGTATAAAACATCTGCTGAGTAAGAAAGGTCTTGTGTCAAATTCCTCTAAATAAACTTTATTACCCAATAAATGAACGAGAACATTTGAAGAATGCAGAATAACAAGAGATGTTTTTCCAACTAAAAAGGGGAGAGTCCGGTCTGTGTGGAGGCCAGAGGAAGAGCAGATGCTGATGTAGTTTTCTGCCAACGTGGCAAAACTGAGGACAAGCGAGGCAGAGAGAGAGAGAGAGAGCGAGAGAGCGAGGAGAATATTTCAGCGAGTGGATCATCCTGTCTTCACACATAATACATCCCCAGTGTTTTTACTGGCACGGAGACAATCCAGATGAGGGGAGCATTCCTGCGAGATCGCCCCATCCAGCAAACACCCCTCGACAAGAGCACCCAAGACCAGAGGGTAGAGTAGAAGGTGAGCGGGTGGACAGGTAACCCGGGTCATGTGACTTCTGAGGACGAGGATCTGAGCCAATGAAATGTTGGCAGCTGATTTTATCTCAGTAATAAACTAACAGCTGTTTCGAGCTGGAGTAACCTCCCTGGAGGGAAAAACGCTGCTAAAATACGACGAGGGATGGGCAGTATTGGCAAAGGGCTGCTCTATTAAAGGGGCAGTCCACTAAATTACAAAAACAAACAACGTTAAAGCTGCTAGCTGTGACGAACAGGCCCTTGTATCTTTGCATACGTTAGGTATAGCAATTTATTCAAAAGAATTCGTAGTAGTAGTAGTAGTAGTAGTCATTTATTCAGTCATGACAACACCAAATACTGTACACAATATTGACATTTCATACAAAATCACTTATCACTAAATAAAGAATCATGTGTTGAATATTGACTGAAAAGGCATAGGCAGAAGCAGACAGCTTATGAAAGTCTATCCTGTATTGTCAAAATTGCGTATATGGAAGTAAGGCTATCATCAAACCTGTGAAATTTGGAAGAGATCAGATACTTTAGTGTAGGAGCCAAAATATGTTTGTTGAAAGTATGATTTTTATTTAATTATTACGTCACTTCCAGGGGTCGACAGTGAGGGGTGTGGTTTTAGCATGTTTGGCGGGTTATTTAAATCTCACCTGGCGTCGTCAGACAACGGGTTGTGATAAACTCTGATAATTTTCTGTTGACTGTTTCACTCATTCTGTTTTAACCTTATTTCATCACATCACTTTTTCATTTGGAGGTGAAAGTTTTGGACCTGGATCGGCATGTTTTCTTTTCTTTTTTGGAACAATAAACCACTTTTAACACTCAAACCGGACTGGTAATTGAACGAGTCACAGATGCAAGCGCAGCTAAACCCCAGCAGCCTTTTTGTTGAAGGAAAGCAGTCGCTACAGTACGTAAAAACTAGCACCACAAATTTTTAAAGGGTGGCGCTATAACTGTATACTGGGTGTATACATGTTTTAGTGGTGGACCTTGATCACGTATATAAAGTACCAAAATAATCTAACTCTATAAAGGAATTAAATGAACTTCCTGTTTTATCAGGCAATCAAAATTTCAAATTAAAGATGGCCGACTTCCTTTTCGGCTTAAGGTTTGGGTTCAAGAGGAATTTTTGTGCCAGTGATATATCAAACTTTTAGCCAGACTTGATGTGCGTGCAAAAAGTGATGATGTGAAGCTATCAGCTCAGGCCCTGGGAACTTGAACTGTGTTTTTTTTCCTTTTCGCTGACACTGAAAAGGCCGAATGATTAGTGAAAATGACAGATAAAGTACAGCCGGCCAAGCGTGGGAGCAGCAGCCCAGCACTCACCCAGAGTCCTGAAGGGCCTCTGCTGGGGCACCAGAGAGAAGAAGCCGGGCTTCAGGGCATTTGTGATGATGACATCAAATAGCTCCTCAAAATCCTTCCTGTAAGAGCCGGAGAAAGAACATTAACCTCAGAGATCGGCGCCCGGGATTCCGTGTAAAGGACAATGCCTGGACAACATCCAAAAAGTCTGATTTACACGAGCACAAAGAGTCCAGAGGAAGTAAACAGAGTGTACAGATGATGGAAACGTGGAGCTGTAAATGGGAGAACATACAGAGCTGCAGAGGGAATACTTAGATGGACAAACACTTATGGAGGGCAGTATTTACTCCCTCTGTTGACAGTAAACATGTTAGGAGAGCTGGTGAGTGTCTCCAGAGACCGACACTTCTCCTTGGATCTGTGCAGTTTCTGTACGCAAAATATACCATTTAAGGAAGATAAAAAAGAGGATGAATATCTTCTGGGAACTTATGAACATGTGAATCAATCACACTGATATTTATAAGTGTGTATGTGCAGACTGCGTGGGAATTAGCGTTTACTTTTAGCGAAGGAGGAGGAATAAAAGGAACTGCAGGCATCTAATCTAAAGTCTTATAAAACAACAAAATTTTTCACTTTTTAACACCACATCTGTTTTGTTTTTTTTTGCACTTTTTGCAATTATTCATGATTTGCAAACAATCAACATCAACATCCAGAGATTCCTTGTTAATGCAACAGCTTTTGCACTCTTCGGGAGTTCCAGTTTGGTCTGTTTTGGACTCCTCAGCTGAGCAGTCGGGAAGGTTTTTAGAAGCACAGTGGTGTTGTTATTAACCATCAAAGGGGAAGCAGAAGTGGCTAATGGTGTGCATTTTGTAAACATTAGTTTGTTAATTTTGTACCTTTATTGCATCAGTGTCAAAAATTGAATGCTAATGGTCCTTAATATAAAAAGTCTAAAACTGTTTTTGTTCCAGTTTCCATCAGCAGCAGCTTCTCTGAGCAGCTTGTTGGGTTTCGGCCAGCAGCTCTTGTCAGACAGCTCTGGCCTGGTTGTGTTACTTCTCACAGCTGACTGTCATTGGCCTCCAGCCGCCACAGCGCAGTCAAAGCCAGCTGCAAGAGCAGTTTTCTCTGAGAAGAGGAACTAATCTGCTGTCTTGTTAAATGTAGATTTGATAAAGAGCGCAGCAAACACGAACAGATCCATTCACCAAGAACCAGAGTCCATGCTCCTTACACTAGAGATCTAACAACAGGATGGTCGTCAAGCTAAATGCTGTTAGCATCTCAGCTACCAGGTCAGTTTACTATGGATTGGTAGCATCTGTTGAACAGTTTGAGTGTAGTTTGTTTACCACAACATGTCTTAGAAACACTGATGATGTGAACGAGTTGATTCACCATTTCTGACATCTACTGCTCCATGTAAACATGGTCAACATGACTGTGTTCGTTGTACTTCCTTCTCCAGCGAGCTTGCGTCCTGATTGGCTATCTTTTAATCGCACATGACAATTCACAGAGTAAATACTCTGCTGTCCGACCTCTTTGGTTCAGTTTTAACCTGCATTTGTGGGTGTTGTGATGAACTATGTTCACAAACAATGGTTTTTGGAAGTGATTTCGAGCCAATGCGTTGACTTCTACTACAGAGTCAGTCGAATATGAGGTTCATTAAGTTTTAATTTTGAGGTTTCTCTAGATACTCAGATTATTTTCATATTATTGAACTTGAGTGAAGCTTGTTGGTTTGGTAAGAAACTTTGATGTAATGCTGGACGTCCCTGTTTTTTGTTTTTTGTTTCTTGCGTGTTTTTTTCTGTCTTTTAATAATGTGTGAGTCTTTGTTGTTCTTGTGTGAGTTTTAAAACATGCAAAGACATGATGTGAATTTGCCCTTTTTCTCCTCCCCTCCCTTTTTTCCTTAAAATTATCATTTATTCATTCTGTATTATTTAGTTATTTATTTCTTCTTTTTTTTTTCACTTATTTTTCTTTGTATGTCTATTTGTTTATCCTGTTTGTTTTTCCTTATTACTACAATGTGTAATGGATATTTGATAAACAATACCTAGGTATGAGATTTTTTTTTCTCTACACCACTGATCTTGTCTCAGATACTGTTCAATGTTTAAGGAAAAACTCTAAATAAAAAGTTCCTAAAAAAATAAATAAAACACGCTAAAAACCCTTTTGACAAAGCATCATTCTCCAAAATCAACTTCCTTCAGTTGCTACCACAATAGAAATCCCTCCCTCTTGAACTTGTAAAAAAAACAGGGACTTGAACATGATTTTGAGCACACACAGCTGGAGCTTTGACCGCCCTCGCTGCTGCCGTGCAGGAGGTCACCGACACAGCAGCAGAGGCAGGGAGACAGCAGGGGGAGCAGGGAGAGGGGTGAGGAACAACAGAAATGACCAGGCTGCTGCTGCTGCTCGACAGGAAATGAGAGAGGGGGGAGGTTCAGGTCACACCGGCCCCGTGGGACAAACTGGCATTCAGAGGAAAACAGACTCCAACTCAAACCTGTTTTCTGCCTCTGCTGGATGTCAGAGAACAATCAGCTCTGAGTGTGGAGAGTAAAAAAGCAGACCACCTCACCAGGCAGGGGGAGAGAGTGAGATAACGACACCTCACGGGGAACAAAAAGGGCTTATGGTGCTACAGCGCAGCGGCAGCACAGAGACGGCGTGTTTATTCAAGGCTCTCTCGCTGCTTGATCGAGTGTTTAACAAGGCTTAGGATACAAAAATAAGCCAGAGCCGCACAGTGTGTGCTGCAAACAGTGATACAAAAAGCCAGGGTTCAACCGCAAAAAGCGGCGGGAAACAAAAAGCCCCTTTGCTGCGAGAAAAAGTTGTGTGGGAGGTAATTTTGTTGGCAGAGAAAAAGGCAAAACACTGAGCATTTGGTGTTTATTAGACTTCTATAAGGGTGGACTGGGTGAAGTAGAGGCAGACTTCAGCTAAAGGACATCCTTAGGTTGGCATTTTGTGACCAGTCATATCTTATAAGGACGAATAGTTTCACTCAAACAGGACCAGTATAAGTGCAAATGCTGTTGCATCAACAAGATTATTTTTACTCCAACATCCTCTGAGTTGATTTCCCATAAATGAGTTTGACTTACTGTGAGCCAGTGTTATTCAAAGGAATGACTCATTGTGCGTGAGAGTTATAAAAGTATGACAAGAAGTGAAAAGTGCTCGTTTTCAGCCCATAGACCCTGTGTAAAAACTCTCACCCCAGGATGTGTTCGCAGATGAGTCGACTGTAGTCGCTGTGGGAGCTGGTGATGAGGAGGAGGACCTTCCCGGCGTTTTTCATGCTGCGCAGCCAGGTCTTCACAGAGTCAGAGCAGGGCTGCAGGTACCGGCCCGGGTCCCTCTTCACTCTGGGGAAGTAGGTCCCTGCATCCTCTGCGCAGAGACACAAACACAGTCAGACAGACGGCTTCAAACTCAGTCTTATTCTGTTGAGATTAAAGTCGTGTAGTGTTGATGTAAGCTAGAATCCCTGGACAGCTCAAGACACAACTATTATCATGTTGTGTTTTCTCTGCATAAAGTGACAAACACGATGTACTTAAGTTGTGCAAGTGAAGGACATCTACTGCAAAAATGTTTGACACAGTAACATGGAATCAGTTTTCCTGCAGATTCTCATAAATGTGTTGTTTCTCTTTTGAACTCAGACTTCAAATGGCTCATATCTGTTTTCCTCTGAATTTGGAAAAAAAGCCGCCCGCAGATGAACAACTACTCTACATCTGAAGCAGCTGGACTGGCTTTTGGTTTTTTAAAAGTTCCTGCAGGTAAAGAGAAGCTCAGGGTCGTGTCTGCTGTCATTGTGCATCCCTCCCTTTGAAGCTCCCCAGCTGCTCCTCAGTACATCCTGTTGGACTGCTGAACAGAGCTAAATATGGCTGTGCTCTGTTCTGTGAAACCCTGACTATTACATAATACAAACTAAGCAAGGACGTGACACACTTTAAATTGGGTTTCTAATTTGCATAACAGTAATAGTCACTATTCATTAGGGCTGGGCGATAAACAGAAAATTTACCAATACCGAAAGTCATTTTGCCCATGTCAGTATATTCAGTGTCGAAAAAATAAATGTATAAAAGTTGGTTTTGGATGTGTGTAGGCAGGCTATGGTCTCATGTCCCTTTAAGACACCGTCCTACATCAGAGACGTGACTCCACTCCATCCAGTCCGTAACAAAGAGGGAAAGACAGGTGAGGAGATGGAGGACGGTTCAAAAGTTGTAGCAGCTGGAGCGGCGGCTGAAGTAGATGAAGTTAATGTGGAAGGGGGTGAGCAGCTTGTGGAGTAGTTATCGTCCATTTATTGTTATCGAGGTGAACTGCTCAATATATCGTGATATTGATTTGAGGTCATATCGCCCAGCCCTACAATTCATTACCCGTCTAACTATCCAGCTACCTACGGACATAAACAAATAGGCATAAACTTTGGATGATAACATTGTTGAGTCAATGGAAGTTATCAATTAAGAAGTACAGATTTGACTGACTGCAAAACAAAATGTGTTGTTTGCGTTTGAGTGAGCCATTATGCAATTTGGAGCAAAGTATGCCCCATTTTGTGTAGACGAAAATTATTGTAAAAAACACTTTATTCATTTATACTAGCGCTAATAGCCATGTGTAGAATTTTTAATGAAAGACAATGCTAAAAAATATGACAGAGGAGACTCTGAACCGTCCTATATCAGGCAAGAACGGGACATCATTTTACTCTCCAAACTCCAGAAACTGATCTCCTAGGTTCACAAATGTCACAGTGTTGGTCAAAGAAGAGCTGATGACGCTTAATGGGAAACGTGACTCTGAAACAACTTTTTAAAAACAAATGAGCAAATATTATATAGCTTAAAATCATCTGCAAAGTCGTTTAATACCAATATTTTATAATGTACCTCAACTTTTCTGGAATTGGGGTTGCACATACTCATCAAAAAAAGCCAGAACTTGCAAATAAAGTTACAAAATAAAATAGTGTACACTGTTTTTGTTCACTTTCTCGACTGTTTCAAACCTGACCTACAGGTGAGTTTCTAATTTATTCAGCATACTCTGTTGATGTTAAACTAAAGCAGCTCAGGAGAAAAAAAGAGTAAGGTAGCGCTGCCCTCATGTGGTGAAAAGAAGGACTTGCTGAACGGATGTAAAGGAGCAGTTCAGAGTTTCAACCAGAAGATGACGACAAACGCAAACAAGCAGAAGTTCAGATCCCTATTCGACGTCAAGAATTCACACCTTTCAAAAGTCCCAGAGGCAAACATCTGGATCTGTTTACTCGTAAGCGTCTTCAGAAGTTGAAATTGGATGCACAGATCATTACACCTTCAGTCAAACAGAAAAGAACAGGTCAGCAAATCAAGCTCAGTTTAGTGGGGCTGCTCCTCCTCTGGGACCCTGCAGCCTGTCCTGCCTCATTACCCACATCCAGGGAGGTCAGCTGAGAGAGCTCCCCTGCCAGCAAAATCCCATGTCCCACTTCTGTGTTTGAGAGCACAAACAACGACTGACCCGCCACCAAACCGTGTGTTCCATTCTGTCGAATTCATGCAGTCTCGTTCCAGTGGGATCTGGCATCTACCACCCAGGCTGTAAAGCCGGGGGAAGGGATCCTCTCATGTTGAAACATCAGAGAGAGTCAAGGAAGGTTTCACATTAAACTCAATCATATCGGCTGAATCTCAGGGCTGTGATCTTTAATGTGGGGAGAACCACTTCAAAGTTGGATGTGTTGAGATTTGTCTCTCAGGGAAGGGGGTGAACATCGTCTTTCCTCTGTAGTAATTCAAACATTTAAATATTAATTTAAAGAAACTATGTAAGAAAATTCAGAGTTTATTTAAGAAACTCGAGAGAGTATGCACCCAGACTATATTTGATTAACAATTAAAGATAGATAATTCATTAAACAAAAAGACAGAATATTACATTTTAAAATTTCATAGAACATATATGCTTATTTCAAATTAGACACAAACAAAATACTTCAAAAACATTTGCATTCACTTTTTAGTATTTTTACTTGATTAGTATTATTTATCTATTTAATTTGCTCACTCTTTATTCAAAACTTTTTTTCTTTTTCGTGATTGTCCTGATACTGGGTGGGGGGAGGGAGTTGACATTCAGATGTGATGATTGAAATTTATTCTGCATTCTTACAACTGGTGCTGTAAACACTGCTGGCCATAAGTGTTCAAAATGTTCTATAATTGAAGTTGGGAAAAAAAAAAGTTTGGACAGGGGAAACCAAACAGGTAAAAAGTCCACTAATGAGGTTGATTAACAACAGGTTAGTAACATGACTGGGTATACAAAGGACATTCAGAGGGGCTGAGTCTCTCAGAGGGAAAGACTGGACAAGCCAGCAGCGTCTGTTCTGTCTTAGAAAACTCTCAAAATTCCACGTTGATTCATCCCTGATGTTCATGTTTTATCATTCTTATATTGAATGTGTGATAACTTTTTCTCTGGTCTGTTGGTTTTCATCACTTAAGGCAGTGGTTCTCAATCCAATCCCTGCTCCAACACACCTGATTCAAATGATCAGCTCGTTATCAAGCTCTGTAATGGCTTCATAATGAGCTGATCATTTGAATCAGGTGTGCTGGAGCAGGGAAACATCCAAAACATGCAGGACCGGGGGGCTCGAGGACTGGATTGAGGACTTAGGGTAAAAGAGAAAAATGTTCTAAACAAGGTGGTTAATGTCCGCAGTAAAATAACTGGGTCTGTTCAGGAAACTTTACTTTTATAACAAACAGCTGTACAAGGAAGCAAAATCCAGCCTGTCTGACTGTTCCCATCCTCTACACCATCAGTTTCGGTTTCTTCCATCTGGTTCATTGATCAGAGTTCCTCTCGCTAAAACTAACAGATATAAACATTCCTTCATACCTTCTGCCATCTCCCTTCTCAATTCATGGAGGAAAAGTAGCTGCTTGTGGTGTTTTGATTAATTGTATTTTCAATTTTCTTTTTCTATTCATGTTTTTCTTGATTTTGATTATTGTGCTTAAGTGTTTTCTTTATGCTTCCTTTGTTGCACAACCAATTGTTATTGATTGATGGATTGATTGAATGATTGAAGTTTCACTGCTCTGTGAGAGACCGTGTGAGCTAATAGTTCGACAATTTCAGAATAATGTTCCTGAGTGTCAAAGAATTTGTGGATTTCATCATCATTTACAGTTCATAACACCAAGAAAAGATTCAGAGAAACTGTAGAAATCTCTGTACAAAAGGCCCTCAAGTAGAACTGCATTAAAAAAAACAGGTATGACTCTGTAGTGGAAAAATCACTGCACGGACCCAAAATCAACAACAAAATCCTGTTGTCTATGAACACAGTACATCACTGTATCTACAAATGCAGATTTAAACTGAACCACGCATAGAAGAAAGTACGTTTAAACACCAGAGACTTCTCTGGACCCGAGCATTACGAAGATTTGACGTTCTTTTTGGAAATCATGGATGCTGCATCCTCCACTCTAAAGAGGAAAGCAACCACCCAGTATATAAGCGAAGGTGACCATATTCTGAATCCCCAAAAAAGGGACACTACTACGCAGGGCAGAGTCGCACGCAAAATTTTCAGGCTTTTTCGGGTCAGGTTGAGTGTTTTTGAAGTGCTTCTAACTCAGTCGGTCTACGCTACACAAACTCACCCCGGACATTTGAAGGATTTTATAAACTCCCCAGACTGGTAGGACAAAGCCCCCAAAAAGAGGACATATGGTCACCCAAATATAATCAGCACACAGTTAAAAGTCTGTGTGATGGTATGAAGACCATCAGTGTCCATGGCATGGGTAGCTTACACATCTGTGAGGGCTCCATTAAATGCTGAACAATATATAAAGGTTTTGGAGCGACATAAAAGCTCAGCCTAACCCTCTAAGGATAGCTTTTGCAAAGATGCTGCTCTCTTTAAGTCTCTGTGTGGCATCCCACCGAGAGGAGAGAGGCTGGGCCCACAGTGCGATGCATTTTGGGATGGATCAACATGTGATCATGGACAGTCCTGCAAAGCGGAGCATATCTAAACTCTGTTCAGGTCATCACCAGTGTCTGTTTACTACAGCGTGTGTGTGCGGTAGAGTAAAACGTGCCTCTGCAGGCTCTGGCTGTGAATGTAGGGCTTGAGTGCCCTGAGGGCCCGCAGGCCTGTGGCTGGGCGCCCGGCCTGCACGGCACGGCGCCGGGCCTGAGCAGCTGGAGAGCTGCCCAGAGTCAGAGCGAACCACCACCGGCAGCAGCTCAATCTCTCCCACACATCAAAGAGACCTGACAGGATACACAAATCAACAGTTGCAGTGCAAATTAGAGCCGCGCACGGGAGCGTTTCACAAACAGACACACCAAAGCGTGATGATGTGACAAGATCCAGAGCTCGCTCTTTAATTTATGGGGTAGTTAGTGAGCAGTTAAGTAAAGGCACTTACAAAAGGTATCTGAAAAAAATAACAGATGTCCATACTCTCATTTATTCAGTGAGCATCACAATGCGTCTATATAAAGCACACAGTGAGGATCTCTAAAAGGAAGCTATAATCACAAGTGTTTTCGCCTAAAAAGGCATCCAGACAAGCTGTGTTTTCCAGCACCTGTAGGAACCACGTGGAAAACACGGGCCGGGCCATTTTGTCTGTGTACTTTCCATTTTTAGCAGACCGACCGCAAATTGCTGCATCATGTCCCTCATCGTTCACACAGGTTTTTTTTATTCCTCCGGGTCGTGACAGAGGAGAAGAATCTCAAAACGATGGCAAAAATTTAGGGCTGTCCGGGTAAGAATTTCTGTCACTCAAATTAAATTTGACTTTTTGCTCATTGATACACCAAATTAAACTCTTGGCACTGAGGGTTTTTGAGGGTCATGACCCACAGGACTGTGCGACAACATTTTTAGCTGAGTAGTAAGTAACCACTGTGCAGTTCAGTTTGTGTTATCTGTTCATTAGCTGATGCTACCCGGTTCTAGGTGAGGGTTTGTTGGACCACATGGACTTAAAAGTCGTCCCTCATGACTCAGCTGGGCTTGGGTTCTTCTTTTCTCTTTCTGTGATAGCAGCATTATATGAAGCTATTTGCTGATCTGCCTTGTAAATATCAGATATCAGAAAGGGGGCTACACAGTTGAAACTGCACATTGTACACTTCTTGAAAACAGTTCAAGTCTGAGTAGAGAGGCTGCTTATGCCCTTTCCCTCTGGTACACCCTCCAAAAATTGCAGTTTGTGTTTTAGCTTTTTAAAGAGTCACTCCGATGAAAATCATGTTTTTCTCGTTGTCTACATGTTCATATGACATTTTTCTGATGCTACAGGACAAATCATGAGAAAACTAAGTGTAAAATCGCTGTTAATCTCTGGCAGACCCAAACGGCAGGCACAGACACAGTGAGATTTCTTACATCACAACTGCAAGCTCCGCCCCTGGAGCCTCGCTATACAGGCCAGACTCAGAGAAGTAGAGAGGACAATTGCAGAACAAGCGTGTGCGTTAGCGGACTGAAATGCTTGTAAGAAAGCTAATTATGATAATAGCTTTCATCATGCCCCCAAAGACTTTAGTGTCCAAGAGCTGAATAGCTCCTATGTTACCTGCTACTTTTACAACACCGGCAATGTTAGGCTGCAAGCTAACATGAAGAGAAGGGTGCAGAGCAGCGCTGTCTCCACCCACGACTCAGAGGCGAATTCCTAATGAGCTATTGGAGCTCTGCAGAAGAAAAGCCCTTGAAAATGACACAGGTAACATGAAATTGGCTAAAAACTTTATAATCACAATTTAAAGACCACTGAGAACACTTTAAGAAGTAAAAAAATGATTGGAGTGGGACTTAAACTGGAAATATTTTGAGCTTTGAGGGCCACATTTGTTTGTGGAGTGCTTCTGCAGTTGCTTTTGTTTTGGACCCAGGCATTGTTTTTAGAAATGGATTTTATCTGAATTTGAAGCCTATATGTCCTGACTTTTAATGTTCTTGCTGTTGCCCCATGACTAAACCTGTCAGAAAGTTAAAAAAAACAAGAAATCAAAAAGTGGTTTTGCAAAATGAGACCCATCTAGGATCTTCGAAACTGTTGATTTGAAGGGCCGATTTTGAGAGTGAATCTTTTTTTAAATCAAGTCAAAATTTTTTTTTAGTTAAGCTCCTATCTGACTGGGTCTCTTCAAACTTTGACAAGTTCAAAAATGTTCATTTTTGTCTCAACAATTTCCAAACGTTTCCTCCCCGTGTGAAGAAATGCAGCTATAGGGAAGAAAAGAAGACACAAAGAACAATGGGACGGTGGTTTTTGAACACCCATGTGCAGATCACTGTGGGGGACAGTGACGCCAGTCGGGTAGTCACGCTCCCCTCAGAGCAAACCTGGGGACACTGCAATCTGTCATTACATGTAACCACCAGAAGCTATATTTAGACGAGGCTATCTTAAGAAAACTGAGAGGATTCACACATCAAAGTCTGATCCCAGAAGAATGAAACTTTAAGTATGAGTCCTTACTTAACATACGGCCCCTTCTGTACCCTAAGGGCCCGAGCTCAAATTGCCCCTCAAATTAAATATACTTAAGTCAATCCTTCTCATTTGGTTTTAGCTGACTTGCAGAACAAATTAGGAAAATGCGTGGAAAGTAAAATGTGCGAATCCCTGAGCAAGTTAAGTCAGGTTTGTTTTAATCACAGGGGGGTTTGTGGCACTTCAGGGATGATTGATCCTCCCATCTAAAGGTGCAATCTCCAAAAACAATAGCTCACCAGGAGGATGCTTGGAGCCCCATAACACACGACTTTTAACAAACAATACACGTGGGCAGCATACAATTTTATATTTCCAGTTCCAAGCTGTCCGGTTTTGTTGTTTAAGTCGAGCCATATATAAAAACTGCATTTATTATCTTGATCTTTTAATTTTCCAGAGTTATATTATCCCTTTTTTCCATCCTTTCTTTCCTGAAACAAACACACATTAGGGAAAAAAGGTTTTCCAAAGATAGATTTCTCAAAAACCCAGACAAAAACATCCATTTCAGCTTTATGGTCCCCTCATGGTCACAGTGACCACGTATTTCGGTTTGACGTAGCAGATCACTGCAGACGGGGTTACTGTCGGACATGGGATGAGGTGGAGGGGGCTCTCAAAAAGATTAAATATAGACTCACTCACAGGGGATCTGTAAAGCTTTACTTATACAGAAACAACTTCTCTATAGGTTGTTACAGCTTTTTTGCCAAACAATCTTTGAGATATGAACACTGAGCAGAAGTCAGACACAGCTGCCTCCATAAAAATAAAGTTAAAATTACCAGTGCAGCACAGATTGGATGATACAGCCTTTTTCTAACTGTTATATTCAGGAAAGCATCATATTTATCGGGCCAAAAAAGGGAAATTGTAACATTCAGACCGTACATTTTTATCTATTAAACTACCAATAAAAGTTGCTTTTTTTCTACATGTTACCAATTCTGCTTATCCTGAAGCAACTGGAGTTAAGCAAAGAAAAGTAGGGGTGGATAATATAGCGTAAACACGAGAGCTGACTATTTTACAAGTTACTGACCAGTACAACCAAAATCATGAAATTAAACTGAGCTATTAAGGAAATGCACATCACCTTGTGTTGATTTTATTGAGAGGAGTACTAGCATTTGGTTTGGTCTGCCAGCACTGTAAGCCAATGAAGTGAGTGAATCAACTAGGGTGTTAAAAGAGTTGCGAATTTGCATCTTTTGTGTGTAAAGTCTGTTCAATCCGTGCCACCTGACAAGAATTCGAGTCTAATCGCACCTTTTGGGTTGACTTCTTTCTTTTTTTTCACCACATTAATGTTCTGAAAAATATAGACAATCATTTTGATAATTGTTGTTAAGTACTTTTGACTTCCAGCCAAAAAATACTGCTTATAATTGTTAGTAACCTCACATCCAGTACTGTCACAATACTTGTGTACCAAAAGTCATGCTATAGCATTTCGAGAGTAATAAGAAAGTCTTTTATTCAAGGATCATAAAAAAAACTAAAAATTATTGGAGTTAAAGTGTGTTATAGAACAGAATTCAAAACATTATGTTTGCATTAAGGTATAATGCATTTTGAACCATTACTTTATCTTGCATTATGTAGGGCTGGGCGATAAACCGAAAATTTACTGGTACCGAAATTAACGACAATAACCAACGTCAATATATTCAATATCAAAATAAATAAATAAATAAAGGTTGGTTTTGGATGTGTGTAGGTAAGCTATGGTCTCATGTCCCTTTAAGACGATGTCCTACATCAGAAACGTGACTCCACCCCATCCAGTCCGTAACAAAGAGGGAAAGACAGGTGAGGAGATGGAGGACAGTTCAAAGTTTTAACGAGCCGAGCGGTGGTTGAAGTAGACGAAGTTAATGTTATCGTCCATTTATCGTGATCGAGTTGAAATGCTCAATATATCGTGATATTGATTTGAGGCCATACTGCCCATCCCTAATTATGGTCACTGCTTATAATACTTTATAACGTTACTGTAAGCTGCATCTATAAGGCTTTACACGAGTGCTCCTAGTGCATTTTAAGTGGTGGGTTCATATAAAGTAAAACTGCTGTGGGGTGAAAGTGAAAAATAAGTTCATCTGGAAGGAGTTTGCTAATTATACATTATAAGGAACATTTAAAAACTGTTTTTGTTTCATGCATGCAAAAGAGAAGTTATGCTTATCTGAGAGCAAACACAGGCCAGATCAAAGCAGAGGCGTTTCTACGACATCCAGTCAGACATAACAGTGTACATCCCCACCCTGATGTGTGACGTTACCACACAGCATATATAGACATTTGTTATAGAGCTGTGAGGGAATGACAAAGGCAACCAGAAAGCAAACAGATCATCTGATATGTAGAAACTAGGTTCCCACTGATCCTAACAGAGGAGAGCAGGCACTTCAATCTCACTGTGGATTTGTGCTGTTTACATATGGTCCTGTCCTCAGAGACGACGGGGCAGAGATAGGAGCACTGAAGGTAAATGTTGCCTTCCTGAACACACATATTGAGCCCAAAGCGTAAACACAACAACATCAAGCTCCTCAGTGTCTCACCAAATATCAAACAGTCGGAAACAAGCCTGATATCAAACGGCACCACTTTGGTTTTACACTTCTCATTTGTCTGGGGCCTCAAAAGTTGAGTCACACAACTTAACAGCAGGTAGCTCCTGTTTCATTTGCGCTGTTGGTTAGATTTCTGTCCTTGTGATTTTGTCCTCGACCCAAACACAATGGAGATGAATGGAGCTTGCAATGAAGAGATGAGAGAAGCAAATTTTCTTTTTAGTAATAACTCTCCAGTGTTTTTTTACACAAACTTGATTAAAAGAAGTACAGTAACAAAAAAAAAAAACCCTGAGATTACTATTTTGTGGACTTCTGGTAAACCATGAATTGCCTCCTGGCATAAGCCTTTGGTGTGGTGCAAACAAGGTCAGTATTTTACTGGAATTTTCCAACATTTCAGAAAACGCTGAGGTGCTTCACGACACCCACCTTTCACTTTCCAGCAAGACTCGCTATGGCGTCACTGGATGTACTGGCGTTGTAATTCCTATGTTCCAGCCCATGCACCATATGACAATCTCATGAGTGGTGGAAAAAGACGTTAGTTTTCATTGTTGTTTCAATTATTGGATTTTTCATTGGAAAAGAGACAGAAAAACACCTTCTTGAAACAAAATTACCGCCCCAGTGATTGTAATTTTTACTTTATACAAGCAATACACAGCTATTTTATATTTTTGCGGATGATGTGGTTCTTCTAACTTCGTCAAGCAGTGACCTTCAGCTCTTGCTGGGGCGGTTCGCGGCCGAGTGTGAAGTGGCTGGGATGCCAATCAGCACCTCCAAGTCCGACGCTATGGTCCTCAGTCGGAAAAAGGTGGATTGCCTTCTCCGGGACGGAGGGGAGATCCTGCCTCAAGTGGAGTTCAAGTATCTTGCGATCTTGTTCACGAGTGAGGGTAGGATGGAGCGGAAGATCGACAGGTGGATCGGAGTGGAGTCAGTAGTGTTGCAGACGCTTATCCAATCTGTTGTGGTGAAGAAAGAGCTGAGCCATAAGGCGAGACTCTTGATTTACCTGTCGATCTATGTGCTGACCCTCACCTATGGTCATGAACTTTAGGTAATGACCGAAAGAACGAGGTCGTGGATACAAGCGGTCGAAATGGGTTTCCTTCGCAGGGTGGCCGGGCTCAGCCTCAGAGATAGGGTAAGGAGCTTGGACACTCAGGAGGCGCTCAGAATAGAACCACTTCTCTTCCACATCGAGAGGAGTCAGCTGAGGTGGCTTGGGCATTTGGTTGGGATGCCTTCTGGACGCCTCCCATTAGAGGTGTTCTGGAGGTGACCTCGTTGCCAGCCCGGGACCAAGTGGAGGGATTGTTTCTCTCGCCTGGCCTGGGAGTGCCTGAGAATCCCCCCAGAGGAGCTGGTAGAAGTGGCTGGGGTGAGGGCCGTCTGGGCTTCCCTCCTGAGGCTGCTGCCCCCGCGAGCCGGACCCGGATAAGCGGAAGAAAACGACGACGACTTTTTACTTTAAATACAAATACAGTCGATTCAGATGCAGCCCAAAAGCTAAAAGTATCTACGGTCTAAAAATAAATGTATCTCTGCAGAAACAGAACACAGCGGAGCAGAAAGGCCTCAAATCTTTTTGACATTTTCACTAATATACAACGTGTGTGAAAACAACGTCCTAATTTATGGGCACCCTTCAAAACGAAAATAAAGACATCAAATTAACTCATTTGGCTCTTTCCACATTAATTGAGGTAAAAGGCTTGCGGTGTGGATGACTTCACTGTCTAACTTTATGTTTTATAAAGCTATAAAAACATGGAAACAGTTGCCATGTAAACATGAGAGTGGCACATGTACAGTACATGCTCCCCCCTCCTTAGTTTGACAAACCCTATGTTTAACATATAGGAAGACATCTCTTGAAACAAACCCTAACTACCAGCGAGATGCGGGTTTTTAAAGTAATAAACTTGAGCTTGTTTGAGTCATAAAACAGGTCGCAGGTTGCAGAGCTTGAGGAAAACTTTGGCGACGTGTTAAGGGATTTTTTTTTTTAGCGCAGAAATCAAACAACCACCCTCAGCTTTACGGCTGAATCAACCCTCGCCGCCTCCAGAAAGAAGCACACTATCTGACATAGGAAGTTCAGACAGTTTACTCTGTGTTGAGCTTCACAAATTTAGCATCAATTTAGCCGTGGACGCTGAGGTGAAATGAGTGGTCGGAGACGTGGTGGATTTGATGAGAGCATTTTGGTATTTTTGCAGCTTAATGCCATGTTTGCAATGAAACTGCTGACTTTAAAGTCGTCTTATTTTGGATTTGCTGGATTACCATAAAAACCATTGCCATGTCCCTTCCCCAAGGCTGTCCCCTAGTTTAGAGAGCAAATGAGGCATTACTAGTTCGAAATTGCCCCTCAGCTGAATCGCACACGTGAATATTACTAATAAAAGTTTTGTTCTTTTTCTTTTTTCTTCACGAAAAAAACAAAATGAAGTTTAATTTTTTAGAAAACATTGAGAATTTCTTTTTTAATCCTATCAGCAGCATCTTTGTGTTTTTCCCCTTCATCACATCAGTGAGTGTGTAGTCCCAATACACAAAGCCAATGGTGCAAAAAGCTGGTTTTTATTTTCTCTCTCTAAAGTGTCTCAGTAATTACAGAGTAGCTGAGGGTGGCTGAGGTCACCTAACCAGTGGTCATTATAGTTCTGCAGGCAGCCCCCTGGATGACGCATAGGCCCGGGTCCAATCCTTGCAAGGACTGACCGTTTCTCCTCCAGATGATGCAGGAATATGATTGTTTTAAATATGAAGTAAATAAATGATATTTCCTAAACTTGTGTATTAGGAGTAGCTGTGGCAAATCGTGTTTAAAAAGGGTTTTTTGTATATCAGACAAAAGAAGGGATGGTGTCCAAAAACATTTCCTTTTTATACCAGTGGTTTAGATAAATATCAGCCCCCCTTATTAGCCAAATTAATCACTTTTCGCCACATTAGCAAGCCAGGGATCGGCATTTTTCCTGTGCATAAGGCCCAATTTAACACCAACAACTTGTCACAAAGTGTAGTGTTTGCACAGCTGAGAATTCCTCATGGTGAATTACAACTAGGGTCAATGTAAAGATGCATGTGGGCTCGAGGTCTTGTCAGGAGAGGGGGATGAGTCAGTGCAAAGTTAATATGCCAATTATATACATGAATGATGCTAATTCATGGCATATTAAATGTACTTCCTGATTTCCTCACTTATTTTATTAATGTACAGTATCATATTTCTAGGCAGTCCCACTTATCACTGCATTATGTCGGTAATTCGTAATTAGATTAGTAAATCAATCCCGATACTGAAGAAAGTTCTAGATCGGGTATCGTGAGTCGTGACAATGGGCCCAATGCATAGGGGCCGATCTATTCAGTCTAACTCTATGCCTTGAGTGGCATCCACAAGTAAACACACTGAGCAGATGCCCCCATTGTTTTCAAAACTGAGCGAGCAAAGGGGTCTGCTATCTTGAACTTTATCACAATACCTCAGCCTAAAAGCTCGACAGCCACTTGCAATACCTGCGCAGTAATTGTTCTGAGGGGCAAACTTAAGGTTACAACAAAAGGTAATTCAGCGCGGCTTTTCTGTATCGGAATTGGTATCATATTGGCAGATACTAAACAGTAGATATCTGTATCGGTATCGGAGGTGAAAAAAGCGGATTGGTGCCTCCCTAACTGAAATCTCGTCCTGCTGCGGATAAAGTGAAAGAAAGCTGCTCTAACTTATTTTACCCAACTTCTGCACAGCTGCAGAGTCCACAGGCTTTAATAAAAAATACAAAGTTATGACCAGTCTCATTTACGTAAGTTGTTAGTTGTGTTTGCTTTAAGGAATGTATTGGTATAAATTCTAGTCTCATTAACTCTAGTTTGCATTTAACTGGAACAACATGGTAGCCAACTTTTACGACTTTGATTTCGCTCCCTCTGGATAAATGTTTATGATTGTGCACACCTGGTTCTGTTTGGATGGAAATCTCTCTCCACCAGGCAGGGTTTGGAAGCACTTGCCAGGGCAAATAACACACAGCCCTGCAGATCTTTTGGCTTTCCAAGAATAACCAAATTGCCAAACTGCGGTGAAAATGTTGCTTTTATAAATCCAAGTGCAACCAGGCCCATAAAGCCTCGGTTTGCATAAAATGACGTATTTTTAGACACAAGCCTTGTACAGCCAAGGTTTGAGCTCTTTGAAGTTCTCTTTATTTATTCTTCATATGACAGCGTCCATCATTTTTCACAAAGAAATACTATTACGAAACTCCTGAATGCCTTTCAAAAGTCTGCAGGTCTTGTTACATAATGAAAACAAAGACTAGAATTCCTCTCAACCTCAAACCTCATCTCCTTACAAATTCACTTTTTATTTAAAGTTAAGACTATACATCTTGTACATATCTATACAACGCCCTAATGTTGGAAGCAGTAAGTGGGTGCTGGAAGGTAGCAGGGCTTTAATGTTTGGGTGTAGGATCAGTGCAGGGCAGCACTAGCATTGGCAAAGCAGAGGAAGAGATCAGAAATCTTGCAGGGTAATAATACCACCTTATTGGGAGGATACTTTTCAGGTGATTGTGGAAGTAATGCATGAAATTAGTGCATATCAAGGTGTCTGAAAAAGCTCACATGCATCGCCCCATTTTAGCAAATGCAGGATAAACAAGTCAACTATAAACAAGTCAGAAATGCGAAATAATTTAGCACCCACTTCATCCCACTTTAAAAAAAAAGCTCCCTGAGAAAGATTTCTTGTTTAAACTGGTAAACTGCAGTTGCATGGTTAAGTTTGGGTACCAAATTACTTGTTTAGGATGGGTTTCTACAAGGATATAACACTTAAAAAGAAGTTAACATTTACATGTCTTTTGGAGGGATTATAACCTCAGTTGCGGATAGAAAATCAACCGTTTCTAAATCATCCATCAACCCAAACTGAACTTTTACTCTCTTACACCACCAGACTCCAAGGGCACAGCCAACATAATTAAGAGGACATCATCCAGAAATAAGGCTAGAGGCTTAGGAAGGATTTGCCCGCTGACCAAGCCTCTGTATTTGACGACTAGGGTCAGTGAAGGCTGAGACATGATAAGACACAGAGCTCTCTGACAGAAACGTGGAGACAGTTCGGAAATGCCAGGAGGAAACTTTGAAATGTGGTTACCCAAAGAAAACGTACACACCCTTTATATTCAACTTTTGTCTCTCCTTAAATTTGACCAAATATTTTATCAGGAGTGTGCAATATAACCTACCGCCTCACAAGTAGGCCTGTAGTGGTATAGAACATAAAATTTGGCTTTGTCCACACATGTCTTCTATTTCTTTGTGGGAAAAAACATCTTTATGGTTTTACGGAGGTAAAGAGTGTATGCAAGGGTCAGGTTACGACAAGTCTGCCTTCTGCTGGATCAAACTACTTAGATGTCTTGATACGCCACAATTTGAATTTAAGGTTATCTCAGTTTGAACACAAACTTTTCCCTTCAACTTCCGAAATTGGCTCAAATTTTGGATGAAAACTGGCAGCCTTAACACCATACAATATATGATATGATACAATGTGAACCTATATTAAATGGTACTGTGTGGTACAATAGAATTCAATATATGATATGGTTCTGTACAATAGAAAACATTAGGATATGATGAGATATGTGGCATGATATGTGTGTTGGAATAGTTTCTTTGCAGTTGTCTTTTTAGGCCTCTAGTTTGTATATGTGTTTATTCCTAATTCGGTCTGTCAATACCTAGCAGGAAGTGAGGTAACAGCGAGATATTCTTCTTCTACTCCTTAGAAAAATAATGTTTTTAGCTCTCAGATGCTGACTTCCTTTCCAACTTAATGTTTAAGCCTTTGAAGTGGCAACATAAGTAATTTTTCATCGTTAAAATACATACTCTTTTGTAGCTTTTGCCATGTCATTTGTAAGTTGTTAATACCATAGTCGAGATGTGTTCACGGTCTTCTCTCTGCCGTAGGTCTACATATATGAGATCCACGATGTCATTCATTTCACCTGAACTGGTTTTATGAATTTTGTTTATGTTTCACTTTCAAAATTCTTGGCATTAAATCTCATACAAACACAACTTTGCCTGTTCCCTGGAGGACGTGATTTCATAAGGAGTTCAGCTGGCTGCGAATCTCAGGAGTCACACTATGTGCAGCAGTACAATACGATAGTGAAAATACATTTATGCATATATATGATATGGTACAATATGATATGGTGCAGTATAATTTGGTATAATACAACACAAGACAACACAGTATGATACAATAGGATATAATGTGACACATTATGATAGGGATTTGGAACCAGTGTGTGAAGATATGACACTGTTTTCTTTAAAGAGACTGAACACAAAACAATAAGGTGGATTTAGACACAAAAACATGTAAATCATACGACTCCGTCTTGGTGTCAACAGCACCAATAAAACAGTCCTGCAGTGACTTTTTGGAAACATGAGGTCCCCATTTTGGGCAGAGCAGGAACCTTCAGACTGTGTTTACATGTCTCAGCAGAGCTAAACGAGTGCGGTGCCTGAGCTTCGTTTCATTCTTTCACAGCCTCACTCTGTGCTTTCTCAACAATCCCTATAAACAACGCATACTTTGATGTTTTGTTTTCTTTTTCCTTTCACTTTTGAACACTCAGACTGACTGCAGCCAACAGCTACCGACTGAGCAAGGAGCTGTTTGAAATATTTCACAACAACCCAAACAAAATACGTCCATTTAGATGCTGATCTGTCAGCTTATTTGGCTTTTTTCTTTTAATGTGGGACTAAAAATATTAAGACAAACACAATTCAGATCTGTTTGCGTCAAGCATATTTCATGTAGTGTATTTAAAGTCTTATATAAGCCACTTAAATGGGTATAATAACTTTTACTGCGTCCAGATCTATGGCTATTTGTACTATCTATTCATCAGCTGTGGTAAAATCAAACCGAGGATATTTATAAGGCTTGTGAGATAAATGCTATTCGTGACTCGCTCCTTATTCATTTCCACTGAGGGATGCCTGGCTGCTTGGTTTTTTTGGACTGAAGAGGAAAAAAAGTTAAGTGCTTCTGAGCTTCCTTAAGCATTCTTCCCACCATACTAAGATTGGTTCTCAGGGATTCTTCCCAGCCCAACACCTAAAATAAAACTTCAACCGACAAAAACAACAACAGACCTGAGCTAGGAGAGCAGCCCGGCGGAGAAATCCACAATTTCAAGTCTATTTAGGACACAGGCCACCCGGGGTTGATAAGCACTGGTTTAAGGATGCCATAAAGACCTCTTCAAGTACATGTTCATACGCCAAGACTCGAGTTCATTGGTAGTACGTTTATTAAAAATAAACATCCAGCAGGTGAAGGGTTCAGAGAGACTTCTCATGGCTATGAAGAGGGTTAGTCCTATATTGAAAAGATCTCTGAAGTCAAGTCAAATCTGTTTATATCGTTCGAAATCTGAGATCAGTTTGAAAAGGATTTACAAACCATACGATATAAAAACTATCAGCCTCTGCTTTTACCCCTCCTGATTCAAACACTTGTCAAACTCATCTGTATCGTACAACACTGTTTTCAAAGACACAGCTGTGAAGTGGGCTGTTCCTGTCTAGAGACCGACATCTGTTAAGGTTAAAAATGTGGTTTGTTTGCAGTGAAAGCTTGTATGAAATGGGCTCTAGCTGCACTGTTTGAATGCATTTACTTTAAAGGTTGTCAAATGACAGTTGCTGCAGTCATGAGAAACCTCAGTTTTAGTAGGCTGTCATGATTTTTTATTAAAATTTGGATTGCATCTTCAAAATTCCATTATCTTTATTTAAAAACAATAAGTCAATTTAAATGCAATTCTTAGCAGCGTGGATAGTTTTAATTGATCACTGACATCCAGGAATCCCTTGATAATGCTACACCAAGGCATGACTATACCTATACAATATTTGTGAATTTGACACATGAACATATAATTTTCAAAATCACTGCGTATTGGTGTCAGAATTATTTTTAGTAGACTAAATCTGTAAATAGAGGAGTCCTGCTGCCTCAGAGCGTTACTTAGAGGACTGTCAGTGGTTTTGCAGGATATCAGATGTGACTGTGGTTGCTGAACCTTAAGTTTCAAAGTTTCTTTTTTTGGCAAAAAGTAAAAAGAGCCCCAGAGCTTCACAAGGCTGCATCTGCCCATCACTAATGTACAGTATGTAAGTAAGCACGTGTCTGTACATACATACATGCTAAACTTGTAACCCAAAAGGGACAAACTGGCAATGGTTTGGAAAGTCTGGAATCCAGTCCATGGATTCCAGTTTGGTTGTTTCCCTGTTTCACAAAAGTCGTGTATGTGTGGAACTATTGTTGACGTTTATGACTGGTTGTGGCACACCTATCTCAGGACGTCTCTTGGACAAGTTCCCACAGTATGTCGACTGGCCCGCACTCAAACGCCAAAGTAATCCAGTAACTCTTTGACTGTGTCTGACACAATATTGAGAGTATTATTTGTGGTTCATTTCAACTTTTCTTCACCTTGAAATGTCAATGACGCCAAGCTTTTGGAGATTTCATTGTAAGTGAAGAGTGTGCATTTGACACAGCACCAATTATCCTCTCTTCCTCAATTTGGATCATCTGACCACTGAGAAAGGCCCGAGGTGGTGAACTTTTTGAATGTGTTATGGAGTTGTCACCTCAGAAATGGTCAACATAGTTCAGGGAGAGTGTACAAGGAATTCAAAACAGCACAATAACAGCTCTGTCACATGACCATCCCTTCAGTGATGGCCCCCACCTTCACATTGTAGTCCTGCTTGTGTTTTCATGGTGTAAAGAAACTCTTCAACAACTCCTAAACTGCTGGACATGTCTGCCTATGGTTTCTGCAGGAACTGCTAGTGTCACTCTTTCCATTTGTGTCTTTATGCAACATTATTTTAAACTCTGAGTAAACGAGTAAACACGGCCACTCCTTCAAGAAAAACAGAAACATAATACAGCCGGAGCATTTTAAAATACTGGGCTTAGCCTCCAACACCTTTTCCAACCACAAACACCCCAGTCAGTCAACGGGTATGGAAAGTCTGTTCTACGCTGAAACATTGTCCGGGAACAAATAAACATGTTACACTCTCTTGGATGAGCTCCAGATGTAGAAACTGTAGAAGCAGACCAATGACAAAAGGTTCAAGATCCTTTCCATACAGCGTGTAGACGGCACACGGTAACAAAGACTTGTTCTTGGCCATAGGACGCAGTGGTCAACAACCCTTTAGTTTGCAAGCGTGTCACTTCCCCTAGTAAAAGTGCAAGAATTATGTTGAAGAAATATCCCAGAATACACATACAAATGTAATATGTTGTGGAGCGCTGAAACAGCCACAGGTTGTAAAAGGTCTGTTCTCTGGCAAAGAAAGATGGTCTTAGTGGTCGAAAAGCAATATACAGAATGACCATGACTTCTTAACTTGGCACCATGTGATGATGGCGTATAATTTGTTAAAATTATGTGTCAGCGCCGTGGAAACAATACCAATGGAAAGTCCAAAGGGAAAATCTTTTTGTGGTGGACTCACAAGTTATGGGATGTTGTAAGGGGTAACCACTGAGGTCCATTTGCGATGGCATTTTTTCGTCAAAGAATCAGTGAATCTATAGTACATAATACTGACGCTGGATCGTCTTGATCTTCAGGCCATCTGACAGCTCTCCATTAAAATCATCATGACTCTGTAGTGGAAATCACTGCATGGGCTCAAAATCACATTTAAAAACCATTGTATATGAACGCAGTTAGTCACTGCATCCTCAAATGTTGGTTAAAACCGAACCATACAAAGAAGAAACCAGATTCAAACAGAATCCCCAAACACCAGAGACTTCTCTCGACTTGAGTCCATTCAAGATGGATTGAGAGGGGAGTGGAAAACTGTCCTGTGGTCTGACAAATCAAAATGACATTCGTTGGGAAATAATGGACACTGCTCGACGGACCAAGCAGCTTGTTATCAGCTCAAAGTCAAAAGCCAGCACCCCTGATGGTATGGGGATCATGACTGTCCATGACATGGGTAGCTTACACACGATCCTGAACAGCTTGTGCTGCACGTGGCCTCCCTGCAGTCCTGATTGTCACCCATTGAGAACTTTTGGAGCACAAATAAGACAAAGGAGACCCTGAACTGTACAGCAGCTCGAATCTCAGTGTGTTTCTAGTCGATTTAAACTTTTTCATTTAACGTCATAACTGATTTTAACCTTTTCATCTCACGTCCCCCAAAACTTAACAGCAGTTAAGATAATTCTGTTGTTGTTTTTTCTTTACTGAGTTCTTTTTTTTATAATTTGATTTTCATTTTCAATTTTATTTTTTTTACCTCTGTGGATCACACTACTGACCTGAAACTACGCATAGGCTTGTGTCAGCTCAGCTTGAAGCTCTCCTTAATGCCATATGTACACATGCAAAAGAATGCCAAGAGCACTACTTTTCCCCTTTTAGTGTCTCACTCACTTCTTTTTTTTAAAACTTTTTTTCAGTCACCAGGTCCTCGTATTTTACCCGAAAAAGACACTAATTTGGCTCCTGTTTTAAAAAAACAACTTGTAAACAATGAAAACAGTTCATTTAAAGCAACGGTTTACAGCCAGTCTTACTTCTACTCCTGAATCTGTCTGAGGATGAAGGTTTAAATAAAACATCTGAAGCACAGATGTTTGACGGAAAAACGTTTGTTCACTAGTTCTGAGAAACTGCTGATTCATATAATTAACATCTGGCTTATAATTAACATCTGGCTTAAATATATTCAAAACTCAAAGCTCGTCAAAAGAAAAATGTGCAAATGAGTTAAATTGTTGGAGATAAACTTGAGTGCTGGCATGAATGGATTAGAAAGACTATTTCTAGTGAATGCTGCAGATTATGAGCTTCTGGGGAAGGCACGGTAAAATGAAAGTCTTGGTCATTAAAGCGCCTACTGAGTTTTGATTATGATAATTGCCTCTAAAGTAGCCAATTACCTGCCCCCGAACTACGTAAATCTTGGCTTAGGCACAGTCTCATTTGGTCGCCGTTGAAAATCAGCATTTGTCCCTTTGATTCCTTTTTCTCCTGAAACCAGCCTGTCCATAATTTCATAATGACTTGGGCGAGACGTTGCTGAGATTAAAAAGAAGGAAGAAAATCCAAGAGGATGCAGGGGAGGCTTTTGGTTGCTATTCTGACTGCACTTCAGCCTCAGGTTGGTCAAAATCCAACCATGATTTTTGTCTTGGGTCGCTGTAATTGCAGCTAACACTCAGTCAGGAGGTCCAGCTCCAGCCATTCCATTCATAAAGCTCTACGTGCCTCTTAGTGGCACATTTGGTTTATTAAAACGTTAAATCAACGTCACTTCCCGGCTAAAGATCTCTATCTTTAGCTCCTACTTTCCACTCTTCTTTTCCTTGCTGGCACAGATGCATGAACCTGCCTCCTTTTTCCTTTCCTCTTACGCACCGTGACTTTTGCAAACTTCTGCAACCACACAGGAAAATGTCAAAAAAGTTAGTATATTGCACAAATGTTATTCTGCTATATCCTTGAATTAAACATACAGATTGAGACGTTTCTTTTTTATGACTTTATCGTTGCATGTTTTCCCCCTCCCTTTAGATTTTAACAGCTTTATGGACTGGCATGGTGCAAGCGACACGCAACCTCTACTTATAGATTACGCAATCCAATCAGGTTGGAGCAGGTTTTTGCGTCTGAAGGGGGAATGGTGCGTATGGAAAGCAAAAGCAGGAGGAGCACAATCCACAGTATCCAGGCTTTCTTCAGGAGTAATCTGAGGACGATTTATTTCTATCTATAAACAGATCTCCTCATGCAATCGCAGCAAACAAACCATCCTAAATAAAAAAGATGTAATTTAAGCAACAAATCTGCTTAATGCTGTGTTGCAAAAGCCAGTCGGTAGTTAGATTTCCTGACTCCCTGGAATGCACCAGGAATGATGGATCTGCCTTCCTGTCAACAAACAAACATTTGAAAAGTTGTTTTCCTCTCTTCTTGAGGGTGGGCCTGACAAAGTTGGACTTTCTATTTTAACTAATCAGCGTCAGGAAGTTGTTATTCCAGCAAACGTCAGACCCATAAATTCTGAAGAAATTTAAAACAAACACAACTACAAAAAAACACTTGTCATCTCGCGTTAACGACTTATAGGCAAAAGTAGTGTGTATTTATTTTCATCAAGAAAATGAAAACAGTCCAACGCACGCTTGCAACAAGTGCAATATGATTATTTTGCAAGGTGCTGGCAGTAGAGGTGCGTTCAATACTAAAAATCTTATACATTTGCAAACAAGCATGGTACAGTATCTTGCACTCCTTTTGGACAATTAAGTACAGAATTGGGCAGCAGACAGATCATCTTCAGAATTATTTCTGTGTCTCTGTTGAGAGCCGTATGTTAAGGGTCATGGTCATTGTAACTATCCAGCTGCTTTAGTGGCCTTTTAAAGGTGAGGTTTAAACCCATCTTTGGACACTGTCTAGAAAAGGCAAGCATGTCAAACACTAATCTATGTTTAATCAGTGTTCAAAAGATAGATGTGAGAAAGGTTCTGTGCCCAAGAAACAAACTTAAAACTTTTAAAAGATGGGTTAAAAATCCTGGAAAGAGAAAAAAGGCCAAAAAATTAAAGACAAGGTGTTGGATTTATTGATTTTGTGAACATCTAGCTCATTTCCAGTGCAGAAAAATTGCAGTTTTGACTGAATAATCCTTTTTGCAACACACATTTTGGAACTCATTTAACAATCTATTTAATCATTCTTTACCTACTTTAACAAAACCTGCTACATCAAGACAAATGTGGGTTTTTGGGACACTTACCAGACATGTTTTTGTTACAAAATGGCTTGACTTGATCCCAGAAAATATGAAAAACAGACACATTTTGTTTTATAGGGACAAGCATCGTCATCATCATTTAGAAAAAGCATGAAGTCACGTCTGGAGTGGAGTACAGCAGCAACATGCTCAGATATTGGGAGTGGGAAAACAATGGTTACAGCAGCAGCAGCAGACCCTTCCCAGATATACAGCCCACCCTGTCATCATGAGCTGTCTGAAAACAGAGAAACTCAGCACCATTCTCTGTCTCTTCTGCCTCCAATACGGCACATCTCCCCTCCTAATTACATGTTTTGCACTATGACAGCCTTTCACCATACACGGCAGGAGCATACCCAGACACAGCACGTGGATCTAAGTGGGCCTTTACATTAAACCTCACGGCGGACAGATTTAGATACGGAGGCATTAATTCTGACACGCCAAAGAAAGAGAGACGAGAAAAAAAAAAGGGTTAAATGTAATAAAAAGGAGCCGTGCCTCGCTGTGGTCGCAGCCACTTTCATGGGTAGATGCAATGGCATATCTGCAGCTTTCAAAGCTGTTAAATGCCGACTCCACCCCCACACTACTCTGTCATTTCACTTGAAGAGTTTACCAAAGATGCCCATGGCTGACTGAGCGCTCATCTGCGGCTCTGAAACGTTGGCAGTTTTTAAAGGATGCAGGCATCACCAAAAACCTGACATTTATTACAATTTTTTGACAAGACGGTGATCTCAAGCAATACATCAGGCATCAAATATTCATGATTATGAATCTACTTGTATCAGGAATAAGCAGGAAGACTCCCATGATGGTTAGGGATGTTTGGATTTGGATTCTGACCGCCTACTGCAACAGTATTAAAACGCTCAGAAAACATCAATATTCAGCCCAATAGATTTAAAACAGGATCAAAGCCTTGCAGGCTTGCAGCACAGATCAAAGCATCAATCTGTACTGCACTGTGTTAACCCCATTAACTTCTTAACCAGAGTACAGCACCATCACATTCTTTAGCTGTATTTGAACAAGAATAAAATCTTAAATTTGGACAGTAAAATATTGCAAATCAGGGATTAACCGTGATCTAAGAATTACTCATCAGCTTTAAGAACAACCATGTGCCATCTACTCACATGGAGACAGGCTACGAAAGCCCTCTGTGGTAGCTTTTTAGCTTCACTTTTGGAGAACTGTTATGCCATCTATTTTTAACACAACCTTTTGTTTCCATAAGAAATGGGTGAGAGTTGAATGGAGATGATTCTTTCAATATGATCGTAGTAGTTTGAGATGCCAGACTTCTGTGTACTTTCTGGAAATTATATTGTCATCATTAAAAAGTTGATTTTTTTAGTTCATGAATATGAATAATTGGCTGAGATTTAACTCCCCTGATTGGTCCTCTGTGTAACCAAAATCAGCTATCAGTTTGGGCTTATTTAAGACTTCTGCCAGCCACACTCTTGAACTTAATCTGACTTTGACTTCTTAAAATGACTCTTTAGATTGGCTATAATATATTCACTAAAATCCTGAGTACAACATTAGTTAGCTTTTTCTTCTTCTTCTTGACACTAGACCAGCTTCTCCAAAAAAAGGTGCCCCATCAATACAATCTACAATCACCTCAGGTTGTTACTCTTTAAGTAAAAAATATCAAAACTTTCTGCTTGAAACTACAAACGACTCCATTAACAAACTTTGATTTTGGCTGCAGCTAACACCAAAGCTCTCAACTTCATTATTTGATTATGATCGAGTTTTAGTAAAATATTTTAAAGGCTGATATACATATTTAATCACAAAACTAAACCACTATTTTTTTTCTTCTTCTTTGTGTTGGAAAAATAACTCTTCTGAGATTGTTGGAACCCTTGATGGGAAATGACAAGTGTGCACATTCACAACTGAGCGCTTTGCTTGGTTCCAAGTTCCTCTCCTGCCTCCTGGTGTCTTAAAGCTGCACTGAAGAAAACCCCTGACCATGCAGTTTGTAGACAGCCTCAAGTCACTGCACAAACTCAAACCCGCCTGCAGCAACTCAGACTTCACTTTTAGCTTTAAATCTAAAAAACAAAACAAGTTTGCAACACTTAAAATGCACTAAACTTTGCCACTACCGCATGCTGTCTTTCAAAGCCAGACTTTAGAAGTAAAAAACAAACTTCCACGTTTCCAGTGTCCATTAAAAGCTGGGGAGCAATTTCACGTTAGACCAACTTGACAAAATTAGCCGTGTGGTTAACAACGTGTCCCACAGCCTCACCCGTACAGAGTTTCAGACAGGATGAAAATATTGTCAGACCTGCACAGTCTTTACTTTTCCAGAAAAACACCCGGTTTTGAGCCACTTAGTCAATAAAGTGTTTTTTTTTAGCACTAAACACCTGTGTTTCTGTAGTTATAAAAAGACGAAGCGTTTGGCCTGAGTCATCTGTCAAAAAGTGCAAATAAGGAGGTTAAATTTAAGAGCAGTTCACTGCGCAACGTGAATTTAATTGTACATTACTGAGTTAGTATAAATCACGAAATAACTCATTAAAATGTCACCCGAAAGCGAATGTGACAGGAGTGTTTTTGCTGCTCTGTGCAGATGAAGAGTTTAATTTCAACAAAAGAGACGGGGAGTAGAGGGAGGACCGGCACCCTTAACGTGACAGGCCTCCTGAGGACATGGCCCCCGTCATTAAAGATGACATCAGAGCAGGGAGGGAACTTCCACGCGAGGTAGATCCTCCACGATGGTGCAGACCGGCTTGGTATAAATACCTTGAGCCCAGTGCCCTGGGAAGCAGCAGCCGCCGCTCAGACAGACAGACTCCTCATCTAAAGGATATAAGAGTGCCGGGACAGCAGCCTCCGGACCCCCACACTGTTAAGGAGCATAAACCTTTGAGGTAAGGCGGCTTTTTCTCCTGATTTAAAGTTAACAAACTGGGGATTCCCAGCAGCAGCCGGCGCTCAGTGAGGGGAGGGTTACCAGTGGAGAGTGATGTTGAAAATGTAATGAGCCATGTGCTTTAGCTGGGTTTACTCTGGATCGGGTTTTGTGACTGTGACTGTGACTGATCAAATTAGATTCTTTTAACTACTCTGTACAAGATTTTGGTGGATACAACTGTGTGGGAAAATATGCAACACGTTTTGATTGCATTGCAAAAAAAATTCACGATGTATTCTTGCATGACGAAGAAGTGTAATGTAAACTCCTCATTCTGACTCTCACATTTTGGCCTGTGAACCAAGAACACAGGTGCAATGCATCTCTAAAACAATCATGCATGCTGCTGCTGATGACCGTCAATAAGGGGTCCTCTCATGAATTGGTTCTGTCTTTGCAGGTTTAGCTTCCCAAGATGGACCTGAGGGTAACAAGCGTTCTCCTCGTCCTCCTGGCTCTGGCCGAGGCAACCCCTGAAAGATACTACCATAGAGTGAGCAAGACTCCCTATCCCGTCAAGAGTCATGGTGAGTGACTTCTGCCTTCTATCATCGGAGCAAGAACTTGTAAACTTGAACATCTCAAATGTGAGATTAGGGATAAGGGAGATTTGCTGCAGATTCAAGCAGTTCAAATTTATTTGAGGGAAACAAAGAGAAGCCCAAAATAAGCACTGTGTCTGTTTAAATCAAGCTTTATTATCTACCTTCAGCCAGACCAACTGATCAGCAAAAAAGTTCCTCAGTCTTTTCCTCTTTTTTAGTAATCATATAAAACATAGACAATGGAAACAACCAAAGTTACAACAAATTAAGTCTTACTTTTGGGCTTGCAAAGATTTAATGTCTAAGAGTAAAGAAGCAGTTGAAGAACCTACTCTTAAGTGATTTTTAAGAAATGACAGCAACCTGGTGCGACAAAAGGCAAACGCAAGCAATAACCTCAAATGATTAAATCCTTGAAAACACATCCTAACACAGCACTGTGAAATAAAACTAGGGCTGTAGCAGCTACAACCAGCAAAACCCTCAAAGCTAAGCCTAAATTCCAAATCAACCTGAATGAACTCAAACACCTTTAGTTAAAAATCTTTAAAACGCCACGTGAAAGATCATTCACTCATGCACATCACCTAATAATACCCCCCTTTACCATCATGGTGCAGGCTCAACGCAGCCCCTGATTGGCCGAGAGCAGAGAGCTGTGGTTGAAGTGGCTAACCTGCTGTGAATGTATTTAACTGTGTACAGCAGGGAGGCAGTGATATTGCAGTAAAGGTGCAGTTGTGCTCCGGATAAATAAAGGGTATTGAACTCAACCCTCAATTTTGCTTGTGTCATAAAGAAAACAAAAACAGTGGCCATGACGTGACTGCTGAAATGATGTATAACCGTGTAATCTAGTCATCAACTGAACGGTGAGCCAAACTCTGTGCCTCAGTCAGGAATTTTTGTACTATTCAGTTTTTAAGAAAGCTCTGATGTGGTTTGTCTGCATGCATAAATACACCAAAAAGTTGAGATTGAGAGTTTAAATTTGACAAATCTCCAAAACAGATGTTGGTACCACGTCACAGGCACGCCCTTGCAAACTGTTTTTGTGGTTTTGAACTCACCCCGCACAATTTGGATGAAAAGAAACACAGACTGTGCGCGCACATGTTCAAACAGTAAATCTAATTAAGAAACCACAGCAAATTTACAGTAGCAGAGACAATGAAGCCATTTTCCCTAAATATAAAGGATGAGAAGGGTGTTGACCAAAGGCGACCAAATTGGGGAGACATATAAGTGCAGGTTTGGGGATGAGAGTAATGGTGTCTTGCAGCAGGTCACACGTAGTTCAGCTCCTAGGTCAGCTAGCGTGGCGAGAGTCATCACTGACCTCCACTTTGTGGCATTTCTGGCTGCCAAGAAGTCCAATCCTGGCACAAACATCCCGTGTGAGGTTTCAGGCATGGCCTCATGTGGCTTCAAAATGACAGCCCTTTCAAAACATCTTCCTCTCAAACACAACTTTTTCAACAAGAAAGGCTCAAATATTGGACTCTTCGACAGGTCATACTTCCCTTTTGGCAACTATGCTTCCAGATTTATGATGCACGACTGTGGTTTCAGGGACGCTCCCTGTGAATCGCAAGAGAGAAGATCTTTTGTTTTTAGTGCAAGAGATACAACTCACAAATATTTATGGCTGTAAAAATAAGTTCTGAAGGAGTTGATTCACTTTTTATACTATATCTAACTGAAGGAGTGTATTAAATGAAAAATAACTAAAACATAATAAAATATTGAAGAATGAAATGATATGGGTATCTTGTGGGCTTGAGGGTTAAGGTCCTGGGACAAAACAATATTTTGACAGCAAAATGTCCTTTTTATTCAGTATTATTTCAGATGTTGACCCTACATATATAGTCAGTGTAATGAACTGATATCAGATAAACCAGTTAAAGGGATATAAATGAACTCATCTGACCTCATCCAAAAAACTCCATGCTATGTGGCAGGAAATGCATAGCAATGCTGACAACTTGCAAACCACTAACTATACATTCAGGGTCATGGGCAATGCAGGAAATTAAAGGGTGCAGTATGGTTCAGCCAAATGAAAATGGAAAGCATTATAGGGCAGTGTGTCGAGTCCCAGGCCCAGAGAAGTGAGACTTGTGGGAACTTTAGCTTGGACTACAGGTCCTGGGAAAAAATGAGTGATATCCCTACATCCCCTACTAAATTTCTGGGAGCAGGGTTTTCAGTCAGGTTGTGGTCTTCAAGGGAATACCAAAGCTTAAGTTATTCAGGAGCAAAAATAGATTCCTACATCTGGCACAGAGTAGAAGAGAGGTCATAGAATGTGGAAAAAATGCTCAGAGATTGAGTCGCTTCTTGGTCATGAACCTTTGGACATTATATTCATTTTGTCTTAATTAAAAACTGTTCATGGTTTTTTTTTTCTTGTATGCTGGTTTGTGTTTTTCTGCATGCAAATATTGTACAACATCGTGAGGTTGCTGCACTGTTTTCAATTTGGGATTAAGTTTCAGTAAAAGAGACTGACAGTTCAGTAAATCCAACCATAACTATCAAACTGAACCGATTTGACTCATAAAGACACCTGACAATGTGACACTACAATGTGTATGAGGTAACCTCAATGCTGACATCACGTCACTTTGTGTCCCCCAGCCCCAGCCCCTGCCGCCGTTGCAGGCCAGGATGGGCCTCCAGGACCTCCAGGAGAGCCAGGACCAATGGGACCACCAGGACCTCCTGGAAAGAGTGGTGTTGGACATGCTGGACCACCAGGAGCACCTGGAACCCCTGGAGCCCCTGGCCACTCTTATCCAGGCAAACCTGGTGCCCCAGGAGGTAATGGAAAACCAGGAAGCCCAGGCATCCCTGGCGAAAGAGGTGCCACTGGCGCACCTGGACAGATGGGTCCAAGAGGTGCACCTGGTTCACCTGGAACCCCCGGACCTGCTGGACTTACTTCTGTCGGAAAACCTGGACCAGCTGGCATTCCTGGAGCAATGGGACACAGAGGAGAGCCTGGTTTGAAGGGACATCCTGGCATTCCCGGTATTCCTGGTGCCAAGGGAGAGAGAGGCATTGGAGTCCCTGGAGTTCAAGGAGCCTCAGGCCCAGTTGGACCAATGGGCCCATCTGGAATGCCAGGCAAACCTGGAGTTGGTAAACCTGGTGCCACTGGTTATCCTGGAGAGCCAGGAAAGTCTGGCATGCCAGGTAGAGATGGTGCTCCTGGTGCAATGGGTATGCCCGGACCAAAGGGTCACACAGGTGCTCCAGGTACAGGTGCACCAGGAAAATCAGGCCAGAACGGTACCCCAGGTACACCTGGACCTATGGGTCCAAAAGGTCCACAGGGTCCAGCTGGTCAGAACGGCGCCCCTGGCATGCCAGGAGTGGGCAAGACAGGTGAACCTGGAATTCCAGGTAGCAGAGGATCTCCCGGTAGTCCTGGAACAACTGGTCAGAAAGGAGAGCCAGGCCCTACTGGTTTTACTGGTCAACCAGGTGCTCCAGGTCCTATTGGCCCAGCTGGTCCACAAGGTGCAAGAGGATTCCAGGGTGAGTCAGGTCCACATGGACCCAAAGGTGATGTTGGCATGGTTGGTGCACCAGGCCCAAGGGGAACCAAAGGTGAGCAGGGAGCTCAGGGTTTCACAGGAAAACCAGGAACCCCTGGGGCAGTAGGTCCTCCTGGCATGCCAGGTCATAATGGCGCTCAGGGTCCTAAGGGTGCACAAGGTCATGGTGGACCTCCAGGAATTCCAGGTGCAAATGGTGCCCCAGGACCAAAGGGACACACAGGAGCCCCAGGATCATCAGGAAAACCTGGTGAAATGGGAATGCCAGGAGGCATGGGACCAGTTGGACCCCCTGGACCAGCAGGTCCCTCTGGGCTTAAGGGCCATCCAGGTCTTCCAGGCCCACCTGGCCCAGCTGGCCAGATCGCTAAAGGACTTGCTGGCCCACATGGTCCCCCTGGAATTCCAGGTGCCAGAGGTGAAGATGGTCACCCAGGCCCCGTTGGCCCTCCAGGTCCCCCCGGTCCACCAGGAGAGGTAGTTTACCACCATGAAAAGGCCATGCCAGTCAAGTCTCATGAGGTTGTGATGCCTCATGAGATGATGAAGGCCCCCATGTCTGCCTTCAGTGCTGTGCTGACCCAGGCCTACCCTCCAGCTGGCACCCCCATTGTGTTCAACCAGGTTCTGTACAATGGGGAGCACCACTACGACAGCCACAGTGGTGTGTTCAACTGCCAGGTCCCAGGTCTGTACTATTTCAGCTTCCATGTCCATGTCAACGGTGCTAATGCCCTTGTGGCTCTCTACAAAAATGATGAGCCTGTTCTTTTCACATATGACGAGTACAATAAGGGCTTCCTTGATCAGATGTCCGGCAGCACAGTCCTTAACCTGCATCCTGGTGACAGAGTCTATGTTCAGGTACCTGATGAGGAGAGCAATGGCATATTTGCAGCTGACAATGTTCACTGCGTTTTCTCTGGGTTCTTGATTGCCTCAACGTGATTTAACAAACCGAAGTAAATCCTCCAACAAATCATTGAACTGCTCAGAGAAATTAAAAAAGTCAAAATTGAGTTTATGATAAAAGAAAATTTATTTCAAATCATAAAAATTGTCTCGTTTAATTATGTGCAACAATCAAAAAGTCTTTGATTTGTTTTTGACCAACAAAGGAACGAAAGAGTAATATTTAAAAATAAATGGTTGAACTTGACCCCTTTACCCAGTTCCCCTACTGTGTGTGCCAACAATTTCAGGAAACGTGAGAAAATATTGACACAGATTTCATAAGTGGTGCTTTACATCTGCCTGTAACATTTACAGTACGCCTTTTAAATGTGTTTATTTTTTTAATGTCTGTTGTTCAAAATTTTCCAGTGATATAAATACGAAAGACACGCAAAACTGTTGTAATATGTCATTTGAGATCAGCACATTCTCACAAGCACTGTGACAAGCAGAACAACGCAGAGTGGAAAAAATCAAACTGATTTTTGTAACATTAATGTCCCATTGGATGTGTTAAGTTGTGTACCACTTACTGACCAAAACACAGAATAAAACCTAAGTTTCAAAAAGACAAGTACAGTCCTTGTGTTCTCTTTGTGTTTTTCTTTTCAGCATAACTTCTTGAAAAAATATTAAATACACAGTTGTGTGCTGATTCAGAACAAAAGCACATACCTTTGAATGCAGATGTGTTGTAATTGTGGTCGATAGCAGCAACCATGTCCTTCCAAAAGTCAGAGTTCACCTCATTTCCTCTCTATACACAAAGAAAGGTTGATTTTTGTATGCTTTTACACATAAAATTTCAATCAAAAATGCAGAATGATAAAATTTGTTCCAAATAAATTACCTTATGTAACATGTCCACAACTCTTCCACAGAGGAGCGCCCCAGGTAGATCAAAATAGTTGTCATAGAAGTAGTATTTAGCTGCAAATTCCAAACAAATAAATAAATAAGCAAATGAAACTGTGAAAAATGCAGTTTTGAGAAGAATTGCAGTCACTGCATGAGCACACCTAAAGGGGAATTCTGATACATATTTTGTTAAATGACCCGGGCTAATTCACAAACAAGGTTTTGGAGGTGCAACATGACATTCCTGATTAAAAGCCATGAAATAGGAGCTGAAGGCTGTAGCATAATCACTGGGAGCAAATGTGCCAGATCAAAGTGAGTCAACTCAAGGTGCTGGTTTGCTGCTAAAAGGATTAAGTTTGATTTTTAAAAGTGTTTTCCTCTCATAGACGATACCCAGACCATTTGCAGCTATTTAAATAAGCATATTAAAATGTTTTGTTAAAATTCTCCTTTTTATATTTTTTGCATTAAAATCTGATATTTTAGTAAGTTTAGATAATTTTTTTATACCAATCTTAAATCATCAGTACTATTGAAATGAAGCTATGGATATGAAGGATTGAGCTATCCCAGTGGCACAAATATAAGCTTCAGATTTCTTTTGTGAACGACAAGAGATGATCAACTCCTAAGCACCAAGCCAGGTTTGCTTTAATATGACTTAGTTGCATTCATTATATTCTTCACATTTGTTTTATTGTTTATAAAAGACACAGAGTATCAAAGAAAAACTAATATCAGCTTTTTAGAATATCAGAATTCGTCTTTAGGAGCCAATAACTCTGCTATCAGGTAATATTGAGGTGAATAAAACCGTTGTACCAGATCTTGTGAAGGATGTATTGAGGCTGTTAAAGTGTTTCCATTCTCTGTTTGGACCATAATGTTTGATGATCTCTTCTGTGCTGAGGTCATTGGTCCCATGTGTCGCCCTAATCAAGAAAGACAGAAAATATTTGACTTACTTCAATTTAAAGGGCGGGGGAAATAACGAAAACAGAGATTTAGGATCAAATACAGTGTTATATACAGGACAAACATACCGCAGTACTGTTCCATCTTCAGCCAGCTTCACCAGGTTTCCGTCGTCCAGATCCACCACCAGCCCTTTAAAACTGAACACAAAATCCAGCCTGTTATAAATCCTGCATGGAAATTATCTGGGGCCATTTGCCTCTCAAGTTCTGATATCAGCAAAGCTTCATAACATGAGATGCACCCTCTGCTCTTTGTTTGATCAGTCTGTCTCTGAAAGTTCCTCTAAGTGTTTTTCTGTTGTGAAGAATAGTCTCAGCTTTTTTCTCTTTCTTAAGACAAAGGCTCAAAAAACAGTGTGAAGTTTTTATGTGGTTCTTCATGAAGATTAACTGGAAGCAACTTTACCACAGCTGATAATGGAACACCAGCTAACGTGCAATAGAGAGCTAGTATGGGCAACATTGGTCATACTCAAAAAGTTTCAACGAAGATGAAACTTTGGGGTGTATAAAAAGCTGTGTAAAAAGTAACACGCACAAGCTGTAAGTAACATTATAACAGGAGCTAAAAGAAAAATAGATAGCATAGAATTGAGGGCTATGTGGACACTAACAGCAAGCCTTAGGTGATTTCTGTAAAGGCAAAACTATTCAGTAATTTTGTGACCAGAAAGCTGTGTAAGAAGTAACACCAAAAAAACTTCTGAATTTGTATTGGTGGAAAAGCAATTTAAGTGAAGTGTTTTAAGCTGAAGTAGAATATGTGGGTTTTCACAGACATTTGTTAAACTGCAAATCATGCTGAGATACTCTCTAGGTGTCCTGCACTGACTGAATGAAAGCTGAATTTTGTCTTCCTTAACACTTGTTCGATATGGCTTTATTTATGTTGAGAAATATCCCATCCATTAAAATCTGTTTCATAAAGTTACCTCCTTTTCACATATGCACAAAACTCCAAAATAATCACGAGGAGTCATTTCTGTTATGAGATATTTTAATGGACAGACTCTGACCTGACAAATTGTTTCACTGGGATTTTACTACAGCACAAGCTGTCTGATTCACAGCTGCCAACAAATTCAATCAAGAGGGGAAATTAAACTTTGTGTACCTATTAGTCATCAGTCCCTGGATTATATAAAACTAGGCCCCCGGCTAAATAAAAATCCAGTAGTTTCCTCTTTATATGGCTGGAAAACAATTAAAATTCACCGCACCGCACTGTGACACAGTTCCCCCATAGGTCAGGGGACCTGCAGCTGCTGACTCACCAGAAATCCCAGGTAGCCGGGGTTAGGTTCAGCAGGTCCTTGTCATAGCCTTTATGCTCCACTAGATACCGGGCAAAGCTCTCATAGATCAGCTGCAAAAACAGTGAAGAGACAACAACACTTACTGCAATGGGCTGCACAGGCACAATGAACAACAGAGCGGTAACCACAAATACACAGCTGTTTCTCTCAACCAAATACCACAAAAGACAATGATGGTGATTATTTTCTCCTTTATTTTGTTAAACCACATTCTATATTATTCTGATACTTTGATTTCACTACACTTAACAGTTCATTATAACCTTAATCAGATTCAAAACATTCAAGAGAGAGAAGAGCGTGTACAAAGTTAAGGTTACTCCAACGTTTGGGTTGACTTTATCCTCTTAATTTAGCCTTTTGCCCTTGAATTGTTACAAGGCTATGTGTGCTTCTTCATTTTTGGTCATTTTTGGTCAATTTTGGTCATTTCTTTACTCTACAAAAATATGAATTGAAAGAGAAAACATTTATTTAATTCTGTCTTTTGAGATTTGGCTCTACAGTTCTGATGATACCATCAGAGTTTTGCCTGTAGTTTCACAATTTGCTCTTTTGCATCGAGAATTCTCACTTGGTATTTGGAATAATAAGTAGGAAAAAGTATTCACAGAGTTTAAGAAAATCTATTAACAAACTTCAAAAAATTTAATTACATGGGGAGGATTAAATTAGGCTGACGTTTTGATAACAGTTTTGATTAATTCTCGATAACGTACCCAGCTTTGGCAGCAGGCAATAAAAGATTTTTCCTCTCACAGGGGTTGACTAATATACGGTTTTGGGGGCTGATTTAGTGCCACTTATTCAGAGTTCATGAGACCAATGAGAGACTTTCTGAATCACTGTGCATTAACAATGAAGATGAATATCTCCCTGTCAAAATTTAGAATTTGGAATACCACAATAAGCCAAAAAAGAGACTATTTAAATGCTTTTATCAAATGTTTAATCAACTTTAAGCATCATACACAGAAAGTTCCAATGTTTTTAATAATGACAGTACAGTTATTATGTCCTCTCAAGCTACCTGCATTTATTTTAACTCATGCGGATAAGTCTGATTAATCGCCCTATATGAGCACACCTTTCCAATACAGATAATCCGTCAAAGCGTGAATATCGACCCTGATAGTCAGCCTAGCAGATAATCTGTCAAACCCTGTCTTCTCTCTGCTTCTTTCTGGACACAGAATCTGATCAATTGTAAGCTGTTTATGTCATTCCTAAGATTTCTGACTGTATTGATGGGAACACATTATGGATTAAGTCAGAACTTAAAGTTTTAACTTATTTAAGTATATTCCTCCTGCATACTTGTGCTGCAGATTCCTGCACTGATGGGAGAAATGAACGTGTCATGCATGTCAAACAGAGAGCATGACCGAAATCCAGGCCTGATAAAATAACCAAAGGGGAGAGTGGAGTAAGTTGAGCCAAAGGGTAAGTTGAGCCATCCTCTGTTGCTTGGAAATGGTAAAAAAAATTGATAATGTGACCAAATATTTTAGGAGATGGGCATCAATTCATGGAGTCTTTGAAGGTTGGAAGCACATGGGTGAAGGGGTAAGACATTTATTTTCAAAAAGCATTTTTCACTCTTGAAAGTGAATTGAGTCTGTCATAAGTTTTATTAGAATTGTGTTCAGACCAAAAAAGATCATTTTAGATTTGTTTCATACATCAGTTGTGGTATCTGTGAGCTACAACATGAGGTCAAAAACCTAGCAGAAAAGTCCACCATTTTAGCTTAGAGGACTAATAAAGTCATAATAGTAGTTCAGGGGTAAGTTGAGAAAGTAAAGGAGTCTGATGAGAGCATCACAGTTTCAGTTCAGATTATTGAAATGTTTTACTTTTTCTTTTCAAAAATACAGCTGTGAATGTTCTGAATCACTCAAAGTCATTCTCATGTTAAAATGTCTTTTTACAAAACAGCTTTTTAACAGTTATATGTAATAATAAGAAGAATAATTATTGTACCAGTTGAATAGCTTATAAAAGATAAAAATACACATGAATATGAAGAAGTGAATGTTATTTAGGGAGAGAGAAGGTGAGGAAGGGCTGAGGTGGAGAGTGGAGGGGTAGTAGGGATACAGCTCAACTCAACTTACCCCGCTCCTATGGTCAACTTACCCTATACACGGGGTAAGTTGACCATAGGAACGGGGTAAGTTGAGCCGTATCCCTACTGCCTATTCCTGTTAATGTTACGTGTTGTATTCAACCCATACACGGGGTAAGTTGACCATAGGAGACCACTTTTTTTGGCATGCTGTATTATCAAGACAGTTACGTCTACACTCATTCTGTTGGTTTGCAGGGATGTACAACATCTTGAAATATATGCAGATACATTAGTTAGAAACAAAACTATGATTGACTTGATGTAGTGATCCGAAATATGAAAAATGTCTCATCTTACCCCGCTCTCCCCTATTGATCATCTCTAATGTGTGGTCACTGAGTGGTGTAAAGCCTGCATATCTACTCTAATTTCTCCAAACTGTGTATGTGAAGAGTGAAAACACTCTGATTTGGGAGGACGCTGATGACAAGAGGCCACATAGAGGATTTACAGACACGTATGATGTTCACCGCCGACGTTCAACCTGTGAGTCACGCAGAGTGACTGCAGCATCAGGAGCATCGCATCACCTCAAACACACACACTAACACACATTAACACACAGAGAGACACACAGCTCCATTCAGACACACTACATGGTGGTTTATGAGGTTATTTCACCGCTCAGCACACACACACACACAGCTGACATGAAGTATCCGTGCAGCGTTATTGACGCTCCGTGCTATTTTTAATCCAGATGTGTTGCGGATCGAAGCCTCGCGGCCACCGTATGGTTATATACCCGGAGCTAGCTGCTGCACGCGCTGTTCCACTCACCCTGGAGGTCTCCTTCAGATGGTACCGGCACAGCGTGTGGTCCAGGTCGAAGCCGATCACATCACAGTCCGACAGGCTGAAGTACTCGCTCATTGTGGCTGTGGAGCTGAGGGAGGGGGACGGAGCGTAACCGCACACACAGCAGCACAAACACCGCGGTGTGTCAATGTCACCGAGTGACGGCGGCGGGGACTGCGCTCTGTGCACGCGCTGCTCTCTCTCTCTCTCTCCGCTAAACCGCACAGTGAAATTAAAGTCAACGAGCTCCTCTTTCCAACAACAACCACTGCACGGTTAACGCCGGTGAGTTGCCCAGTGAGCTCCAAGTTAAACTCCAGTGAGCCAGAGGAAGGCAGCAGAGAGGCGAGCGGGAGAGCGTGCAGCGCTTCCGGGTATCAAGCCAAACCGTAATGCTATGTGTAGATGCGCAGAGTAAATTTGGGGTGCGCTTTTCTATATGCAGAGATGGGAGGAATCACGAAGAGGTTACAGGGCAAACACCAGACCCTCTACACCCCCGACAACAGCTAAAACTTTTGCATTAATAACTGGCAAGAAAAATATCTACAAAGACACACAAAAAACGTGATTTGAATTTGATGAGTTCAACTACAAAGCAGGCGATGCTATCATAAAAATATCTGACTAAAAAAAACTTTCTTACCCCAAAATTTGTTTAAGTTTTCTCTTAAAATTGGCTGAGTCTACCACAGGATCCTCCATGTACACATGTGGAACAAGGACTAAACCAAGCATGCGTAGAGGCAAATTTTGACGCAACTGACTATACACATTAAGCCTGATGTGATTTTGTGACTTTCAGGAGAGAAAAAACGCAACCTGGGGAAGACTTTTCTGGGGGAAAGTCCCGCCTTCTTCGCCTCTGATTGGCTAGAAAAGCTGGAAACGTTATCGCACGCTCAAGCCAAACGGTCAGCACTTACAGCCAGTCAGAGGCGAAGGAGGGGCGGGACCTTCCCTTAACAACCAGCGTCCCGGCTGGAAGTGAGAAGGCAAAAATGGAGTCTACTTCAACTTCAAGTGATGGCGAATTGGTACGTGGCACATGGGTGCATCCAATATAACAATAAAGAAAAGAACTTGGTGGGTTTCACTGCTTGGTTCAGGAGTTGAGATGGCTTTCTGTCATGATAGCAAATGCCAAGTCGGGGCCAGTACCAGATAAGCACATGCAACTATGGTAACAACCATTAGCTTATGTTGGCACAGATGAAAGTTAAAACAAAGACGTTTAGCAAACTGTTAAAGCACACAAACCATCGTCATATGAGAGATCCGATGCTATGACTCTCCACAAGTTGTCCCTCACGTCGGTATCTTTGTAATGTTTGTGTCTTTTATCAAAATGCAGTCTGTTTCCGACACGTAAATAATCAGCCAGTCGGATATGTTGGATATACCGGTGAATCAGACGTCGCAACAACACACAATCTGATTGGTCAGAGGTGGCCACACGGAATGCGAAACTTTAGAAAAATCGACGATGATCCGAAAAAATAAATGCCGCAATGTCGTAGGACGAGAAAACATCGCTGATGTGAACACTTGTATTGACAGGATACGGGTTCGAAAAAAAATATTGACCTCCGAATTGACCCATGTTACAACCATCCCCGGTCTCCCCTACTTTTCACTACAAAAATACTGCTCAAACAGTTACAAAATAGTGACTTCGAATTTCACCAAAGTTCTCACCTTTGCGCTGTAATAATTCAAAACCAGGTCAATAAAGATTCGAAACTCGATACACTTTTTCCAACATCATGAGTAATCAGCTGTTACCTGTTCAGGTGCTTTCTACGGCACAACACCGGCTGCGGCATGACGTCAGAGAAGCGCGAGCCGCTCCTCATTCCATTCTTGAGCAGGTGCAGGTGATTGGTGCAGCGAGATATGATGGACTCTGAACCAAGACCAGACTGTGAACCAGGAAACTTTACTTTTTGAGTTCTGTAAGAGGGAGAAGGGTGTGTGCAGAGGGGCAAAGAGCTTTTGCTGTTCGAGTCCGTGGATTACTGAACGGATTCTGTCATTCATGGAGTCTGAATCATGAGAGAGGAGCGAGGATTCACCAAACTGTTTCCGAATGACAGTCTGTGATTGACCACCGCACACCATGGAGATCCAAAAGAGGCTGTCTGCGTGCTGGCAGAGTTGCCTGGCATGTTTTAACAAACCGAATCAATCCAGTGGAGGACAGAACCAGAACAGGGATAAAACCGGCATTGTTATTGAAAACCCCGGAGCTGTTAAAGCTCCAGACCCGGGTTTCCATGTTAACAGAAGTTTACCTAGTCCTCCAGGAACCAGACCAGAAGGGTATTACATCGCTCAGTATGATTACTCCGCTCGGACAGAGGAGGACCTGAGCTTTAACGCCGGGGACACTTTGGAGGCTCTGGATAAACGCCATGGGGATTGGTGGTTCGCCAAAGCTCTCACCGGCATCTCAGCCTCCAAACAGGGATACATCCCCGCTAACTATGTGGCTCCTGTGGAGAGTATCGATGCCGAACCGTAAGTTCAAACCTCACAGTATCACCATGTCATCTATTGTCATTTGCAGTTTGACTGTTGTACGGAGGCCTATTCCTGCCATCACACTGCAATGGTGAAAAATCCATCCTGAACTTAAAAATTATGACAGAACTTCATCAAAATACGTGCTAAATTATTTAATTAAAATAATGAAAATCTTTCCTGAAACACCCATCAAACATCTGATGTCGAAGAGACGTGCAGATCAAGTCAGTATTGGGTTGGTCCGTCAATGACAACATCTCGACATCAGCGTGACGTGCAAAATAGGTTAGAAATTTTGACGTCCAAATTGGACCTTTTGTTAGACGTAGCTCTGACGTTTAGAATTTTGACATCATCTGAAGACCAAATCTAGATGACGGCACAACGTGCAAAATGGATCCAAGATTTAGACGTCATTATTGGACCTCTTTTAGGCTTTGAAATGATATCCAGACGTCGAAAAAATTTCTTAAATCGATGTCATTTCAACGTCGCATTGCGCAGTGAGTCATTGATTATCTTGGTATATAAGGGTGATTATGCAGTGGGAAAGAAAACACATTTTGAAATAAAAGGTGTAATATTAAAAGAATCAAGTTGAAAATTAAGTAAATTATGCTGCATTCCAGTGACCTCGGAAGTCGGAAAACCGAGATGGACACCTACAGTTTCCCGTTGTTAGCTGTTGGTTACAATTGTCAGCTGCCATTGGCCGTTGTCAGTTGTTGTTAGCGGTTTTCAGCTAGACCAGTTGTAAACAATGCAATACAGAGTATATTACTCTACAAACACCATAGCACGGTGTTCACAATAGGATGTTGGGCAGCAGAACGTATACCACTTACTTAACTTCACAAAAACAAAACAGAAGTGCTAATAAATAATACATCATGAGAGATTTTACCGTAACTCTTCACTGTCTATGCACTGCACCGCCATCTTGAATTATGACGTTGTCTTCAAGTCAGGGTTGGCGAGGATTTTCCGACTTTCCGAGTTGGAAATCAAACTTCAGCATTAGCCTATATGTTACTTCTATTCTGAGAGAGGACATGTCATAAACTGCTAATTATAATTTCTTATCAATACGCCCTGCATAAGAATTAGAAAATTGTTGCATCTGAAGTTCTGATTTAAATCTAACAAATAACTTATATTTGGCCAAACAATTAACATCTATAGGCTTGCGCTGGTAACTCATTGCCGTGGTTAAGTTGTTATATAACAGACTAGACACAACATACATGCAACTTCAACTTCATTCTCCGCAAAGCCAACCCTCATCTGTGCTTGTTTACATCCACGTGGTAGAGCGTTATAGCATTATGGCGATATCTACAGGCAGAACTAGTGAAAAATAACCTTTAAAATGACATGATCCACATGTCAGGCTTATAATAGAATATTTTAATAACTTGTGAAACTGACTGGTACCTCTGGTGCCGACTAGCTCAGGTGATGTGGTTTGATCATTGAGTTGATAAAACATACACTCCCCTAGTTTTAGTTTTGTGTGAAGTTGTTGTCTCCTGTGTTAAGTAGACATTTAGAACAAATAAATACCACCGAAAAGGGCCTGGCCTAAAAAAGTTAGAATTGTTTATTTTCAGGATCTTTTTCCTTATCACCAGAAAGAGATTGGCCATTGTATCGTATATCCTCTTTCAATCCCAACATGAAACAATCTGAGTGTTGATATAGACGTCAAACATTACTTTCAAAGGTGGTTAACATTTACAATCCATATGATAAACAAAAAAAAAATGCAAATTTCGCGAGCTGTGCTTTCACAGCGGTAAATCACATCTGATTGCTTGTCCCATGCAGTGAAGTGGTGGATTAATGATTATCTGTAACCAGGAAATGTCGGTTTACAGGTTAATGATTCCCACAAGGAAAAGGTCCAAAGCATGAGAACCTCAGTGGTGTATAAAAAGGCTTTTTTTCTGGTAGTTCACGGTCATCTGTAAGTATTGTTAAACTGTAATGACTGTGTCCTTATTCAAACTGGTTTGGCCACAAACACTCCAGCCTTATAGAGCTACTTCACTTCCTCATAAAAGTCCAGTTCATGTTCAGACATCACAGTATGTGTAAACAAATTTGGACTCCTTTAAAAACCAGGTACTGTTATCTCTAACCTCTGTGACACTGAGGAGTTGTAAAAGTAATGTCATGTATTCGTGATGCACTCTCAGCCTACCCGGCATGTGAAACCCGTTTCTGCTCAGCTGTCCTCTGGTTTTTCCCGTTTAGTCACGACAACAAAAATAGTCCTGAGTTCCAGTGTCGGCATCATTTGTGTCATAGTTTTAGTGAATCATAAACCTGATGATCATGAAGGGAGGCCAGACAGGAAAGAATTTGTTTTATGACCCAGTTGTATGAAATAAAGTCGCTTATCATGCATCTTGTAAAATGGTAGCAAACCAAAATCACAGACTCTGAAATGAGGAAAACAGAGTTCAAGTTTTATCAATCCTCCCACTTAACATCTGCTGGTAAATATGACTAACATTTCCTTATTGTGTGTCGTATTATCATCAAGATCCTGGACTTGTGGCCCTATGAAGCGACACCCAGTTTTACCTGTGGTAGATTAACCTGGGAAGACATTTGCTATTTATAACTCAAATTTAAAAAAAGCTTAGATGCTTTGTAGAATGTAAATAAAACCATAATTTCATGGTTTGCAAATCATTCAAAGTTATATTTATTGGGAACAGTGCAAACAAAACAAATCAAATGTTGAAAATAAAAAAATATTGTCCCATTCATACATGATGTAGGATTTCTGCTGCTCACCAGTTTAGGTTTTCACAGGACAGTGTTCTTTTTATGAAGTTTTTTTGAACCCATGCAGTGATTTCCACTATAGAGTCATATGTCTTTGTACAGTGATTTCTCCAGATTCTCCAAATCTTTTAATGATATTACATTCTGTAGATGATGAAATCCACTAATTCTTTGACATTTTACATCAAGGAACATTATTTTTGAATTGTAAAGCCTGTATTTTCTATATCCTGGACCCTAACATGTAGCAGACAGAGCAGACAAGTGATGCACAATTCTTCTATTAGAGGCGGCAATCCATTCATCTTGAACCCCTGTAAAAGGCTTTATGAACGGATGTAGGATATCATTACTAACTATATTTATTGGGAAGAAATAAGTCATAAAATGGCGAGTTGGTGATGGGCCTTTTATTAACGAGTCGCAATAAATTACCACTAAACTCCATGCTTAAACTGCTGATGATACATTTACTGTTTTTATTTTGAGACTAATCTGCCTCTTGTTTTTGCTCAACCTCTAATTTGCAGTTGGTATTTCCCGGAAACCAAGAGGCTGGATGCAGAGAAGATGTTGCTGGCAGAGGGAAACCAGCATGGAGCTTTTCTCATCAGAGACTGTGAGAGTCAGACAGGAGAGCTCTCCCTCTCAGGTGTGTACAAGAAGATCTCATATCCACTGATGAAACTCTTGTGCATGTTATAACTTACTTATTTTTTTTCTAGCTTGGACTAAAAACCAAAGACAGATCTTTGACTCCTGGGTATGTCTGTATGTGTTGGCTTGTGTTTCAGTTCTGGACAATGGGAAGGTGAAGCATTACAAGTTGAAAAAACTAGAGAACGGACACTACTACGTGTCCAGGGCCAGACCCTTCCTAACACTGCAAGAGCTGGTGAAGCATTACTCCAAACAGTCTGATGGTCTCTGCGTGCGTCTGGGTGAACCATGCTTGAAGGTAGAGCTTCATTCATTTCATTAATTTTACTCCTGAGCACGATGTAAGGTCCCTTTGTCATGTCTGTAAACACTGGCTCATCCTGTCTGTGAAGATGGAGGCTCCACAGACTATCGGTCTGTCGTATAACACTGTGGATCAATGGGAGATTGACCGAAAATCCATCCAGTTGCTGAGGAAGCTGGGAGCCGGTCAGTTTGGAGAGGTGTTTGAAGGTCTGTGGAACGAAACCACGGCAGTTGCAGTGAAGACCCTCAAATCTGGTACGCTCATTTACATCATTTTAAGCTCTCAAACAGAAAACAAACTAATTGGGAGCAAATATATTAAAGTACTGAGTAAAATCTGATGATTCAAGGCCCAATAAACATGTTTTTGTCTGTTTGATGGCTGCATTTAAGATCAGAGCTGGTGCTTTCTGAACCATATGAGCGTTAATGAAAAGATAAATGGACCCAGGTTAGAGCCCTGAGGTACCTCAGTAAAACGTTTTTTTTTTCTTATCTGGGTAAACTGTCCGAAATATTATGGTGTTTAAGATAGCAGGTCTTTGTAGGACTACATGGGCAAAAGAATTTCAGCATACTTTCCAGAAAAGTTTATTTAACAATAAAAGATAAAAGGACCTAGGTTAGTACCCTGGGGTGCCTTGGTTAGGTTTTTTTCTGCTTTCTGTTTGGCATATAAATGCAGATCAGAAGCCCTGGTGTCAGAAACTTTCCTAGATTGACCAATGTCACGTCCAAGATATGTACAGTTTGAATCATGCCCACCTTTTATATTTTTCTGTTTCTCCTGAAAGTAGCATTTGTGGCAGGCTGATAACAACTGGAAAAAGGGTACATTCTATCTGATATTGATCGTTATTCTAAGCTTGCCATGTCAGTAAATGATGTAGACAGTTAGCACCAGTAACTTCAGCTTTCATGTCCAACCAGGATTAAAAAAAAAACTGCCTGTTTTATTATTCTAATCAACCAGGGCTTCTCTGGTTACACAAAATAGCAAAAATCAAAATTAAAGCTCCTGTGAGGACTTTTGAGTTTGTGCCCCAACACAGTTTTACTCATGTAAATAGTGTCATCCTTCAAAATCTGATCCCATTCAGGTATATCATTGCTTGTTAACATTTAATTTGGAAAATGTAAGAATAAGGGTGTCTCCTCGGCTACTGGGCTGACACCTACCCCCTCATACCAGTTTCAAACTTTCAGTCTACATTATAAAAATTGTAAATCTTGTCACTGATGGTTTTGTCAGTTTTGGGATATAATGAAGTGGCATCAGTATAAATTTCAATCTCTTTCACTCATGTCAAAAAATTTCTCACAGGAGCTTTAAATAACTTTATTGTCAGTTCTGAAAATGTAAGATCTATAACTGTCATTGTCGTAATATTGAAGTGTCCCTCCTAACATTCAGTCACTGCTTACTGTCTGCAGGCACCATGGACGCTGAAGACTTCCTGAGAGAGGCCCAGATCATGAAGAGGCTCCGGCACCCCAAACTGATCCAGCTGTATGCGGTTTGCACCATGGAGGAGCCCATTTACATCATCACAGAGCTGATGAAGAACGGCAGCCTGCTGGAGTACCTGCAAAGTAAGATGACTCACGTTTACTGCTCATGTGTTTATGACAGATTTTATGATAGGATCAGAGTCCAGTGCTGCTCCTGCTGTTTGCCTCTTATTGTCCCAAGGATCAGATGACAGTGGAAAGTGACGAGAGCAGCAAAATGTTCTACGCCATGCAGTTTTTAATCTGACCTCTGTCCCTGCATCAGTAATTTTCCTGGTCCTTGGCATTGTCGTGGGTAGTTCTCAGGAGAAGTTACAAAAACATTTCCCTATTACACAAAACATTTTTTAAGTTTTGATTAATTTTCTTTGCTGAACTGAATAAATGAATTTAAAAAAAATAGAAAGAAATATGGATCTTTTAATTCTAGCTCTTTTACTAATGATGAAACAAACATGTCTGGACTGATTGTATGACCCTCTATCTTTATCACAGAGGATAAAGGCACCTTGCTGAGGCTCTCAGACCAGGTTGAGATGGCTGCTCAGGTGGCGGCTGGTATGGCTTTCCTGGAGCTACAGAACTACATCCACAGAGACCTGGCAGCCAGGAACGTGCTGGTGGGAGAGAATAACATCTGCAAGGTGGCTGACTTCGGCCTCGCCAGAGTCTTCATGGTGGGTGATATTTAAATTGATTATCTGTAAGAACATCAATCGATCTGAAAATCTAGACTGCAGATTCTGAATTGATCTGTATTAAAAGGATATTTCAGCATAAAATTAAGTTAGGGTCAAACACACCACTTGCTTCTCCAGTTATACCAACTTTAGTAACGACCACACGATAGCAATACACAGCAGTCTATGGATCCACGCGCACACCTCAATCCAATCAAAACGCCACTCTAGAACCACAAATAATGCTCAGAACAGCACCTAACTTCATCAAAAGTACATATAGGGTCCCAGCCATAGTACTAGCCACCAAACATCTTTTTAACTTTGCCTAATTTCTTTAGCAAAGAGACTAAACACAACTCACCTACTCTCTTCCAGCAGCTGCTTGTTTGTAGGGAGAGCTCAGATGAGTCTGAGCGGAGTGACGCAGCTCAAGGAAGAATATTCATGATCATTACTTTATCATTTCCTTGAAGTAATAATCACCATATAAATCATTTTGCACTGCAGATGCGGTAGTTCTTCTGCTTAGCGTCTCGGTCTGATTGCATTTCCAAGAAGAAATTATCATAAATGTTCTTCCTTGAGCTGCGAAAATTCTATGCACTTGGTTATTATAGAAATTAGACAAAGTTAAAAAGATGTTTGGTGGCTAGTGCTACGGCTGGGACCCTATATGTCCTGTTGATGAAGTTAGGTGCTGTTCTGAGCATTATTTGTGGCTATAGAGTGGCTTTTTGGTTGAGGTGTGCACATGGATCCATAAACCACTGTGTATTGCTATTGTGTGGTTGTAAATAAAGTTGGTATAACTAGAGAAGCAAGCAGTCGGCAACATTCATCTCTCGAGGGGGTGTCTAACTCAGTAATACGGTATGTTTGACCCTAAATTAATTTTACGCAGGAAAATCCCTTTAAGCTCAGTAGATGTTGTTCTACTCACTCTATCAAAGTGAAACCAGCGTGGCATGCATACTTGACTCATGACTCGTGCTGTTTTCACTTACTGGCATGCACAGTTAACCTGTCAGGTTTGTCATCTGAAACTTCCTGTAACACCTGGACCTGTTGTCATCACTGTTATTTTGGAATGTGTGTTTTTTTTTTTTAATTAAAGCTGAGTGACTGGCAGTAATTGTAATTTGTTTTGTGGTTTTGTTGTATTTTTAGAAAGAGAATGAGAACGTCTATGAAGCCAAGGAAGGAAGTAAATTCCCTGTAAAGTGGACCGCTCCAGAGGCCATCCAAGACAACAAGTTCAGCATTAAATCAGATGTCTGGTCCTTTGGGATTCTGCTACATGAGATTATGACGTTTGGACAGATGCCTTACCCGAGTAAGACCGAAATCACTGCTGGGCTGCTTCTCTTCTGTGTATCAGATTGTCAAATGGGAAAATGGTTGTTATACTTAAACTGCATGTGCACACTTGGAAGGGCGGGGAGTTGTCCCCCAGGCTCTTTGCCTTGGGTATTTAATGTATGCACATGAAATAGAAGGGAGTTGTGCTCTCCCTATGTCACGATTTTACATTTCACAGATGCTGGTGGAGGGTCTAGGAGATCTTAGAACAGAGTCATTGCATCACATATGGTTAAGTGCATGTGAACAATTAATTATCTTGACTAACCCTAGAACACTATTGCTAAAATTAGTAACACCATCACTATCACCGGGTGATTTTTAACCAAAATAATATGCCCAAGAAAAAGTACTTATCATCATAATATATCATGGACAATACATGACAAATTAAAGTAGTTTTCTTCCATTTTCAACTGTGCAATGTCCAAAGGGAGTCTTCCCTGGTGAAGACTCGGGGTCCTTGGCACAATAACAGCTGCAGGAGAAAGAACCAATTCATTCGATTGAGTAAAAATAACCAGCTGACTAAAATATTTCTTATCACCATATGAATTCCTTTGAAAATCACTACTTTGTGATAGTTATTCGTAACCACTGCGCTAAATAAAGATAGCATGCAAATTCCAGGACCCCTCTTACTGACCTTATTCCCTACATTCAGCTATCAAATCCACCCAAACCTACTTTACCCTCCATCACTATTGCTGGGAAAAAATCACCCAAACACGTGTCTGTAGGGAAAAGCGTCTTTTGGATCAGGGAAACAAATATGTCTTCAAAGATGTCAAAGGCAATGCTGAAGCTACCCAGAGATACTCAGACAAACGCGACATAATGAAAATTGAATGAAAATTGGTCGTGTGAAAATCACCCGGCGACAGTGTTCAAAGGGTTAAAAGAGGTCCAGACTGCTATGTAGAGGTTGAAAATGAAATGTTACATATCATCTAGTCTCATGAGTGTTTCATCACACCCTCTGCATCCCAAATCTGTTTAAAACTTCCACTCAAATCCCCCCTGCTGAGTAATATCTAACTCTTTTGTCGTGTTGTTTTTGCAGCCATGACGAACATGCAAGTGGTCCACAAGGTGGTTCAGGGCTACAGGATGCCGTGTTCCCCCGGCTGCCCCAAAGTTCTTCATGAAATCATGTTAGAGTGCTGGAGGGAGAATGAGCATGAACGACCCACATTTGAGACCCTGCAGTGGAAGCTAGAGGACTACTTTGACATGGACCCAAACTCGTATGACGATGCTAGCCGTTACTCGCGCTGAGACAGGCTGGAAAAAGACAGAGATAACCCCTCCGAATCATCTAAATCCACAACATGAACATTCACTGATGAAGCAGCAGATTCAATGTAATTTATGATTTCACTCACTGAAAGTCAAATGAAGGATCTGAAATGACTGATCTGCTCCTGATTTGGATACTGTCGCTGCAGTGAAGCAGCTTTTTTAAGTGGACCACTCCAGCTTTTGCTTCGTTTGACTACATGCACTTTCAAACAAGCTGTGTTCATGTCTGGTGTGACTCCTGAAGCTCACCAGACTGGATAAGGCCTCTTTCAGCAGAGCTGCTATCAGTCCATCTGGAGGAACAGGTTCGTCTTGCGCTCCACATAGCTCACATTCTTTCCACTGGCGACGTGCCTAACTTTTTACCTGAAAGAGGAAGGCGCCTGCGAGGACGTGTAAGTCATGTTCGAGTCTCCTCAGTTTGACTCCCTCTGTCGTATTGACGGAGAGACTGAAGGATCTGAGTTCATTCAGGATTGCACATACGTAGCTGCAACTCGAGGTGATCGCTCAAATGTGGGTGACTGTTTAGCTTTTTTCACTGAGTCATGACCACACCCCCTATTATATTGTTAAACTGTTTCACTCAGGCTCCTCTCTTTGTGTCACTGTAAATACACCCAAAAATTGGTCATAACTGAGCTGCAATGTCTTGTAAAAATTAAGAGCTAAATTGACCTAATTTTGACTTAATAAGGTGAATTTGTGCACACAAACGACCGCAGAGAAACTGTGAAGATGATACTGATCCGAGTATTTTTATTTAAGTGTCAAAATAACAGATGTTTGATTCCTCACCTTGCACTTATTTTGTGTCCCAAGGGGCCGAGCTGACTGGGGTCTCCTGTGAGTAGTATTTTAACACATAATGAGGTTTACATTGCGCTCTCTGGTTCATTCGGTGCAGTCAGCAGCTCTGAGACAGTTTCCCAGCAGCTGCAACCAGACTCATTTTCAGGAAGGTAAAATAACTATTAACCTCAAGAGAAACACCTGACTGTAAATGTAATCATGTAACAACCATTTCTGGTTATAGATATGGATCTGACGCGAAAAGGCTGAGATAAATTGTCAGACACTGAGATAATAACCTGAGCCTGTCAGGGTGCATGTACTGAGAGATATTAAAGTCATTTTAACCATCCAGTCGAACCAGCACTCCACAAGGTTTTTTCGCCTTCATAATTAACTTCCGTTTTTCTTTTTGTTTGTTCTTTTAAACCTAGTTGTTCGAAGGTGTTGTACTTTTAATTTTACAATACGATTTAAATAGTCCCCAAATATTGCAAAAAAAGTTTTAGTTTCTAAGTTGAATACACATTTTGGTTTAATGTCACGTTTGGCAGATTTCCGTTTCTGTTTTCGGTTTGTGTGCACAAATGAAATTGTTTGCAAGAGCGATAATCATTTCGAGCAGAAAGTGTCATTTTTTTTTTTTTCATTTTTACCCCCCAAGCCTCTGACTTTTCTTCTTACCACTTTTTTTTTCCTAGAACGTCCATATTTGCTAATTCACTTTGCAACCTGACCCCCCAGTGTACCTCCTCACTACCTGCTTTTTCTTAGGCGGTACTGTCATACTGAGTTAAATGCTTTTGTTTTAAGTCTATAAATGATGTTGAACTTGCGGTATAATGACTCCATGACTGAACAATGTGACTCTACTCTTAAACTTTTTGATGATTTCTGTTAAAAACTGCAGAGCTGCTCTCGGATCCGTGGCCACATTGTTTATGACCAGCTGTAGCTGCAACAGCGAAGACGCTAATACACGTTTGAGACATTTATTTAATAGCAGAGTGTGCAGGATTTGTCACCAGCATCTTTTAAAGTTTCTCCTTCCTTCTCTCTCTCTACACTCAAGTGAGCTGGAGATTGAATAAGGTGAGAAATCAGTGAATCAGGAAGTAAAACTCACTATTTTTTATCGATTCATGCTGTAAAGGAGGATAATTGAAGTTGTAGATCCACTTAACTCTGCAAGAGCATGCTTTTGTTTTAATACAGCTGCAGCCAGGCTTCACCTCAACCACTGCGGTCTCTGCAAGAGGTGAAGGATAGGGACAGTGATCTCACCTGGTCTTTATTTTTGAGTCTAGAGCTGCTATTATCTGCTCCAACCATGCTACAGAAAACCCAAATCTCAATTATGATGCCATGCACCTGTAGGTAAACACAGGAAAGAGAATTTTTCCAAAGACCATCCTGCTCATTCTGCCTCCAGGTTAAAAACTTGAGGGATTTATGTCCTGCTCTGATTGTTTTGTTTAATGTTTAAGTGTTATTAAATGATATAAATCTTGTCAAATATATATTTTAACCATGGAAGTGTTTATGTAATCATTCTGTATTTTTAAATGATTATTCGTAATGCATGAAATAATTAATTAAACCACTTTGTGTATGCTGATTATTGAGTTGTTAATTGTGAAAATAGTTGAAGGACAAAAAGTATGAATATGCTCTATAAATTAAAATTTTATTTACGTTGAAAGAGGCTAGAAAAATGTCTGAAATTGCACAAAGTTTGAATGAAGGAGGAAATTTCCTTAAAAGGCAGGAAGGTGAGAAGTGGCATAAGTTTAAGTTGTAGTTCTAGTATTAGTATGATAAGTAGTCTTAGTAGTGATATTAGTAGTCATGTAAGCAGTAGAAGTAGTTTTAGAATAGATGAAGTAGAAGTCAAAGTAGTAGAGCTAGTGGCAGAAGTAGTAGTAGCAGTAGAGAAAGTAGAAATAGTAGCAATAGTAGTTGAAGTAGAAGTCAAAGTGCCAAGTATACTCAGATTTAGTCAGATATATGCCTGTGTATGTAGTATCTGTATGAATGTGTATCAGTAATTGAGAATGATTATGTGTTGCCTGGCCGCCCCCCCCCCCCCTTTTTTTTTTTAATTTTATTTTTTTTAAACAATATTTTATTGGGTTTCCCATTTTAATACAAAAATTAGTGTCAATAATTATTTGCAAAAAAATAGATAAAACTTAAAATTAAGAAGACACCAACCAAACAAAACAAAAAAGAAAGAAAAAAAAGAAAAATACAGGGCTAATGGAGAGGATCTAATTTCCTTTTTTAATATATATATTTTTTATATTATTTTGTCTGCCAATTTACTGTTCCACACTCCAGTCCAGTAGGTGGCGGTAATGCACCTTCAAGTTGGTTTGCCAACCGCCAATAAACTCCATTGGAGAAGAAGGTAGCCTACAAGTCCCGACAAGCACTTCGGCTATAACCATAGCAGCGGGAGATTTGCGTCTCCCATCATGGACAGCCAGAATCGGGTCTTCGCAGCGATATTACCGGCTGCAGGACGGGAATACGTCGGTAATGAAAACGAGCAGGGCCTCGAAGTGCGAGCAGTTCCCCGTCAGAGTCCCGGTAACCGGCTCAGGGAGATCCAGGTGACGGGAACGGCGGAAGTGAGCTGCCCGGCGGACCGAGCGAGTGTTCGGGTCAGTGTGGGCAGCAGTAAAGAGTCCGTCAACGAGGTGACCAACAGCGTTTCAAGGAGACTTCAATATATTATACAAGCTGTCAGGTAAAAACAGACTTGTGTCCCTTAAAACAAGCAGTGTCGAAGCAGCAGACTAATGCTGGTGCTGTTAAACTTGTAGTCAACATTGATGTTAGACAAATAAGGGGTCTGCCACTAATCATATTTGTTGTAGGGGAGACCAGGGCTTGTTGTCACATGGGTAAATTGTCAGGTTGCAATTATTTTTGCCACCAGAGGGCGCAACTAAAAAGTGGAATAGTAGTTTTCTTCCTTTATATGGTCAGGGGTTGTGTCCTGTCTAAAGGTCCATACACACCGGAACTTAAAAAGAAAAACAGAACGTGTGAGTTGATGCTGAGGGCGGTCAGGCAGGTGACCGTAGCTAATAAATCAATCTGGAGGACAATAAAGGACTCTAATGTCAACTAACATACCTCGGCTCAGTACTGCAAGACATTCACCCCAGCCAAAATACAGTCAGACAGCTCTCCAAACTCCAGAGCATGTTGCATAATAGTATGTTAACATTTGTTCAATGACTTTTTCTATAAATAAACCTAAACATTTTCTGTACCTGACTTTGATGTTCACTTTCATGGAAAAAAATGAGAATAATAATAATTCTGTCCTTGTTTTATTAGCTGTAAAATCCACTGTGACATCTTACCCCATGTAGTGAGACAACTTGTCACATGTTCACACTCTATTTGATTGCTTATAACTCCGCACTGACTCAGGATATGAAAATGACATGAATACAAAATAACAACCCCCAGTCTCCTCTACTTGGTAAAAGTTGTACAAGTTTGCTGATAGTGACTTATGTCATAGTTATAAACAATTTAACTTTTATGAAATATGAGCTAGCTGTTCAGTTATTGTTTTAGGAATTCTTTTTTATTTTAAGCTAAAATTCATATCTAATCCTTAAGGTGAACTAAGAATAATCTCCTGATCTTTTGTTCTTCACAGACAACACGGTGTCAGTAATGAGGACACAACAGTGAGGAAGTTTCTTCACCGAGAGGCAGACCAGTTTCACATGAACGCAGAGGTGGAGCAAGCGTCAATGATCCGCATGCGTCACCATTAAAAGATATGCATATAATGATTTTGTGTTAATGTAATTTGCATGTGTCATTATGTTTTTTTGCAGGTGGTGGTGACCTTCTCTGATTTTGAGAAGATGGAGAACGTGTGTAGCGTCCTGCTGGAGAAGCTGGACAAGAGCGTCTGTGTGGGAACGCCACAGTTTTACCACAGCGCTGAATGCCTGAGTCGAACGAGGTACAAGAACGCACACCGGTGACAAACGGATGACCCGTCATTGAGGTGAAACGCAGGGATCGCAACAAATACGTGTCTGTGTGTCCTCTAGGCGGCGTGCGTGCGTGTCAGCTGTTGAAAATGCTCAGCAGAAAGCCTGTGAAGTCAGTCAGCTCCTCGGGCAAACTCTGGGACCTCCCCTTCTGATCAGAGAGGAGGAGACGAAGGAGTGGAGGAAAGAGGACGAGGAGGAGACAGGTAGACACCAGGGGGCTTCAACCCTCCCTCACCTCCCCTGCACACCTATTATCACTGCCTCCTCACGGGTGTCTGTGTCCTTCAGCCTCAGGGATAAGAGAGGGAAAAAACCCTGAAGACATTTCTCATAGACTCATGAAACAAACGAGAAGATTTTTACTCTTATAAGGATTTTATTTTGTTGTTGTAAAGGCTGCATAAAGTGCTTTTTCTACCTCAACTGAAACAGGTTTTTAAATTAAAAAGGAAAATGTACTTCATCTTTGACAGTATATTTCTTATTTTAAGTCTCTTATTTGAGTCTCTCTTTAAAAATCAGCCATGTTAAAAGTAAAAGCTGTTAAAAAGTCTGCTGTATGGCACTTCATATTAAAAATACTGTTCATTATATCACCTTTAAGAAGTAAAAGTTGAGCAGCAGGGATTTCAAACTGAAAAGAAGTTACCTCGGTGTGACTCCAAATCCTGAAAAGAGTCACCCTCACATCATTTGTCTGAGAGGGAATCCAAAAATGATCCTGGGTGTTCTGAAACATGATCAGTCCTTCTAAAGTAAACAGCGGTCAGTATTCTTCGTTTTCTCGATCATCTTCGGGATAGATATCTCTGAGCCAGGGCTGCATGACGAACCGCTCACCATCGAAGTGTGTGAAGTAATTCTCCAAGGTGGCGATGTCCGGCTGGAAACATCCAACAGTGAATTCAAAGTGCTGCGTATCATGTTTGTGTTAAAGGAATATTCCAGCGAAAAATTAATTTAGGGTCTACATAAGGTAATTTAGACTTTGCCTAATTTCTTTAGCAAAGAGACTACTCACAACTAACCTACTCTCTTCCAGCAGCCGCTTGTTTGTAGTGAGACCTCGGGCCAGTCCATCACGGACTACAGCGGGTCTTCCTTGAGCTGCGTCACCCCGCTGTAGTCCGTGATGGACTGGCCCAAGGTCTCACTACAAACAAGCGACTGCTGGAAGAGAGTAGGTGAGTTGTGTTTAGTCTCTTTGCTAAAGAAATTAGGCAAAGTTAAAAAGATGTTTGGTGGCTAGTGCTATGGCTGAGACCCTATATGTACTGTTGATGAAGTTAGAGTGGCGTTTTGGTTGATGTTTGTTTATGGCTCCACAGACCGCTGTGTATTGCTATCGTGCGGTCGTTACTAAAGTTGGTATAAATAGAGAAACAAGCAGTCGGCAACATTCATCTCCTGACGGGGTGTCTAACTCAGTGTTACAGTGTGTTTGACCCTAAATTAATTTTACGCCAGAATATCCCTTTAATGTGTTCAATGTTTCAGTACATACCCTCATCCCAGTGATGCGCTCCAGTTGTGTCTGCGGCAGGTACCCAACAAACACCGAGGAGGAGGATGGCCCCCTGAACAGAACTTTATAATGAGGTGTTTTCTCGACTTTGGTGCCCTACACACACACACACACACACACACACACACACACACACACACACACACACACACACACACACACACACACAGAGTCACAGATCACAATGGCCTGTCTCATTTAAGGAAGCAAAACTGAAAATCAAAGAATATGTGCACTACGGCTGCTGACCTCATGGTTGGAATACATCCTTTTTATCCACTCAGGGGGCGCCTGGAGTTCAGAGTCCCAGCTCACAATGACCCCAATCATGTTCCCCCTTCTCTCCATCACTACATCCCCCACCCTCAGGAACACGTACGGGGGACGAGGGCTTCGCACTTCCTTTGAAGCTTAGACACAGACAGAGAGAAATGTTTGGGGGACAAATCAAATTCCTTATAGTATTTGAGATCACCTGTGAGGGTAAACACTTTGAGAGTTCAGGTAGATAATTTCCCACGATACATGTGGAACATGTGTACATGCTACAGGGCAACGTGACAAGGAGAGCAAAGAAGCCAAGAGTTTTTACAGTTTACTTCATTTACAGATACAAACCTCCAAAGAATCCGCCCTCATTGTCCTGAAGCAAGTTCTCGAACATAGCTGTGTTCTTTGCCTCGTCCTCCTCCAGCCCCAAATTGAGAAAAGACCTTTAGAAAAAAAGGGTCAGTTTCCTTATTATCATAGTGCACCTCTCTAGTGCTGCAACATCCTTATTACATTAGTAAGCATGTTTATAAGGTAAATGGGGTGTCACTATGTTCATATGAAACATTTGGTCTGATGTGAGGATTTTTTTCCTGTGACCTAATTTTAATTCAGAAATAAAACATTGAGTTGAATTATTTTTGTGATTTTAAGAAGATCAAGTTAGACAACTTGTTAGAGACAGTCAAACATTTTTTGTGTTACCCAGGATAATCCTAATAATAAACATACGTAAACTTCGACATCTGCTCGCTCGCCCAGTCCATCCATGCCGTGCCATCGAGGTAAGCTCTCCACTCTCTCCAAATTCTAAGAAGCCTGAAACACCAAGTTTATAGATTCATTATGAAAAAACTTGTGCCACAAGATAAATAGGGGAGAGTGGGGTAAGATGAGCCATTTTTCCACATATCGGATCACTACATCAAGGCGATCATAGTTTTGTCTCTAACTAGTGTACCTGCGTATATTTCAAGATGTTGTGCATCCCTGCAAACCAACAGAATTAGTGTGAACAGAACTGTCTTGATAATATAGCATGAGGAAAAAAGTAAAACATTTCAACAATTTGAACTGAAACTCTGATCCTCAGTTGAGTGACTGGTTTAACTTACCCCAGAACTACTATTATGACTTTATTAGTCCTCTAAGCTAAAATGGTGGACTTAAATGTTCATAGATACCACAATTGATGTGTAAAACAAATTTAAAATTATCTTTTTTTGTTCTGAACACAATTTTAATCATACTTAAGACAGACTAAATTCACTTTCAAGAGTTAAAAATGTTTTGTTTTTTTTAAATAAATGTCTAACCCCTTCACCCATGTGTCTCTAACCTTTACATACTGCAAGAATTGATGCACATTATCAATTTCTCTTACTATTGGGTGGCTCAAGTTACCCTTTGGCTCAACTTACCCCAGTCTCCCCTACAAAGTAATTCCAGGAACTTGTCACTAAGTATGTATCTTAACGCCTTTAAAGTGATTTCACGCGCCGATCCTACCGGGTGGTCGCGTGGAAGCGCTGCGCTGATGTCGTGCTGGTCCACTTGGAGATGAGGTACTGCGCGGGCACCGCGGACAGCAGCAACGCGAGCTGCAGCACCGCGGCCGCTGAGAGCCGCTGAGGCATGAGCGCGCAGGAGTCACCTGCGGAAGGAAACAAGCGTCAGGTGGAAACCAAATATAAACCAGTCCAAAGTTGACAGAATTAACCCACATTAACAGACTTACGCACACAAAATGTGTTTGTTTGAGAGCACTTAGCCTACAATTGGTTACAGTGGAGTAATCTTGCATGATTTTTTTTGAAGAGCAAACCCAGTTTTATCTTGTTTTACCTTATGTGAAAGTCAAGATTTGATTTGACCACAAATTTCGACAGTAACAGTTCGATATTGCGCGTCAGAAACTCAATAAAAAGCACGTCAGCCGAGTTAATCATTACATCTAAGTCACCAAGTATGACTCTTACCTCGTCTGAAAACCCCAAAGTCCTTTAACCAACTATCTGACAAACATTGGGACTCAAAGTTTGTTTTCAGCAGGAAACCAAAGCCAACTGTGACACGCTTTCACTTCTGTTTTATTTACATAAAGCGCTCGCGCGCCCATGCCGCTGCCACCTGTGTATTTACATTTGTCGTGAAAATTGCCGAACAGGTGATCCACCCAATCGGAGCGGCCCACGGAGGAACCGTGGGACCTTTAGCGGCTCGCCACGTCAGGAAGAGCCGAGCCGGTGAGCTCCAGGCAGGGAGGCGGATTGATACGCAGTATCGCTGAGGAAACGCTAGGTGGCAGAGTTGTTTTTCCTACGTGGTCTGTGGTTATGTGTTGTTCTTTTCACCTAATGGAAAGCAAACAAATCATAAAGAAAGAAAAACATTTAACTCTTAAATGACACTGCATACTGTGACTTGAACAAAAATCCAATCAGAACAAAAAAAATGTGAAAAAGTGACTTTTAATGACACGATCAACAACATGAAAGAGAAGTAGATATGGAAACACAACTGTTTATTCACTTAAAATATTGGTATGAACTAACAGGACAGCAGTACTCCCCTAAACATACATTCTAGCTTTATGCTTCTTTTTGCTTTAATTCCTTTATATATAAAAGTATCCAAACTAACAAAGACGTCTTCTTCGATCAGTTCACATAAAACAAACCCACACCCTTCCCCTTTCTGCTCTTTGCAAACCCTTACCCCCTGAAAACATCCCCAAAATACTCTCCAGTGGCTCACATGCAGCCACTTCACACACATACACACATACATACATACACACTTTCACACAGACACACCCCTGACCTGCATTTTCTGGTCAGAGGTCACAACTGCAACACATAAGCACAGGCCTGTTGTTAGATGGATGTGTAGATGAGCTCCTGAAATGTGGCGCAGGTGGTTTACAGTAAGAATCTGAACGTTTCAATTAACTCGACTTTAACTGAAAATCTGCATACACCATTTCTTGCCTATGAAGGAGTGACTTTTAAGGCCCCTTTGAAGTGATAAGAGGTTGTACATTATTTCTAGCGTGGTTAACTAAATCAGCTCTGTTAAATCAACAGGTTTTGATGAAGAGTTGGGGGCTGATTGCAGCATTTGATGTGTAAATCTGATCCCTTCTCGTTACAATGGGGTTACGATGGCTGCTGTGTCTGTAATCTACAAAGTAGTGGATCCAGAATCTCAAGCGCTGTTTTAAAATCAAACCACGTAAACATTAAACCAAATTGTCAGCCAGTTACTTCAAATTTGGAAGCTCATTAACGGGATATTCCGGCGAAAAATTAATTTAGGGTCAAGCACACCGTAAACACAGAGTTAGACATCCCGTCAAGAGATGAATAGTGCCGACCGCTCGCTTCCCTAGTTATACCAACTTTAGTAACGACCGCACGATAGCAATACACAGTGGTCTGAAGAGCCATACACAAACCTCAACCAAAACGCCACTCTATAGTCACAAATAATGCTCAGAACAGCACCTAACTTCATCAACAGGACATATAGGGTCCCAGCCATAGTACTAGCCACCAAACATATTTTAACTCTGCCTAATTTCTTAAGCAAAAAGACAAAACACAACTTGCCTACTCTCTTCCAGCAGCCGCTTGTTTGTAGAGAGACCTCGGGCCAGTCCAGTATAGACTACAGTGGGGTGACGCAGCTCAAGGAAGAACATTTATGATCATTTATTTATAATTTTCTTGAAGCACTAATCACCATATTAATCATTTTGCACTGCAGACGTGGTAGTTCTTCTGCCTTGGCGTCTTGGTCTGATTGCATTTCCATGAAGAAATGATGGACTGGCATGAGGTCTCGCTACAAGCGGCTGCTGGAAGAGAGTAGGTGAGTTGCGTTTAGTCTCTTTGCTAAAGAAATTAGGTAAAGTTAAAAAGATGTTTGGTGGCTAGTGCTATGGTTAAGACCCATATGTACTGTTGATGAAGTTAGGTGCTGTTCTGAGCATTATTTGTGGCTATAGAGTGGCGTTTTGGTTGAGGTTTGTTTATGGCTCCTCAGACCACTGTGTATTGCTATTGTGCGATCATTACTAAACTTTGTAAAACTAGAGAAGCGGTCGGCAACATTCATCTCTTGACGGGGTGTCTAACTCAGTGTTACGGTGTGTTTGACCCTAAATTAATTTTACACCGGAATATCCCTTTAATGTCTCCAGGCCGACTCATGATAAACTCTACAATATCTAACTATGAACATTTGAAGCGTACCTTTAAGGAGCTGACCTTTGCCCCCATTATACATATTTGTGTGGTCAAATATCATTAACTTTTTTATCTTTCGTAGAAACCCTGATGATACGATTTTATGTTCACTCTAAATAATCTTTTCTGGAGAAAGGTGTCTGTTTTAAGCTTTCTGAATTTTGAATAAAACTCTTCATATCAACATTATAAACAAACTTTTTTTTATGAAGTAAATATAGGTCAAAATCACATGAAACAAACAAAAAAAAAAAGCTGTTAATTATATTCTAACTCCACCGACCGACCGACGTAGCCACTAAAATAATGTCTCTGTATGGCGGACACACAGGCAGAAAACAGTTAACACATTATATAAAAACTGCTCCAGGAAATAAAACACATTCAAACGCCATGGTTGAAAAACTTCAGTGCCCTAAGACAGAATTTGGCATTGACAAATTCACAACAAAAATAATAAAAGAAGAAACAATGATATACAGATGAGATATATGTTTGATAATATGTGATTATTAGTAAAGAACCCATGTGTTTCTAGATGCTACTGTCCAGTTCTTCTCAGGTAAACCCACAACACACACGTGGCTTCATTTGGCATTCGGTTGAGTGAGTAGAAAAAGACAGAGAGAGAGAGGAAAGAGAGAGAGATGTTATATGTTTTTGTATCCAGTCTGTTTTGTTTTTTTTCTCGGATAAGAAGCAAAGTCCAGTCCCAAAAGTCCGGGTCTCTCCAACCAAGAACCAAAGAAAACTAGAAAGAAGGCCCCAAAAAGCAGAAACAGAAGATGAAACATGCCGGGGTAGCAAAGGCACACAATCAGAAAGGTGAATTGAAGACTTCTATCTCTCTCAGTCCCATCCAGTTTGATCGGGCTCCAGGTGTGAGAAAGTGCTCAAACATGCGGGGGCAAATTTGTGTGTGTGGTCACCATAGAAACAAGTCAACATTTATAAAAGGTATGTTCTTATATGTTAACAGCTTCAAAAGAACGAACACAGGGTTACTTCCTATGACTGCATTGATAGCCGGTCTGTGGTAAGTGCATCTCAAAGCTCCTCTGGCTGTACCTTAGGTATGAACTGATGATAGATCGGTTATAGGATAATATATCGACATGAATAATGGTTTTACAACAACAAATAAGTCTTTTTTTTTTCAACTGCTATAAATACATTTCTTTGAGTTTTCACAACGATCAAACTGTATGCCACTGTTTGTACGCTGAAAGTGAATGACACTGTTTAAAAAAACCCACGCACTCCTTCAAACGCACACGCTCGGTATCACACAGGCACATACTTTACTTTGAAGGGCACGCTTGTTCACACACACACACACACACACACACACACCAAAGACATAAAGGCACAAGGTATTGCTAATGTTGAAGACGCGCTGAAACGTGATCACTCAAAATGACCGCTTTCACCCATGCATCCTTTTTTATCTCCTCCACGCGACAAAAACAGCTTTCAAAAAAATCCGGAAAAAAAAAAAAAGATGATTTTTCTTTCTAATTAAACATGCAAAATAAACGATAACACCCACACACACACTTGTACACACTGACGGTAAACAAAACCTACAGATCTACAGTACCAACAAAGGTACACCATTTGGTATTTTAGCGCAGACGGACACGCTCAGGCCAATAAATGTGTAAGACTTCCAAAAACAGAGCCGATCATCACGTACAAATCTTATAAAAAGCAGGGGGGGGGGAGGAGGGTTTGTATAAAAAAAGAAGGGGAACAGTGAAGAAGGGAGCAGAGACGTCGTTAGACCAGCAGTCTGTGATCTTTACAGACTCAACAAATCTCTCGAGACGGGACTCTTTGAGCCCCTAAAAAGAAAGAGTGATATCAGATACATCCAGCTCTCCGTGTGGTTTTTTTTTTCAAGTACTATTCGCCCCGTCCGAGGAAGTGTTTCACTGGAGAGGAGTGTACGAGTCAGCGAGCTCCTGTGGGATCCAACATGGACCAATAATGTAGGAAAAAGAGACCGGGCAGAAGAACATGCGTTTTCAGGAAGCCGTCTGTTAGCGTAGCCGAATGCTAACTAGACGAGAGGAGAGGAAAGCTAACTGCGCTGTCGTCTCTTCGTCGAACGGCTAGTAGCTCCTCAGGCGTACATAAACTGAGATCAGCCTGCCTGGACTCCACCCCATAATCCTTTGCTGCTAAGTTTTCCTTCTCCTCTACCATCCAATCAGGTTGGCTTTGGCCTTTTCCGTCAACTTCCGGACACGCCCCTTTGAGGAGGTGCCGAAGGTGATCGAGGAGTCCTCGAACAGCAGCTGTCTCTGCTCCTCCTCAGAGTCCTCCTCCATGTACCAGGCGGACCGCCGCCCCTGGTTCCGCGTCCGCATCGACCCGCCTGCGTCCTCCCCCCCCGCCTCTTTCTGATTGGATCTCGGAGGAGCGGTCTGCGGAGGAGGCGTGATCTCCTCGTTGGTTCTCCTGCTGCTCCTCCTCAAAGGCGAAGGCTCGGGTGACTCAGCAGGAGGACTGGGTTCGTCAGTTCGAACCGCTCGGGGACGCCCGCGCCGTCTCGGTGACGACATGCCGGAATCAGACAGCACAGACGTTTCCTGTGCCGAAGAAGTCCCGCCCTCGTCTCCTGTTGATTGGTCGAGCTCGTCGTCAGGGGTGGCGCTCCTGCGGGTGCTCCTTCTCACATCCTCGAGCTCCTGTTTGCTCTTTCTGCCTTTCTTCTTCCCCGGAGGTCGACCTCGAGGTCTGGAGGGACTCCCTGGAGTGGTGACTTCTGGAGGACTGAGTGGAGGGTCCAGTCCGGATTTTCTACCCCTCCTTCCTACACCGAGGGTCACATGACTGCTGTGGCCGTTTAGATGGACTGTGCTCTGTGAGGGAGGACTAGCAGGAGAACCTGAGAGAGGAGACGGAGACTTTTTAAACTTTATTCTACACTTTTACGACAAAGACGTCCAGCGGCACTTCATTTGGGATCTCTTACCTGGTGTGAGTCGGACAGGAGTCCTGAGTTTTCTCCGGGTGCTTCCTCCGCCGCTGCTTTCTGCCGCTGGCGAGGGTGTCACCTTCTCGGGAACTGGAGGTGCTGAAGCCGACACGGAGTTATGAGCTCTCAGCGAGCGAGACGATTCTGCAAAGGAATCAGAAGTAAAAAGACGCGCGGTCAGGAAACGGAAACTCAAGTGCAAAGTCAGTGACTGAGCAGGTAGAGTTACATAAGTGTAGAAAAAGACGATATGAGACGTTTCTAAAGGCTGTTTCCATGACTACGTCTCACCCGCTGAGCTCTGCGCGTTGCTCGTTGTGTTATTCGAGTTGGACGAAGAAGGTGGGGTGTGAGCGGAAAAGCGGGCGGAGCTCCGTGTTCGTGCTGCGGCCGGCGTGTCCGCCTTCCCGTTGACCAGCTGAGGGGGCTGTTTCGGGGGGAGGCTCTGTCTCAGAGATGGAGGTCGAGGAGGAGGTGGCGTCGGCTCCCGTTTCCCGGTCACCCTCGATGAGACACGTCTCTTCCTCTCCGGGCTGAGGCAGGATAAAAGAGGAAGAAACAGTAAATGACGCTAACTGAAATATCAAAAAGAAGGAAAACTCTAAATAAAGCGTCTTTCTCTCGACCTGGACGCAGTGCTGCTGGCCGGAGAGTCGCTCCTCCTCCTCCTCCTCTTCATGGCGTGCCGTGTCTGTCTGTCTGTAGTGTGTCGCGTCTGTTTGTCAGTGCCCTGTCTGGTCAGTTTATCCGTCAGGCCGTGGATGGCTTTATAGTCGGACAGGATGGGGCTGATGTGCTCTTCGAACAGCGCAGAGAGCCGCAGACTCATACTGTAGATCTGCACACACGGAAAAAACAACATTTACATCCTCCGTCATCCTAAGATAGAAAAAGGCGAGGCGTTTATTTCAAACTCGTTTTCTTCTCACCCGAGACTTCTTGCTGGGCGTGTAAGCTTTGGAGTTGCTGAAAATGAGCCGGACATCTTTGCAGACCTCGATGGGAGACTGGTACTTCCCCTCGGTTAACGTGTTGAGAACGGTGCCAAAGTCCATGGGGGAGTCAACTATTTGCAGGTAGTCCTGAGAGGAAAAAGAGGGTAGTTGGGATATTTTAGTTACAGGCTTTACGAGAAGGAGCGGAGGAGAAGAGTGGGTAAGGACGCTCGAGATTTGGAGTTTTATTTGAAGTGGAGTGAACCCACAGCGAAAGAGTTTCTCTAAAACTCTTCTTCTCAACTACTTTTCATTTGGATTTGGTTGCGGCCAATCGTGCTACAGATTGTACAGCTGGATTAATCCAGAGAAGTCCAGTTAGAGTATAAATAAGGATAACAAAGAGTTGCAGTGAAGGTACCGGGTACTCTTGTAGGTCCACGGGTTCCCTGAAGGGCTCCGAGTCTTCACACTGAAAGATGAGATCCAGCAGCTCCTTACAGCGTCCCCTCCACGCTTGAGGGTTGTACGAAGGAGGTCGGGTCCGCAGTTGGCGCTTCATTGGTCTTCCACCCTATGCGAAAAAAAAAAGGAAATTAACAAGACCAATTTCATGGATAACTTAAAGTCCGAACGCTCATTTCCGTTGGGGTCTTTGGTACAGTCTTGCAAATGCCACAATCAATCTCCAACCCGAGCCCGGCCCACCTTTCAGGGGAAACTCATTTTGGCAGCTGGTATCTGTGATAACATCCTTTTAAGTCACGACCCAAAGTTCGTGATCGGAGGTGAGAGTTAGCATGTAGATCAACAGGTGGATCGAAAACACTCCTCGGGCTCAGCTCCCTCTCAAAAAACTGCTCTGGCTGTTTTAATTTTATTGATTCTTCTCCTTTTTTACACAATTTCCTTATAATCGTCCATGTTTTACTCATATAATGCTGATGCTATTAGTTTTTATTCTTGAGGAGGTGTGTTGGGCAGCATACTGTTAAATAAGCTGCTCTAGACATAGATCAGGATATAAACACAGTTTACATCTTCTTGTATCCTTCTTGTTGGCTGATTTCCTCCTTTTGATTTTTTTGATTTTACAATGCAGGAAACAAAGGCAAGACAGAGAAAATCAAAATAAAAGCATGAAATATGATGATAATATAATATAATGTAAAAAAGAAAAAGATAATATGATAAATATGATGATCAGTAGAAATAGGAAACAGCGTTAACTGTGTTAGACAGTATAGTCTATAAAGTGATGTGTGGCTCCACCCTTATCTTGCCTCTCCTCACTTTCATTGATTGTGTTTTACTTTCAAGTTTTCTAGAAATATCATGATAATTATTAGGGGCGGGAGAAAAAATTGATTCACATAACTATCGCGATTTTTTGTTTTACAATTTTTAAATCTATTTTTAGGTTTAAAAATCGTTTTTTTTCCATTTCAAATTTAACAATAAATCTTAAAAACTAACTCAGATATTATGTGTATTTTTTGGTGAAATACGGTTCCTGGAATAGTCAGTAGATAATCATAATAATTCAACTGTTTCACTGTTAAAAATGCAGCCTTAAGGTCCTTACACACCGGGACTGACGCAAATATACAACGTGAAATTCCGAAATATTCGGAGGCGAATTTTGACGCACCTGACTAAACACATCAAGCCTGATGCAATTTTGTGACTTAGACGTGTCCCGGGTGGAAGTGAGAAGACTGACACAACAGCAGACTGACTGTTTTTCAGTTCTGATTCGACTCTAGTGTTGAGATGTCTGTCTGTCATGATAGCATGTACTGAGTCGGGGCCAGTACCAGATAAGCACATTAAACTATAATCCATAAACGTAAGGTAACAACCGAGACCTAATAGTGCTGTGACAGAAACGCGATTGAGTTTGAGACAGTGAAAATACATATGGTATGTTGTATCTGAACAGATTAGCTTACGAGCTAAAGTTACTTAGCACAGATGAAAGTTAAAACAAAGACGTTTAACAAACTGTTAAAACACACAAACTATCCTTCAGGTTGTTATCTTTGTAATGTTTGTGTCTTTTATCAAAAAGCACTCGACACGTAAACAATCAGCCGGTCGGCCATGTTGGATATACCGGTGAATCAGACGTCGCAACAACACGCAATCTGATTGGTCAGAAGTGGACACACAGTATGCGTAACTTTATAAAAATCAACCGTGATCCAAAAAAATAAATGCTGCAATATCGCAGGACGGGAAAACGTCGCTGATGTGAACGCTCGTATTGACAGGATACGGGTTCGAAAAAAAAAATTTACGTCTGAAATAATCACACGATAAAAACGGTCCCGGTGTGAGAGGACCTTGAAAATCAAGAAAATCGACAATAAAGTAGAATTGCGATGCAGATTGAATCGGCATCCGAAAATCGTAGAGGAATCGAATTAGGAGAAAGGCATTGGCTGATTTCCTACTGAAAAGGAGAGAAATCACAACTGTCAATCAGACAGAGCCAGCCTACTTCAAAATAAAAGCATGATTTAACAATGCAGGAAACAAAGGCATGACAGAGAAAATAAAAGCATGAAAAAGCATGAAAAATACGATCATCAGTAGAATTATAGATAATGGCGTATAAGTTAGTCTCTGAAGTGATGTGTGGCTCCACCCTCACCTTGCCTCTCCTCACTTAAACTAATCATACTGTTTTATTTTCAAGTTTCCTAGAAATATTGTGATAATTATATTAAAAGGATTTTAAATCCATGTTAGCCGTCTTACCTTGTGGTTTCGTGTGGATGTTCCAGGCCTGCTAGTATCTTCGTCCTCCTCCTCCTCCTCGTCCTTAATAGATTACAGAGAGACATTTAATAAAGCCAGTAGAATACAGGATATTGTCAGACAGGCTCTTGTGCAAAGTGAGAAGTCATGCACCGATATTATTGTATTGAGACCTGGACAAATGAGGATATGCAAACACACCTCATCTTCAGAGTCAGAGAAGATGTTTTTCTTCATGTTCCTGTAGAGCGGCATGAGGTCTGTCAAACTTTGGTCCCTGAAAGAAAAACCAAAATTAGACAACACAGTATTTCACAGTTCAAACAAATGTTCTCATAAATCAGTACATTTGTCTGTGAGCAGAAGTTTATGATGACTGACTGCGTTTTGAATGGATTGCTTTAAGAGACAAACTGAACAGGATGATGAAGAGTGGTCGACTCCCCGCCATTCAGGCTTTCGGATTAATTAGACAGAGCGGCAAACTCACTTAATGAATTGCAGCATGACGTCAGAGACGAACTTGGCGGTGGTGACGATGAACGCTCCGGGCTCGTTGAACGTTTGGGCGTTGTGTTCGATGTAGCGCACCTCCCACATCAGAGACGACAGCCGCCTGAAAGACAAATACAAACACGCGTGAGTGAGTCTCATCTGAGCCGTCTCTTTCACTAAACTGCAGCCTGATGTGAGGTACCTGTAGAAGCGGTTCACCAGCCTTTGGCGGATGGTGCTGAGGTCGGTGACGTAGGCCACGACTGTGCAGTATGTGGGGTAAGCTTGTAGGTCCACTGGGAAGGCGAACGGGGCAGCGACATCTAAGGAGCGATGAAAGAAACAAATGATTACACAAAAGTTTAAGCGACTTTTACTTGCTGATTTTCAAATAAATCAAAAAATTCAGAGTCTGCATGAACAAGTGCAAATTTCTATATGACACCTTCCTACTTTCCAACTTATTCCAAATATATATTTCTAAATATAGATTTACATGAAAGCCTTCGAATAAATCCCACTGCAGCGTCGAGTGTCAAAGCAAAAAGAGCTCCAGAGGGATTAAGCGTGCTCTCTTTAGGGGGCTTCAGCCTGTTTCATCCACAAACTGCCACTAGAGGGAGCTCTCAGACCTGATTTCCACTGAGAGGATTGCAGTAAAACAAAGTCTGGGCATAATATGACATTACATCACTTAAACATGAATTCAAGCAGGCATCTCGATGTGTTCGGCGTGTCAGCGTAGCCCCTGTCAGCTGCCAAGCTCCGAGCGGTGATTCATGTCGGGTTAAGTCATGCCTCTGCTTTACGAGAAACGCGCCCTCCTGGCTCAACCTCACCTCACCGCTTACATGACATAATAGGAGTGTTATTCCTCCAAAGAGGCCGGGTGACGTCATACCGAGCGTGCAGAGCTGGTCGATGGCTTTGATGATGCGTTCACACTCCTCCTCTCGCGTGTGGCTGCCCCATTCGCCGTCCAGCGGGACGTAGAGCAGCTCCTTCTGTTCCTCTTCGACCAGCGGGACGCTGGTGCCCAACTCGTCTGGGAAGGTGGCTGAAGAGGGAAGTGACAAATCTATAAAAGCTGTGAACTTCGGAATAACAAAGACAGAAACAGAAATTTGATAATTTTGGTTTATTATAGAGACTCACCATCATCAGGAATAGGCTCCATATCCCACGGACTCATCTTCTCCGTGTCCCCGTTATCCCAGCTGAAAAAAAAACAAGAATCCTCATCACCATATTGTGCTTTTTGTGCTTATTTTTTTCTTTTGTGCTTCTCATGGTCAGTGTATCTCGGCTCAAAGTGGCTGCGAGTCTCTGGCGAGGTTTTTCAGACACTGTGTGACCACAAGCTCTCCTCGCCGACGAGCAGAAATAACTCAACCAGACAATGTGCTTATTAATGTTTGTAATTGGAATACCGCCGACAACAAAAGACAAGAAATGCAAAACAAAGGCCGGTGTTGGCTGGCTTCAAATTCAAACTGTCACCCAGGACTGTTTCAGCAAGTGTCCCGAATGATTGGAGCCAGGAGGTGTTAATGATTGAGCTGAGAGGAGGCGTCGGCGGCACAATCGCAGCCGGTCATTCGCCTGGAATTTGTCCAAAAAGACAAACTCTTGTTTCATGTAAATCATATAAATGAAATTTTTAGAGAGTTAAACCCACTCAGCCCCAGATTCACTCAAAATGACGAACGCCACAGTTGACAAAAGGGAGCCAGGTCTGGGTTTTACTATTTTTCAGCAGTAAAATACTGTGAAATTCAATCTTTTAGTTACTTTAACAGTAAATTACTTTTTTTTATTATTCTGTCAGTGATCATACGGCAGCTTTCACAGTCCAGACATTTTTAAACAGAGCCAACAGGCCTGTATGAAGAAGTGAGTTAACAAGCCCAGGCAGAAGCAAAATGCTAATTTGGGTTTAGCTGACATTTTCATCTCATTAAGTAATCTGCTCACATCCACAGTGTAAAGAAAACAACAACAGGTAAATCATTACCTCTTATGCCAACCATTTTTTTTTTTTAACAGAAAGTGAGGCACAGGTTTCTAAATGTATACTGGCATCACTCCAGAATTAAACAACAAGAAGACGATTACGCAAAATAAAACATTTAAGGGACGATAAGGGAGTGAAAGGTTATTTTTAAAGCCTTATAAATGTTCGCTATTGACATGGAAGTTTTCCTTTCATATCGTCAACATGTTGTTTTAATTCATAATCAACTACAACTCCAAGGACTTTGGTTTTAAATTCTCTTTTTTAATGTTAAGACGGATACAAATTTCGAATGTTACTTCTCGATTTAGCTTGATTTGATTCCCAAAATTCATGAATTAATTTTCTCAATATTAACAGGGTTTCTGCAGGTTTCAACAAGTCGAATTTAAGACTTTTTAAGACCATAATGAATACAATTAAGATCCATACTGGCAAAAAAGTACAAAAGACATGAAGGGAAATTGGAACATTTTAAACTAACTTCAAATCGATCTTTATTTGAAAGTAACATCAATACATTTTTAAGACCTTTCAAATTTGTATTTAAGACATTTTATGGGGTTTTAAGAGAATTTTAGAAATTTTAAGGCCTTAAATTCAAGTTACTGGATTTTACACATTTTAAGACCCAGCAGAAACCCTAATTAAGAGACAATTTATCATCATCTAACAACGTTTTGAGAGTATGGAGTTCATTTTCAACACTGCATGAAAGTTCATTCAAATTTTCCCCTCTGGAGCTCAAACTGTATTATCTGCAAAAACAGCGCCTTTAAAACTTTGATAACAATACAAATATTATTGATATAAATTATAAAGAGGACCAATCACAGATCCTTGAGGTACTCCACAGGCAGCTCTGACACTTTAACATTCATTTGCACATATTGACTGATTGATTAGTTGTACTATAATTTTAATGAGTTGATTGTTAATCATGACGTGTTTTTTGTGTGTGTGTCTTTAGGATTTGCACATATATTCATTTATTTATTATAGTAGACATCTAGAGCAGTCACTACGGCTACATTTAATTCAACAGAAAATGAGACACTGAAATTTAATGACGAGTCCTTGAATCTATTTTTAGTCCCCAACACCTCTGAAATGCTTTTTTTCTCCTCTTGACTTCACTCTTTTTGTCAGCTCCCTTTTTTATCCGTACAGTTTTGTCACGCTGGTTAAAGCCGCGTCAACATTTGGTAAAGGAACTAGAAAATCAGTTTGGTGCAACACACCTCATGACTCCCTAAAATCCACCAGTTTCACATGATTAAAAAAAAGTTTGGATTGAGCCTCGAGTTCACTTTGAGTTCATATATTTTTCAGCTCCTTTTTTAAAATTCATCTAATCTTTAATCCTACCAGACATTGTAGCACTGGAACAGGCTGTCAGGATACTGAGACTGGAAGGGCTCCTGGCTCTCAATAGTCCCGAACCACCAGGCGTCATCAATCACTGACCGAAACCTGTCACCTGCACACACACACACAGAAAATACAGGAGTTAGTTTACATCTTTACAAGAAAGGAGCATTTGATTTAATGACCAGAGACAGACAGGGACTTGGTGAATTTGACTGACCTATACTCCACTGCCTCTTTCTGGCGTTATCAAACTGCTGCCTCAGTATCAGGAAGTCGATGACGTCAGGCATGTCGTGGTATCTGCGAATCAGAAGCGAGCACCGTGAGTCAAAGGCTAAAACAAAAACAGGTCTAAACGTTTGAGTTCTTGTTTTGTAACACCAGTCTACTGGATTAAAAGTTTATAGGTACTGTCTTGTCTTGGGTTACGATAGGGGGATGAGTTTAGGAGAAAAATGCTATTTTAAACTTTGCAGACGAGTACGGGCGCAGAGATTATTCATGAGAACATTTTGACTCTCAGAAGACGCTAAAAATCTGCATATTGTCGAGAGGTGAGAAGGAGAAAAGACAAAACCGAAGGAGCATAAAGTAGAAATAAGGATCCACGCTTGAGGTCCTGATTGAACGATACATGGTGCGTGATCCAAAGGGGGCAAATCAGGCATGTTTAACCCTCATGTGCAAAAGTTAAACGGTGCAAGACGGCAACCTCTCAGTGCATTTCAGATGCAGTCAAACCAAACCAGAGTTCCACCTGGTTTATTGCTGTAATATGGCGTTTTAAAGCCTTTCTATTAATTATAAAAATGAGGTCATGCTTTGTACTTGTATCAGCTACCCATCTGCAGGCAAAGCACAAGTGTATGAAGCTCTAGAACATATTGTAACGTGTGGATTGCATTTTAATCTGCTGCAGCGGAAACAATAAACGCGCCCCTCCATCAAAAAAGACAGCGCCGCTTCATTATTTCAATCTTAAAATACACCACAAGGAGCGGTCAGGATGCAAAGCTCGCTTACGTCCTGTGTGCTTAGCATCAAAGAAAGGTATGCTATGTATTTCAGCTACTGTGTACGTAATGGACACAGGACATTCAGAAGTGAAGTATCTTATCAGAGAGAGCTTGGTGTGTTTGGAGTTCTAGGTTGGGTAATAGCTATGAGTTTTGGCCCCCCTTCAAGGCTCTATCAGGAAACCTGCAAAGCCCCCTGTGGTGAGGTAGATTAGCGGTTAGCGCGGCCCTGTCTTCTGACATCAACACATCAAGCACATCACGACAACAGGGGAATAACAGTGTCGCAGGAGGAAACAGAGGCTTGCTGTCGCCCAGTCAAACTCAACATACCTGTACATGAGCAAACACAACCGTACTTAGCTGAAGTGTAGGCGTGTGTGTGTGTGTGTGTGTGAGTGAGTGATGAGGCCACATTGTGAAGCTAATTATGTGAATCATGCACACGTGTCAATACCACTTAAATAAGAGGAAAACAGCAAGCCAAGCTGAGTTTGGACCAGAACCAGCTTGCAAGTATATTTGCTACACATGTGGGTGCAGTTTGTGGGAATAAAAAAAGGCAGTAGGGCTGGGTGACATACTGAAAATTTACCCATACTCGAATTTCCGATAATAACCGGCGCCATTTTGTCCATGTCAATATATTCTGTGTCAAAAAAATAAATAAATAAAAGTTGGTTTTGGATGTGTGTAGGTAGGCTATGGTCTCATGTCCCTTTGAGACGCTGTCCTACGTAAGAGACGTGACTCCACCCCATCCAATCCGTAACAAAAAAGGAAAGACAGGTGAGGAGATGGAGGACGGTTCAGAAGTTGTAGCGGCTGAAGTAGACAAAGTTAATGTGGGAGGGGGTGAGCAGCTTGTGGAGTAGTTATCGTCCATTTATCGTTATCAAGGTGAACTGCTAAATATACTGTGATATTGATTTGAGGCCATATCGCCCAGCCCTAAAATGCCAGTGAATAGTTACGGAGAGTTGCACGGTGCTGTGTTGTTATTAGCTCTCAAATAAGGTCAAGTTCTGCTTACTTCATAGAGAAGGACCCTCCGGTCAGCTTTCCGGTGTCAGGGTCCAGGAAGGACAGCTTCAGACAGCACAGCGTGGGCAAGCCGACCTCGTACTTGATGCCAACTATCTTCATCAACTCCTGCTCCTGGAAACAAACAATCAAAACAATTCAATCTACATAACGAATTTCTGCGCTGCAAGAAGTGAAAAATTAAAACCCGAGCAATCCTACTCATTTCATTCGAACATGATTGACTTTATTTTTCTGTTTCATTGACTTTTGAAGCTGCGAGAGTGTGAGCATTACAGCTGAAAGTTACACTTTTACACGCAGGGATGAAACTTTGCTCTCTGCAGACACCTTTCTCTCAGAGGGGACGCAGAAAAAGGATGCTAGTCCGCATGAAAGTGAAACCAGACGAGTGTCTCTGTCTGGTAAAGAAGGTAAGAGGTCTGCAGGCTGAATATGTACATGAACGGTTACCAAGAAATGCTCTGTATTCCTAGAAAGACTACAAGCTACTTCTCTGGCCTTTTTACACATTAGTCAGAAAACTGAAACCAAAAAATGAAATCTTACACAACATAAAGGTCAGCAGAGATGTCAGATTTTAAAACTGGATCTGGCATCTGGTTTTGGAAACATATGTACGTGAGAAGTTCGGATATCAGATTCTATGTTCTTGGCTTTGTCCCCACTTCCTCTTACCCGCAGCTCCATCTTGTGCCAGGGCTGCTTCTTAGGGTTGATGCTGTAAATCTTTTTTTGTTTGGCCATCTCCACATAGGCCTCGTGACCTTGTCTGAAGTAGTACACCTGCAAAAACACACGACACACACACACAAATTAACCCACAAACTGCATCTTTAAACTGTTAGTGTCCTATTAGTGAAAATCTGGTTTTAGCAGCTTGTGACGTCTCAGTCAGTCACCGTGCACCTTCTTGTCTTATCTGTAATAGTCGCAGCAGCCTCGTGGCGACACTAAATTTAGTGCAGACTCTGAGCCTTGTTGCTATGTTAAAAACGGAGCCAGTGTTTTGGCGTGAGCGGACATGTGGCGCACATGTGGTGAGGACAGTCTAGCAGGAACAGGCAGAGCGTACCTCGTCTCCCATCTGGGGTATGTAAGGACACCTCCGGGGGACCGTGTCTGTGATCCAGGCTGAGGGAAGCCACTCCTCTAGAGTCAGGCCCTGCTCCTCAAACTCAGTCCTCTAAAAAGAGAAGAAAACAAACTTCTGTGAAACATGCATGATATTAAATTTCTTAAACTATGAAGGGTGGTGGTTTCAGGGCTGTGACTTTCCGAGTTTTAAGACGTGTCAGCTGTACGGCCTTGAGAAGGAGAGCTGAATAAGGAAATAACTCGAAAATATTCCCAAGGAGTTTGAGGCACTCACCTTGTCTAAGGCCAGCTTTAATGGAAATGTTGAGTTTAGTGTGAATTATAACAGGCTGGTGTTTGACTGAGAATTGAAAAGTGCAGCTTAATGTTTACTCTGTTGCGCGCAGGTTAATATAAAACAGTTGCCATGGCGGCGTTACCGAACCAGAGGGAGTGTTTTTTTTTTAGCTGTGTACATCAAACATTTTTGATTTGCTGAATTCATCTTTATGTCGACTTCTTTATAGCTTCAGTTAAGCCTGATAATAAGCTGGTTAATGTAATTTGAGGAGGTGGCTGTGCAGATTTAGAATCTATTCTGGATGTCTAGGTCTAGGTCCAGGTCCTGCTCACTCTGTTGGGATTTTAACTCTTATAATCACCTGCTAATTCATCTTTATTTGACTTATTCTGTAAAATACACAACAGGTTTTAAAAGGCGTGAATGAATGCAAATGTAGCGGTCGATGACTCAGAATATTCAAGCACAAGGAGGCTACGACAAAAGATGAACCTCAAAAGGTTTAAATCTGAACACGAGTGTGTCCAAAATGTCAGATAGGTGATAACTCTGAATCAGAGCGACACTCACGCCACGATTTTGTCAAAGGTCATTACAGCTGACAAACCTTTCTCTTCTCCTTTGGCTTTGTTTTCTTTGGTAAAGCGCCGTCTTTGTCTGGTTTGTCTTTCTTCCTCTCTTTCTTCCTGTCCCTCTTCTTCTCCCCGTCCTCCTCCGAGCCGCTGCTTTTCTTTTTCACTTTGACGCTCTTCTTCGGGGGCTCCAGGTTGATCCCCGCATCTGCCGTCCAGTCGGAGTAATCGCTGGAGTAGTCGCTGTGATCATCAGAGAAGTTAACAAACACAACTTAACATGCCTGTAGGAGATATCTGTGTGAGTTGAAGGACTGAGCGATTAGTCAAAAGAAATGATTGCGGTATATTTTGCCAAATCGTCCGATCTTGATTATTATCACAATATTTTTTAAACTGCCAGTTTTAAAGCATCTGTACTAAAAACTAAAGAAAGTAGAGATTAGTTCTACATTTATTAGAATATTTTTAACACAAAATAAACAAATTGCCCCCTCAGAGATAATGAAGACGCCTTAAAATGTAAACATTAGACGATGTAAACATTAGATGATACGATTGATTGCTGCTTTGGTCTGCTAGTTGTGACTGAACTGCTAAGAAGAATAAGAAGAACTTTATTGATCCCTGAATGGAAATTCAATTGTCTGTTGTCTCACATAATATGTCTATAAACGTTATCTATTTTTTACATAAAAGTTATACAGTCTGATGGCTGTTGGTACAAAAGATCTTCTGAATCTTTCTGTTCTGCAGCGAAGAGAGAGGAGCCGTCCACCACCATTGGCCCTTTGGTCCATCAAGGTGTTGTGAGGTGGGTGATCCATGTTCTTTAAGATAGTTCCTCAGTGTAGATCTCTCCACCACATCCTCTACTGCTATTGCTATAATGCTATATGCAGCTAATGCTACCTGTGCCGTCATCAGTGGCAGGCTGTGCAGACTTCCGCATAATCACTGGGGAAGTACTTCTTCAAATGGTTAAACAGATTTGTTGTGTTGCAGGTTTTTGAGGGCACCCACCGCCGACATACCTTGCACATCGGCTTAATTGCTTGACGTCACTTTGGAGATACCCGAACCACCGCCGCACAACCGATGTTGAATAACTTTTCTTCTCAACAGTGGCATCTTTGGAGGATGACTCAAAGCCACGAATGACACGCTTCACGTTTGGTCGTTCTGTTTACTTCCCCTGTTTACTTCTCTGGCAACTTACAGACGTGAGCAGGAAAAGCTCGACTCTGATTGGCTGTTATCATGCACACTTCTGCCATGTTCGATCGAGTAAATATGCTCACGACTTATCACTGTGATCGAACTGAAATTTATCATAATCATATAATCGCCCAGTCCTTTAGTGTTGTAACCTTGAGGTGTCCGACCTTGAACTACTGTGGTCATCCGGCCAGGGCTCCTTCTCCTCCTCCTCCTTCTCCTCCTCTGAAGAGTGTCCGTTGATCTGCCGTACCTCCACCTCTCCCTGAAACACACACACACACACACACACACACACACACACACACACACACACACACACAGGGTTTAGTGTTAGCACTCAAACCGACGAAAAGACAAACACAATCACTGTGAAGGGCAGCCTTCAGAAATGTAATGCATAACAATGAGACATAAAAAGGCTTGATCTACTCCTGCTGTGAACATAATCAGGAGATAAGTGGTCAAACAGACTTTTTTAATCGTTTTATTGTTTTTCTTTACTGCAGAAGATCTCTCCAGAAAAATTACAACATAGATCTGCTTTTGAAGACAGAATCACTTGTTTTTACTTTTAAGAGTTACTAAAAGTCTGTTTAAACAAAGCTTTAGTGTTTTTTTTCTTCTACCTCTGAGGCGCTTTCGTCTTCGTCAGCACCCTCAGCGCTCTGTCGGCTCGTCTCCTCCATGGCAGCGCGAGTTTGGTAGCCGTGGTTACCCTGGCTCCTCCTCCCTTCATCAACTACACACTCTGATGTGGGATGAACCTGAAGGTTAAAGGAGCGTGAGTACCTTTAAGAGGAAAAATGAGAAACTTTTGGGATAGAAGTGATTATATTTCCTTTAAATTCACTCACTCTGCTCTCTTTAGGGAGTGAGTGGATCGTTCGTCTCCTCCTCTCCGACTGATAGATATTGATCTCCTCTTCACCTTTAGCCTCACGCCAGTTTACCTGCCGCCTACACGTGAGGAAACAAACAGTTGCGACATTCATTAAAATGATCCTCTGTGTTAAATCAGCGGTTTGTTTGTTTCTGAGTGTGTTTCGTTACCTGACGGAGGCGTCCTCCAGCTCAGGGACCAGCACCCTGCGGCTCCAGGCCACCAAGTCGCCCTCTGTGGCCATCTGGCTGCGAGGGGCGTTGCTGTGCATTTGGCGGACGCCTTCGATCTGCCCGCTGCGGCGCAAACCAACATTGGGCGGTGAGTGAACCTCAGTGGGAGATCCGACAGAACCTGAATGAAAGACGAAGAGAGAGAGTCAAAAACACATCTTATTTTCAGAATTTTAACCCTTTACACTTGTCAGTCTTTCTTTCTGCTTCACAGCCAGAGCTGCCCTGCCCCGGCTCGGGTTACGCAGAGCAAAAACATATGACTCAAACCATCTTAGACAGAAAACAAGAAGAATTTCCAGCCCTCACACACGGAGGAGAAAAAGCTGCTTCCTCTTGACGCTGAAATGACTCATGATTGCTCGATCTGCCAATTATCCCCCGTCATTAACTGATCAATCTTATCATTAGCAGACCTCTCGAAAATGAGTGAAATTTTCTTTCAGAACTCAAAGCCAGAGGTGAGCTCCTTCTTTTGTTTTCAATGGATGAAAACCAAAAGATGAAAAATGACATTTTATTTAGGGCCTGACCGATATGTTTTTTTGGGGTCGATGCCGATTACCGATAATCGGACGATTTTAAAAATTTTTTATGAAGTTATAAAAAATATATTTATATACTGTAGATATCTACAGTATACTATATATATATATATATATATATATATATATATATATATATATATATATATATATATACAGATTAGTCTCAAACTAAAATCGGCTCCCCATTAAAATGGTCGGGCCCTTATTTTATTACATATATTTAGTATCCAGGAAGGAGGGGAGACATTAATCGATCAATGTAGAAAAAAGACTAACTTCTCATCACTTTAATCAATCAGTGTACTCTGCAGCTTCTGTATGTTTAACATCGCTGGAGGCATGCTGGATATTTCATGTACACAGTGTTCGGTAAGTAGAGTTGAATTGTTTCCCCCCTCCTCTGTAAGTCGAAATGCTGCTGTCAAATGATTAAAAATCTCAAATGTTGCATATTTCAACTGCTCCATGAAAAATCTTCCCATTTTCAAATACACGTAATCCACACGTATTATTTAAAGTAATTATTGTAACCATGAATAATAAAGTGTTATTACAAATGTATAATGTGGTGCAGTGTTCGCCAAACCTAATTATACCAATACATTGTTCTATCTGGGTTAAAACAAATGCTTCATAGATAAGGTAGCTTAGCAACGTATATGCACCCAAATTTTAAGAATATTTTTGCATAATTTGGATCGATATACATAAATACTTATATTTTTATCCTTTCCAGTTGTGTCACTATTTCTTGATCTCTTTTACATCTTTTACTTTTCTTGTACAAATGACCCGGTCTTACCTCTGCTGCCCCGGGTGTTCATAGTCGCAGAAGCAGGGGTCTCATTCGTCCCCATTCTTTGGTCCTGCTCCTGCTGCAGCCTCTGAATCATCGTATCCAGAGGACTGGGACCGTCCACCGCCTGCTCGCTCACCACTTGGTTCAGGCCTATTTCAAGACAGGAATAGAGAAAGAGTGAGAGACTGAAAAAGTGAAATCGAAAACAACAATCACATACATTCAGTCGCAGCAACTTCAATAACCAGCATGCTTTGTAGCAGGATATAGACGGGCGAGGTTTCTCTTTCCGACCTTTTTTAGTCGCCGTTGACTGTTCCTGTTTAAACTCTCGCCAAAAACTGAAATCACCTCATTAATTCTGCTTTAAATTGCCATTCCTGGTGTAGTTTCCGTTAAATGCCTCTTGTTAAGCTCATTTAGATGTTTTTATTCTGAGCTAAGAGGTTTCTGATCAGCTGACAAACAAGCAGCGAAAAAAAGGCTGAAAACAACAGAATCTCCCCGAGGGTGAGAGGTCTTATCTGAAGTGCACAGACACATAAGAGCAAAGTAAAACTACATCTGAGTTCACAACCTGAGACTGTTAAGAGAAAACACACTCCTGAGGGTCTGATCTCAGCCTCTGTACCTGAGGAGGTGACCCCCATCTGTGGGATCAGCTGCTCATCTCTGCAGCCCTCTCTGCCGGGCACCAGGCGCTGGTAGCGAGGCGGGTGGGGGTTCCCGTCTACATCCACCAGGAAGGGAGGGGGCATGAGGTGAGGCGCCTGCTGAGTCTGCTCATCCAGCACGTAGTTGTTGGCGTCTCGGATCAGCGGCCGGTAGTCGGTGTGGAAGAACATCTGGTCCGCTATCTGGAAGAAACAACACGGTTTTGTGATGATTTTGGACTAAGTGGTTTCTGATCCTGCTGCTGGAGGCAGTTCTCTTAAAACTTTTTCTCTGTGGAAAACGAAGAAAAAAGAAATCTAAATCATTTTGTTTTGCACGGCAATACAGCAGGAGTTTTAAAAATAAGCATGCTAAAATAATTAGGCTCCTTTGTGGTGGTCTGGTTTGCTTTATCCGATCATTGCTATTAATTTTAGCTTGTTTTATAACCAGTTCAAAAACGCTTTAATCTCTGAATCCGTATGCCAAATAGTGACTGATATTTCAAGCATTTTTAAGTTGGAGAGAGAGAAAAACAGCACAACTCTTTTCCCCTTCTCCCCGGGATGCTGTCAGAAATATCTACATTTTTTTTAGCTGCTGTCATTAAGTTCGAAACAAAAACGACTGTTTCAATCTCACCTGTTATAAAAGTTGCTTTGGCTCAATGTCAGGTAAGGGTAGGTGTATTTATGTTTCAAAGGAGCGTGTTGTTTTACCTTGTCGTACTTGCTGCTGGAGCCAAAACCGAAGATGAGAAGGTGTCCGTGGGAATCTGTGGCTGCAAAGTGCTGCCCATCTGGACTACATTTGCAGTCAAACAATGCTCCGTGCCCCTGGCCTTCGATCTATCCAAAGACAGAGGGGAGAGAGAGAGAAAGAGGAAGACATTGTAAATCTTATTACACTAGCAGGGGGAGTTGTAGGTCTACAGGTAATCCATAATACACATGAACAGCAGGAACAAGCGCTGAACAACAGGATTAAATAATACATGACAAGAACACATTTAGGATTCAGCCAATAACCACATTATGGGACTGTTTTTTTCAGGTGAATTCAGGGGGAGGCGACAGCTCTCATTTCCAGCAGCAGCTGTCAGATAAAGAGAGAGTTTGAGAGACAGAATGAGGGGTGTCTCAAAACACACAACCACCTGCAGAGACTGAAACATCATCAAGCGAAAATGAAAGAGACTAAAACCTTCATTGTTCGGGACGTCAGCACGCTGCTGCCTTCAGTGTCTTCTGAGGGTATTCCTTCGCTCTAAAAATAACTCCATTAAATCAGGAGATAAAAAAAGGAGTTCTTCCTCTCTGGTTCTAATTCGGTAAAATGAGATACTTCATACTGCATCATAGTGCAGAGTTAACCAGATAAAATTGAAGCAGCATGCTTTGATTCATTCTTTCTTTGTATGAAAATATGCAGGTAAAGTGCACGTGTTTTCAGCCAGCTGCAGATGGACAGTGGTGCAAGCAGACGAAGCAGGTCTCCAGATGTTGTGTAAGAAAAGCGAGTACAACCAAACCTTCCTGGTCAAACTTTGGAAAACTTGACTCATATTTAAAGACCCGCTCCGATGAAAATCATGTTTTTCTTGTTTTTTACACGTTCATATAGCATTTTTCTGATGCTACAGGGCATATCATGAGTATTTCTGCATTAAAATCACTGTGAGCCTCTAGCAGACCCAGACAGCAGGTTCAGACACAGTGAGATTTCCTCAAAGCAAATCAAAGTTCTCTGAGAAATCGAGAGGACAATCCGGAACTAGCGTGTGTGTTAGCAGTTTGCAATGCTCGTAAGAAAGCTAATTATGATATTAGTTTTCATAATGCCCCTAAAAACATACGTGTCCAAGAGCTAAATAGTTCCTATTGAAACCTATTTTTGTTATAGCAGCTCTCAGTGAAGCTTAGGCAGGCACGGTTCATTCCACAGGATGTGCCGAGGTTTATTGTGAAGGAATACCTGAAGTAGTGTTGTAGTTACCCGGTCTGAGTTAACGCGGGAAGAAAAGAAATAAAACGAGTGGACGCTGCTGTCAACAGTGAAAACTTCCGCTTGTATTCTTCTTCATTTTATTACTCACTCAGTATTGGCGCATATGTTACCTACTCCTACTATACAGGCAATGTTAGGCTGCAAGCTAACACGAAGAGAGGTGTGTGGAGTACGATATTTTTTTTCATAGGAGTTTTATCATTGGTCTTTAAATTTTGATGATTAAGTTTAGGTGAAGTTAGTAAGTAAGTAGGGTAAGGTCCCGCCTACTTCGCCTCTGATTGGCTGTGAAACGTCATCACATGCTCAAGCCGAGCGCGGGCTGTCGGCTCTGTACATCGAACATTACAGAATATTATCGCGATTCAGAATCTCCTAACCCTAACCCTAACCCTAACCCGACAGACGATGACGTTTCAAAGCTATAAGGAATAACCAATCGGAGCCCAGCACCTCTAGCCAATCAGAGGCGAAGGATGGCGGGACCTTCCCCTGCTTACTAACTTCACCTAAACTTAATAATCAAAATTTAAAGACCAATGATAAAACTTTAAGTAGATAAAAAAAAAAAGTAGAACAAAAACTACAAGTATAAAAATATGGCCTGTGTTCAAAATTATCCTCCAGAAATAGTGACATGATGTGCACAAAGTCAGCACGGTCACAAAAAGAGGTCTTGTTGAACAGAGCGTCCTTTTTTTGCTAGCAAACAAAATCATAAGTCAAAGGAAGGTCCCAGCAGCTCTGATGAAACAGAGAATGAGCTGTGCATCTCAGCTCTAAAAACCTGCCATATTATTATAAATGCATTAGTTACATGATGCTCTATTTATTCTTAAGCCGACTCCAAAAGAAACTCATTCTCCCTCCTCTCAATGTAAACCTGCACAAAGGAGACAAAAACCCGTCTCGGTATTTCACAAAAAGACGAAATGTACCTCTCCCTGAACCTGCCAGGCAAATTGAGTCTCTGTGCTATGGTGCTGTTTACGAGTATATTACAGGAGCGGTGTTGGTGCATCTGGTGTGACTGGCTGCTCTCTTTGAAAATGAGCCTCCTGACAAAACAGTCCTGTACACAAACACCATAAAAGCCACAAGCAGCTCAAGAAAAATAATGAGCATGTTTAGAGGGTATTTGATAACCGAGGCTTAGTATTTATAAGACACCTAGACGCTCCACTGACCATGTAAATCACTCTGTGACCTTAAAGAGAAAAGTTGTTTTCTGTTTTGGCGCTGGAGTTATAACCTGGTTAGGTGAGTTCAGATTTGTCTGGCGCTCGGCTTTGGCACATAGGGGCACATTTTTTATTGTTTCTGTCAATGGTTCTGGAGGTTTTATAGAGGACAAAGATGAGGATGTAATCATATTAGGAGGACCTGCACTTTCTCATTCGGTAAAGTGAGGCAGCTGCCCTACAGATGGTAACACTGGTATCACATCTGTCCAGTCTGGGCTCCCCAGCAGACTGGGAAAGAGCTGTGCCCTCTCCTCCCAGCTCATCATCTGACTGGGGGTTGAAATGAACCCCGTCAGCATGAGAGCAGGGCTCCGGCAGCAAAAAAGCGAAAGTGCTGACAGGTCTCCTTCAAAAGAGCAGGACGGAGCTACAAAACTTTATTTGAGAGGTTGTGTTTTTGTTCATTACTAAAACTTTTTTATTAGATTGACCCAAAAGATGGGGAAGATACTAAAGAGGATTGGGGCCACAAGAAGAGAAATAAATAATTACAGGAGGGAGATTTTTTTAATTTCCATTTTGAGAATTAAAGTGGAAATTTCGAGATAAAAAAAATCTAAATTACACAAATAAAGTCAAAATTAAATCTCAAAATTTCGACAAAATTCACGACATTTCGTAATTTAAATTTTTGATCTCGACATTTTGACTTTTTGACATTATTTAGATTGTTTAATCTCAAAATTTTGACATTTATCTTTTTGACATTATTTAGATTATTTTAATCTCAAAATTTTGACTTTAATCTCGAAAACTCAATTTTTAATCTTGAAATTTTGACTTTTTGACATAATTTAGTGTATTTTAATCTCAAAATTTTGACTTAAATCTCGAAATTTTGACTTTTGACATTATTTAGATTATTTTAATCTCAATATTTTGACTTTAATCTTTTTGACATGGTTTTAATTTTTTTAATCTCGAAATTTCTCCTTTAATCTCCTTCCTGTAACCATTTTTTTTCTCTTCATGTGGGCCTAGTCGTCTTTCGTAGGAAGATGATACAGGCAAAGTATGCTAAATTAATTGGCAGCTCTGTTGGTGAATAGAAGTAACAGCAGGAGAAAACATACACAACACTGAAAAAGAGGGGGGGGGGGGCGCTATACGAGGTTCAACCAGCCAAATCCAACTGAGCAAACTCCAAACAAAGGGGATATTTTGGCTTCACTTTTGTACAGTTCAGAGGATGTTACGCATCTTTATGTTCAGTAAACGCACACAGACATGAGTTCCTGTTGTAGGCAGCCCTGTGTTTAATTCCTCGGCTAACATTATCAACCTATATTTAGATCCTACTGCACGATTATGTTACTGACTCCAATCTACTCTTCCACATTACCACTCCCCTGTAATCACCTCTTTTGTCCCTCTGTCAGCCCTTCATTCACACAAGTATCAGGGTGTATCTTAAAGGTCCAAACTGACAATCACACACACTCTTTGTTACCGAACAACACCTTCCACCGACCGTCTCTGATCAACACCAACATTTGTTTGACTCACTGAGTGACTCACAGCCATCAATGCTGTCCTTGGTTACCATGACAACGCAAAGCAGGAAACACAGCAGCAGCAGCAAGATGAATAGCAGACTGGGTCATTTTCAGTAAGTGTGGTGTCATTGTTTAACTCTACCCTTGACTCGCGCATGAGGCCACACAGAGTGTATGAGTGCCAACGTGGAGCTGACGGAGCAAGAAAGCGGAGAGAGAGGGAAAGTGAAAGCAAAGAGGGAGGGGGGGAGGGCCAAAGAGGGTGAGAGGCGAGGAATGTGAGACAGAGATATGGAAGGGAAATATGTCTTAGAGGAAAAAAAGAAAGAAAAATGCTTCAGTGTGGTTTACATTTACTGATGAAGTGCAAAAGAAAAAAAATCTGTGAAAATGTGGAGATCCGATCACTTTCAGACTCAGTTTCATTTCAGCAAGTGCACGAGTCAGAATCAGGTCCAGAGTCTCACCATGTTGAAATACGAGCGGATCTTGACTCCTCGGGCCAGGTCCCACACAATGCAGTTCCCATCGTGTCCCGCCGAGAAGAGGATCCTCGGATCAAAGGGGTGTGGCTCCAAAACAAACACCTCGTCCTCGTGACCCTGTCATTAAAGAACATTTTTGGATTAAGACACACAAAGAAATGAGAAACAACTGTGTTTTTCTCTTCTTTTTTTTTTAAAGGCGGTTTTCAGTGTTTTAAGGTGCCTTTTTAAGGTGCTGTACTCTAACTATAACTGAGTCAGGGTGCTCCAAACTTAAGTTTTAATATTCATTTTATGCTATTTAAGCAATAATCAGATGTCCCACATTCTTGAACACATCACTACGGAAAGTTATGAGTCACTGCTTGGATCTGCAGAACCACCTGACAATAAGCTGACCTGATTCAAAAAATAAAACTCTCAGGATGATCCGCTACGGCTTAATCCATAAAAAGATAACTAATAAGTTGAATCTGCGTTTGCATGTAACTGCGTTTTATTACCATGAGGATGTGAACGAGGTTCCCGGTGGTGGAGTTCCAAACCTTCAGTGTCAGATTGTTGGCGGCTGTTATCACCGTGCCATCATGACGATCCCACGCCACCATGGTAACTTTCATCTTAGTCACCTTGTCTTCCAGTGGTGGAGGGTTGTATTTCCTGAAGGTAAACATGAGATTTGTGTATAAAAGTAAATACAAGCTGTTACTTCGGAGAACTGACGATAGATGGACTTAAAAAATGTGATCTATAATCGCTGATTCTTCTGGATCCAGGAGAACCAAAATCAAGCGCAAAAAAGTGCGTAAGGCTGAGTCCTTCTCTTAGTATGTTGCCGTGTTTTCACTTGCAATCATTTCATCATTGCAGTTTCTATTATGTCTGTTACTGATAACAAGGTTATCATTAAATCTGTGTTTTTTTTTAATGTTTGTTGTGTCCATCCAGGCAAAAACGACTCTGACAGAATGTCATTGTCGTCTCCGTTCATTCACTGCCTGTGCTGCCTGCGGTAAATCTATATTCTGTCTGGGAGCAGTCAGGTAATCAATCACTGTGTCACACTTTATGCCACAGGTGTCACCATGTTGTTTTTCCCTTTTGACTTTATGAATAATTTCCTGTAGATTTTGCTGCAGATCACTAAGATTTGACTAAATAGATGCAAAGAATATCTTTCCAAGGCCATTCAATGTCTTTTTACTTTTTCGCTTTTCTAAGGTGATGTTTCATTTCAGCGTCGTTTTGAACGGGGGATGTTCACGCACTAGGTCTGCAACTTTTGTGCACAATACAATTGATTTTTGTAAATTTAGACAAACATCAAAACCCACAAGATCATCCAAACCCACGACTCTGAGATGTGAGTGCAGCAGTGCTTGCGGAGGAGCCAGACTTCTGCACACACACACACACACATCTACACATGAGCACACGTACCCTGGTAATTTGGTCTGCATGTCCAGCAGAATGCTCTTCCAGCCCTGAGGCTGCAGCTGCCAGATTCGTGCTGTACCGTCCCTGCTGCCACTTACAAACCTGCAACACAAACACATACACATTTGTGAGCACAGATTCACGCAGCAGCTTAATTGTAAATAAAACACTTTGTTCTACTTCATCTCGCTGCGATACAAAAAACATTTTCGCACATCGGGATTCGCTAATTGTCTCTCGCTCCAACCCCTCCTCTTTTTGTCCTATGTCTCCTTTCTGCGCAGACACTCTACCTCCCTCACTGCTGAGATTACAGCAACTCTGGGGAATCACAGCTGAGCCTGTTTTTTCTGCAAACGCCGCACAGGCGCATACACACACAATTTAACATCCATTCAACGCATGATGTGTGTGTCTTTGTGTGAGTGAGAGGACGTGCATCTGATGGAAAGCAAAGTTAGTGTTTCTGCTGACACCGTGGAGTCACACTTACAACACCCAGAGGTACCATAACAACAAACAGCAGCGCACTCGCAAGCATTAACTACACCTACTCCACACTTGAATTGTGCAAACCTACCTGTCGCTGCAATGTGAAAATTGGATGCTGTCAACTTTGTCCTGGGTGAGAAGAATACAGAGGAGAAGTGAAAACATTGCATTAATAACAAGCCTCTGCTGAACCTCCTTGTTCGGCACATTTAACTTTGCATAGCAATTAAATCATGAGTTTAACCCCCTAAAAAAATGCAACTTTAAGTCCACATATCTCAGCCTCTTCCTAAATTCTCAATCTTTTATAAGACTTATGGTAATTTAAGTTTGATCTATACGACATATTTTACTTTGCATAGCAATTAAATCATGAGCTAAACCCCAAAAAAGTGCAGCTAAAGCTCCACAAATCTCAGTATCTTCCTTAGTTCTCAATCTTTGATAAGACTTACGGTAATTTCAGTTTAATCTATACGACATATTCTACTTTGCATAGCAATTAAATCATGAGCTAACCCTTTAAAAAAGTGCAACTTAAGGTCCACAAATCTCAGCATCTTTCTTAGTTCTCCATCTTTTATAAGACTTACGGTAATTTAAGTTTTTTCAATAAGACAATTTACTTTGCATTGCAATTAAATCACGAGTTTAACCCCCAAAAAGTGCAGATAAAGCTCCACAAATTTCAGCATCTTCCTTGGTTCTCAATCTTTTATAAGATTTACGGTAATTTGAATTTAATCTATACGACATATTTACTTTGCACAGCAATTAAATCATGAGTTTAAACCCCAAAAAAGTGCAACTAAAGGTAAAAAAAATCTCAGCCTCTTCCTTAGTTTTCAATCTTTTATAAGACTTACGGTAATTTAAGTTTTATCTATATGGCAGCGTGTTGACTCACTGTGTGGGACTCAAGTTCAGAGATCTTCTCTGGCTGTCCTGCCCCAAAGTAGTACACCCTGATGATGTGATCGGTGCTCCCTGTAGCCAGGAACATGCCACCTGGACACACACATCAACATTTTTACAGTAAATATGATTGATTTACTCGTGAAAAATCAAACTGTAGAGAAACAGAACGAGTGCGTTGTATTTGTGAGAGCAACTTTTGGGCAACTTCAAAGTTACCAAACGCTCAAGGTCAATAACAGCCCCGAAATAGAAATGCACTCTCGAACACTGTGAAGTACACTTACCCCACATTTACTGAACAGCAGCAGAGCCACTTGAGCGTGTCTGTCTGCTGTGTTCACTCTCCAGTTAATTTAGCATAATTGTGGCCTTTTTTGAGCTTTGTTCGTCTTCCTCAAACATGGAAGAAAAATCTGAACATCTAAAGTTAGGTGTGCTCACCTGCGCTGAAGGAGGAGCAGATCATCTGGACTCCTGGTCTGGAGCGCTCTGTGAACTTACTGGGCCTCTGACTGGACTCGCACAAAAAGAGGGGAACAAATTGAGACACATAATGAAAACACAGTCAAGTCTTATGTTTATACAACTCAAAGTCTTATGCAACCAGCTTCAGAGTCAAAGGTGTGAGCAGCACAGGTGCAGGCGAGACCGTGTATGTTAAATCTTTGTGTATCTCACCCAAACTTGAGTGTGCGTGCGTCCCACTGCCAGAAACAGATGGTGCCGTCAGCTCCGGTGGAGGACAGGTAGCGCTTTGAGCCGCTGCAGAGAGGAGAAAACTGCAAACACAGACAATTAGAGGTTACGGCGGAGTTTAATGGGCAATCAAAACATGCTGATAACACATATGCAAGAAAGAGGGGATGATTATCGCCGGTATTAAAAAAAGTGCATACATGACAATGTAAGGAGAGTTCATCTTTAAGCAGCTATATCCTTGTTATTAAATGTAAAGACAAAAGCCGATAATTGTGAGGCTCTGGTTGAAACATCTACCCCTTAAAAATGAACATGGGAGCTTATTCTATTTTCAAAAACCCTGCTTTACTCCTTCTCCCTGCATAAAATCTTTTAGCGGTAGATCAATCCTGGCAGTAATAAGTCCCCAACAACCGCACTGTTTACCCTTGTATGACTACTCTTTTTCTGAAAACTACCATGCCCAGCTGTTACAGGAAATAACTTTCAGGATTCATGTCTTCAGAGGGAAGAAAAAGCTTGAGGCTGAATGCCACAGACAGGGTAGTGAATCTTTTTTTTTTTTTTGGTCTATTTATTAGATTTCATGACAAAACTCAGATTTCAGCCTGTTGTATCCTTTAATATCTGACTCTGCCGATGAACTGAAACAGGGATTTTAACAGAAAGTCCAATCCGTCAGCTGTGACATCCATTCTTTTATTTCACTGGGAGGCTTTTTAACACCACAAAAAAAGCAGTTTAATGGCACTGGATGAATATAATTGCAATATATACAGACCAAAACATGAGCTATGCTGCAAACAGTCATTTTTTTCACTCTCCACATGAACATAAAACGCACCTGCAGCGACGTGATCGAGGCTGCGTGTCCCTCCAGGACGGCCAACGGAGCGCAGGTCTGTAAGCACCACACTCTGATCGTTTTGTCACAAGAGCCGGCGGCGATCATGGTGTTCTCGTAGCTGACAGCCATGTCTGATATTTCGGCAGCGTGGCCGCGCAGGGTGGCGAGGAGACGCCCGTCATCCGTACCCCAAATCTTTACAAGGCAGTCGTCTGAGCCCTGGGAATGAAAGAAAAAAAACGCCGCTATCAGCAGACGGGCAAACTGGGATCACAAGCAGAAAAGAGGATGACTTATAAAGATGATTTTTCTGGAGGGTAGTAAAAGATGTCTGCGAACATTTTTAAGGTATTAAAGCTAATCAGAGCTCCTACTTTCTGTGCATGTATTTGAATTCTATTAAACTGATCAGTTGCAAAGGCCACAGCTGCTGTTATGTGAATATCTTCATAAGATTATCTCAAGCTGTTTTAAGAGTCAGGTTATGGTCACATAATTGCCTCACATTGTCCAAAGTTGCCTTACCGCACATACTCAGCATACTCAAAATAAACTATCTCAATCTGAGTTGCAATCACTTGCAGGTATGCATATTTCAAGCTCTTTCAAAACAACTTTAAAAGCGACGACGTTGGCAAACATGCCAGCTCACTGCCCAGTCAGTTCAAGAGTCAGGACGCAGGTATTTCACCCCACTGTGAAACAGCCCGGCCTGCTTTGTGAGGACTAATGGATCCTGCTGAAGTACAACAGCATCAGAGCGGATGGGTTTATCTCAAACTTAACTCTGTACTGGCTGCAGCTTCACTACGATTCCCCCTCTTAGGTGTGATCCCAGTCTTCACCCTGAAGCCTGAACTCAAGACAGACTCGACTGACCTCAGGTTTACAATGTATAAGAATGACCTCAGAGCCAGAAATAGTTTTTAAATAAAAAAACAAAAGGGAATGGGATTTATCCTTCACAGCAACAAGAGGCTTGATTCTGTCACCTTTAAGGTTTTCCTGCATAAGTTTTAAATCCTCTTTAAAGCAGGATGACCACACATACATTCGCAATGATCAGAAACTAGAGCTGGGCAATATGGCCTCAAATCAATATCATGATATATTGAGCAGTTCACCTCAATAACAATAAGTGAATGATAACTACTCCACAAGCTGCTCACCCTCTCCCACATTAACTTTGTCTACTCTTCCATCTCCTCACCTGTGTTTACCTCTTTGTTATGGTCTGGATGGGGTGGAGTCACGTCTCTGCAAACGTCTTAAAGGGACATGAGACCATAGCCTACCTACACACATCCAAAACCAACTTTTAATTATTGATTTTTTTGTCACTGAATATTGACATGGGCAAAATTTTGTCGGTTATTGACGTAAATTTCGGTATCAGTAAATTTTCGGTTTATTGCCCAGCCCTAGATGGAGGGTTTAAAGCTCAAACCGACATATATATGTGATTGCAGGATAATTAGGATGAGAAGAAAAACACTGAATGGACAATTTGGAATAAAATGATGCTTTGTAAGACCTGCAGGTTCATAGTTAGTGAGATGTTTTACTCTTAAAATGCATATTTGGTCCTAGGGCTGGGCGATATGGCCTCAAATCAATGTCACGATATATTAAGCAGGTCAACTCAATAACGAGAAATGGACGATAACTACTCCTCTAGCTGCTCACCCCCTCCCACTCTAACTTCGTCTACTTCAGCCGCTCCAACTTTTGAACCGCCCTCCATCTCCTCACCTGTCTTTCCCTCTTTGTTATGGACTGGATGGGGTGGAGTCAAGTCTCTGATGTAGGACAGTGTCTTAAAGGGACATAAGACCATAGCCTACCTACACACATCCAAATCCAACTTTTGTCATGGGCAAAATGACGTCAGTTATTGTCGTAAATTTCGGTATAGGTAAATTTTCGGTTTATCGCCCAGCCCTATCAGAACCCTTAATACACTATTAACTTAACATCATACCACAACCCTCTTGCACAATGTGAGTGTCTGGTTGTAATTTAGCCTTTGTAGCATAATTATTAATAAGATAAACAAAGTAAAAGCAATGCAAAGAACAGACTGACAGAGTCATATCAATAAATAATTCATAAAATCAAAATGACTTGAAGTTTTGTTGCCTTGAAGCACCTTCCTACACTGTCTTTATTCATAATCAAACATGTAAGACCTGAGTGAGCAGCTGCCGCAGACTTCATTTGTTTAAAGCAGCTTGTAAAGGGTTAAAGAGTTTGTGATTTAACATGGTGCCAGACCCTCCTGCGCCTTGATTACTGATTATGTCAAAATCATTTCAAAAACAACATGTAGCCACAAAGTGGGGATGCAAAAACACACTGTGACATGATTTCTGTCTGAAAAAGGAGATGTGTGATTTGAGGAAGCAGGAAATAAACAGTGACTGGTGACTAAGTCTGAAATACAGGGCTGGAAATCAATTCACAAATCATGATTGCACAATAACGTTCAACACATAATTATCAAGTTTCCAATCAAACCGACTGTATTTTGAGGATACCTTCAGAGACATCCATCCTTTTGTAACTGCGCTGTGTTTTATAAAACAGGCCACGCTATCAGTATCAGCAGAGAGTTTGGAGGAAATGTGAGATGAAAACAGAGCATCAACCCCCTCCTTTGAATAAATCATAATCAGCCGCTCCATCACCAGCAGAACGGAGTCAGACTGGAGCTGCTGTTTCGTGCGGACTGATCAAAACAGCAAGCGTCCCCTCGGTGATTCACAGAGAGCTCAAGGACGACAAGAGAAAGAAAAAGAAATACACCCAAAATGAGAGGCAGAAGAGAGAGTTGCAGGGGGACTTTGCATGAACTTTTTCACCGTTATAGACGTCAAGTTATGTTTGCAACCGTATCAGGGACGAACAACACCTACCAGCTAGTCTAATTTGTGTCTCTCGGTGGCCATGATAATGAGTTTGCAGCCATTTTTAAAGCTATATTACACAAATCAATGTGGCTGTTTGCCAGTTATCGGTTTAACACAAAGACATACACTCTGCTCATTGATCACAAATGATTACCGTGAATGTTAAGACTAAATAAAACTATCAATTTTCAATCAATCTGCCCACCGCTGCGGTAAAGTCTAAGGTAAAAAAGACTGAAGGGATCCTAAAATAAGAAAATATATAAATAAAAATCATCTTGTGATGAAAGGAAACAGCAAGAAGGAAGAAAAAAACACACGAGCAAGGAGAGAGAAAAAAAGAAAGGAGAGAGAGAGAAAGAGAGAGAGAGAAAGAGAGAGAGGCCAAGAATGAATTTTAATTTTGGCACTTAGCCAGCGCCTCAGAGGAAACATTTTCTCCAGTTATGATGTGAAATAGCAAGAAGACGGGGGGAGACGGGAGGAGAGGAACAAAGGAGGGGCAGCGCAGGATGAGGGAAGACAGGGGGAGAGAGACAGAGAGAGAGAGAGCATGAGCGGGGAGTGTAAGAACGGTGGAAAGAGAGATAACAGGAAAAGAGACAGAGAGTCAATCTAACCCCCCACACACACACTCCCTCCCTCCTCTCCCTCTCAGCAGCCAGCCATTTTTAGAGATTTAAGAAGTGAAAGCTGAAAATGGTGTATAGCAGCAGGCAGTGTTTGACTCCAGGATCCAAACAGAAGGACGGCGACAAAGATTCAACATTAACTTATTGTTCCTTTAATATTTACCCCCTTCACTCGAACTGTATCGCTCACATGAGCACGCTGAAACAGTAACTGGCGCAGCACGTTTACACGAGGGGCATCCAGAGGGCAAAGGTCAACCTCCACATGTTGATATTTCTTCTGTAATTTCCCTGTTTGCATCATCAGGCTTCTGTTTTTTTTTCAGTTCCTCGTTGTTCACGGAGTAATGAGAAAAAAAAGAGACTCAAAATTAACTTTTAAGTGTCCACAAGGTTTAAATAAGAGCCAAAAAAAAAACCAGCACAGAGCTCCTCTACTCTCAAAAAAACAAAAAGACCCTGTGATTTAAAACGCTCTTTAAACGCCGACTGCACTTTTGTATTAAGTCGCAGCGATTCTTTGGCACTCTTTTGCAACACAGGACGTCCAAGCCAAGTTGCAAAAGTCTCCCTCTCTCTCCAACAAGACTCAAACCAGTAAGAAGCCCTGAATAAAAATAAAAAAAAAAGCTGTTTCATTTCAGCAAAATCAGGATGGCTCTGGAACTTTTCAACAGGGGTGCGGATGCTACAAGCTGAGCTAAAGTAATGTCAGATTAGCTTGCTCCACTGTTTGAAAGTCTCTGGCTGTATTCAAAACTCACACAAGCAACTGGTGTTTTCCTCATGCACGCAGTAAAGCTCCTGTATACTCTTCTTTATACTGTGAGCGTGTGCAATTATACCTGGCAACAATAAGAAGACTGAACAGTCAACATCATTAGGGCCAATTTTAGCCCGTTTGAGACTCATCGATAATTGCACAAAACTTGCTGATTTTCACCAATATTTTCAGAAATAAAAGGCTAAGAATAAGATTCGGTTTCACTTCAAAAATGTTCCGCCATTTGAAGAGTTCCCTGACTTATCCTGTAGATGGCGCAGCGACCTCATGACAATCTTCATCCACTAACTACCTCACAGCACAGCAGAGTGACGGATCTGAAGCAGGCAGCTCAGGGACGCATCGAGGAGAGTGGTCCGCCTCAACGGTAAATAAACTAGTTTGTGAAGTAGACAATAAGTCAACAAGTTTCAGTTCATCTCACTTTGCGATGTTCCCCGCTGAGTTAACGATGAATCACCATTTAATATGCAAGCTAAAGTTAGAGTTAGCCACCTGCTATTAGCCTTGCTACACTGTTAGCCGCACCAGTAATGATAGAATAAACAACAGTACACATTATGTGATCGAGCTACTTCTCTTACTGAGGCAGCTACATGTCTCCAGATGAGACCGGACCGGAAATGTGGAACGTGAGTTAAGACACAGAGGCACCGATCGGCGCACGCGGGGGTTAGTTGAAAATGCTTTTCTGGTCCGAGTTTGATCGGTCAGTCTTCCTGTCGGCGTAAAGAGCAGTAGCCTACAGTACATCTACAGTATTTAGTACACTGTAGATATCTACTGTATATATATTTATTTTTTATAACTTCATAAAAAATTTAAAAATTAATCAAAATCGGACTTTTTTCCCCCCCAATAATCAGTATTGGCATTGGCATCAGCCTCAAAAAATAATTTGTAAACCTTGTGAAACTACTACAGCAGCATCCTTTTCACATCCTGTTGCCTCCTGAAGAGAGAAATCTTCATGCTGTAGGACGTGTGTCAAGGGTAAACTCTCTTAAAAACTTGGTTGAAACTTTCTATAGGGCTCATTTAAAAAAGTACTAAGAGTCTGTGTGCACCTTAAGTCCTGACCTTGAGCCTGAATACCTTAAAAAAAAAAACCTGCAGTGATTCTTTGGCCTCTAAACCCTGATGTGAACAGACTCTTTAAAGACTTTTTATCAACTTTTTATCATCACACATCTTAAGAAGACTTCCTCTGGTTCATGTGTGACTTCTGTAGAAGATGCTGGTTAAACACTTTCTAAAGGCATTTAGGCAAAGCTTTGAGTTTGAGTTTGTAATATTCCAAATTCAGCATTTTGAGAACAAGTTGCTTTTTTTAAAATGTATGTTTTTGGTTTTTTTTATGAATGTATGTTGTTGATTCATTTTTCTTTAAAGGTGGGGTATGTTTTTGAAAGTTCATAAGCATTTCAGATGCATGTTTGCTTGTGGAAATTAGCAAAACACTCAATGAATATACAATAAAGACTCCACTAAGGGTGTCCCGATACAACTTGACGACTTTCGATACGATACCGATATTGTAGCCTTCAATCTTTTTCAGACTTAAACAGAAAATACTGCCACACAGCTGACATCACTCCTACTCCTTGCTACTTTGTTAGTACCTAAGTACACACTGTTGTTGTGATTTTGTGGGCTCAGCTTGCTGGATCAGAGCGCTGCGAGATAGAGGTGCCAGAGCAGAGTTTGGAATGGACTGCTTGTATTGGAGTGCTGATATCTGAGATTTTAGATGCAGGTCGATATAATCTGATATTTGGGTTTTTCTATTTTTTTTTTTCTTTGGTTCTTCTTTCAGGGCAATAATTTTAAGACTCTTGTTGTTTGCAAAGTCACCAACCAGTCCTTACTTTAACTCTAACTGTTAGAACAACATAAGGATCCTGGACATACAGCCAAGAGCTGAGGTTCTGAAACTGCAGCCGCTTGCTCTGCAGACACGTAATATCTGAATGTAATCAAGCCTAGTGGGAAAGACTAATGTACATGCAGACCGAGGGTTCACATATCTCAACAAGCTAAGCTATGTGGTACGCTATTAAATTTGAGTATGTTATTCTGTCCTCCTTGAACTCCCTGACAACTTGTCTCTGTTATAATTATCTTTTTGAATTACTTTTACTACCATTTTTACTGATTAGATTTTTTATGAATGTATTCATTTTATTTAATTTATCTTCCCCTGTCAGGCTTCAGTGTCTGTATTCTGTGCACTGTTGCTAATGCTATGTTTTATGTTCTCTCTGTTGTATCTGCTTTGCAAGAAAATGTTGATTTATCGGCGAGCCGATTAAATCGGCAACTTTTAGCCAGTTTGAGACTAATCGATAATTGTCCAAAACTCGCTGATTTTCGCAGATATTTTCAGAAATAAAATGCAGAGAATGAGATTCGGTTTCACTTCGAAAATGTTGCGCCATTTGAAAAGTTCCCCGACTTATCCTGTAGATGGCGCAGCGACCTCATGACAATCTTCATCCACTAACTACCTCACAGCACAGCAGAGTAACCGATCTGCAGCAGGACGAGAGTGGTCCGCCTCAACGGTAAATAAACCAGTTTGTGAAAAACACAATAAGTCAACAAGTTTCAGTTCAACCCACTTCACGATGTTCCCTGCTGTGCTAGTCTCAGTCACGCTGAGTTAACGGTGAAGCACCGTGTAATATGCAAGCTGAAGCTAGAGTTAGCCATCTGCTATTAGCCTTGCTAAACTGTTAGCCGTTCTAGTAAAGGTAGAATAAACAACAGTACACATGACATGATCAAGCTACTTCTCTTACTAAGGCAGCTGCATGTCTCCAGATGAGACCGGACCGGAAATGTGTAACGTGAATTAAGACGCAGAGGCAGTAGCCTACAGTATATCTACAGTAGATAGTATGCTGTAGATATCTACAGTAAACATATTTTTTATAACTTCGTAAAAAATTTAAAACATCAGCCAGGGCCCAATAAAAACATGTAAAAAAAAAACAAGCTAAGCCAGTAGAGGATGCCAGCATGGAGCAAAAAACACAAACACTAGCAGCCTCAGAATCAACGTGGATCTCCATGGAGGTGGTTCGGCTTCAGAAAGACGGATGTAGCACAAAAGCCGTTAAAGAAAGATAAACAACTAACTTGTTTAACTATCTGCCACTATCTGCAAAATAAACCACCACACAGGATATGAAGAGTATGAAAAGCTTCTGGAGTCTACCACAACTCATCAGCCCAGGTACCAGCAAAACAACACCAAAAAAAAAAAAAATCAGCCAACTTTGGCAGAGTCACTCAGCAGACAGGTGTCTTACAACAAGAAGGGCAACAGATGGCAAGAAATAATAAACACAGTCACACTGCAAAGGATACGGTGCCAACTGAAGCAGCCAAGAGGGAAGGTTTCAAAAAAACTTTTGACTACTTTGGACCCCAGATACACCCTGCCAAGCTGGAGATATTTCAGTCACTAATAAATAACTTTATAAATGAGAGCTGATTTTCTTAAACGTTGTTTTAATTAGATATCATTAACAACATCTCATTTTATATAAATAGGAGAGTCCCTATTATCGCCGATGATCACATTTTTATGTCACATTAATATAGCTTTAGTTTTACATGTAGCAGCATCATTATTACTAAAATCAGACCCTCATTTCTTCACATGAGATGGTTTTATGAGACACTAGAATGACATGCCAAGTCCAACTCCACAAACAAAATCTGCCCAGCTCTAAAAGAGACCGTGAGTCCTCTTCTTCTTCTTTAAAAGTTCAATAGCTGTGCTAAAAATGTGTTGATTTTTTTCCCCCTGCAGGATGAACTCAGCTTTAACTATGAGTCACTCAGTAAAAGCATCAAACCACAATAAGGTAAACAGTAATTATACCCAACGAGAACATTAGCATCAGGGTTAACAGAGGCTTGGTTATCTTAGTAAGCAAAACAAAAGCTTTTAACAGTCAAATTCAGCGTACAAAAGGTGACTCTGCATAAAAACAGGGAAGAGACGACAGCACAACAAAGCCGCTGAAATCACCTTGAACGGGCTCATTCAGGTATCGCAGGCACCCAGCGGAAGAAAACACACAAGCGTAGCTCAGATTTGCAGCCTTACCGTGAATATGCGTCGCCCTGTCCTGTCAAAGGTGACGCAGTACACGGATGACAGGTGTCCCAGGATCCTTTTGTGCATCTTCATGTGCTGGTACACAGCTGTAGGCACCAGCTGCCGCAGACGGTAGGAGCCATTCAGCCGGCGGCCAAAGTTTGTCTCAACTAGATGGAAAGAGACGTCACAGGAACAGAAAGGACGATGTCAGTGCGAGGGGAAAAAATCAGCGACAAAGAAATGGCGTCTTACTTGTTTTATGACAGACTTGAAAGAATATGAAAATAGGCCACAAATGTGCAAAAATGCGCTGTGATGCCGAGGAAAATCAACAATAAAGTCACAGCAAATGCTGTTCAAAGTGAAGACCTTGGCAGGAAAATACAGTCTGACTCATACAGTTAAAAACAAAGGCACAGAAAAAAAATGACTGTTTTCTTTACCAATATTAGGTGGGCTCCCATAGATAATTGGCGGCTCCGGTGGACGCCCACAGTGCAGCGCAGCAAGCGCCGAGCCCTTCCACACAACATGTTTGCAACCTAGAGAGAGTGAACACCGGACGGATGCGTAAACACACACCTATAATACAGTTTGTCTTCTGGCTCGTCTGAGTGAGCTGTTCTTTATGCATGCACCGGCAGTAAATTTGCATAAAAGCATGACAGCATGTATTTACATGAGGTCTCTGCAGAGATGTATTACAGAAATTGCATCAGGCATGCATATGTTCACATTAAAGCAGCTCATGTGTGAATGGAATAGATCGACTCACTCTTGGTCGTGCGGAGGAGATTCTGCCTGCCGGCGCCCAGAAGGCTGGTGAGCCCGGGGACGCTGGCAGGTACCTCCTTCTCTAGTAGAGGACATACTCTGGAGCAGATCTGCAGCAGGTGATCCGCGCTGATGTGCCGGTATAGCTTCACCTATGACAAACACAGACACACGACAGATGTGTACATAAAAAACAGTTAAGACAGATCCACAAAATATCTAAAGCTCTCTCTAAAAAAAATCATTAAAACACCAAAATATTACTGATAACAAAATATTTTCTAGTGGGTCCTCTTGGATTCAGTTCAGCATTCAAAAGCAAATACAGCATGTGGACAAAAGGGTTTACTATTTGGCCAGAGTCCATTTATTTTCAACCACTTGAGTATGAACACACAAACAAAATCACTTTCTGCAGAATGAATAAAAGTGAAAGACAAGGTCACAACCTAAATTGGAGTTTCGTATTTCTAAAGCAACGGTGCGTTCTCTAAAAAATGAATCAAATGAATTTTTCCCTGAGAGTTTCAGGAAAAAAAAAGAGAGTGAGGTAGCTGAGAAAAAAAACTGAAGTGAAAACATCCATTATCTCAAAAACGATTCAAGCACTATGATAAAATTATTAAATATTAAATGAAAATATAACAGCTTTTAATAAATGATTAGTCTTTGTTTTTCTGTTTGGAAATGTTTGCCCCTGTCTTTTAAAAGGGACTACAGATCCAGTTCACAGGCTTGTGGAGTAAAGCAGCAGAGAAGGGGGTGTGGCACTCTACGTAAGCATGAAGCAGACAGTATGTAGGCCACGCTGTTATAAACACAGTGTGTGTCCGAATCCTCTGACACATGGGGCCTATCACCTGAGCGACAGCAGGGTGAAAAAGCTGCTGTGTGCTAATGCTGGGACGCTGAGTTATTATAATGTATTTATTTAAAGACAAGACATGTTAATAAGGAGAAAACTGATTTAAATATCTAAGAGGGGTCAAAAAGCCTGAGACTAAAGAATTAATCCACTGGCACATGCATTAACTCAGTGCGCATATCTGGATACTGACAGCAAGACTTCACTGGGACACACACACACACACACACTCACACACACATACAAATTAATGACCCCTTAATTGCTTTCAACATCCTTGCTGGTTCAGAGACGTGATCAGTGTTTCTAAGCACATATCAGCTCACAGGCTCCTCTTAGGTGCACACACAAAGCCCAGATTGACACACACGTAAAAAACAGAGAGATGTGTAACAACAATTCGCTCCATTTTACTTGCTTCTAAAGGGTAATGGATAGCACTCGCCCCCTGTATCAGCTGCACGTGGCACCTAAATAGAGGCATGCTTGCAGTCTCTCTACAAATATCACTTCCTATTTCAACACATCCTGCAAAAAATCAATATCACTTTTGCACAATTCTGCTGGACTTCATTTAAAAATTGCAAAATTGAAATGAATAATTTGGTGAAAATATGGTCAAAATATAAAATAAGCTTAAATTTACATTCAAAAGGACAAGTTCATTGTCTGTATATTGTGTTTCTGCTTATATTACATGCAAAAAAGCTATAATTATACATCTAATTAATTAGCCTTAATTAATCAGCCCTAATTAATATCCTTGATTATTACAATACCATTTAAGTCCAGGTTGATTTCTTATTGTTGCCCAACCCCCCTACCCGTGCCTGAGCCAGACATCATCCCACAAAACACCGCTTCAAAACATACCATCCTCTGCCTCCAAACATCCTGTCTCCATTTTGTCTGATAATTAAAAAAAACAACCTCTGCAGTATATTTTTAATCGTAGGAAATTATGCACAATAGACAGGAGGCAGGCTGATCGGCTGAGCATGGGAGGAGGAGGAGGAGGAGGGGAGGAGGGGAGGAGGAGGAAGGGGAGAGCCGAGCAGGAAGGGGAGAGGAGAGAAAAACACACACGATCAGGCAGAGAGAGACGCTGGCAATTATTTCCAAAGCGAATAAATGTTCACTCTGGTAAATGTACACTTCACGCAACGTGGATATCCTTCTGTTCCTCTGCGTGTGTTTGAGAGGAAGAAGCCAAAAAAATCCGGTATTTTAGGATAAAACAGGCCAAAGGTTATCATCTTATAATTATGTAAATTTAACGCGTAAAATAGGAATAAAGTTAAAAAGCGCTATCGTGCGTAAAAAGTGGAGGTGAATAAATACATGCGCGATGATTAATTCTCTCCACGCCCCCATGCGTAAACTGCGCTTTCAAGCGAGCCGTGTTTGTTTACATGACAATTAGCCTCAATTAATAAAAGCCATGATAAGATAGCAGTCTAATATTACCTCGCATCTTCACAAAAACTCATCTCTTCTTTTCCACCCGAGCTTGCACCAACAATCCTCCAAAAAACCCCGCTCTGAGAAATGTCTCCACAAACATGCGCGCAGCAGCCCGAAGTCAACCGGGGGGGAGCTGCAACTCCAGCTTAACTGAATATACTCTTTATATTCTCCTCAAAATGTCCTGTTTTCAAACTCTTGCCCCCTGTGTGTTTTCAGCCCATGCACACAAATTATGTTTCTAGCAGGACAAGAGCGCCTCCATCTCTCTCTGGCTTGTGGCGCAGGGAGTCCCTCCTCCGGATCCTGGCGCTCCTACACCACAACACTCATGACGTATCAACATTTCACACACATTTTTCCAACAACTATTACAACCTTTTGGACATGCATGGGATCAAACTCGCACACCACCGTGCGTAAAACTCTGGGATCCGACCCCTTGGTGCCCCTATATCGGCCCCAACCTGCAGCCAGCTCGCCCTGCAAAGTCCTTTTCAGTTTTTTCTCAGCCACCTGATTTAAAAATTGCGGGAAATTCAATTTTTATTTTGCTCTCTAAAAACTTTTTCCTCAGTTATAGGGCTCCCTTACCAAATTTTCGTACGTCCCGGGGTGTTCCTGCCCTGTCCAGTCCAGTCTTTGGGGTAGCAGCTGAGACGGAAAAATAGTGCAGACTGTGATCATCCGGAATATAAATGTATGAAGTGATGTTTTAAATCAGTAAATGGTAAATCAGAGTAAAAGCAACATCACAAAGTACAGTGCAGAGAGAAGCATCTCTCGTCTTGCTGACTGCTTACCTCCTTCTCCTCCACCTCCCTTATCAGGGTCTGAAAATAGGATAAAAATACAAAATTACACCTCGTGACAATTTCGGATATGTTATAAATTATCCTAAAATACAAAAACACCAACCTCGGCTGCTTTTTGACACGGTCCAGCTTCTAGAAATCGGGCTATTAGGAAGTACAGTTCTGGTATGGTTGGAGGGGGAGAAGAGGACGGGAGCTGCGTTAGAAGAGGGCACCGAGGAAATTGGGGGGATATTACAACAACCATGACATATTTTCCGATCTCCTTTACTCACCAGAAGTCAACTGCGCGATGTGTGTACTGTCTGAAGCCATTTTGGTGTTGTTTGCCAGGGCAGCGCAGAGCCTGTGTGCTGGGTCTAGGTGGCTGCCCTGTAGCTGTCACTGTTTATCCACCAGGAAGAGGCTGCCTCCATTCAGCTCTGCTCTCACGAAGTCCCGGCTGCGTCGTGTATCCCTCCGCCGAGCGCCAGCTAGTGCACGCAAGACCGTTTACCCTCTAAACACCGGCTTATCTCCGGCGAAAAACAACAGGAGACGCGAGATTGCTTTAACCGAAACGCGGGGTGAATTTTAGAGGCGGTTAGGTGTTTGTATGAGTGTGTTTGTTTTAATCCCCCTCCCCCTCAAAAGAAAAAGCGCAAGCCCTCTGCGGAAGAATACCTCGTACGCACGCTACAGTCGAGGGGAGGTAGAAATGGCAGCTTGCAATAGGAGAGGATACATTGCTGCAGAATGGGTTGTACTTCGCAGATTACCGATATCTGTATTTTCCTATAAATCGAAAGCTAATACTTTCACTTGAAAAAAAAAAGAAACAGTTGAGGATTTAATTCGTGTAACTTTTGTATTTTCTGTTTTCGTAGCTGCGGATGTAGAATATGGTTCCCGTATTTGAGGCGTATTTCAACCGCTGTAACAACCTCTGCTGTGTTTCTTTTTAATAATACAGCTCTTTATGTTCATAATGTGTGTTTCTTTGGCCTCGTTTGTTATCACGCTGTCGTTATTGAGTAACAAGATGTCTGGCTAACACACCCACTCTCTCTGGGAGCCGTTTGGTGGGGAAGTCGTCCATTTCTCTTCCAAATACTGCCAGGCAGTAAAATGGGGGAAGGGTTGGAGAAGAAGGGGAATGCAGCTTAATGAATGAAAGCTCGTGAGTTACAGGAATTTAATGGCAATCACACATGGAGGAAAGATACCTCATTTAGAGGGCTTATCAAAGAAATACATGACTGCACTCTACGTGTAGAAATAAGAGGAGAAAAGCTCAGCACTAAGGTGTTTTCCCCTTTAAAATAAATACTATCAATATCTTAAATGTGTGCAAGTTGTATTTCATATATTTATATGGCAAAGAAAATATTTGACCTAAATTAACTTGCAAAAAAAACAAGCTTCTAGTCTCATCTCTGGCTGCTTATTTGAGTTAGAGCTCAATATAAACATAGAAAATCATTCCCATACTCCTTTATTTTTCTATGCAACATAAACTTTATTCTGCTCTTTTGAATGTAAAGACACACTGCTATTTTTACACGTGTACCAGCCAAGCAGGAAACCCACATCTAAAATTGTTTGTAGAATATTGACACACCTTGAGGGGATTTCCACACATCACGAAGAAGGTAAAACTTACTTTTCTTTAAATACGATTTTGTCATAACGTTTCTCTCCGCGTCAGTACACCCTGCAGTGAGTATATGTGGAGGTGCGGAATATAGTGTGGGCAAAATAAAGTCACACCAAGCATTATTCATCAGGTTTCAGAATTATTGTCCTGATCTGGTAAAGTTTGTCTGAAAAAATACAGGCTCTGGTACAAACCTTTTCTATTTATAAAGCACATGTTTGACTCCAATCTCTGGCAGAAACGCAGAGGAACAAACAAGTTTTTCTGCTGAGTATGATGGGATACAACTTGAGCAGATGACTGACTAAATCTCTGCTTCTGCTGTTTATAATTTTTAATTCTAATAAACTTTTTTAATGAAACAAAATGGTTGCAAAAGGCCTCCCGGATTTTTATAACTTAGTCTAATGTAAAACAAATATTTGAACCAACATCTATATTTTTCCTTGTTTCTGAAAGCTTATGATAATACAGGGAAAAACCTTTCTTCTGTTTGTAGTATCCAAAAACAGTATACCAACACCATAGACAGACATATTAAGAGTGTGAACATCAAGCAACTTTAACTCATGCACCACAGGCCTTTTTCTGTTTGTTATTCATAAGAAAACTATTCTGTTGCAAACTTACATCAATCTTTTCTCCATGAAGACGCTGTAGGCATCATCTGCATATTTATGTTGACCTCCCGTAAATTGAGTTCAATTAGCCTTGACGAATTTTTTAACATTTTGTCGTGATGAATTTGTCGCTTACTCCCCTTGGATTTTGGATGGAATATAATCACAAGTGCTGCTACAAAACTACAAATAAATCCAGGCATGTAGTAGAAGCTGGATGTATGACCATTGGTTCTTACTCTAACATTAAAACCAGCAACAGGTTGAAAGTCTAGATTTGCCAGCTGTTACAAGAAAAGTCTCCTAAACCTCTGTGCAATCTAAAAAACATACTTGTATGACTTTGAAACCTATTTTTGATGTAGTCAAGACCAGATTAATTTTTTAAGGTCTTGTCAGTCACTTCATGTTACTTCTCTCCATGACCTATTTAGTTGTTTTTGTGCTGGCACACATGGCCACAAGGAGGCATCCTCACTCTGCTGCACTCACTTAAACACAGGGGCACAGAGGAGTCAAAGGTTATGAATTATGAGGGGGAAGTGTCCGCTGCACATTTAACCTTCATGAAACAAAAACAGAAATTCAACACAGAGTTCAGATAGAAGTCTGGAGGCCTGTCTTGAGCCTGTTTGCCATGATTTAACATTTTCAGTCATTTTATAGAAACCTCTCATTTCATTGATAAAACATGGGTGCACTTTTGGTCTGTTTGACTTGTAACTTAAATTAAACTATGTCTGTGTAGCTTTTGAATGTTTATTCTGACCCATTTATTGTAACAAGCTGAACACTTACTATAAATTCTCAATGTTCTGCTTCTTTTATGGGCTAATTGACTTCTTTTTAGCTCTTGTGCCACTGCAAACTCTGAATTTCCTTCAGGGAGATCATTAAAAGCTTTTTAAAATCACAAATGACACTCATTCAGTTAAAGCTCCTTTGAAGATTTTTATTTTCATTTTTAAGGAACATGAAACAAATTCATCTGATGCCTTTTCATGGTATCCAAAAACAACCAAGACCATCAGGGATAAGGCTGATAAGATTACATATTGCAATTTATTAATGCCAGAAATTGGTGTGAGGGGGTAGGTGTCAACCAAGCAGTTGAAGAAATTACTCTTTTTTACAGTTTCCACATAAAATATCCAAAAAAGCTGGCACTTTCTACTGTCAAAAACTCAGCAAAACTTTTTTTTGTCATACTAAAGCATGTAGAGCTTTAATCCCTTCCAATATGATAAAAACAATGAGTGTTGTACTTGCATTCTTATTGATCAGTTATCATCCTTGACCATGCAGCCACAAATCTTGTACTTATTCCTTAAGTTCCTTAAAAATCTTTTATTATTTTAGACAAAGAAACAGATTTAATTTGATTCCTTGAAACTTATTGAAGATTTCTTATTGAATTTTTCATGATAGTTTTCTCAGCAGCAGAGGCCTCCTTAGTGTTGCCTACATTTAAGCCGTTATCAGTGTATCGCTGCAGCTTTAATACAGATTCATTCATTTGATGTATGAATTAAAGCTCCAGTGAGGAACTTTCAGCTTGGGTCAATTTCGGTCTTTGCTTATCTTCTCTTCCACATGGTTAAATATTTTCTTTGGGTAAAAACTCTTATCCTGGTCATTGTATTTTTTTTTGTGTTAATATTCAATAAGAAAAATTTACAATCACTCCACTGACAACAACCCCCTCGCACCAGTTTCAGGTACGATAGATAGCAATTTAAAAATCCTCAATGTTGTCACTAAAGGGCTTGTTTGCTTTACTTTTGTATATCATAGGAAGGTTGCTGTATGAATTTCAATCCATTTCGTAAACGTCAAAAATCTCTTACAGGTGCTTTAAATGTTAAGCTCATTCATTTTCCCTATTGGGGTTTTCAATGTAGATCTTTTCTTTTTACTACCACAACAACTGCTAATAATTTGCATTCAATCTAAATAGACATTTTGTAAGTCTATGCTTCTATATGTACAGATGTGTCACCCCACACCGGTACGTGTCATAAAAAGGTTAACTTCCTCACACCCAACGGTCCATGTGTGAGTGACGGCTTGCCCCTCAATGAAGTGATCATACGGTTTCATCCGTCCCACCACGCCAACAAATGCTGACCTTTCACTTCCTGACGCAGCAGTTGTATTTAACACAGCCACGTGCCCCTGGCGACCTCACACAGACACACACAGACAGATGCTAACAGTGCCGGCTTTGTTGGTTTAAAAAGTGACTCTAAACATGAAAAGGCGCCCTCAAACACAAACTGCAAACTCTACTGACTAAGCTCAGACAAAAAGGTAGCACTGCTGTTTAACAAGAGAGGATATACGCAAAGCAAAATGTGTATAATTCCATAAGTGGGTTTATATAAGAGGAGAAAAAAAGAGACTCTCACATGACATCAACTTTTTCTTTTATTTCAAAATATTCTCCCAACAGGATGAAACTCAGAGAAGCCCAGAGGGTCCAAAGCCAATAGAGCCGTCTAGAACAGAAGCACCACTCATTATTGCTATGTCACTCTGCTGCAGGACAAGGTGGTCAGGTGGGGTGGAAAAAATAAAGGGAACATGAGGGAACAAAGTCAAACACAGAGACCCACAATCACATTCATTCTAGCACACACACATACAAAATGAGCTATGTGAAACACAGAGGAGAGGGTAAATGTGGGGTCTAAGATGTCTTTTTAAAAAGCTGCAGGTGTCCTCCATGGTGTGATAATGAATCTGGATACAAAGTTTGAACCCAAACTTTTGTTGCGCATCAAAAAATCACTGCCTTAAATATCAGGAGGGGAACTAGCCAGCATGCTTGTAATAAAGAGACTACAAATATGGGCAAGCTGGCTAAAAGGTCATAACAGTCGTGTTTACACCCCCAAAAGGCAAAATGGAGGACACCTGCAGCCACCTGATACAAACAATAGTTTCATTTTTCAGTGTCTAAAAGTTTTATAACTGTGTCCAGTGGAGGAGGGGAGGAGAATGGAGCAAAAACATAGTGTAGGTAGGTAGAGTCGTCTTGAAAAGAGAGTGAAAATACAGGGATAGGGCTGCTGGTTGTCCATCTCTACTATCACAAGTCTAAAAAAAATCAGCATGGTACAAAAATCGTCAGTAAAAAAAGATGCTTTGCTGCCATGGAGTCAGAGGTGGGTGAGCCAGCGGACACCCCTTTACGCCTTCTCCTCGCTCACCTCCTCAGCTGCCTCAGTTACCTGACGGGGGGGAAGAAGCACAAAGGAGCAGGTGTTACCACGAGCAGATTTGACAACAGGCTGCAATTTTAAAGGAATCAATGTGGAGCATGTTAGGATGGTGCTTAGCCTAGCTTAGCATAAAGGCTAAAAACAGGATAAAACAGCAAAAATTCAAAACTCTGCCTACCTGAGAAACCTGCCAATTAAAAAATAAAGACTCGCTTGCTTGATAAGATAGAACATAGCACCACTTAAAACCAACACTTAGCTTGGCAAGCATCTTACACTTGTCATGTTGTCTGAAACTGCACTCTAAAAATAATACCAAAACAGATTCCTAACATGTTTACATGTGATGGCAATAAAGGTCTTCTTCTTCTTCTTCTTCTGTTTCTGTATCGTGGTACAGGTTGACTGCCTTATCAACACACATCCGGTAAGAAGGTAATCCTCCTGATTTGCTCTATTCCTTTCTTTAAAATATCAAATTAAACTTCTGTTCCAATGATTTCAACACAACAAAAACAAGACTTCAGCCAGTTTACAAAGTGTATCCTCAGTTGACCTGGTTCAGTTTTGAGCTTGTATCATGTCAAAATCCAGGTCAACTGTGTATAAATAGTAGTAGCAACAGTTTCCGATGATAATTCTGCTGTTTTTGAATATTTTTTGTCAGGATATCAGCTGCCAAATGAAGATTTTATCAATAATTTTCTCTGACCAATCACAGGTTTACAGGACAGCTTGAGAGAGAGGAGAATGCGGGGTGAGAGAGGGAGTAAAACGGATCAAATCAGGTTGGGACTGGGAATCCATCGTTCGGCGCAATGAGGACTGTACATGCAGAGGTAAACTGGCAACCAGCATGATTTTTCAGCAACATCTCCTCCCTCATAATATCATAATCATGCATCTAAAGAAACAACATCTACACTACATACACCATGTGGGGAGCTGGTTTGATAAAAAAAAAAAGTCCTTCACTCACTCAAACAGGTAACCAGCGTGGCTGAAATTGACTAAAGTACATGACAGTAATCCTGTGAACCTGCGCCCAGGGCAAACAAAACCTTTCGGCACATTGCGGCTCATGATCAATATTTACAGACTGCTACATGCAATTGTGGATCATGTGTTACATGTAAACAAACAGCCAATGGAGAGGCTTGCCTCAGCCGAAGCTGATGACGTGTATTGTCATACATATTTATACATATTTACAGATGAGTGTATGCGTTTGTGGATCTATTTATGCTGTGGAGATGGTTTTGCAATGTAAGCTGTGTGCAACACATATAAAGCAATTTTCATAAGCTTTAAAAAGAAGATGGTTTCAATTACGCAGCACAGGGCAATGAATCTTTTCATCAAACTCTATGCAGAAGTGTACGTGATTGTCACATTAATTTTCTTCTCTAAAAAGTCAAAAATTCACTTTGATGTACGTTACTTTTTAAAGTGTTTTTAGAAAAACAGTTGAATTCAGTTTGTTTTAAAAAAATAAGCACAAACCTGATCAAACTAAGACATACACTCCTGCATCGAGTTGTCAAATGTATTTCAAATTCTTCACTTTTTCTACAAAATCGATCTGAAAAGCTACTTTTTGAAACCTATGACACCTCTGCTATCTGCGCACGGAAATGAAATCTGGACGGCGTGATCTCCCTGTAGTGGATGTCTATCTGTTTCCTCTGCCTGACCACCAGTGGAGCCGGCTGTCCAATCAGATTTCACATCCCTGCTGTGTGAGCACCGAGACCTCTGCGTGTCAAAAAGTTGTCTTTGGCTGACTTCACAGCAACAAAAATGAAAGTTGTCCTCACTCTCTTCTTTACCCTCCACCTCTGTTTAACACAACACAGCACTGCAAAGCACACTGGGTAAATGTTCGATTGGTTAACACACACAGCTTCGGTGTAAGTAGTGGTGAGTTAGCGCCAAACACACAGCAAAGATGGATGAGGCGCACCGGAGCGTACCCTTAACTCTGACTGTCTCACTCTGCCCTCTCACTGACATCAAGGAGGGAGCCGTGCTTCTGATGGAGGACACACTGACAGACGGACGAGACACATAGATCTGTGCATGTGTGTGCATGCATGTGAGTGGAAAGGTGTGAAGGATTGTGGGTGCAGGATAGGTATGTTCATGGTTGCACAAAAATGACAGACAAGGGCAAATGAAGGTGGTTATTCCTGTGTCTCTGACTTAAAGGTACAGTGTGGAGAAAGGAGAACATCTAGCTGTCTGATGTTAGATTGAAAACGCTCCCCCCTGCTTATCATTCATGTTTGTAAAGCAACGGTGGCCCTTTGAGGACAAAAACCCTTTGTGAATTTTTCAACATCTTAAACTCTATAGTAACTGGGCTAGTGTGTGCATGTGGATGCATATCATGTGATAATTCAGTTGCTAATGTGTTGTGAGTAGGGCCTGACCGATTTATCGGGGAGCCGATTAAATTGGCTAATTTTAGCCTGTTTGAGACGAATCGGTAATCGGCAAAAACTCGCAGATTTTCGCCGATATTTTCAGAAATAAAATGCAGAGAATAAGCTTTGGTTTCACTTCGAAAATGTTCCACAATTTGAAAAGTTCCCCGACTTCACTATGTTCCCCGCTGTGCTAGTCTCGGTCATGCCGAGTTAATGGTGAAGCACCATGTAATATGCAAGCTAAAGTTAGAGTTAGCCATCTGCTATTAGCTTTGCTACACTGTTAGCTGTGCCAGAAAAGGTAGAATAAACAACAGTACACATTACGTGAGCGAGCTACTTCTCTTACTGAGGCAGCTGCATGTCTCCAGATGAGACCGGACCGGAAATGTGTAATGTGAGTTAAGACGCGGAGCCACTGATCGTTGAAAACGCTTTTCTGGTCTGAGTTTGATCACCGGATTAATCTGTAATCGGATTTTTACCCCCTGTAATGATTGGTATCAGCATCGGCCCCAAAAAACCCATATTGGTTGGGCCTAGTTGCGTTTGTCCGCTTAAAGATGACGGATGATCTGTTCCTATATTTAAAAGCTGTATGTAGGTATAAAAAGCTCTTTTCAAGTTAACGCTGCTTTAAACACTTATGAATAGTGAGCCCGTTCTTCTAAATGCTGCAAAATTCTGCACATTGTACCTTTAGCATCACTTTTCTCTGGTTAATCATGTGGTTTTTTTTTTCAGCTCTCTCTCCTCGTACCTCATTGGTCTTGGTCTCTCCGTTCTGGGCTGGGCCGTCTTCCTTCTTCCCCTTAGTGCTGCCTTTCTTTACCTTTGCCCCCTTATCGTCTGCCACCTTCTGCACCAGCCAAAAGAATAAAAGAAATGAACAATGCATCTCCATCAATATTTCATGATAACAAACATGGAAAATATTTCAAAAACTCTTGAATAGTTTCATTAAAGTAAACACAGAATTTTATCATTTCACCTTTGTTTTAAATTCTAAACAAGCATTTTAAAACAAAAAACTATTTAGAAAACTTGCCATAAATCTATATTTAAGGCTCATCAATTCATTTTATTCATAACAAGTGTCTCAGTAGAGACTCGTTGCTAACCTGATAGCACTATAATGTTTATTTTTTGCTGTTTTCTATAGCAAAATAAAAGTTGTAACCAAATTCTTCCATCACAAAAAGGGTGAGAGAAAAATGTTGATAATACTGCGCATTATTGGAGTACATCGGGGTGATAAAATATCTGATATTAAATTCAAGGATGTATTTTTGGTTCACCTAAAGCACAGCAATAAATTCCTGTGTATTTGTTCACATGATCAGCCCCAAGTGAGGAGCTGTGGTTGTAAACTTGATCTAGTGTTGAGCCTTAGACTGTAACAAATTTATGTCGTTTCCAATCTATTACAGTAGCCATCATTGTGTCTACATGGACTATGATGTTAACACACGAGTGTGAGTGTTAGCGTGTGTTTACTTTACCTTAGCGATGGCCTTCCTGGGTTTGGCCTCAGACTTGGGTGGAGCAGGTCTCTGTAAATGAGGAAGAAGTCAGTTAGCACTGACCAGCTTCACTGTCATACAGTCAACTCTGGAGCAGTGATAGTCTATGTCCAGATCTTCTCTCCTCTGCACCTACAGGGACTTTTCTTCAATGTTTGAAAAACTACAAGAAATGTGGATGTCTGTACTTGTTCCCACTTTATGTATTACTTATAATAATGTGATCATCCTATATTCTCTAAGCAATAGGATCTGCCATATCCCTGCGCTGAGGAGTTTTAAATATCCGCCTCCTCTCAAAGTGAACTGACCTCAGACCACTGTACAATTACTATATCAGATGGGACCTAAAACTCGTGCCAGTCAGTGCGTGCAAGTTCACGGCAGAGCTTTTAGAAGACTGCAGAGTTTGGAGTGTGTTACCCTGAATCGCAGCTGTGAAAAAATCTAATCATGTGGTTATTTCTAAGAATATCTCAGTGTGATCCTGAGTCTATTTGCAAAAAGCATTTCAAACTAAGATGAGGAGATACACACAGTTTTGTAAAATGTGGCAAACGGCCTAAATAGTAGCCGATGTATAACAAAAAGCAATGGTTTACTGCTAAAATAGTATAACCTTGTAGATAAATTCCCTGCGTTGTAAGGCAAATGATTTGCTAGCTTATTCACATGGTGCTCTGAAGAAAAATTGAGGGTAAATATACATGATTTATTTCCCTTTCTTCCTCTTTCCATTCTCATTTCTGTTTGTTACATATTAAGCTGTCAGGAGAGGGTTAGCTTGGTCAAGGGGGTGGAGTTAGCTTAGCTTGAATGACAACAATTTATCACTTGACTGACTGGAGAATCAGATAGGACTTTCTGGCAGTGTACTCATTTGGTTTAACTCCTGCATGACAGACAAAGAGAACAATGTATCAGAAGGTAATTTCACATCTGCGCAAACAAAAACGGTGTTATGGAGTTCCCCAAGGCTCTATTCTGGGGCTTCTTTTGTTCAGCATTTACATACTCCCACCAGCTCTGATTATAGAGAATAACAAAGCAAGTCATCATAGCTACGCAGATGACACACAAACATGCAATGTCACCAGGGACCCATGCAAGCCCTCAGTAAATGCATCATAGTTTTTGAACTCAAGGAGGAACAAATAAAAGTCAACATCAAGATTAAAAGAAGTATTTTTAAAAATGCTGACCAAGCAATGGACTGACCTACACCTTTTAAAAAAACGTATCAAGACACTTTTAAAGTCTATCTACTATCTCTTGAGGATATATCTTGGATTGGGGATGTCATGGGACCAAAAGACCTAAAATTGATTTCAATTAATAGTATTTATGTCGACCAATAAGACACACATTATTTAATCAATTTTCATTGTACCCCTGAAGTTCTTTGTAAAATAATTAATCAGCCAACTGCGTCTGACTCAGAGTGCTGCTGCTCCAGGCCTCATGAAGACCAACAAAGTGGTTCCCATATCTCCAATTCTGAGGTTGTCATGCTGACTTCCTGTTCCTCACATGCTGTGAGGTGGAAGTTTGACATTTCACACAGGTTTTAGCACAGTTTTGAAATTTTTTTATCCATAACTAAGCTAACTTACAGCTAGCATACAGACATAAGCATGGTATCAATCTTCTCAGCTAAGTTCCAGCAATGGTGAGATAAGACTATTTGGAAAAATGGCAAATTATTCATTTTAGGGGCACATGCAAATGAACTGGCACATGCAAAGACATGCAAAGAACACAGATAAAAACACATGCAGTGGTTTGCAGAGCTGCACGATCACTTGAAACATTATGTAAGTGTGAAATAATATTATCATAAATATCACCCATGTCCTGGGGGGATTGGAATTTTCTCTTGCAAATTAGATGGAAATGACAGGTTTTCTATGAATCCCTCTGCATAACAGTTGTGTATTTTTAATCTATGGTACATTTGAAATAGAAAAAGACCTCATTGGTACGGATCAAAAAATGATAAATACCTAAGATCATGCAACCCGACACATCCACAAGATGCTACAAAACCCATTTCAAAGGACAAAGACAACATTGAAAAGACATGCATAAGAAGCCAGACACAATCCTCTGATTGCATGCTGATGGACTTTGGAAATAGCTTTGATCTGGTCCATGAACTGGGTTAGAGCCTTACTATCCTACAACAGAGGGTTTGCGAAGAGGGGGGAGGTCAGGGAGAAGACAGAACCAGAGGTGAAGACAGGAACGGTAGAACGACACTTACCGCTGACAATCTCTCGGACCTTCTGGTGGGCTACCGGAGCAAGGGATGATGAATGAGAGAGAGAGGGAGAGAGACAGTGACAGAAAGAGAGAGAGAGATATCAGTTGTACCTTTGCGGCCTGATCTGGAGCAGTCTGCTGTATGAATGCTACAAGTGTCCTAATCAGTGATATGTTGTGTTACGTCTCTCACCCTCACACGCTGACAGAAAACACAGCACACCTACACACCTGCACATGGCACGCAAACACACCAAATATTTACCAATTGTTTTGTGACTTTGGAGGCCTCCTTGCCCTCAGGACCCTCTGGAGACTGAAGGAAACACAACAAGGAGACTGTTAACAGGGCAAGTCAGGGCAGGCGCACATCTGCAGTCATACAGCGTACGTACAGTGAATGTTTGTTCATAAATCCACATAAATGAGGAAGATAACCAGAGTTTATTGTGTAATTGTAAATTCAAATAAAAACTATCGTATTTATTAATAATGTATATCACTGAGAGTTGTTTAAATATTCAATTTATGAAACATCAACAAACTTTATAATTTATAAGCACCGTTTTCAGAGTTGATGTACTGCATTTTAATTTCCATACAGGAAAGGTCTTTTCTGTTGACTTAAAGCTGCTGTGAGGACTTTTTTAGCTGATTATGAAACAGACTGACATTAATATTCATATAATATACCAAATTTGTTACCAACAAGGGCAAACAAGAGAAAGATTCACTACTTTCTATATAATTTTAACATGTGAACCAGCAAATTGAAACCAAGTAAGATTTAATATTTTAGCGTATTTTTTTAAAAACTGCTGATTGTAACTTAAAAATAAAGTTTGTTAAAGCCAGTGGTGTACTCAGAGGGGGGTAAGGGTGGGCAATCTTCCCCTCTGGCTCCCATGTCTGAAAAAAACACAGCTGCAGTGCCCTCTTCAGTATTTCTGTTGTTGATAAAACATAAATTATCCTCTTAGGTGACCTTTCAGTGGGTTTAAGGCACCAGGGTGCCCCCTCAGATGTGTTCTCAGTCAAAATTTTAACAAACTGCTCTATTTATAATTAGATCTGATTATACATGTTTATTTGTTATGCAAATTTTGTGACTTAAAGCTCCTCTGATAAACTTTTGGCGCCCCCTGTGGACAAAGCAGTCTTCACTTGTCGCATATTGGACACTACATGCTTTAGTCATTATTTATGATAACAGATCTGATCCTGCTGACTTTAGACAGTCAAATGTGGCATTTATGATAAAAACAGAGCTGTCTCTTCAGCTGCAAGCCTTAAACCTACCCCCGTGCACTGATTTCAGACAATGAAAATGAAGATATAAAAAAAAGTCCTGTCCCTGATGTCTAGATTGATTTTGAATATTATTTATGAATATCAAAAACATCCTTATAGGAGCTTGTGTGTGTGTTTTACATTACACTGTGCAGTTTTCAGTGAATATATGGAAATATCACAGATTACTGAGTTAGTATGATTCTTATTTGTTTATGAATTTATGATCTTGTATTTTCTTTATACATTATTTTATTTCATAATTTCACTGTGGTTAGCAGTGGTGTGAAAAACTATCCCGATTATGTAATCTTTAGCATACGTATTTATGTATGTATATGTACTTATCTTTTTTAAATCGTTTTATGTTTATCTAATTGCACTTTTTATGTTCAGCTCTCGTGTTTTTTTATCTGTGAAAAGCGCTCTATAAATAAACTTTACTTACTTACCTACCTACATACTTGTCCAGGCTGTCAAACCCAGCCCACCCTTATTTGTGTAAGGCTATGGATAAGCTCGTGTGACTACTTTATGATAACATATGTCCAAGGGCGCAAATGAGCTTACAAAGGGACCCTAATGCCGCAACAGGCAGTACTTAATCAATCACAGGTTTCCGTCTGCTGGTGCTTGGTGGAATAGCAGGTGCCCTTTTTGTATTTTTGCCCCTGCCCCTCAAATAGTCTGAGTGCACCACTGGATACAACCTTATTTGTACCTTGTATTAGAAATAAAAGGAAAAGTTGCTCTCATGCTTTTGATTCATGAATTATTTTGAATTTAGCTCAAAATGAATTAACAGATGAGTGTTACATTTCAAATTATTCAATCAGAGGGATAGACTTATGATCTCCATGGTAATTACCATGTTGATGGAGTAATCTTGTTGGCATAATAAAGCCCCCTAAACAGAAAAGTCAACATGGCTTCATTTAGACAATAACACACACTGAAGGCTGTCAGCCCACATTGAGGCAGTAACATCACGGACACGGTCTGCACAGGCTGCAGGTAAGGACAACGCACGGTAGAGTCCACCCCCACGGTGGTGGAAAAAAAAAAAAGGTTGGTTTAGCCCGCAGGTTGGTTATCGCATCATTTGCATGTGGGCGACCTCCGCCCCTCGAGGCCTCCCATTCTCTGTCCTCAAAGGCGAATGTGCGCAGACAATGGCATATTTTTTTTTTTTTTTTTTGGATGGTAGGGAAGCCTATTTCCATGTATGCAGTTCTACAATGCACGTGAGCTCGTCGTGCAATGCTGTTTAGAGACTGTCACATTCCCTTTATACGCGCAGCAATTGTCTCTGATCCCCTCTTTCTTTATTCCTTTCTCTCCTTTTGGATAGGGGTAGGTACAACCAGACAGCACTCATCTCCACCGGAGAGAAAAAACACGAGGTGGGGAGGTGATATGTATTTCCCCCCCACTATTAGATTACCGATCATTCAAAATTGATTAGTCTGATACATGCGTAAAACGCGCCCAGAAGAATTATCATCACGCACGTCTTCTACGGGATTTACGCATCCATCCATCCGGCGGCTCCGTCTGACATTCACCAGTGCGTACAGTGGACAGGGAAGTGGCAGGGGGAAAAAAAAGGAGGACAGGAACGGCCATTAATATGAACACATGGGCATTTGCAGTATAAATAGAAAAATCTTGTTGAAAATGTTCCACATGGACGCGAAGAGGCGGAAAATAAGCCTGGAAATGTTGCAAGCGAGGAGGCGCTTCTTCAAAGTTTGGCACCAGCTCACCTGCCTCGACGTCGCCACAGAAAATCGCGCACCGCTATTTTCCTCAAATGCAAGAGCAGGGGAAACTACAGTGAAGTGATCCAGATAGCACAAACGACACTCACCTTTCTCTTCGGCATTTTACGCGTTTATTATCCTCCACCAAGCAGGGGAAATTTGAGGTCAAACGCGAAGGTCCAAGAGAGGCGAATTTGAACTACCTCGAAATACAGGATCAATATCTAAGCACCTTCGATAATATGTTGATTATATGCACTCCCCAAAACTCTATACCTCCCACAGTCATTGGATAAAGGGGTAAAAATCCTCTCATGTGCTGACTCCTGATTGGCTCTCAACATCTCTATGTAAATAAGAGGCTAGAGGACATTGGCTGAAGTTTATCAGAGGGTGGCTCTGATTGGCTACGCGCTCTTTGTGCGCAGATCCCACCAGACGGTGAAGACTGAGAGGGAAAGTGGAGACAGGCCAATGAAAGCTGAGCTGACTCTCGGTGGATCTGGGTAATGTAGGATGAGAGGTACAGTGAGCGCTGCACAGAAAACACAAAGGACGAGAAAACGCAGGCACAATGGCACAATGTCACCCACACACGAGCTCCAGAAAAGCTGGGACAGGGTATTGTGTCTTGCAGGGTTCCTCCTGCTGTAAAGAACCAGAGTAATCATACACCGCATTTTTGCAGTAATAGCCAATCACTGCTGAGGCAGCCGTCTCTATGGGAACACAATATAACAAAATAGGGACTCCATAATATTTCTTCTGCAGGCAGATAAACATATAAGGACTTTTTCCCTTTTATTATTTAAAAGCAAATTAAAAACGTACCTTTTTAGTCTTGCTTTTTACTAAATTTTATATCATTAACTTTGTTTAAGTGTTTTAGCATTTATCTATTCTGGTTTTAGTGACAGGATCATCTTTTATTGAGCTATTTTGGTGCTCTTATTTTAGTATCTTTTACTGTTGTTTTTATTTCATTGTATTTATTATTTCTTAAATTTCATTCTATGTTACTGTTTTTGGATTTAACCTACACCTCCAGTGTTTCCTTATGGGGCGAGCCGATTAAATCGGCCAATTTTAGCCCGTTTTAGATTAATCGGTAATCAGCTGAAACTTTTCGCCGATATTTTCAGAAATAAAATGCAGAGGATAAGATTCGGTTTAACTTCAAAAATGTTCCGCCATTTGAAAAAGTTACCTGACTTATCCTGTAGATGGCGCAGCGACATCATGACAAACTTCATCCACTGAGTGGCAGCTCAGGGACACACGGAGGAGAGTGGTCCGCCTCAACGGTAAATAAACCAGTTTGTGAAATACACAATAAGTCAACAAGCTTCAGTTCAACCCACTTCACGATGTTCCCCGCTGTGCTGGTCTCGGTCACACCGGGTTAACGGTGAAGCACCATGTAATACGCAAGCTAAAGCTAGCGTTAGCCATCTGCTATTAGCCTCGCTACACTGTTAGCCATTCCAGTAACGACAGAATAAACAGCAGTACACATTACGTGAACGAGCTACTTCTCTGACTGAGGCCGCTGCATGTCTCCAGATGAGACTGGACCGGAAATGAGTAACGTGAGTTAAGACGCGGAGGCACCGATCGGTGGCGGCAGCAGTGGGGATGGGGGGGCAGTTGAAAATGCTTTTCTGGTCCGAGTTTGATGAGTCGGTCTTCCTGTCGGCGCAAAGAACAGTAGTCTACAGTATATCTACCGTACACATACTGTAGATATCTACGGTATATATTTTTTATAACTTTACTTAAATAAAAAAGAAAAATCAGCCGATACATCTGTAATCGAATCCCCCACTAATAATCAGTATTGGCATTGTCCCCAAAAAAACAGTATTGGTCGGGCCCTATTCCCTTTTCTTGAGTTTTTGAAAGATGTTTCCTCAGTGTGCACATCCTTTTTTCCACAAAATCATGCCCTTTATAAGTTCATGTATTGTAATACTGTTTCTGATGTATTTACATCGTGGGGTGGGAATGAGGGGTTGGGCCGGGGTAGATTTGGGTTTTTTTTTTTTTCCTTTTTTTTCCTTTTTCTGTTTAAAGCACTTTGTGCTACATGGTTGTGTAGGAAAAGTGCCTTATAAATAAAGACTGATGGATTGATTATTCCAAGGTTTCCCCCACCAGGGTAAAATATCAAAATGTCAAACAGGCGTAAAAAGGTCAAAAGGTCAATTTCCCTGACATTAAAATGTTCATATGTGTTCTTCAAGGATATTTACTCAAAAAAGTCAGATTAAATGCATCTTATTATTAACTACATGAAAGAACCAAAACTCAAAGCAGGATTATCATGTGCACTGATTTATTTATCATCCGTATCATTTAGCCTCAATACTGAACAGTTTGAAATTTGTACTGCAAATAATTGAAGAGCACTATGAGCATTTTACAGCTGTTCCCATTACAGAAAGATGAATAACTTGTGTCTTTATTTGATAAAACTGATACTTTGATACTAAACCAGACGGAATATTGCATTACTGAATCTTCTGTTGCAGATTAAGAGTCAATTAATTGCATTTTACACAGATTTGAGGCATCATAGTTGATGCTAAATTCACCGTGAAAGGTCAGTATTTTAGCAGATACCTATCTCTAGTTTCAGATCAAATCAAAGTTCTGCCCTGTCCCAAGTTCAGCCCTCAACAGTGACTGGAATAATGCGGCAATCAAGACTTCAAACCTGCCACAGGACAAAGTGCAAAGGCCCTGTCTGATCAAAGCTGATCACTTCACTGATTGGTTGATGTAATTATGTATTTGATTAGCAAACAAGACTACTCATGATGAGCCTGATGAATCCTATTTTATTAATACTTATACATAGTTCTATCTTAACAGATCAGTGGCGGCCTACTAGAGCCGCTTTTTTTCTTTTACATCAAAGTGGATGATAACTTTTCTCAGAGAGTACTTTCTTCACATGATCCTGTGTATCACTTTATCCTCAGGGGTTTCCAGAAAGTGACAAACTACAACACGCTCACAAGGCCACTTCAGTTTTCCCTTGAGTGGGTTTTAATGTCTCTCCTGTATGCTCCCAAGTCCACACAGCATTTGTTTGTGCATACAGTCTGTGTGTTCGTAAACACTGGGCTGCAAATGATCATATCACAAAGACACTTCATCGGCTAAGACAGATGATGAAACTGAATCTTATAGGCAGCTGTAACCAACTGCTGCAGCGTTAGAAATGTGATGTGGTAAATCCAGGTTCCTTCTTGTTAACCTTAAACAGCAAAGTCAGATAAGAAGCTTTCTTAGTAACAGCCTGAAGGTCCCTCTCAGTTTTTTTGTATCTGAGTTATGACTTGAGGGTGAAATCCTGATCCGTCATGATTATCTAACCCTGCATGACTCGCTATTTATCTTATCTTACAGCACTTTCATTATAACCCCAAGAATCTGACAAATTCCCAGAACATAATTGTTCATCTCTGTTGGGTCTGTTACCTGTTTGCTCTTCCTATTGAGAATATAACATATTTGTTCATTAAAGCTACTATACGTAGTTTTAGGCGGTTATGAAATAGACTGAAATCAATTCTGTTGTCTGTCTATGAACTCCAAAAGCAAACAAGACCATCCTCATACAGATTTACTATTTCTTTCTTTCTTTTTTTAAGGTTATTTTTAGCAGGGAGAAACATACAAAATGAGTCCAATCGCTTGTGGCAAAGCAAACAAACATGCCCAATTAGACGAACATATTCTCCAGTCTATTACACTCCCTTTCATTTTATAATATGTAAAGTAAGAAGATTTGAACAATGGATGTCACATTTCCTAATTTTCCACAAGATTTACCAATATCGGTTTTCAGTTGTCCAAGTAGTTTAATAATCTGGTACTTCAAGCCATGTATCAGAGGTATTTAGAGCAGTTCAGGTCTCTGTGCTCTTATTTATCTGATCCATTTCGACCAATGTCTCTTAAATGTCTCCGACCGTAGTCTCAGAGCGAATGTCAATCTTTCTGTAATGTAAATTTCGTAAACAGTTCCTTGCCAGTCTTCCAGTGTCGGTGAGTTGGGTTGTAACCACTTCCTTGTTATAGTCTTCTTTGCTCCAATCAGTAATATCTTCATTAGATATTTGTCTGCCATCACTTGAGTACACAATGGTACAATGCTACAATGTGCAATGCCACAATGCCAGAAACAAACTTTCTGCAAACTTTTCATAGATTCTACCTGAGTGATACGTTTGATTATAGTAAAAAATTTGGGGGGGAGGAACACTGCTTGCACATGGATTGGAAAAAATCAAGGAGACTACAAGGGGTGCTAAAGTAACTCTAACCAGAAGTTGCTCACAGGAGCTTTAACCAGACTCATTACATGTAATGAAGCACGGAAGTGTTGCAGAAAAGTTTTTGCTAAATTAAATCAGAGTAAATGGCCCTCATGATGGCCATATATCTTATCTAACAGTTTTAAAAAGCACCATAGCGTCAATGTGATACAGCAAATGACAACAACTTCATTGATTAAAGAGTATTTTTTAAGTAGTAAACAAAGGATGAGGAAAGAACAAAGTGTGAAGGTGCGAAGAAATTAAGCTGATGTGGAAGTGCCAAAAACTGCAGTTCCTTGAGTGTCCACTAGAGGCTGGCTGCAAAAGCCCCAGAAACCACTTACACACCCGTCCATAAAGTCAATTTTTGCAGCCAGCTTATGATATTGGCTATGAATTGGGGCTTTGCTTCATTGTGGTCAAAAATGACATTATACTTGAAAATAAACAAAGCTTTTGACTCCATAATTTGTACATTTTTCACTTTAAGGCCTAACCAGAAAAACTCTTGTTGGATAGAATATCAACCAGAGTAACAATCCAGAATTTCTTCCCACAGAAATGACCTTCACTGTCACATTCTTCGATGTTCAAGTGCACACGTCACAGCAAACGTCACCGTTCTGGATGCACAATGCCAAAATAACATTCTACAAAGACATCAACAAAAGCGGCCTCGGCGTTCTCGCGTAGCATCACAATAGAAACACACGCGCAGAAAGAAAGAGAGGGAGCCACATATCAGACAATAGACAGAGCTTTCCTGCCCAAACAAACAAAAGCCTCCATCGATACATGGATGTGAATACACAACTGCTAAACAAGTCAACCAGAACACACAGGAGCAGGTTAGCTTGACGGCTGCTTTACTGTTCCCACATTCACACAGTCAGCTGAATGGAGGGAAACACAATGAGGAACATGTACAGCACATACAGGCACAAAAAAGACACAAAAGGGGAAGAGATGTCCTTGAAATACTCACATTTATGTTTAAACGGGAATAGATTCACATTTACTTCTCTGATTTCTTGATTTCTCTCAATAACTAACATTTTTCTTTCAAAATATTTAAGAAAAATGACTAAATGTTGGATGCAGACACTTATATCTGGCAATAAACTGAGATTAGGAAAGTGGTATGTTCTCTGGGAGGCCTCTACTTTTTAAGCACAGGGATATTTTTTGAGTTTATGACAAATTTAGCATACTAACATACTCAGGATAATGCAGGGATGATCATCATGTAGTGTTTGTTACCTCTAAAATTACAATTTGTGACCATATTTTTCTATCTTTGTATCAAGATGTTTCAAAAAATTCTTTGAACGGTACGGAGGGTTGAAATTAGTCAGATTTTAGATGGTATAGCTCCCTTACTCACCCCTGGCCATGGTGAAGATCTAGAAGCAACAGTGGCCTTCCAGGACCAGGAGCTGCTGTGACCCATGATGGTGTTTATTCTCCATTTGTGCTGTTTTGACAATCAAATCTATCCAAATTGTGCATGACAACTCTTCTTCTTCTCCTTCTTCTTCTTCCTCTCCTTCTTCTTCTTCCTCTTCCTCTTCTTCTTCTTCTTCTACTTCTTCTTCTTCTTCTTCTTCTTCTTCTTCCTCTTCTTCTTCCTCTTCCTCTCCTTTTTCTTCTTCTTCTCCTTCTTCCTCTTCTTCGTCTTCTTCCTCTTCCTCTTCCTTTCCTTCTTCTTCTTCTTCTTCTTCTTCTTCTTCTTCTTCTTCTTCTTCAGCCAGCCATCCTGGCAGCACGTGGCCCACTGGTGGCAATAAAGGAAAAGTCACAGTTTAATAAATAGACAACATTTAAATTGTGGTTTAAAAAACACTGGAATAACTACATGTTTTTCTTATTTCTGGAACATGTAATGCTAAAAATGTTTTTATGTGTTTCTTATTATGATTCTTTTATTTTAGCATTTCATGTTCTGTGTGTTTTAATTTATTTTACCGCACTGTGGAGCACTTTGCTAAACTTAACTAAACTTTACTAAATTTAATTGTTTTTTTTAAAATGTGCTAAATAAATAAAGTGGATTGGATTGGATTTAAAAAAGGCTTTATGACCCAACTTAAATGAGAGCAACCTACACAAGGGTAAACTATTCTCTCTATTTATATTAAGTTTTATTTATTTTACTTTTTAAGAATACCAGTGTTGCTTCTTATAGACTGGTGATAAGAGATATGACATACAACTTATAACAAACTGACTAGATGTATTAAATTTAGGTCAAAAATCCTCACGGTGGGATAAAGTGACAGTTGTTTGCTCGAGGAGGTTGTCCTAAATATTTGTTTGTTTGTATCTTTATTGAATAAATCCTGCATTATCCTTTTTTTGGGCCATCCACTAACTTAATGTAGAACCTGTGGACCCTGTATTATAACCCAGAGGAGAGAATATGATCATGCTTCACAGCCTTGAAACGCCTCCAGAGGCCACAGATGAGGGTAAGAATAGATTTTAAAACAGCGCTCATTGTGTTCCAGGCTGGCGTTGGCCTTGTTTATGGTGCCAGATATGCCTTGTATCAACAGAAGGCTCCTAAGGAAACGCGTTGAGCGACTTAAAAGCTCCTATGAGGACCGTTCTGCTTATGTTGATATTAGAGATCCCGGCGGGAACTTTTTGATCTCATAGCTGATCTTGTTCTGTTCAAGTGTCGGGAGGTTTTATGACTTAAAATGTCATCCTGCTTTCCTTTAACTCGAACACTGACTGTGAGTCTTCGCTGTAGAAAATTCAACAAAGGCTTCTTTGGTGGTGTTGTTGTCTGGCACCTATCGGGTGGAAGTGGTTACAGGTGTAAAAACTGACCTGTCTAGTGGAAGAGTCTGTCACCTCTAAAGGATCTGCACTGGGTTTCGATTCAGTGTCCTTGAACCCAAAAATACTCTTTTTGTATCAATAGGGTAGTTCATACAGATGGATACTTTACATATGAGCCTCTGCTGTCAGTGTATACATGACATGTAATATAAAAAGGCTCACAGGGGTTAGAAGACTAAAGAAAGTGCACCATAAACAATCCATTTACATGTGATGGTCTTGTTTTCTTTGAAGTTCACATAAAAGCATCTGCATTAAATTCATTAAAGCTCCTGTAAGGAGTATTTTGATGTTCATGAAGTAGACTGAAATTCAAACTGATGTTTTGTTTCAGGTGTACAAAAGCAAACAAGACCATTAGTGACAAGATCATTTTAATATTGTAATTTTAAAAGCCTGACAATGGTCCAAAGGGGGAAGGTGTCGGTTGAGCAGCAGAGAAACCAGACTTGTTTTTACAAGTCATTGTACATTGTACATTTGACTGTCTAAAATCAGCGGGATGAGACTTTCTTGTCAGAGGATACTACTTTAAAAAGATTTGACACAAACTGAAAATTCATCTCTGGAACTTGAAGTTTTCTCACAAGCATTAATTTGAATATCCTGCTTGAAATTTAACTGATTATCAGCCTCTTTAATATCAACAATAGTCTGCAAACTTAACTTTGGTTTTGCAATATCAAATACCTTAATTTTACGTTATTTAAGAGGGGAATCTAAACAAAGAGGCACAGTCAAATATAAAAGACAGTGATGAACATTGTTGAGTTTCTACGGTTTTTAAAACTGATTTAATGTCCTTGGACAAAAATTAAAAATTACAAATGCTTTTAAAATCGGATTTTTTAATTGAAATCTCATGTGTGACCCCTTTAATAGTGATAGTCTGGTTGATAATTTGTCAAATCAATTCACAGGAGTGAAAAAGAAAGAAAGAAAGACCACAACCCTCTGCATCACATAGGAATGACCCCTATAAGATGTACTAATTATGGAGTAAAAACCCCGGTCTCCCCTAATCCCCCTAGCAGAGAGTTACAGGCATCCTAAAACGGGCTTCTCACTATTTTGCACTACCTAGGGAACTGTGGCAAATCACTTGGTAAGTACTTCACAGGAGCCTGGTTTTCATTTACATTTGTGGAGAATTAGCAAAAATCGTCCTTCCTGCAAAATCCAATAAAAGAGATAGTAAATGAATGAAAATCAGTGGTTCTCCTCAATGTCAAAGGACCTGTGTCAGCTCACTTTCAGCATGCAGCGTCATTATTGAGATGACATCTTTGTTTGAGTGAAAAAAGACCTGAATTATCTTAGACAGGATTTGACTGATACCTAGTGGCCGTTTATTGTCATTACTGTTGCAGGGCGTCTATTGCTTTACAATTTCAGCATTATCTAAAAAAAAACCCTCATTGACAGAATTAGGGCAACAGTGTCTGTGAACGTCACTATTTATAGTCTGGAGCTTTATTTCATTATTTGGATTTTACTGGTGCAACTTTCTGCTGCTTTTACTAATTAAACTGTTCCCTCCTTCACACTTCAATTATTCATCACATATTATATTTTATTTAATACTTCATTTGAAAGCTAAATAACAACAATCTGACTGACACTTGGATGTCTATTAATAATTTCGGACCCCCGTTCCCCTCTCTCTTGTGGAAGTAAATCTGTGCCATCTGATTTTGAATTTGAATGTCTAATGCTGATTTTTTTTTTGCATCAAAATCATACTTTGAACTTCAAAACCATTGAATTTCAAGCATACTTTTTTGTTTCTGAAACTTATTTTTTTCACCGAGATTAAATAAATTCAGTGTAAAAAAAAAAGTTCTCTCGAAATATTGGTTTAGGAAAAATTTGACTTTAAAAAAAAAATGTGTAAAAAAATTCAATATAATAAAAAAAATATCAGTGTAAAAAAATTCTGTGTAAAAGAGACCGACTCATATGGGAGTCAATCTGTGCCATCTGATTTTTAATTAGAATTTTTAAAGATGATTTTTTGTGTGTGTGTGCATCAGAATCAGACTTTGATTTTAAAACCAACAGAATTCAAGCATGCATTTTTATTTCTGATACTTATTTTTTTGAAATAAAAAAGATTAAATAAATTCAGTAAAAAAAAAAAAGGTGTCTCAAATGGTGATGGTTTTGACTGATGTTTTTAAAATCAAAGTCTGATTCTGATGCACACACACAAAAAAAATCATCTTAAGAAATTCAAATTCAAAATCAGATGGCACAGATTTACTTCCATATGATTCTGTCTCTTTTACGCTGAAATTTTTTACACTGAATTTTTTTTATGTTGAATTTTTTTACATAGTTTTTTAAGTCAAATTTTTCCTAAACAAATATTTTGAGAGACCAAATTTTTAAAACTTAATGTATTTAATCTTAAAAAAAAAAGGATCAGGAAAAAAAAGCGTGCTTAAAATCTGACAATTTTGAAATTAAAGACTGTTTCTGCTTCGGAAAAAAACAATTTAAAATCAGATGGCACAGATTTACTTCCATACTTCTTCTGGTTACCAGGATGTTGAGTCGGTCTCCTTTACACTGAATTATTTAAAACAAATTTTTTTTTCATGTTGAAATTTTTTTTACAGTTTTTAAGTCGAATTTTTACTCAACAAATATTTTGAGAGACTAATTTTTTCCACTAAATTTAAATCATCTCTGAAAAAAAATAAGTATCAGAAAATAAATGTGTGCTTGTAATCTGACGGTTTTGAACTTAAGGTCTGATTCTGATGCAAAAAAAAAACAACTTTAGAAATTCAAATTCAAAATCAGATGGCACAGATTTACTTCCATACTCTCTCCCCCCTCACTCGCCCTCCCTCCCTCACCCTTACGTCATAGGACCGGTGCACTTGCACATCGCAGTGGGTCGTGGGTTAGCAGCTCTGCACGATCAGAAGCATGCACTTGCAGAGAGCAGCAGCAGCAGCAGCAGCAGCAGGCAGTCTTTTGTCTTCGGATGGTCTGGTCTGGTTCCTCGTCTGTCTGTGAACTCGAACAGAAATAAAGCCAAAAACCCACAGAGCCCACAGAGCAGGGTGAAAGGCGGGACTTCCTTCGGACAGAAACGCGTCCCCGGCTGTTTATCTCTGCGTACAGCTTGAAGGCGAGCCAGTGCGGGATCAGATATCGAGGTGAGCTTGTCGACTCATAGTTGTTTTTGTTTATATTTTTGCCTTTTGTAACATTCATGCCAGCCTGTCCACTCATTCCGCCTTGTGTCTTTGTTGTGTTGTTGCAGGAAGTAGTGCGTGTTTTAGCTGGTAGCTCTGCAGCACAGAGGCTAGTCTCTTTATTCCATTTGTAATGTGTCAGACTGTCTACATGGAGGATTGCATTGAATTATAAACAAATAACAGCCGGTTTATCCTCAATCTGCTGGATTTTCACTGACATCATTGATCACTTGACCTGCAGTGCTAATGCCTGAATGGAGATAAAGCTGCTGTTACATCAACCTGTGCCAGATGTGCCTGAATAATCACAATTTCAGGGGATATGTCCTGTTTTTTTTACTTGAAATTAGGAGTATTTGAGCATTATATAAGAAAAAAAATGGACCTAAATTAGATTTAAAGGAGCAAAAGTAAAACTAAACAATTCAACTCAAAACAACACAGGTTCCTGTTTTATACCACCTCTTAGACACTGTTCAATAACTTCATACAAATTTATTCCCAGTTTTAACACTAACAAAAATGCACATGTAAATAAGTTAATAATGAGCCACTATTTATAGTGTATTATTTGTTTTGCATACTTTCATTAGAAGAATCAAGTTTGTGCTTGTTCTGCACACAGTCTTTCATGATTTTTTGTTATTTTATTAACATTTATTTAACTGGGAAAGCCTTATCTAGATCAAACATCTCTTAAAACGGCCCGCTTTTCGACTGTTTGTTTTGTGCGTGATTGTTCTATGTCAAATTTTACCATATCCACATATTTGACCCCATAAAAATAAACTGAGCCATCACAGTTTCCCATAAAAAAACATCGCTGGTTTGAACCTGCCAACTCTTCATTACCCCAAACTGTTTCATTAACGGCATAATCAACTTGGAACAAAAGAGATAATTAAAACTAACAGTATTCTGGCATTGCTCCACATAGAAAAAGATAAAATGAGTAATTGCTGTATAAAAATAGAAGTCGATTTACACTCTGCTCATCTGTTATTCAAATATGTCTCAGCTCCAGACCTAATCAGCGGTCATTTCAGTATAGAAATGACAATTAGTAGGTTTTAATTCAGAGGCAGCTGGCTGCAATGACAATATTTGATTTTTAACAATTACAAATGGTCGTCAGATTTGTAGGTCAAACTCATTCTAACAGTATGACAATTTGCGGTTGTTTGGCTTCTATTTTTAGAGCAGATTTTCAGCTGAATGTTTGGAAAATTTCTTTGGAGGAGGGAGAACAAAGAAAACGGCCTCCACAGAGGTCTGATAAAACTGATGGAGCTGTCAAGGCAGAACATGTATCTCTCTTTCAAAGCCTTGTTGAGTTCTTCTGAAGCTGGTTTTGTGTGTTTCTAGGCCGTCTTGTCGCTGCACGATGCTGCACCGCCTGCTGCGAGGAGGCTGCAGTCCTCTTCTCTGCATTTGGGTCCTGCTGCTCCCCCTGGTCTCCCTGAACCAACACGGCCACAGGAACCACAATGTGAGGGACCAATCCAAGCTGCTGCTCGTCTCTTTTGATGGATTTCGCTGGGATTACATCGACCGGGTCCCGACGCCCAACTTCCGCAAACTCATCGACGAGGGGGTGATGGTGGAGCAGGTGGAGAACGCCTACATCACCAAAACCTTCCCCAATCACTACAGCTTGGTGACGGGGCTGTACACGGAGACGCACGGCATCGTAGCCAACGAGATGTATGACCCAATTCTAAACCGCTCCTTCTCCATGGAGACGGACAGTATTTATGATTCACGGTGGTGGGAGGAAGCTGTGCCTCTCTGGGTGACCATACAGAAAGCTGGGGGGCGGAGCGGGGCAGCAATGTGGCCAGGGTCTGACGTAAAGATCCACGGCATGTTCCCAAACCAATACCTGCGCTATAATGCCTCAATGTCCTTTGAAACCAGAGTGGAGCATATCATCAAGTGGTTCTCTGCACCCAAAGAGGAAGCGGTGGATTTTGGGGTTCTGTACTGGGAGGAACCGGATGAGAGTGGGCACAGACTGGGACCGCAGAGTCCCCAGATGGATGTCGTCATCTTCGGGATCGATCAGAAGCTCGGGTTCCTCATCGACGAGCTGGTGAAGGCGGGGCTGTACGAGAAAGTGAACCTGATCGTGACCAGTGATCACGGGATGGCACAGCTTTCCCCTGATAATATCATCGAGCTGGATCAGTATGTGAGCAGAGACCTGTACACCTGGGTGGATAAGAGTCCAGTGGTGGGAATACTGCCCAATCAAGGTGTCTTTCTCAAACATCTGACACATTGAAAACTGTTCATACTTTAATGAAAGGAGATTTAGAGATTTTAAATACCAGTAGACACAAAGTAAAGCTGAATTAATTCACTATATATGTAATATTAGCAATTAGTATGGAATAGCTGGGTGAGTGACAACAAACAGCCTGATTCAACAGATTCAGCCTCTAGTTGTACCAATTTTAGTGACAACCGCATGATAGCAATACAGAAGGCCATGTGGTCAACAAAAACACCACTCTATAGCCACAAATAATGCTTAAAAAAATCACCCAACTTCATCAACAGTACATATAGGGTCCCAGCCACAGTACTAGCCACCAAACATCTTTTTAGCTTTGCCTAATTTCTTTAGCAAAGGGACTAAGCACAACTCACCTACTCTCTTCTAGCAGCCGCTTGTTTGTAGTTGGACTTCAGGTGAGTCCAACAACTGCAGCGGAGTGACGCAGCTCAAAGAATAACATTTATAATCATTTCTTCATGGAAATACAATCAGAAATGATCAACATGATGATTATTACTTCCGGAAATGATAAAGTAATGATCATAAATGTTCTTCCTTGAGCTGTGTCACTCCGCAGCAGTCTGTAATGAACTGGCCTGAGGTCTCGCTACAAACAAGCGGCTGCTGGAAGAGAGTTGGTGAGTTGTGTTTAGTCTCTTTGCTAAAGAAATTAGGCAAAGTTAAAAAGATGTTTGATGGCTAGTGCCATAGTTGGGACCCTATATGTATTTTGAGGATGTTAGGTGCTGTTCTGAGCATTATTTGTGGCTATAGAGTGGCGTTTTGGTTTCGTGCGTGGCTGTCTGTATTGCTATCGTGTGGTCGTTACTCAAGTTGGTAAAACTAGAGAAGCAAGCGGTCGGCAACCTTCATCTCTCGAGGGGGGTTCTAACTCGTTACAGTGTGTTTGACCCTTAATTAATTTTATGCTTGAATATCCCTTTAAGCTGACTGTCTCCTACTACTGACATGTTGCAAAGAAAAAAAACCTTCATTTTAAATAAAGTTTTAAATCTTGACATGAGACAATCACAGAAGGCTGCCTCGCCAAGGCTTCAAAGGTCCAAAAGTAATTTCACTATATTGCTGTTCAAACTGCTTTAATCCAGAATCAAATATTTATTTTTCAATATTTCAACATATTTAACAACTTACAGCTTCTACACTTTCTTATCTTGAAGAATAAACTTTGTGTTTATTGACATTGTTATCCGTCTTGTAGGAAAGCTCGAAGAAGTTTACGGCAAGCTCGTGGATGCGAACCCGAACATGGCCGTGTTCAAGAAGGAGAGCATCCCCGAGCATTTCCACTATCAGCACAACGTCAGGATCATGCCCATCATCATCGAGGCCAAAGAGGGCTGGACCGTGGTTCAGAACAGGAGCAGCCCCTTCATGTGTGCGTATTCAAACCTCTCTAACAAATCTACGATGTGACAATACTCTGATTATGCTGCACACATTAAACGGGTTTTTTTAGCTGCTTGCTGCGACTCGTTCTATGAATAGCTTCACAGGAGATTTTTGGAGTCATTGAACCAAAGGTAGCTCATGTTCCTTCAGTGTTAATTAGCGAGATTTGTTTCCCCCATGGAGGCAGTAGGAGTGTGTTTGTGTTTGTGTGTGTATGTTTCTCTTTCACTGCATTCAAATCTTCTCTAAAACACTTCGAGGTCTCAATCCATGTGTCACAAAGAGAGGAGTTCCTCTTTTTCTGACTTCACTTCTGTTCGGCTGTAAACGTCTTGTTAATCAGTGAAATGACCGGGTGGAGTAAAAACCTGCTGACTCTCTATCCTCTCTGCTGCTCGGACAGATACGTGCAGTACTCATCAAAAGGGCGTAGATGATAAAAACCCAAGCTCTGACACAGGGAAGCACAGCTCTCATATTAATGATTCCTATCAGTGTTTGTAGATAGGACATGCTCTCCCTGGTTCTTGAAGATTAAAATATTACAGATAAGCAATATGAACATTGACTTAACCCCTTTTTCACTTGTTATGAATGCAGCGTTATGTATTATTGTCTCCCAACAGCAATCACAGACCGACTATATGCCATTAGCTGATTTAAACACTTCTTTTTTAGACAGGCGACTGTCCTTTTGTGATTTTCAGACTATTTTGATCAACAGTCTATTATTTTTCCGAGTGTAAAATGACATTATCAGTCATTAAAGTCACACTATATATACAGGTGCATTTTTAAAATTTTATTTAATTAGATAATTACAGCCGTAGCCCAAAAACATATCCCAAAATATTAGAATTTTTCATTAAAAAAAAAAAAACTTTATTGACTTTCATTTCACTTTATACAGACAGTTTTATAATGTAATTATATAAGAATACACACAACATAACAAAGTACTTTTTACAATCAATAATTCCTTGTTTGGGATAAATTGTAAAGATATAGTACAAACATTTTCAGTATTTACATCCTTTTATTTATATTTTCCTTTTTTTTGGAACGATCAACAAACCGTTTTACTTTCTTCATTCAGTGTTTTTCATCACATAGAAGTCGGATTTTTTTCATTTTACATTGGAGTAAATTGCTATTCAAACAGCATCTCTCAGTCCAGTTCAGTTCATGCAACTACAATCATGGGGGAAAGCTGCTGACTTAACAGTTGTCCAAAAGGTGATTATTGACACAAGGAGAGTGAGTTACAGAGGTTCATTGCTGAAAACACTGTTTTCATGGAAGCATATAAACGGAAAATAGTAGCCTTGAGAGTAAAGTCAGTTTGAACCCCAGAGACACTGTAAGATATTTGTCAAAAAGCAGAGGAGAAACACCCAACCCAAAAATACAGATGAGCTGAAGGCTGCTACTAGAGGGACCTGGGCTCCTGTATCATCTCAGCAGTGCGAAATCTTGCAAAAACCCTAAAACAGAAGCATGTAAGAGGTAACTGTGTGTTGAATTGCTCTTATGTTGCACAAAATGTTAAGAAAAAAGCTCCACTTAGTGCTTTAAATGCAGAAAAAGTCTAATCTACTGCACTTACTGTACGGCTTGTAGTTAAAGTCACTCATGCCGCCTTTACTGGAGGCTCTGATAAACTGTATTGATCTTCCAGCACAATAAGCAAACCCTGTCAGAGCCATAGGAGCATAATAACGAGCAGTTGTTGGACAGCCTAAGCTTTCATCAAATGTCCTTTATTTTCAGTTTTTCCCCGTGCCTGCTGTGATGGATTTAGCTGTAAACAGTCTGCTTGGACAAACAGAGATGGTAGTAAATCATGTGACAGAGTCAGCAGAGCCAGCTTCCATAAATCTCCAAACAAAATCTGCTGCGTGAGATTCATGGGAACTGGAGATTTTCAATTTAACACTACGATGATGATGATTAAAAACTGAAGTCTTCTTCTTTTCTCTCTCTGCAGTGGGGAACCACGGCTATGACAACACCTTGCGCAGCATGCAACCGGTGTTTGTCGCCCGTGGGCCGTCTTTTCGCCGGAACTACGTCAAAACCTCCATGCACTCTGTCGACCTCTACCCTCTCATGTGCCAGATCCTGTACATCAGGCCTCTCCCAAACAATGGCTCCCTCTTGAACGTCATAGACCTACTCTCCCCAGACATCACTCCATCTACGCCCAGCGCCCCTCCCAGGGTCACCAGCTACTCCTACGCCCCTGTTGTGGGTTCTCTCCTGGGAGTGGTGATGGTGCTGGGCTTCCTGGTGGTCTACATTAGACAAGTGACGCTCAAACAGCTGCCCTCGCTCAAACACAGACGCAGGGAGATGTCGCAGCCCTTACTGCAAGAGGACTTGCACCTGTAGCCGAAGTGAGAGAAACGGAGGCAGACATAAAAGAAGAGGAGGTATTGCTCCCCAAGGTAGTCTGCGCTGCACAGAAGCAACCCCCCAAACGCTTCCTTTATAACGACTTAATGCCAGTGTGATTCTCTCTTTAATAGATGGAGATCAAGGGAATCTAATCTCGCTTCCTAATCATGTATAGAGGCAAACCTCGTTTGCTTGTTTGAAAGGGAAATGTCAAGGGTTTGCTTCTGGTGCAGGCTTAATCAAGATAATAAACCTTTACATGGGCTTTATAGTGGCTTTGCTTTGATTGTGAATTCTACCTATTATCATCTCGTCATCTTCATCGTCACTTAAGAATTAAAACTTTAGGAGTGGAATTTAAACCTGTGATCCGACAGGTGTGAAGCTTCGCTAGCCAACACGATAAAAAAAAAGGGAACGTAAAGGTGTCAGTACGCTCAAAAGAAACCTGTTATCCTGAGAAGGGAGGAGAAGCGATGTAGGTTGAAATGGAGAAGAATGCAAACACTTTGAGACAATCTTCACTTAGCGGCATTAACAGTGTTTGCACTTGTTGAGGAAAAGAGAAGTAGCTTGAGTTGGACGAAGAAGCTTGAACAGGAGGTGAGCTGAGAGGGCAAAATGTTGAATACATACCCCACTGAGCAACAGACGGCTATAAGAAGTCTAGTTTTTTCTTTTTTTAGACCTAATTTCAACCGTCTAGATTCTGTATATTTTTGGACGGAATTTAGACGTTGCACCCCAACCCATTATTCGAGAACTGTTTATTTCAAAAAGCAACTGTGATTTGCATAACTGATCTCCAAGTACTTAACCAAAATAATTATGATAGCCGTTGAGCAATATACAGTGTAGTATAGATATAGCCCAGATTTAGACTTGGTCTAAATTTAGACGTCTATAAAACTTTCATTTTTAGACCTGTGGTAGCCTGATTTGAGACCAGTCGTCAAGACTACATTTAGATGATTATTAGACCTCTTTTAGACCAATAAATGCTCAGCTGGACATTATCTGACAAAAGCCAATAATATATAACAGATAATTATTTGATTAAAATTTATGAACATCGCCATGGTAATGGTTAAAAAAATCTATTTAAAGTAAACAAACGTCTTACTGATGTTTATGGCAGGTTAATAGGTTTCTAATGAGAGCCTATAAGTCTCTTATGAGCAATAGTAATTAGTTATGCTATCTTAAGAATTACATAGACTTATCTATGTTTATGAGTATCTTATAAGATTTGATAAGTAGGTTATTAACTTAAACGACTGCTTATCACAGGGGCCTCAATATAAAGTGTTACTCAGGACTATCATGTAATGTTACATCATGATATCTAATGATCCGAATACTAAAGGTTTACCCTTTATTATAAGGTGAGCTGACTATTCAAATATGAAGGAATACCATTAAAGAGTGTTGGGTAATTTAAGATATGATAGTTTTATCACAACATTATGGAAGCGTATTGCATTCACTGAAAATTTATTTTTTTTCTTCGTTTTTTTTTTTTTTTGTACTAATGTTATTTCCTCTTTCTGTTTTCGGACAAATTTTTTATTCTGTTTTTCTCACTATTTTTATTTTCGTCCTGTTTTTTTGGACTATTTTCTTTCCTAACTAAGCGAGATACATCAAAATCCTGCGAGAATCTCATACCATCAGATAATGTTAACCACCGCAGCTGCTCTAAATCAGCGGATTCTCCAGCTCCTAGATAACTTCGACTATGAAGTAAAGCATGTTATTAGTTAAACGTAGGGTTTGAAAATCCTGAGGTGCCTGCGCAAAGTAGACAAACTTGTAGCGATTCCATCTATCTGACTTAAAGAAAGGAGTATCTCTCAGTGTCTCAAACCCAAAAGAAAGTAAAACTTGATTAAACTAAACAAACGGGCCATGTTTGCTTCTAATAAATCGAGCAGAGGGGACTGAAAGCGTCTGTTTGTATATGATCATTATCACAGAGAATAGGAAAAACAATGAGTCTGAAAAACAAAAACAAAACAAAAATAGTCCGAAAAACAGACAAGAAAAAAAAAAAAAACTCTGAAAAACAGAAAAAAATTAGTCTGAAGAAGAAAGGAAATTACTCTAAAAAACAGCCTTTTTTTTTTTGCAATACACTTCCCTTACATCATATTGACAAATATTGGTATTAGTTATTATAGAGGAAATTGCTTTATAGCCCAGCTCAACACTTCTCCCACTTTCAGCATCAGTCTGGTATTAACTTAAGAGGGTTTCAGATGCTTTTTGAGACGTACTGACATCTTTTATTCTTCGACAGTATTTGGGCATTTTCAAATCTATGCAAACAGATTTGTATGTCATTAGGTAAAGAAGGGAAAGGCCTTACCAGGTTTTTTGCCTCGAGTGTGGTCCGAGCACTGAATCAGCTGCTCCTTTGGGAATAAAATGACTGTGATTATCTTTAAAAAAAATGTATTCAAAACTCAACAGGAGCTCAACAGGAGTCAGCACTATTTTTGAATGTTACACTTGTAAGCAAATGTTAAACTAGTCTAACTCCACGTGCCAGACCACAGCGCATAAATGTAGGTCATTCCATGATTGCTCTGAGGTAGTCAGTAACCATTTGCCTTTTAAATAACAGAGAACATCTCTCTAATGTGTGCAGTCGTTTGTGTATCAGTCTGTTTTTTGTAGCATTTGTGTTAGGAGGATATTTTCCGTGTAGAGGACCGTGTACTGCCCTCCTCTTTGAACATTGACTGTCATAACCACGGCCATTTGTTGGTGAAATGTGAAGTGCAATTGCTAATGGTCAGTATTTCGTCTTAGGGATTTTTATGGGTTTCGTCGTTGCTCGGTTGAGAAGACTATTTCGGCATGACTTGTGAGAACTGTTCCCCTGATTTGCACTATAGGATAGAAATGAACCAGAACGAAAGGGGCAGTCGTCGGATGCTATTTCGGTCATGTTTAATTTGCACTTGTTGTTTGTAGTAGCTATTTAAAATGATTAAAAAATAATAAAAATAAAAAAAGTTAGGTGCCTCTTGCCAAAAAGCTTTTTAATGAGAGTAGTGATAGCGATAGAAAGTCAAGTAGAATCCAAATCTTCAAATAATCAAATCGAATATTTTTTCAGCATCTTTTGAGAAACGATTGGTTCAATTTACTTCTTCTGCTTTTAGATGCACTGACTAATACCTGTGGCCCAAAAAATGACAGACATCACTGTGATATATAGTTTTTACAAAATTTTAAATTCATAAACTAAAAGAGTTTATATGAAAAATCATTAATTTTCTGATAATTGTTGTTTTATGAAAGAGGTGTCTGATAATTTTCCCCTGAATTTTTGAGAGATAAATGAAATATGTGGAGAATATATTTAAATAAGTTATTTGGAAATTATTTGAAAGAATGAGTATTAGATCAGGTTTATCTCAGTGGATTATTAACTTGGATTTGAAGAATGGATATTTAATATGATTAAAAATTAACTATCTTTGCCATGTTGATGCAATTAAAGAGTCTTCTGAAACTAAAAGGATGTGTGAAAGAACTTTTTTATTTCTCTGTACTTTTTGTGTGGGATGACAGCCATTACACAAAACCTCCTTTTAATTTTCTATCTTTCAATTAAGGGGTGGTAACACAAGCTAGCACTGGTGAGTTTAAAGCTGAGACTTAGTATTCACATATATAATCAAATAATGAAGTTGTAAAGGGATATTCTGGTGTAACATTTCTTCATGGAAATGTAATCAGACCGAGACGCTAAGGCAGAGGAACTACCGTGTCTGCAGTGCAAAATTATTAATTATGGTGATTACATGTTCTTCCTTGAGCTGTGTCACCCCACTGCAGTCGATGGGCTCACCTGAGGTCAACATTCATCTCTCGACGGGGTGTCTAACTTGGTGTTACGGAGTGTTTGACCTTAAATTAATTTTACGCCAGAATATCCCTTTAAACGACTTTTTTAATGAGTTTTTAACTGAACTCACAAACCCTAAATAATAACCTAATGTAAATAAATTGGTTAAATTACCATATTTGATCAAATTTTAGCCAAAAGAGAGGCATCCAGAGGGCTTTTGGACGTTGAATCAACTACAGCTACATTCATGAGGGCACTCCCGCTCAGTTTTTGACATATGAGGGAACCAGGATGTATGATGCACTGCCTTTCTCCCTTACTTTTGAACAACACTGAGCTGATATACCCATGTTAAGAGCCTGAAGTGACAGCAGACTGATTAATAAAGCAAGAAACGCCAAACTTTAACAAGCACCATGTCTTTTAGTTTAATTTTTGGACACAGTTTAGTTGCTGCTGATAGACCTGGGTGCGGTAATACCTCACTGCCACATCTTGAAACCAAATCAAAACAACTAAAAAACTCCAAAAATCCTTTTTAAACTAGAATTTTAAGACTTGATAAAAAGAAAAAACTCAAAGTAAATCTTTCTAGAAGGAAGAATTTATTGAGTGACCTCCCTTATACATCTTAAAGTATAAGGGAAACAGCAGACTGGTTAAGAAAGTAAGACAAGCACCATGTCTTTTAGTTTCAGTTTTGGACAAATTATACAGTTTTGTTGCTGCTGGTAGACTTTGGTGCGGTAATACCTCACTGCCACATCTTGAAACTGAATTAAAACAACATGAAAATATCAAAAAATCCTCTTTTGAACTAGAATATTAAGACTTGATAAAAAGTAAAACCCGGGGGATACTGTTTGAGCTGAGCGTCTTCACGGTGACTCTCGGCGACTGCACGGCAAAAGGCGCGCATGGCTACTGCGCAGCGCTGGTTTCAGGAAATGAAGAAAAATCCCGGAAATATCGAGAGCATTCTGGCTTCAAATCCGTATACAGGCGGTAGGTGGAACCAAGTTGTCCATAGTATATACAGTCTATGAGTGAAACTCAGTTGAATTACAAGAAACTTTTCAGTGTGGGACTAAACAGTGTGGGAGTTAAACTTGTGTGACATTAAAATCCAGATATTAGTGTGTCTCTGTCCACTTGTAGCTACTTAAACTCTCGCCCCTCCTGTCAAGCTGTCCTTGAAGGCCTAAGCTTCAGTTTTTGCATAAATCACATGTTAACTTGGAGGGCCAAAGGTCTTTTATGAGTTATCGCTGGAATTTGCCCGGACGTTCATTTCAGTCAGTCAGAGGCAGGCGGACTGTGAGCCACTACTTGGACCACCTCAGCACTTCTCCTTCACATTCAACCAGAAACACCAACAACCTGAAAACATGGAGAACGTGTACGAAACTGTGCATGAGGGGAGCGGGCATGACTCAAGCAGCTCCAGTAGTCGGTCAAACAGCCCGGACAGGGAGAACCAATATGAGGTCCCCGATGTGGTCAGCGAGCCGCTGTACAGCGAGGTGGACGTGCACGTTTCCGCGGACGCAGAGCGCAGTTCACCGGCCTACATGAACGTCGGGGACGAGGACAAACATGGCAGCTCATCTTCTTCCAGCGAGGATGAAGAGGAGAAGGCCGAGGAGGCCGCTGAGGTGATGGCAGAGTTAATGGAGGAGGTGAGAGCTGAGGTGGAGCCCGCGGTGGAGGTGGAGGTGAACGGCGACGCGCACGACGGATCCAGGCGCTCCTCGTCCTCCTCCTCTTCCTCCTCCTCCGCCGGAGACCCCTGTGAGGACCCACCGATTCAGACAGGGGATAACATCCTGACAACTTTGGAAACTGTGACCCTGGAGGAGAGCAGTCCTGAGATCTCCCTGTACGTCAAGGTAAGAAAGAAAAAGACTTGGAGAGCCAGGAACTATTTCTTCATCAGTTTGCCACAGCTCCACTTCTCAAAAAGTAGGATTTACATTTGTTTTTCCGCTTTCAGATGACATTTACTCAACATAATTGCCATAAAGCTCATTTAACTAAACCACAATTAAAAGATTAGGGCACAAATTAACATCACCTAAAAATTTGCACCATTAATCTTGGTACATGAACCCAAAACATGACCAGACTCCAACATGAGATGATAATAACCATATTAAGTGATAAAAAGGCTCAGTAAATGTCATAGTAGAAGTGAGTTTAATCTGAAGGTGGTCCGGTGTAATCATTAACTTGTTTACTGTCCAGCCATAGAAACCAGGGGTGAACTCCAGGCCTGAGCAAATGGGTCTGCTGCTTGTCGGATAGAGCTGCTCTGTGAGGTGTGTTATCAGCACACACAGGAACACACTGCTGATTGGGCAACTGAGATTAAAAGTCTGAATGAGCTCAGAAGAGGACTTTATTTTAGAGCGAACCTTAAGTTTGTTATTTTGGAGTAAGTTATGAGTTGTGTACAATAACTGGACCCGGACTGGGGCAGAATCAAGATTTGATGTTGGTCTTGAATTGCACAATAGTAATCCAAACAAAACTTATTTCTCTGAACGTTCTTTTTATCTTGCAAACGCAGTAGAAATTTAATAAACCGTGAAATTTCCAGTTGAGTGACATTAGGGATGGGAATCGAGAGCCGGTTCCAAATGGTTCAATCCATCGACATCGTTTACATGTTATCTTAATGATTCCCTTAATGATTCCTTTCTTCCAATCGCCAGCCGCTGCTGCCCCGCCTCAGCTATGGCACGGAAAGTATGTATGTCCTGTGTTAACGTAAGCACAATGTGCTAACAAAACACTTGACCTGACCCCAAAACCCTCGAAATTTTGCGCGTGACTCCGCCTCCAACTTAGTTAAGCCCTCTTTTTGGGGATCCAGAATATGGTCACCCCAATTTGACTTAATACCGACCGAAGTAAACGTTGTACAAATAGTTTGTCATTTGATTATTTTTAGACTTCTGTTATCAGAGACTCAATAAAATTTTGGGAAAAAAAATCAAAGAAAGGCATCGATAAGGGAATTGTTAAAGAATTGAATCGATAAGCAGAATCGATAATGGCATCAATATCGATAAATCTTAACAATTTCCATCCCTAAGTGACATACAAAGAGAACATTGTTTGTCTTTATATTAACAGAGATTGGCAAGAGGACTAATTTGGGCCGCTGAATTTCTTTTCTTTTTTTAAGTTTTAAAATAATATTGAAAGTTTAAAAACAGAATTCAGACATTTATCTCAGACTCCTGACATTTTTCATTAGTGCACTGAAAAAAAAGTCAGAAAATTTATCAGACCTTAAATTTTTGTAGCCCTTAGTCTCTTCCATAAACTGTCGAGGTCATGAGCGAGGGTTAAACAAAGGTAAAAGGACCCAAATGATTTATTTAAAAAGAACTAAATGAATAAAAAAAACAAAAACTTTCTTTAAAATGTCAAACTGAAAATTCACACGTTGACTATGAATGACAGACATACAATGAACAAACAGAGAAACAGGGGAAGACAGGGACTATATATACACACAGGTAAATGAGGAACAGGTGTGGCAGACGAGACACAGGTGAAACTCATTAGTGATTAATGACGGAGGGAAAACTAGGGAGGTAAAACCAGACTAGAAACACAAGGAATTAACTTCTACAAAATAAAACAGGAAATAAACACTGATCTAAAAAGGTCAAACACAAACTGAAATCTCACAAGACTGGACTACAAGAGAACACGAACATTTGGGAAAATACACAAAATGCACTCAGATAAAACCAGGAAAAAACTAAATTTACAGAAGATATCATGACAGTCTAATTGTTTAAAACTCCTGTGAGGATTTTTTTCGACATTTATGAAAAAATAAAAGACATATTTATGGTTTTTAATAGCATTCAAAGGCAAAAAAGACCATCAGGGATGAGATTCATGCTTTTTATTTTGTAGTTTTTGAAGCCTTAAACTGGTGTGAGTGGGTAGATGTTAGCCAAGCAGCTGAAAAAACTGTGTTTTTACAATTCTAGAAATATATGCACAGTAAATGATACAGTAAAAGTCATTAAGCTGAGAGTTTTTCAAGAATTTACTAATTAAGAGTGTAGAGGACAGGATAAGAAAAGACTGTGTTGTCCACAAGGGCGGCGCCGGAACTTACACAAACTTGAATCCCTCGCAGAAGCTCTAAAGAGAATTTTTCAGTCCTGACACATTTAATCCTCCCCTTATGAGAAACTTTTCCAGTCAAAGCAGTCAGTGTATGAGATCTTTGACAGTTTTTTCATTAACATAAGGAAAAAAAAAATTTTCTTTTAAGTAAAGGGTCACTATGAATTTGTCTCATCTCATAAATATACTATCTTTAAGTTTTTATATTAGACTTCAGAAAAATGTAGAGCACCGTTCACCATTAAGGTGACATCATTTTCAACATTCGGCCCCACCCTGCATCCTATCCAACCTGTGGGTGGATTTCCCAACAGTTTAATCTTCAACAATCGCCATAACCATAAACTGAGCAGGGCTATAAAAGTAAGGAGGAGGGGCGGGTAATCATGGTGCCATGCTTTTAGCTTATGCAGCTCCTCCCCTGTGATAAAGCAGGACACAGGCCGTGACTATCTCTACTGCTGTCTCGGACATGTTTCTCACAGGATGATCTTTTTTTAATCTTGTTCTGTTAGATAGAAAAGCTCGTGATAATGGGAACAATAAAACTTAAAGATATATATTCTCTGATAATCTAAGAGGCCATGTTATCATGCTCATGCCTCAGAATGAAAAATCAATGCAAACTTCATGTGAGAAAAAATGCCAAGTCTTCGCACTCCCTCCCCCATCCTGGTTCCACAAGGTGTCTGTTACTGTTCGGTGCTCAGATAAATCATTAGCTGGACAAGTCAGCCATTTGAGCTCCTTTGTTTCAAGATGACACCGAGGCTATATTCTTAATCCTTAATGTTTACATGATCATAAAGGATTTTGCAATCATTTAAGAAACAGCTATAACAAGTTGGGTTATTTCCAGTCCTTGGATGGTTAGCTATATATGCATAAAAACCAGAGATGGGCTGATAACCGGCCTGCCGCCTTTAGTACAAAGGTAACAAAATCAACCAGTCAGTGTCTTATCATGTTATCTTGCTTTTTCTTTCATGTTTCATCTGAGTAATAAAAAGATAGTCAATGCAAATAAAATGGTTTCCTACAGTGACCCTGAAATCTCAAATCAGAGCAAGAAATCAAAAAGTGACAAACAGAAAATGGACACTCAGTGAGTTCTTCTGATCAGTGTCATGTTTTGTAGTATTTTGTTGTTTTCTTGGGATTTGTCATTGTATTTTTGGGATTTGGTTACAGAGAGTTCAGGCCTTCCAACTTCAGACCTCCTTATCTTGGTGACCTGACCGGGAGTGATAAATTCCTGGCTTGTCTCAAAGACCAGGGTTTGTCTCTCCCCCCTTGCTCCATAGCCGATGTGAAACTATCTCTGTATCCTCTAAAGCCCTGCAGATGTCTGGTTTTATACGTGCCCAAGTAATACCCAGAAGGCTACAGGCCTTCTAGCAAAGCCTTCTCTGACTTTGATGGGAATACACTGAGCATGTCTACAGCAGCACATTTCTGTGAGCTCCAGCATGACTGCTGGATCTGATGTTTGTGAGACCTGCACAGTGTCCTGTCCACCGTGTCTTTGGTAACTTAAGTTGGTTCCCCAGGTCCACTATCACCTGCCAATTATGTGCAGTTTCTAACAGGATGGATTCTGCAACTCCCTTAAAGGGATATTCTGGTGTAAAATTAATTTAGGGTCAAACACACTGAAACCCTGAGTTCGACACCGCGTTGAGAGAAGAATGTTGTTGTAACTTTATCAACAGTACAGGGTCCCAGCCACAGCACTAGCCCCCAAACATCTTTTTAGCTTTGCCTAATTTCTTTAGCAAAGAGACTAAACACAACTCACCTACTCTCTTCCAGCAGCCGCTTGTTTGTAGCAAGACCTTGACCAGTCCATCATCGAGTACAGTGGGGTGACGCAGCTCAAGGAAGAACATTTATGATCATTACTTTATGGAAATGCAATCCGACACTAAGGAAAAAGAACTACCGCGTCTGCAGTGAAAAATGATTAATATTTAGATTATTACTTCAAGGAAATGATAAAGTAATGATCATAAATGTTCTTCCTTGAGCTGCGTCACCCCGCTGTAGTCCATAATGGACTCAAGGTCTCGCTACAAACAAGCAGCTGCTGGAAGAGAGTAGATGAGTTGTGTTTAGTCTCTTTGCTAAAGAAATTAGGCAAAGTTAAAAAAAAGTTTGATGGCTAGTGCTATGGCTGGGACCCTATATGTACTGTTGATGAAGTTAGGTGCTGTTCTGAGCATTATTTGCAGCTATAGCGTGGCTTTTTGGTTGAGGTCTGTGTGTGGCTCCTCAGACCGCTGTGTATTGCTATCGTTCGGTCGTTACTGAAGTTGGTAGAGAAGCAAGCGGTCGGCATCATTCATCTCTCGAGGGGGTGTCTAACTTGGTGTTACGGTGTGTTTGACCCTAAATTAATTTTACGCCGGAATATCCCTTTAAGCACTTGGTTGGATTAGTGACTCTCAGTGCCTCGGTAAAGCTGCTGAGGAGGTGTTTCAGTACTTCACAGCTAAGACCATGAGATCTCTCCATCCATTGCTAGTTCCTACCTGGTCCATGCAGACCAACAGTTCAGCCACGTGTCTCGGGTCCCATCAGTTATCCTGTTCGGCCAACTGCTTCCAGAGAAACTTGTTTTTAGTGAATAGGAATGAATCTGAACTTTCCTAAATCCCTTTTTTTTTTAGATCTGATGCTAAATTTTAAGATTTCAAGAATTCAAGCGGCTCTTGTGGTTTCAAAGATGCCGAATTAGGCAGCTGAGAGACTGTGTAATTAGATTGAAATCTGAAAAGACTGTCAGCTCAGCTCATTATCATGCTTTGTTTTCATTATATGGCGCTGAAAGCCCTCTGAGGCTGCAGAGATAAACCCGCTAAAATCTGAGACAACACGTTTTAAAACTATACAACACCCCCCCTTATAAATACAGGGATAATGAACTCCTTCAATAGAGGCTTGGTAATTAGTTTGTGCTGCACATTGGTGTGTCAGCCAGGAGGGGGGGCTGCTCTATTAATAGAAGCAGATTAAAAAAAATTAACCGAAGGCACCCTGGTTTCACATTTCTCTGCTTTCATATCTCACACAATAACAGATTTATTCAGAGTTTTTTCCATTTAAATAAGTCAAATATGACCTGATTTCATTCCTGTTGGCCTACATAGATTTAATTTCTATAAGTAAACACCAACTCCTGCCACAAATCCTTCACAGGTGTCTCAGATAAAGCCTGACAGGCGCACATGTGAACACGGATTAAACACGGATGCTGCACAGGCTCCCAAAAAAGAGGCAGCAAGCGACACGCATTCTGTATATCCGAAGGATGATACCCGAGACTCCGGAGCAGAAGATATTTGTGACAGTTTGAAAAAAACAAAATTCAGCCTGACCTGACTCCAAGAAGCAAAGAGGAAAATGAGAGTAACATGAGGTGACAGGTTTAGGAGAGATGAGGCAGATGAGAGAGGAGGAAGCGGTGGGGATGTGCGCTCGAGGGGGAGGGTGAGGGATGCGGCTCCACCCCCCTGCCATAGACTGACTGACACCTGTTTTCTACTTCGTGTCAGTGAGAGCACACTCTGCTCTCCATCTGTGTCCAAATCAGAGCGCAGGGCTGTCTGCCTGCCACCTGGACTGACTCTCAGCCTCACACCTGCAGGACGCAGATAAGGGAGAAGAAAACCCTTTACCGAGACCAAAAAAGGTGGATTGAGGGGCTTCAAACTTTGAACAGCTTCTGGAGAAAGGATCACTAAGTTTTTACATCTTTCTCTGGAGGATGTAGACCTCCAAGGACACCAAGAGGACTGTAGATTTTGAAATTAAAAGAGGCAAATTTGACAGCCAGAACCAGGCATCATGTCCAGTAATGGTCCAGACAGAGACCCTGAAATTGAACTTTTTGTTAAGGTAAGGCAGATACAGACATACGGGGACAGTATCTTCTGATTTGTTTTAGTTTGGATGGAAAAACAGAGACAGTGTATGAAGATATTTTCAGTGTAGCACAAGCGTGTGTTGTGGAAAGCTGCTGTAACTCAATAGCAGAGGTAGAGTTACAGCAGCACTGGCACACTGCGCTCTATGTTGACCCGGGATTGTTGTGACAGTGACACTGAAGCTGCTTGTGGATGATGGGAGGCTAATATAATACAAGGGCAACATTACCCAGACTCACTCATTAAAATACAGTTTTTCTGTCAGATTTGATTCAGAAATGCATCATGGGATAACCCTCTTCAATCACGGTCCATTTAACAAACCTGATGTTTACAAATATCACCTTAAAAAAGGACAAAAATGATAAAAGTTTGAGCGTCGGTGAGTGCAGCAGTGTTGTTTTGTTCTCCAGACTCCTGTTCTTGTGGGAAATGTTAGCGGTACATGAAAATACCTGAGGCAGGTAAGATGTAAGCAGGTGGAAGAGCTCGCTGCTGATGTGCTGTTTGGATGCACTGACCCAATTAGCCGCTGTGGAAGCTGCTTTCAGCCAAACCGTCTCCTTGGAAACGGGTTGGCTGGGTAACCGAAAGTTCACTGACACGCGGTGTAGGTCGTCACCCTTTTATAAGCCTTACCTTTTTGCGTCATTATCTGATGCTTCAGCGCGTGTGAGAGAGTGGTGTTTATAGACAGAGAAAAAGAGGAAGAGGGGCTTCAAACTATTCTTTCTCAAATTAATGTCCTCATTCAAACCAAACTCCATTTTTTTGCTATTTATAAACCTGGATGATGGACGGATACTCAAAACGGGGTACAGTTTGGCTCTCCTGCTGTCATTTGAGATGTGACCTAGATGGACGGTGAACTATCTTACATAGCTAAGGATCTTTTAATTCGCTGCATACGTGTCGTGACACCAGCTGTTTGAGTTACAGCTGAACTTTAGCTCTTTAATTGTCATTTAACAGAGGACAAACACTTCACTGCTAATAACCAGGGCTAAAAAAGAAGTTCTCCATAAAAAGCAAGGCTCCAAAATCCTGTATTTACAGCCAGAACTGGACAAGAGATCCATAAAAACATGTATTTTTGGGAATTACCAATAATTAACAACAAATGGTACCATTCCTGCAAGATTAATCATATATTAAACATTTAAAATCTTACTGATTTACAGAGAATTTTCTTTAAACACCTTGAATCAAGTCAGTTTTGCCAATTTTATTGATTATAAGGCCTAAAAAATATAGTTGCATTTGAAAATATAAACCTAAATGCTAATTTTCTTTATTTACATGCTTCATTTTGGAATATATTTCATCCAGTTGTGCAGTTGTGTATTTCAGAGTCCTTTAAAGACAAAGCAGGCATAGTGGAAATGTCACTGATGATCACTTGCGTGCATGTTAGAACATCTTTAATAAGCACTTATGTTCGAGGATGCATCCATGCGTCGGATCACATGAGGTAACATCTCTCTAACTGGACCCCTCTCATCCTCACATCACTCAGCAGCTCGCTCCTTGTGCCCGCAGGCTCGGTTGTGTGTGACAGCTTTTGTCCTCCTGTGTTCTAGATGTTGATTGGCTATTATCATCAGGCCTCTGTGTGTATTGTGTTACCGCCGTGCCGCTCAGCCCCGGGCCACAACAATGCGCAGACTGAGGCATCACATGCACCCAGGCAGCATGAGAGCACCCCGGCATCAATGGCTGGAGCTCATATAGTTGGCTCAGCTACTTTTTAGACTGACAGCTCTGTTTTCTGGTCTTTGCTGGGGAGCAGTGAACCATGGGAAACGTGTGCTGAATGCAAAATATTTCTGATTTTTGGGGAGTCTTTTCTTAAGACTGGTTCTGGATTCAGTTTAAGCATATATAATTATAAGTTTAATGTGCGCATGTTAAAAGAAAATTTCAAGTAACTAAAATCCTCCACCAGAAATCAAAAAGAAACCTCCTCGGTTAAACCCCAGCTGACTCCGAGGTCATCGCCCTCATTCCCTGAGCGAAGCAGGTCTCTGTGTGAGGGTCTGACCCCTCGCTCTGAATCCTGCTGGTCAGTGAACCAGCCGTTGGAATCTCTATCTATAATTCAGCTGGAGCAGAGGCTCAGGTGTCACAGCTGACTCTCTGCTGTGAGTTCATACATACCAACACATGAGCTCGCTGCATGCTCACAAGTACAACAAAGTGGAAGTGAGTTTATCTGTTAGTTAGTTAGAAATTAGAGTTAAATATCAATTATTATGGTCTGGTAAAGAGTTATTTTGACTAATATGCATCATTTCTTGCATCAGGAGCAAACGCAGATATATATTTTTGTTATTATTAAACGGTTAAAGGCAGAGGTGGGTTTTTGACTTGCTAGATGAAATCAAGAAATGACTTGGACTTGCTTGCGACTTGATTGCTAAAGACTTGAGACTTGACTTGACTTGAGCCAGTGACTTGAAAAGTCAAATCAAGTCTTTTCAAGTCACTTAATACCTTACAGCTTGCCCAAACCATTTAAAAAGTGTCGCATCAACTAATAGTCAGGAATTACGTCCGTTGGTAACACTGTGTTGTGTTGCCAAGTCTGCTTATTTCCCGCTAAAAATTTAGCTTGTTTTTGGCTTGTTTCTGGAGGTCAGTTTCCTTATTTCTCTCACGAAACTTGGCAACACTGTCTCAAACTCTAGCCTCCCTCATAACGACAACACCGGGAGGACTGAACATAAATCGCTCGCTAGTATTGCCCGCCTGTTTCCACGTGTTGGCTTGTGTCTCTCTTTTGTTTTGTTTTTAAACAGTGAATTAGAGTATCAGTTTAATGTTTAATTGTATTTGAGTCTTCCTTATTTTTGTGCACATTGTCTAAGTTTCCAATTATTGAAGTTTATCTGATTATTTTTTGTATGACATGTAAAATAGTTTGGTTAAAACTGTACTATGTAACTTCACACAAACAAGAACCCTTGTTTAATAATAAATACAAATAGTGAAAAATGCTCATGATTTATGTAAATCTTTACATATAACAAATGGTTTTGGCTTTGATATGACTTGTTTTTGACTTGAAAGAAACGGTAAGGACTTGGACTTGACTTGAGACTTGAGAGCAAAGACTTGAGACTCGACTTGGACTTGCAACATAAGGACTTTCCCCCACCTCTGGTTAAAGGTAACCACAGCTCAAATCAGGTCTAGGAGGTATTTATTTCTTAGAGGAAAGGTGGCTTTCATAGCCGTCAGCTCGGCAGAGGAGGGTAAAATGGTCATAAAAGTTGCTGAAGCCTGTGAAAAATGTCTTTTTTTTGACCAAACTATTGTTTAATCACACATTTAATTCATTAACTGCCATGAACACTGAGGAAAAACAGTAAACCCCGCTTTTGCAGGCATAAAAAATCATCAAATGTTGGTGTTTCTGATGTCAAATAGAGGCCATTCTTTACTATATTTGTATATGTTTGATTGTGAGCGTTGTATTTTACTGATGTCACCTTCATTCCCTCTGCGATCAGGCCGGCAACGATGGAGAAAGCATCGGTAACTGTCCCTTCTCCCAGCGTCTCTTCATGATCCTCTGGCTCAAAGGAGTCGTCTTCAACGTCACCACCGTCGACCTCAAAAGGTTAGCACACAGAAACACGACTGAGACTCATGCACTCGGGGGGTTTTCTTCTAACCGACTGTTCTCTCTCTTTAAAGAAAACCAGCAGATCTGCACAACCTGGCCCCGGGGACGCACCCGCCTTTCGTTACCTTTAACGGGGAGGTCAAGACGGATATCAACAAGATCGAGGAGTTCCTGGAGGAAATGCTCAGTCCTCCAAGGTAAGCAGATTGGAAAAAAGAGAAAACTATGAACTTTTCACTGATAACAGACACTACTGTTTTAACTTTCATTATTTCTATTCTCTCCAATGAACAAAAAAAAAATGTGATTGCCTGTGATTGAGTAGTTGCAGAGAAAAATGTCAGATTAACTAAATCAGTCTTTTATTGCCTGCAAAGTTTTTTACATTATAAATGGCCCTTAGTGTGAGGGAGCTTAAAGGGGCGGGCGGCCAACTAAGTGTGAGCGTGTAACATGTTTTCAGTCTGAGCCGAGCTCCAGCCCAGGTGTTAATGCTATCCAGATGCTTTTTTTTCCCCCCTCTAAGTGCGTCTCCTGCCTCTCCCGTCTGCTCAGGTATCCCAAACTTGCCGCCAAGCAGAGAGAGTCCAACACAGCTGGAAACGACATCTTTGCCAAGTTCTCAGCCTACATCAAGAACACCAAACTAGAGGCCAACGCCGGTGGGCTGCTCGTTTTATGCCACTTAAACACACATATACACAAACAGCACTAAATGACAAACCTGATATAATGTGTCTCCACTAGGTGGTAGCAGAGTCACGTGTTAGGGGGCCTTTCTTTGTTTGTTTACTGCTCTGCTGCCCCCTGGCGTGATTATCAAGAAAAAAGGTCATATGTCACTTTTGATCTGTAGCATTTTACCCATGTGTCTTTGTGTTTTTGTGCGTTTAGTCCTGGAGAAAGGTTTGACAAAGGCTCTGGCCAAGCTGGATGACTACCTGAACACCCCTCTGACTGATGAGATCGATAAAAGGAGTGTAGATGGAGAGTGTGTTATTTTTTTTACTCAAGAACATTTTTACTAGTTTTACACAGATTAATACAGTAAGTAAGTAAACTTTATTTGTATAGCACTTTTCACAGACAAAAGAGTCACAAAGTGCTTCACATAGACAAAAATAAAAAGATGTACAGACAAATTAAAAGGCTAAGACAACAACATTTAAACAGTCATAGTAGCCCCAAAAACAATTAAACAAATGCCTGACTGATGAGATCGATGCAGACAGCATGGAGGAGGAGAAGGGATCAAACCGGCTCTTCCTGGATGGGAACGAGCTGACTCTGGCTGACTGCAACCTGCTGCCTAAACTGCACATAGTCAAGGTAAAAGAAAAGGAGTGTAGATGGAGGGTGTGTTATTTTTTACTCAAGAATATTTTTATTAGTTTTATACAAATTATTACCCTTTCCCTAAAGACCCTGTCTACTGCTGGATATTCCTGTTACTGCGCTTAAATAACAAATTCTGAAGCTAAAACAAAAATAGTAAGTGCTGGAATTCGGGTTTTGTAGAACTTGAAATCTTAAGATGTTGAGAGATAAAAATGAAAAAGAAAATAAGTTAAATGGACTACTGTACGTTAAGAAAAATACATATGTAGACAAGTCGCTGAAAACTGAAAAGGTCCATAAAATTGTATGATTATAAAACATCACAGATATATATTTCAAAAAGAAAACAACTAGAAGAGGAGAGTGCTGATTCAAAATGACCAGAGTTTCTGAATGTGGTCCAGAAAAGGTCCTCAAACCTTTTTACCTGCGACTGAGTAACGAATCTTCTCAAGGTCTGGGTGTGTTATTTTAATTTAGTGTTTGTTAAAGCTCTGTTGTGACAGAAATATAGGGTTTATACCTCCAATTTGGAAAGTAACACGACCAAAAACAAGAGTCTAAATGTTGAAAAGTAGAGTTTACTTACATTAGAGCTGGTGGTGAATAATATACTCAGCTAAAGTCACTCAAACCCATTCACAACCGCCTTCGCCAATCCATTTGTACAGTCTGTCAGCGTCTATTCAGAATTTGGTCTTAACTTCAACAAAAGATTTAAATGACATTATAGACTAACCTCTCTGAGTCTTAAGAAATGGCGGAGATGGAGAAGTGTTAAAAACTGAGTATCCGCTTTGAGACCGGCTGCAAAAGCGCCAAAAAGCGTGCACACACTGAGCCTGTTTGTAGAGCAAAAATAGCCCTGAGTCCTGACTTTCAGGTCGACTGAAAATGAAGTTGAGTCAGCATTTCCATTATGACGAGGCTTCACAAACGAGCGGGTGACGTCACCAAACCGTCCACAGATTATACAGTCTGTGATCTTGAATTTTTCTTTGGTTGCAGCACTTTTGGATCCTTGGTTATTCAAAATAAAGGGCAGCAACAAAACAAAACAAGATAATGCAACAGTCCAAAAGCCAAGGAGAGCCTGTCAGAGCCCAAACTAAACCTCCTGTGGGAAGTTTGCAGCTGGTTATGAAATAGACTAAGGACTATGTTTACACTGCAGGTCAATTGCTGATTTTATAACTATACAGTATGTGACACATATCTTGTTTTTAAGTGTGAACAGTGGAATTCTGATTTTTTTTTAAATCCGACCCAGGCCTCTTCTGTATGTGGATTTAAATCGGGTATGTATCCGATGTGACTGCAGTGTGGACGCTCTGGCGTGTTCATCCGACGTATACGTCATCAATGACAAACGTCACCATTTGTGCTTTGTGCGCATACGGGTCACTTCACGGACGCATTCCGTTCACATTAGATGCCGCATTCGTTGTTATCATAGACTGTATATACAATGGACAGAGTCTGCCTCCTCGCTGGGTGAAGCCACTCCGAGGAACAGCACCCTCTGGTGACAGGCTGCAGTATAGGTCATAACACCTGATACAGCCTATGGATGTTCAGGGATTGCGTAGCTCACCTGGGGGATACGCTGAGAGCTATTTGGCTTCAAATCCGTATACAGGCGGGAGGCGGAACCAAATTGTCCATAGTGTTTACAGTCTGTGGTTGTTGTAATGTGAACGACCGCACAAAAAGATCGGATTTAACAAAAAATTGGAATTGTGCATCATAACCTGCATTATGAACGTGGACTAAAAGTGACATTGGTGCTTCTTTTTGGTATGCAAATGCAAACTTGAGTGTTTGCAGAGAGATTAATAATTTCAATGTCATATATTTGTACTTTTGCCTTAAACTGCTGCAGGAAGGTAGGCTGGGTTCATGTTTCATTTTTCACAGAAAAAGAAAAAGCCACTTGAAGGAAAGCAGAGTCTGAAAAAGGAACCTGACAATAATTCAATTGCACCTATTAGAGAGAACAGATCCCACAGTGGAGTGTAAATATCTGACAAGGTTAGTCAAGTGTTTTTCCCTCACTTCAACTTAAATCTGATGCTCTGTTTTCTTTTCCAGGTCGTTGCTAAGAAGTACCGCGGCTACGACATCCCCTCCAGCATGTCGGGCGTGTGGCGGTACCTGAACAGCGCCTACACTCGCGACGAGTTCACCAACACCTGTGCCGCCGACACGGAGATCGAGAACGCCTACAGAGACGTGGCGAGGAGGCTGGCCAAGTAACTCGCCGAGTGACCCGAGGCTCAAACACCATAAACTAGGATCACAACTCGCAGAGAAAGAAACACCATCTTTTTACAACATGTGACTGTCCTTTTTCAGAAGGAAATTTCTGTCATAGTGGGGTTACGTATTTAATTTAGTTCACAGGCTTCAGAGCAGATTCAACTCCTACGTGATTGTGTCCGTCTATATTTATTCCTCATAACACAAAGCCCTCTTTCATACGTTTTCCTCTCGTCCACACGGCCAAACACTTCACTAGCCGCTGATGTCAGGGCGGGTTACTGTATTTATTCCTGAGCCCACAGAAGTCTAGTCTGCCTCCAGTGTTTATGAGCAAAGCTTTGGCTCCGGCGGAGACACCTCGATTCATCTATGACTCATGATTGATGCTAATTGTTTGCTGAATATATGACTGTTTGAATTCGCAGGTTCATTATGACTGTCATACATTACTGTAGTTCTGTTCCCTCCAGCTTCAAACTTATCTTTAGATCCCACTCCTGCTTCTGAAAGATTGATTTTAAGGATGATTGATTTTTATAATGACTTTATAATGTTTGTTTGAAAAGAGCAAAACTCACCTGGCAAAGGCATTATAAGCTTGGAAAACGAGGATTTTCTCTGATTTGTTTGCATGCATGAATCTGTTTTAAATTGCGATATTTAAAATCTGATATTAGATCCGCTTTTTAAAATGTGAAAATGAAAAAAAATCCTCAACTGTGCCTTTATTTTGAAGAGACATAAGTCCATGCCAACGCCACTGATGGATTCATCCACAAAAAAAAAAACAAAAAAAAATGTATTGCAGCCAGAGCCCAGCCATTTGTTCTGCCTCTAGCTATTAGTGCTCAGTCGAGGTATTGATTTTGTCTTAAGTTACACATGATATTATGAATGGGGAGAGTATTTATTTAGCAGCCCCAATCAGGCCTGATTAGGTAGAGCCATTAGTGCTGCGATGAAAAGCGTCTTCCAGGCCAGGTCCACAATGGTCAGAAACCCTGCCCTCCAGCCCCTCATCAAAGAGACATTTCCTCCGCTCTGAGGAGTCCGTCAACATCCGCTAGCCTAAAAGTTCAAGTTCAAAAGTTTCATTGTCCAAGCGAGAGAAGGAGGATGGAAATTTGTCTTGGGGCTTATCGTCTTTGGCGTGGCGTCAGGCTGCAACTTTAGCGAGACTTCCTTGCAGAACCATAAGGCTCTTGTGTGGTTTGGACAAACATGTGATATGAAATTGGAGCATGATGACTGAGAGCCTTGCTCATTGCAAAGCTCTACAAATAAAATAATATTTTCACAGATCGGCTTCTGCCTTTTCTTTCCTTTCCCGGCGAGGTGATCAATCAAAATCGATACTTTCGGGGTTTGTCATGTCGAGGAGGCAGTATCAATGACAGGAAAGGTGCTGGTGGAGTTTGGATCGTGAAAAGGGTTAAGTGTGGCTGACTGAGTTGATCAAATCCAGTGGTGCAGGTCTGTTTCTCCATCCATAACAGAAAGAGAGAGAGAAGTAGAGAGAGAGAGAGTGATGACCGTTGACAGGCTTAAATAGAGGCTTCCATGCCAGGGATCAAACGCCATCCCTCTTCTCCACTCTCTCATTAAGACGGAAAACCCGAGCGCCGCCATCCGATCTGTCTCCATTTTTCCTCAAAGGAGTCTAACTTGAAAGATCTGCGCCTGTCGGATTTACAATGGTGGGCGAGCGGTGTTTACTGAGACGCGGCCTTGCCAGAAACAACAGTCAAAGAAAATAAATGGAGCCTGCCGAGTGTTTCCACAGGAGTAAGGAAATATGGAGCGAGACTTGTGCCTTGCTGTTTGGTAATTAGTACCTAAACATCCCTGTCCTTGGATCCCATCGCTCACATCCAACATTTCTGCAGGCTGGATAATATACAGTGGAGCATTAACGTCAAACACGTCTGGTCACGGGGCCTGGCATGCCACATTAATCTGTTATTACGCTCCCAGTGGATCCACCAGTCGCTGGCCTTGGCTGGGCCACCGTAGCACCGGGAGTCCATATAGGCTGACAGGGACTCACACACGGTGCACTTTTATAGCCAGGTTCAGTAAACCTCCTCCGCTCGGGCATAAATTGTCTAAATTGAGACTTGCTCTGAGACCTGAGCTGATTAAAACAAACTGGTGTGTTTGACGTGTGAGGACCCACCAAGAACAGACCTGTGATCCAATTAAAGAGCAGACCCATAGTCTAAGAAATACTACCATGTAGACCTCACTGCTCTTCTAGCTGCTGCTTACCTTACATATTGCACCCGCGAGACAGACACGCATGTTTCAGGTGAAACCCTGCACCATCCATGTCCTGCAACTGCAATAACAGCAGCAGAGTTGGGAAAAGTACTGCGGGACATAACTTTGTGAGCTACCAGATACTTCGCCATGGAAGGAGTTGGACTAGAGAAAAACCGTCTGTTGAAGAAATCTAGTTTGGTTACTCGAGCTTCATATAATGGACGTTAAATAACTCAGAGAGGGGGGAAAATGGCGGTTATGATTTTTTAAGTTAAAGCTCCTGTGAGGATTCTTGACACATGTCGCATTTGGCTCCCCCTTGTGGCCAAACCGGTACCAATCATTGTTGATTCATTAGCAGGTTTCTAAGTTTGAGGATACTGACTTATCAGTGAATACTCTTGTGAACCCGGAAACAGAAATTGCCGGAGCTTGTCAGGAGGAGTGGCCTGGGGTGGCATGAGCCCCTCTTGAAATCTGTCTTGGCCACCTTAGCAATCCTTAACCGTGATTGGCTGTTCTGTTAAGATAACTTAGGATATTAAAAATGAAGAAGTTAGAGCCATGGACTGAACTTAATCGTCATACTGTTGGCTAGCTAATACGATATAAAAATAGCAACACACAAGCTAGTCCTCAATTGAGGGTCAGTAAAATGAGACGTGTTTTTCAAATCATGATGAGAGACATGAAAACAGTAACTGATCTTCCCACTGTGTGTGTGTGTGATGTTGCAAGAAGATGACCACAGTGGGATTATAGTCTATTAAACTCAGGACATTTGTGTGTTCTCACTCTGTTCTGTTCAAGTTCAAAATATTATGCACATGAAAATAACATCGTGTCACTCAACAATATATGTTTAGTCTAAAAAAGTCTGGACAGGCCCGTGTTATGAAACCAGGCAGAGAGTGAAGTGGAGCCACAGTTGAGTCTGCTCCTGGGCTCCGATTCGCCTCTATGCTGATGACACATTCATTTATCTTCAATTGTTGTTTTTAAATTTTCTCATTATTTAAATTGTTTCTGTGTTTTCAGACATAATCGTTGGAGGATTTGAAGGCCAGTAGCCCACATTTTGTAAATATGCAAAAGGTTAGAGACAATCTTGAGCGCTTTCTGTCACAGTTCAGGGTTAACCCTCCTCCTGTGTTAGGGTCTTCACCGACCAGCTTTTGGTTTTAAAGAACCTTAAATTAGCTTTTTTGCATTAATACTTTTTGACTTTGTTAGGAAACTCTATTTTAACAAAATAAAAAATAAAAAAATTAATTGACTAAATTATAAAATGCTCTTATTAGAATTATGGCACTTGTCGTGTTAGGGTTGCTGTTGACTCAGCTAGATCAATATCTAATAATTAGAGCAAAAAAAGTAAAAGTGCTCTGTCAGGCACCGCACTGACAATCAGATCATCTTCCAATCTTTTTTTAAAAGCTATTTGGGGTTCTTATTTTCTATGATTGACACTTGATACAGCCTATTGGCGTGCGAAGATTGCGTAGCGATACGCTGTTTGAGCCGAGCATTATCACAGCGACTCACCCGCCGAATGCGTACAATGCTACTGCGCAAGTGGTGGTTCCAGGAAGTGGAGAAAATCCTGGAAATACCAGAGCAATTCAGCTTCAAATTTGTATGATGATGGAAGGTTACCTACCTGGTAGCTAGACAGTATTGACTTCGTAGTTATCATGTAATTACCAGATAATTTCATGTTGTTACTAGGTAATTACCTGTTAATTACCTAGTAATAAGTGTACCGTAATGAAGCCTAATAAATTAACCAAATTGGATGATAGAGAATTGTTTTTAGTGTAATTTACAGCTGATTTAAGACACGGGTCAAAACCGACCCTTAACATAGTGGGTGTGTAGTAAAAGCTAACACAGGAGGAAGGTTACACAAAAAGGAAAAGGACCCAAAATGCTGACAAAAAATAGGATTTATTCAAAAAGAACGAAATGAAAAGCAACAGAGACTTCTATTAAAATGTCCGAACAAGAAAATCCAAAAGGCAAAATCCAACTAAAGACACTGGGGACACAAGCATACCTACACACATCGACATACAATGAACCAACAAGAACAGAGGGGAAGACAGGGACTATATACACACTGGGAAATGAGCAAATGAAACTCATTAGTGATTAACAAAGGAGGGAAAACTGAATGTAAAGAATAAAAACACAGAGAAGAGGAGAGAAACGGGGTCAAACACAAACCAAAAATTCACAAGACTGGACTACAGGGGAACAGGAACAATAAGGAAAATACAGTCAAATAAAACCAGAAGAAAACTAAATGAACAGAAAATATGACACTTTCAGTTCTCTCCATGGACAGAGGTTCAACCCTCCGTCCCTGATTGTCTCATTTTCTGCTCTTAGGAAAGGACTGACATGTGACATTAACATCAACCCTCTCAAAGGTGAAGGTTGAGGTCCTTCAGGCCAGAAAAGGAAGCATCCAATCAGCGCGCGGCTGACGTCGACAGAAACCATGTCATAACAGGAGATCATGTTTAAAAGAGAGACGGAGCTGTGGAAGACAAGTCCTCATCTCTTCCACTGCGAGACAGAGAGCATCCAACAAAGTATCAAGTTCTCAGCAGGTCCCCCCACCCTCCTCCGCTCGGCTGCCCTCGGAGGCTTTGAGTGACTTGTGGTGGAGCTTGATGGGGATTATTGATCTGCCTGGCGCGCGCCTGCGGTTTCGGCGTAAGACTGACGACCTCACCAGAGAGAGCTCTTGGCACACACCGGCTCCCTGTCTTAGATCAGGGCCGTGTGGAGGCCAGGACAGGCCTGTCGTGGCTTAGAAACGTTGGGTCCGTTTGAGCTCGGAGCCAGGTGATCAAGACATTTCTCTGAGTATTTAAATAATCAGCCTCCAATGAAGGCAGAAGATAACAATAAACATATCTGATTGGCTTCTTGGAGACGAGTTGTTAAAATGAGTAGCTGCGTCTGCAGACAGCAGGGCCTGGGGGTATTTCTGCTCTTGGTAAGCATTTACTGGTTAGGGTTTCAGTTCCAGTTGTGGACCACATGAAATAATCCATGGCCACTGGAGAAGGATGTGGACACTGTGCTAATTATGTGAGATGATGATGTCAGGTAAAGATACTTTCTCCTGAGCCAGGCCTCTTTTCCCCGCTCTAATGTTGTGTTCCAATGTATATAACCGCGCTGTGGCGACCACACTCGCTATACGACCACACTCACATCCACATGTCGGACATGTCTGGATCCTCAGCAGCCCTCACACATCCGCACTGTCAGCCGGCCGCTCACTTTATCATTCGGAGTTGTAAATCATCGCTTCGCCTGCAGGAAACACACAGCATTTTATTTTCCAGTCGTAAACCATAAAACCTGCCTCTAACACGAGTTATGATCCTTGGAGACCGAGAGGATGAATGTCTAAAGCAGAACCAGACACGATGGCGGGCATCCTTCTCCAACCCACCCCCCACTTTATTTTTCTGCCTGGCATGGTGGATTTTCCAAAAAGCCCTGACATGATCCAAATGTCACCACGGTAGTCCGTCATTCAGCAGCGAACTGGAAATCTCTGACTGCTCTGAATTACCAGTCCATTAGTTCTCAATTAACACTTGCCTGATAAAGTTTTAACGGCCCTTCATCTGACAGGAAGAGCACATAGAGCCCCTTCATGCTCCGTTTCAGGCAGAGATGGGGCCCCTGCCCAAATTTTTGAAATTTTATTGCCTGGCTGGAGCTTATGGAAAAGGCCTGTTTTGCATGAATATTTGGCACCGAGCGGACGTTTATCCTGTCTGATGTTCTGTACACTCAGTCGTGCTGCAACAGTTTGCCACTTTCTGACAGCTGAGATGGTGTATAATTTAAAACACTGACATGAAGCGAGGACCCCGCACAAAGAGGCCTTTTGTTTGCGTGTTTGGTCGCTGTCCATGGTCCTGACACTCGCATTTTCACTGTAATTTCCTCTTTTTTTAAAGAAAAGTGTGGCCTGTATCAGGTTGCATAATCAGAACTGGCAGATGTCATT